GAGTCCTATACAGATTTACAATCACTCCCATATGTCTTCTTGTGATCTACGTAGATACTCAAGGTAGGTAGATTTCCTGATAGATTGACAAGACTCTAGTTTGCAGGAGGCAGCCTTGCCTAAATCCTGATTGTTCGCTCGGTATGATGCTATTAGATTCGAACCATTCTCTATTCTATCTATTGAATATTTTCATATGGCACTCGCCTAACAGAGCTACTATTTCTCTTTCTGATCTACCAGCTTCCTTTTCCCCTCGAGATTCCATCGTTTGCTTCATGGTCAGTCCTCGACAAAAAGCACAAGAATTCGTGTCTAATTCTCATCATCATTAGTATCTCCGTCTTGGTTCAGCACATATGCGACAGCAAGCACTTCTAACTGCGCTTCTTCTGCATGATGTTCATACAAACGGAGAACCACTCGTCCATGCATGTTGCACCTCGACGGTACAACAAAAGATGGTATCATTGTTTTCCAACGACTAACGGGCGTACATAATCGAAGTAGCGACCTTATCCAAGACCTAGAAAAGTGGCACAATATCCATCCAGAACGGACGCATACAACTTTCTTTCGCTGATAATATAAAGTGTGATCTATTTCTTATTTCTATCTTTCTTGTCGGAACTATCGCACGTAAACAGCCATGTCGCCCCATCTTACAGAAAACAATCAAACATCCAGTGCACGGCAAACCCTTTCGGACTGTACTCAACAGCGAACAAATACAGACAACGATCAACAATCAACAGCATTCACAACACCACACCCTCAAGATGGTGGAAACTAGTTTCTTTTCCTGTATCATGTATGTTGGCTTTGTTGGCCTTAAGGAACTTCGCTTTGGCGGGGAAAGTACCGGTTATGTTGTGGTGCAATTTGAAAATTTTGTGATCTTCGGTGGTTTTTGTAGTGAGTAAGTTTTGAATTTGATCCGGTTGTCAGCAAGTAGCGTTTTCGATGGCAATGTAGTGCGTTCAGACGAGTGCTATAGTTAGATCTTTGAATTTGCATATGACTTTAGTGGTAAAACGAAATGGGAATATAGAAATATCTTTTTGTATGCTTGACTGATGAATAGAAAATTTGAAAAGCGCTGTTTAGCAGATTAGTATCCCTGAGGATTTCCGCCTTTTCTAACGTCACAATTTGCCCAGTACTGCTTCTCTTCGATACGCCATTCAATTGCTTGGACAACCGACCCACCATACGCAGTGCATTTTGTTTTATGACCACGACGTTTGAGTCCATTTAAAACACCCTAAAAAGGAATTATTCGTTCATTTGTTTAACTGAAGGAGAGGAAACTGTTGGCATTTTACTTGATCGAATGTTTCTTCGAAAGTAATCTGATTCGGAGATAAATGATGATGGACACGTGGCTGGTCATTGGCTTCTTTAACGTTTTTGTGAAATAGTAGATTTAGTAAAGTAACATGAGCAACACTGGTTACGATTTTTGCGCCTCCGCTACCTCCGATAACTAATCGAACTTTGCCATCACTGTCAAGAACAATCAAAGGTGCTTGTGATGAAACAGGTCGTTTTCCAGGTTCAATCAAGTTATTTTTCGATTCAGACAAACCATGATAATTCTTTTTTTCAGGAATAGAAAAATCATTCATTTGATTGTTATAAATAATTCCAGTTTCTTCGCCAACAACCATCGAACCGAAACTACGAAGAGAACAAGTATTGGAAACACATCGGATGAAATGAGGCTAACTATGTGTTTATAGTTGAAGTTATGGCTACAGCATCTCCATGCTCGTCTACAATTGAGATATGAGCAGTTCCTGTGATTGATTTCGATTGAGTGTTATTATTGCCATAATAGACCTCCGAAAATGTTTCGTTGTCACTAAAAGGAGTTTTTGTCAAGGTGAAGCATTCATTTGGAGATGGTCTTACTTGATTTTCTGCCGAATTGTGTCGGCATAGGATTTGGAGATCAAATCTTTAATAGACTAAACGAAAAGACAATAATAATAAAACACGATTATCTGTATGAATAAGGAGATGTTACATGTTGAAGATTTATTTTCAAAGGATCGGCCAATTCTGATCGCTTGGCGAATGCAAATTTAAATGACTCTGTTAGGCGATGATAAAAAAGTGCAGCTGTATTAGTTTCATTCAAATCCGTTGGTTGAAAGTCGTATCCTGAACAGTAGAACAAACATCGTATTGCTAATGAAAATGTTTATATAAGTAACATATCAACCGAGCATTATATTGAGAATAAGTGCAAGAATAGGTCCACTGGATGGAGCTGAAGTTGTGAATGCTTTCAACGAACTATTTAAATTGAATGATAGAGCTTCTTGAAAATCAAGACCATATTGACGAAGATCATTAAGAGTTAAAATACCACCTAACGATGTATTTTATACTACGATCAGATAAACAAGAGAAAAGACGAACCTCGTTTTTGAATTTCAGAAACAATCTTATTTGATAGTCTGCCTTGATAAAAACTTTCAACACCTTCGTCAGCAATCTGTTGCAGTGTTCGTGCTAATTTCGGTCGTCGCATCAAATCGCCTTCTTTATAAAGTTCAGCGGTTGTTGAATTTTTAACAAAGATATTTCTATAAAAACGCCGAAAATCTTTTCCTGCTCAGAGAAAACTTGACGTACCGAAGCTCAGTATCATTCAAAATGTGTTCTTTGTTCTTCTCGATTGCAAAAGCCAAAGCAACACTAACATTGAATCCTTTTTCACATAAACGAATCGTGGGTTTGAAAAGTGATGCCCATGACACTCCTCCACCGAATTGATCGTAGGCTTTTTTATATGCTAAAATTTCACCAGGTGTTCCGATAGCCAATGAGCCTGATATTGCGCGAAAATATTTTTCCATCGGAAAACTCCAAATATGAACGTTCTTACCAATTAATGACATGTTTTCTCGACCTTGAAACATCGTACTATTAGAATTTAAGGGCGCTGTTTCTCGCTCGACAATGCTAAATGCTTTGCCAAGTTTCCTAACAAAAAAAAATGATCAAAAGAACTTTCAAATAATTTTAATGATAATGTAAAGGCAAAACCGTGAATAGATAAGAAAGACACAGCCGCCACCAATTCCCATGGAATGAGCATTCAAAACTCCGTTACATAAAGATGCTGCAATGGCTGCATCAGCTGCTTTTCCGCCTCTTAACAGAATAGCTTTGCCAATTTTCGAACACTCTTCATTATCAACAGCTACTGCAGCCCGATTGTATCTTCCTAATTTTGACGAACCAGTGACTGCATATGATTCGTGATCCGATCCACATGTTTCATCTGATATATCATTAATCGAAGACATTTGAAGAAAAAAACCATCTATGACAGTACCTTGTTCTTTTCTCATAACAAAAAAGAGGCCAATAGCAGTACATGTTGCAACAATCAATGCAGCTAGTAATAATATAAATACAGTAGATCGCTGCCTAAGTTAAGATACGTATACAGTTGAACATTCAGTTTTCATTAGATGAAAAGATCTTACATGACGACGATGATGATGATAATCGAACTAATAAATGTTACTTGCGCTTTTTTATCGGACGTAAGGATAGAAAACAATAAGATCGATCGGAATGACTTTAGTATTGAGAATAAGAACGGAAAGAAAATAGTGGATATTCTCGTTGCTTTTCTGTCCTTTTTTTCTTATTGGATTATCATGTTTATTATCATACTGTATGCTCGAGCGTCTAACTCGCTTCTTTTCTTTTTCTCCTACAGTTATTTGTCTATGTACATATTTATATTGGGATTTCCGAAAGAAATCAATAATCTATATTTCTGGTGCACAACATTGTTTTATTGAATTTTTTTTTTGAAAAAACTGCAAAAATTACAACAATGATTTGTCTTCATATTTAAATAGTATTTGTTAGTAGCGCCAGAATTTATGATGACGATGTTGTTGGTTTGGTAAAACCAATTGACGAATAGTTGGATTAGTATTGCTTCGACGTCGTAAGATGCTTTTGATTGTCCATAGACCATCCGCAGAATTGATAAGACGATGATTCGATAAATAGTGATACGGTATATAAAAGTATCCTTCGTCACCCTTTGAAAATCAAGTGTAAATTTATCAGAAAGAAATCTGGAAAGTGTATAATACCTACCCAATCTTCTCCCCAAGAATTTCTTGCACAGAAATACCTTTTACGTCTGTCGTAACCAACAATAACGATGCTATGAAATCGATCTCTGTCAATGAGACCAGTTCTCACATTCGGCATTCTCGAGTTTCTACCATTAGGATGAAAAGCTATACCTGCTTCTTCTAATAAAATAATATCCATAATCACCGGAAGTTGGTTATGCAAACACGTTTCAATTGCTTGTATTGTACAAGGAATTCTTAGAGGAACAACAGTCCATTCACGAGCTTCGGCAAACGCCTTATCGGATGGTTTTACATTGACGTTTTCTGGTACATATGGCCAAGTTTTCTCGAGACAACATCCATACTTTTGCAAACCTAAAGCAACTGCTCTTTGTACGACTCCTTGATCTGTGATAAGTCCCGTTCTTTCACTCATTCGTCTTCCGTTGAAGTAAATGAATAAACGAGAAACATCAATATGAACACCATGGATACGTTTTATTAAATACTCACAAACACCAGCAAAGGCATTTGCACAACTAAAGTGTAGGAAAGAATTGTGTCAGACTTGAAAGTTGAATTCAAATGTATCGGTCGAAGTACACCTACCAGGCATTTATATCTAATTGTTGTTCGACAGGTGTCATCCAACGACGTAGATTAACCGCAGTTGGTAGATGATCTGCTGGAAATGAAAGTGGTCTCATGGGACGTGTAAGTCGATCTCTATGCTGATCTGATGGATAGTAACCATAGCGAATCGTGGTGAAAGCCATGCTTTACGGGTGAGTGAAAAGATTAGTTTTCAATATGTGCCAGTAGACACGGGCGCAGTTGTCGTATTTATTTTAAAAAAGTGTCTATGTCATGACGATTATTGTAGAGAGAGAAATATTGAAGTCACACTATAGTTTGTTTTTACCAATTTTCTTCATAAATGTCATTTACTTGATTATAGAGAAAATATTCATCATTATTTTCATCATAATAACGTCATCGAAGGAAGTAAATTAGAAAAAAAAACAAACGATGACTATCACTGTCTTTACCATCAGATATGCGTGTCATAAGCGAAAAAGTCAACATACACCTACCGGCCAGATTTTTCCACCCATTCAAGTCCTAGAAAACAATATCAAGATTCTGTTTTTCTTTCATTAGAGAAGGCATTTTGTTGTCGGTGAAATATATTTATTTGATTAAAATGTTTTCAAGAGATATTTAATTAATCACTTCGTATGATTGCGGTCGATTTAAGAGGAGATGAGAAATGAAAAGGAAAAGGTATTGAATCTGACACACACACGACTACAGGGAGGAAAAAGCAAGAAAAATCAATGTACACTGTTAAACAGGTTCTCAACGATCATCTGACACACACTGTTTTCTTTTAATTTCTTAGTGAGCACCAACGACTAGGACAAGATTACAACTGACAAAGACAAGAAGAAAAGAACGCCATCTATCTGCGAAAAAGCAAACTAATTCGAATCCTCGAATATGAATAAATCCAACGATTCTTCTTCATCCTGATCAGCTAACATACAAGACAACGATGAATCAGATGATGAACAAGATGCACTTTTGCTATTCTTTCCACTAATTTCATTGATTGATTTGGGTGAACAAGGAACAACACAAAATAATAATACAAGAATATCATCACGTTTGATACGAGCTAAAAGAATCTCATATAAAGCATCTCTCTTTTCCGTTAGATTGACATTTACCATGACATGCCGATTGAACAAGCATTTGACAAATATTCTGCAATGATTCCACTGAGATTTGATCATCCTAATAGATTGTGGAAATTTCACATATGAGAATAAATAATTTTGAAATCAACTTACTAAGTGATTATTTATTATTTGTACAATAAAATCTTCGTAAAGATTATCAAAAAGCCCATCCGATGCAATTAATAGAAGGTCACCTATTTCTAAATTATGTTCAACATATTCTCCGTCACTTGGCCTAGCAAGACAACGATGATAGGTTTAAATAACAAGAAAATCCAAGGTCGAAGTATCAACGTACTTATCATGATAAAGTCTTGTCGTGTTTGATGAGAAAATCTGTGTCGTCGGGAACGATGATAATTGAAAAGGTGACGAACCACGATGATACTGTGGATGTGAACGAATAATTAGTTTATTTTGTCTAATTAACATGAAACCACTATCACCAATATTGAGTGAACGGAGGTGTGAACAGCGTTTATCAATGGATAATAAGCACAATGTAGCACTACCGAATATCGAACGTTTTTCAACACAACGTATAGCACGATGAACGAGACCACGCATCGATGACGAGCCAACAATTCGTTCGGTTTCGTCAGCACATGAGCTTATTAATGTATGAGCAAATTTATATGGATCAAGACCATGGTGACGATTTCCGCTTACTCCATCTGCTAAACCTGAATTATTTAGAAAAACGAACATCGAGATTAGTTTTCTTCGTGAATATAAGAAAAAAGAAAGAGATCATCAATACCGATAAGGATATGATCGTCGGATTGTTTGACAAAAGCCACATCATCACCATATGGTCCGGATAGAAGAATAGATTCTTCTTCTAACTTTGATTGATCACAATTAGTTTTATTCGTTCCTTGTTTAGATATTCCGTTCCACGAACATTTCAATCCAATGCATACAGATGAACTTTCCAACATTGAATCTTTGTTTAGACAAATAAAACATTTCTCATTCTCAACATCTTTTTATTTACATCGATGTTTTTTCTCACGGCCAATCAGATCTATCGCATATTTATTCACAGATGTCCCTCGCGTTCGAACCCAAAGAATACATAATCTTCCGATCATAACAAATAGAGATTACTCGAGAGCAGACTCATTATACTCGAATGTTGACTGTCATATGAGTTCGGTTGTCTTTTATTGAGTAACATATTTTTAGAATCATGGGCTGGTGGCTTTATTCACTATGGGATATTCTTCCTGTACCAATTCTTCTTGGAATGTTCATATGGACTTTTTCAATGTGTCTTTTTTCCGTATTTCTACTTGTGATTGTTATCCTACTTCATGAACGGTATGTTTTTCCTTCGAAAAAACTTACGAGAAATATCTCTTTGATCATATTTAGTGCAACGCCAATAGCTCAATTAGTATCTGTACGAAAAGATCTCTCGTTGGATGAAACAATCCCAAAAGGAGGATTTAGTTGCGACAGTTTATCCTTATTGTCACTTCAAACGACACAAAATGATAATGAAGATCCGATCAGTTCATTTTATTTACGCAATTGTAACTGCATAAAAGAGAATGAAAAGATGCACTCATTGCCATCGATTAAATTACGTCCATCGATCAATCAGGAAAAGCAAGTTAGTACTTTGCCAGCACAATTGTCAACGCGTCGTTCAATAATCAGAGATTTAACTTCGGTATCGAACTCATTCACTGAGAAAAAAACTCATCAATCGATCGATTCACTTTTCAGCAAAGACTCTCTTATCGAATGATACATGTACACAATATTTCATCATATAAATGTTCTCATTAGGTAGAATATAGGTTGTCTTTTTATTTTGAAGCTTGTTTAAGAAAAAAGAAAATCTTGATCGGGTTAAAAGGAATGCTCGTTCGTTAATAATTGAATATCTGTTGTTCAATATTAAAAAAGAAGTCGCTGTAATCCACTGAGACCATTGCCCCAATGGAAACATGTATACAAAGCCATGGACCATAAAGTTAAAAGTGCTGCATCCAAAGTAAGAGCTCCAACAAGACGGCCTTTTGAACCTGATCGGCGATAACCTTGCGAATAGATTTCACGTGCAACGATGTAAACTAGTCCAGCAATAAATGCGACACGTGTATATGAAAGACCAGATATTAACAATGGTACAATAACAGCAAAGCCGCCCTGAAGATACAGAGAAGAACAATTTTTATTTTGAAGAACAGAACAATTTTACCTCGAGATAGTTCATATGTGCTCGTCGATAATTATTGAAAGTAAACCAATCTTCGTCGCTCAATTTGTCTGCTAATCTACCTTGCCCATCATCAGGATAACCGCCATCTGGTTTCATTACCTTTCCCAATTGTTTATATTGAGGAAAATGTTTTTCGTAGAATTCTTTTGAAAAGAATCGTTTTCGTACTGAAGCCATTGTCATACCAGTGATCAACATATGAATACATATGATGACAGCTTCCAATAATATCCATGCATATCCTTCCGCAAGAACAATTTTCGTTTCAGCAATAGGAGCCATCTAGAAAAATAAAATCGAACATTTCAGATACTGATGTTGGAGTGAATTCTAAATATATTAAATTAGCTTCACAAAAAAGTTCATTTCGGTTCAATTTCATTTAGAATCGATGCAAGTTGCATTCGAAACTGTTCATCGATCGGGCGAGGACGACGAGTACTCCTATCAACAAATACATGTGTAAATCCACCAACAGCAGCAGCTTTCAAAGCTTGATTATCTTCAAATATTCCCACTTGATAATCAACCGATGATTTTCCAATCTTTTTTATCAATAAACCAGCGGATATTATCGAAGGATACGATGTTGGCGAAAAGTATTGACAATAGGAAGACACAACAAAGCCGATTGATGGCGACTGTAACGGTTCTAATGAACATCTTTCAATCAAATATTTATTCACAATAGTGTCAATCCATTCGCCATAAACCACATTATTCACATGGCCATATATATCGTTGTCCCGCCATCTAATTTAACGTGAACTTTTTGCTTTATAAACGAAAAGTAGTTTACCTCGTTTGAATATCAATAAAATATTTGTAAAATGAGCGATCTCGATAGTCGGACAACGATGAGATACTTTTCCCACGTTTTAATGTTTGAAAACATGGGCGAACTACTCGGCAAAGCGTCATTTTGAAAAACAAGTTCTGATTTAATCAGCATAATACTCTCTTCAATCTCTTATCAATGTCAAACCAATCGAAATACATTTTCACTTTGTGTTAGATTTCTTTCAATTGTGCTCAACTCAGATATCTGAAAAAAAGTAAATAAATTATAGGCGAAAAATAAATAGAACAGTTTCAAATCAGTCATTTTGTCATAGATGTCGCTAGTAAGCGCCTTTGTTTTTATAATTTGACGTTTATTAAAACAAATTGAGCTATTATTGATGAGAGGTAAAACAGAAGAGAAAGATTACAAACTTTCGGTCTTGGTGTGTGCTTATGAAATGGGTCGAACACGATTTGTTCTCTTGTGTAAGATAAAATTCTTCATTTCTTCTCTAAACGATTTCGTTGAGATGTAGAAAATAAAGAACTGGCAGGAGAACGCGAAGTAGAAGATCAATGTGAAGACACTTGATAGTATATTTTCCATTGATTTCACATCAGCACTTTTCACGACTGCTGTGGTAAGTGTTAAATATACTGTAAAGACGACATATGGTGAAGTTGAAAGGAGTATACATGGCGTTTGTAAGAGCATGACAGTTGTCAATTGCTTTTGGATCAATTGACGTTGTTGGCCTTGGCGTAAATGATTGGTATTTCTATATGTTAAGATGCCTGTTACGATTAAAATCATCGCTGGAAATACACCAAGATAGAGAGGTAGTGCAACATATGTTCGATAGGTCGCATACGATTTATTTGGTAGAAGTGAGCAAGAGACACTGTCCGTGTTGGAGTTACTGATCAATTCAGCGTAGACTAAATAAGGTACGGAATGGCCAAGCCATAGAACAGTGGTTAGAAGAACTGATATTCGAGCAAGTGATAATCGACTCAACCGTCGATATTTTTCTTGTCTACAACTCGAAAACAATCGGTCGAAACTTGCCAAACAAACACAAGTTAATGAAATTAGAAAACTCGCTTGTGTAAATGCTATACGAGTCTTACACCAACCGACATTTGTCGTCGACCAATCAAGATTGAAACCTACACTAAGAATTCGTGTTAGTAGACCATAGAATAGTACAATGCAATTAACAATCGATCCAACCAAAAATAGAAACGCGCATGGATTATTACGTGTACGCCATAGATAGCGAATATTGAGCAAATTACCTACTGTACCAATGCTAAATACTGGTAAACCAACGTAAAGTGTGATGCAACGTATTAATTCAGCGCTGGAGGACATTCTTCCGCTAAGTTGTTTTATATAATCTAAAATTAATGATAACGTAATCTTCTAGACCAGACATAAAGTTTTTCTTTTAATAACCAAAACAGGTTTTGTATTAAGAAAGTAAATTCAAAGCCAATGCACCGAACTCGACCTACTGTGTATATCTTGAAATGCATTTCTTCTCTTGAATTTCATCCTAATGAAAAACACATTTTGCTTCAAAGACTAATGTAAAACTTTGTACTGAAAATTCTTAATTGACTCAGCTGTGTGGAGCTACGTATTTACTTGCTTATGCATGAAAAGTAAAGGCTGGGATATAAAAAAATGATGAACTGCATCTTTTGAGTAAAACGATACTGACAACGTCGTTGAAATGTCCTGTTCGTGTCGATGTTCAAAAGATTGGCATATTGTCTATCAAAGTTCGCTTAAATAGTGCGTGGAGTGGGAAATAACATGAAAAAACGTAATTGAGAGGTACTTGTAAAATCAGTACAATAACCCGACGTGCCTTCCATTGATGTTAGCGTATTAGAAGCTATTAATTAAAATCGCAAGTGGCCTGAAAACGCAAGCTTTTCTTAGATTATTGAAGAAAAATACAAGAGTAGTAGATATGTCTTTGATTCTTCGTAATTTAAGAGTAGCAGTAATTTACGAACATTGACAGGACATTGCAAAACAATAGAATTATGTTAAATATAACTGTGTATATACTGCATGTTTCTTCGTTCGAACGGGGGAAGAGAGCGCAATTTATTTTTCGATAGTTCGTCACGTTTATAATGATAGGAACCTCTTCGAAAGGGATTATGTTATACAGATGAGAATCTTGTTAATCGTTGCGCGGTGACATCTAGAGTGAATCTGTTCCAATGGGGAAAAAGTCTTTTCACGTAAACAAGAAAAACAGAAAGCTATATAATAGGCCGCTTCTCCTTCTCCTCTCGTCTGATGCAAGACTCATCTCACATGTTTTTCCTTTCTGTTAAATGGGTACAAATCAGTGTCATTAAAGTGCATATCTATGAAAAGTCACTAAGTTTACATTTCACTTGTAGATATCACGATGACTGAACAAATTCGCACGTTAGTCTTAACCGAAGGTGAAGATAAGAGCGAAGAACTTTATCGGCTAAAGAAAGGTTGGACGCTCCAACTGAAAATTGCATATAATCTATCATGGAGAAAAGTTCGAATATTCACTAATGCTTGCCTGAACGAAGCTGATCCATTTGTACGTTCAAATTATCACGAATTAAAATGGGTTTATCCATCATCTGGTAAATATGACGACTCAGATCGATATGTCTTTCTTTCATGCTGCAAAGCTGGTACATTTCATTACTATTTTACCCTTGATGGATCAACGTAGGTGAAAAGATAAGTTGATAGATCACAAAATTTTGATTTGATTTTCTTTATAGAAATATCCAAAATACGAACGGACAAGGTTATTTTCAAGTTGAACCTGAACTAGTTATTCCCGATGGTAGCGGCGAAATATTAGATCAAGATTGCATTACATGTCAATCAATTCTGTCGAAATCCTTGGGTCCGGTATCTGACTGGCTCGCACGACTCGAAGTCGCATATCATTCCGGTTATAATATGATACATTTCACACCAATTCAATTACTTTATCATGTATCGAATTCATCGTATGCTGTGACAGATCATCATAAATTGAATCCATTGTTTCAAGGTACGTATGAACAGATCAAAGAAGTCATTGACCACATGGCAAAGAAATGGAAGATCTTATCTGTCACCGATCTTGTCTACAATCATGCAGCAAATGATTGCGCATTACTACGTGATCATCCAGAAGCTGCATATAATTTAATTAATTCGCCGCATTTAAAACCAGCTGCATTGCTTGATTCGATCTTCATGCATTTTACTCGTGACGCGGGCGCAGGTAATCTTCAATCAAGAGGTATTCCAGCTGAAATTAAAGAACATCATTTACAATTGATTCGTCATTATTTCCTCGATGAACAATTTCCGAAATATCGCTTCTGGGAATTTTACATATGTGATACAAATACTATCACCGAAACCTTTCGTCAACGATTGATGAAATTAAATCAATGTCCTCAAGATCGTCAATGCCACGATGAACTTCTGCTGCAAATTCAACACGGAAAGTACGAGCGAATGAAGAGCACAGTTGACCTTGACCTAGCTGAAAAACAATTTTTCTATCAACGACAGCCCAATCGAACTAAAGATGATTATATCAACGATGCATGTGATGCTCTGCGTGATCGACTTCATTTTCTCAATCATCTCAAATGCGAAAAATTAAACGAACATCTAAATCGAGCAGTTGACAATTGCCTAGCATCATGTCGTTATCATTTCTTTTCATTTGACGGACCAAATTTCAAAAAATTGTCTTTGCCATCATCACCATTCGTTGGAAACTACTTTCATTATCCAAACGACGAATTCAAACATCCCGACGAGATTGATCAATTAATTCATAATGATACCAATTATCAATCCTATGTCATGGCACATAATGGTTGGGTAATGAATGATGATCCACTTCGATGTTTTGCGGATGAAGGACAAGATGTTTACTTACGTCGAGATCTTCTCCAATGGTCCGATATAATTAAACTTCGATTTGGTACGAAACGCGAAGATTGTCCGGCATTGTATGACTACATGAAAGAATATACACGATTAGTAGCAACGACATTTCACGGTTGTCGTCTCGATAATTGTCATTCGACACCATTGTGGTTGGCTCAAGAAATGATGGACTATGCAAGAGAAATTAATCCAAATTTTTATATCAACGCCGAACTATTCACGGGAAATATCAAAATGGACACTCAATTTATAAATCAAATCGGAATCAATTCGTTGGTCAGAGAATCTTATCGAGCATTTGATCCATATGAATTAGGTCAAATAACATCATCGGTTAGCGAAGGTGATCCAATAGGTTCATTTATTCAACCAGATAGACGTTTATTGGAAAAAGTGAAGCCATATTCTTGGTTTTATGATCAAACACATGATAATCCATGTCAATTAGAGAGACGATCTGTTGAAGATGTTCTTCCACGCTCGGCTATTGTTGCCATGGCAAACTGTTCGACAGGGTCAAATCGTGGCTACGATGAACTAGTTCCACATCATATTGATGTCGTACATGAAACGAGACTCTATCCAAAATGGGGCATAAGTGATCAAGATACGAATGTCAAGACGGGCATGGTGACATTGAAAAAAGCTTTAAATAAATTACACGCTCAATTAGCAAAAGAAGGTTATACTCAGGTCAGTATCAATCAGATCAATACTATTCAATTAATCGAAATTCTTTCGTTTAGCTATTAATTGATCAGTTGTCTACGTCGGTACTGTTAATGACACGTCATAACCCATTGAATCATAAGTCAGTATTACTAGTCGCATATACATCTTTCTTTCAACCAACTGATCGATGGGATCGTATCAGTCCATTGTCACTTCAAGGCGTCATTGACGAAGTTATTGTTGAAGGTTCATTAAGTCATCCACAAGATAAAGAGCCAACCAGAGAATTCCAAAGAGCTAAAGAATATATCAATGGATTACGACAAACGAAGATGACGATTAATGAAAATCTGCCGATTGAAAAAAGTGAATTTCTTCGCTTGACATCACCAAATACTCGCGATTACAATGGTTTTCGAACAATTGAATTTACTGATAAATTTCGCCCTGGCTCGATTGTTGCTTTTCAAGTCTCACTTCTTCCACAAATTCATCAAGCAGTCATTGACATCGATCAAATAATTAGTCAATTCTCGAATCCAACAAGTCAATTTAGTCGAATTATTAAAGATTTAACGCTAGGCGATCTTGAACGTGTACTCTACCGTTCGTCTGTCGAAGAACAGTCCGATGGCAAAGGTATCGACGTGTACAATATACCTGATTACGGAAGACTTGTTTATTGTGGTCTACATGGGCTCATGCCTGTCTTAGAAAAGGTTCGTAATGCAAACGAGCTTAGACATCCACTAGTTACTAATTTGAAACAAGGAAATTGGCTAATGGAATATACAGCGAATCGATTGAAACTTTATCCGACTACAAAACAGGTTTGTTTCTTTTTGAAGAGAAAGCATTTTCTCAGTAATGCAGACGAAATTTTCTTTTCTAGCTGGGCGATTGGTTTGAAAATGCATTTAATCTCGTTGGAACATTGTCGCGACTGATGGTGCCGAGTTACTTTGATTTAATCATACGCAATTCGTATGAAAAGTTAATTGAACATAGCATCTCATTGCAAAGTCAATTTATTCGCGCGTCGTCAACGTTCATCCATGACTTGTCTCAATCAAACATCCAACTAACGAGTGTTGTAAGAAATGCACGTTTACCATTATTGTCACCGAATTTACGCGAACCCCGACCAAACGAAGAAGTTGATGAACATACATTGGAACGTGTTCAGCAATGTCCATCATTAGCTGCTGGATTTCCACATTTCGGCGCGGGTATATGGAGAAATTGGGGTCGAGATACATTTATATCCTTACGTGGTCTTCTTCTTCTAACCGGTCGATTTGAAGAAGCGCGCTATTTGATTCTATCCTACGGTGGATGCCTTCGCCATGGCCTGATCCCAAACCTGTTAGGCGATGGAAAGATTGCGCGTTATAATGCACGCGATGCTGTCTGGTGGTGGTTATACTCGATATCAAGCTATGTACGTACCGTACCGGATGGACATGAGATTCTCTCGGACAAAGTTTCGCGTTTATATCCAACAAATGACAGTCCAATTCAACCAGCTGGTGCGCATGATCAAGCGTTATATGATGTTATTCAAGAGGTTCTACTTCGTCACGTTCAGTCATTAACATACCGCGAACGTGGCGCAGGACATTCGTTGGATATGGATATGAAAGATGAAGGTTTTAATAACCGAATTAGTATTGATTTGAAGACGGGATTTGTCGAAGGTGGAAATAAATGGAATTGTGGAACATGGATGGATAAAATGGGTTCGAGTGATCGAGCAGAAAATAAGGGGCATCCAGCAACACCACGTGACGGTTCAGCTGTTGAATTGGTTGGTTTATGTCGAGCAACAGTTGCATGGCTTGTAGAGATGAACAAAGAAGGACATTATCCATACGATTCCGTCGAAACATCAACAGGTATGAAGAAGAGAACAACGCATAGAATGGATTGATTTATTTCGCGGATATTTCAGGTTCGGGTGGAAAGATGAAATTACTTTTTACCGATTGGACAAGTAAAATTGATGAAAATTTCGAAAAAGAATTTTGGATCGATCAAACCAATTCATCACAATACGCCAATCGACGAGATATTTATAAAGACACAGTTAATTCATCATTTGGTTGGTCAGACTTTCAACTACGTCCAAACTTTCTTGTAGCTGCTGTTGTGGTACGTTTCACTTATTTTTATCGATTCGTTCTAAGCTCTCCCGCGTTTATTTCAGGCACCTGAAATGTTCGACAAAACACATATTTGGTTGGCATTAAAACAAGTCGAAACAATACTCTTAGGACCATATGGCGTCAAAACACTCGATCCCAGGTTTGTTTCTCTTGAATGTTGCTCATTATTCTTCTTGCCTGTTCTTCCTAGTGATTTCAATTATGTCGGTGATTACGTTAATGATGATGATTCCTATGATTTCAAACGAGCTCGTGGATTCAATTATCATAACGGTCCAGAATGGCTATGGTTAACCGGTTATTACATTCGTGCTAAAATCTATTGGTCAAAACAACAAGATGATCCTGTAGTTGTTAAACAGACTATCAAACATCTCAGAAAACTATTAGTATCTCACATGGAGCTGTTATCTTCCAATGATTGGAAAGGTTTACCTGAATTGACAAATGCTGAAGGACGACCATGTCCTTATTCATGTAATGTTCAAGCATGGTCAGCGGCGACACTTATCGAAGCTTTTTATGATTTAACACGATCGTAGATGTTTAAAGTATACATTTTAGATACACCGTATTTAATCTCAAAACCTGTCACCACCTTCAATTTTTTAGTCATATAGTAACTTTCACTTTTTTTTCTCGAATCAATAAACGAAGATTAGCGTAGTGAACGACGAATTTCCTTGTAAGCTTGAATTGTTTAACAATTTGATTCTAACAACGTTCAGTTTTATGGAAAAACATTAAATCACTTTTATTTTTATTTTTATTCTATTTTATCTTATTTTATTAGACAAGCAATGAATAAAACGGTTTTAGTTTATTTGCGTTTCCGTCGTCATATGATCGATTAGCAGGTTTAATAATCGTTTAAGTCCCATTTGTCTTGCCATTCTAACGTAACATTCGTATCGGAATTGAATGTAAATGGTAACCATATATAGGTAGCATTCAATAATTCCGGAGCATTCCAACGATCTCCCATATAAATATAAACAAACGTTCCGGGAAATTTTCGCGAAGGGTATGGTAAAACAAATGTAGACTGAGAATTGAATGTTGTTGGCGAATTAGTGGGATTTCCTAACGATGACCATTCCGCATGCTGTAAATTATCTTGGTTGGTGACGAAAAGTTCAGCTGGATTAGGACTCCATCCAGTCAAATGACTCGTCATCATATAATAACGATTGTTTCGATAGAATATCGCATGACCTTCTCTCGGCTCTCCAATTCGACTTGTAATACCAGTTGTGTTCAAATAATCATCAGTTAGTTTACTTATTCCAACGTACTCGTTATTACAAGATCGAACAAAATAAACACCTTGTACTACTCCATTGCGTTTATCCTCATAAAGATTCATATCAAGTGATGGAACACCATCTGGCTGGAATGCATCGATAAACGTGAATTTTCCATTCGGTGTGGGTGAAGTAGCAATACCTGCATATCGATATTGATAGTCATAACTATCAAGATGAAACCACATGACATAGAGTTTCGTCAATGGATTCCATACTACTTTAGGTCTTTCGATCACGTATGGACCTGACTGATTTTGAATGACTACTTGTTTTTGTCCGAGGACTTCACCGATATTGATCCAATTGATAAGATCTTTCGAATGATAACAATTAACACCATGATCAGCTAACGTCGATGTCTTAAGAGATTCTCCGTACCACCAGTAAGAATTATCATTCGGATCAATTAAAATACCAGCCGCATGACTTTGTATTGATTTTCCATCGGTGTCGTTCCAAACTATACCTGAATAAATGTATGCCGGATCAAAGAATGAACAGTAGCATTCGACGATCAGAAATAGATACAGAACTATGTGCATGACACTCATTTTGCCTTTACCCTAGTAATATAACCGCGTCGAGTGACTCTACGGTATTATAAGCCACCGAAACTGGTGAGAAAAAAGTGCATGTGTTCGAAGAGGTTACGTTACAAAAGAACTGACGTTACCTTAACCCGAGACACTATTTGAAAATGCTCACCAAAGATATTCAAGAGTAGTTAAACGAATTTTTCCATTTTCCTATTGAAAACTTCACAACTTATACAAGACCATTTATTTTCTGGTTGGTACGCCGTTTCGTGAAAACCACCGAGCTTTTCATTCTGAATCTAACGCGGTATTTTAATGGTGAAGTAGCACAGAAAACAGAACTTCGTTGTTCGTGGTAATTCATAAAGAAGAAAATTTCGCGAAATCTTTGATAAGAAGGCAAAATACCTCCGTCACTATTTTCGAGTGTCTCTCGGTACTTTCATTTTATCTTTTGAAAAACAGAAACTTGCAGTGACGAGCTAAACGTCACTTGGAACACACATTAATTTATTTGATAAAGCAAATGTGTCTATTGTACAAAAGCCCATCACCATGTTAACAACGAAATATAACTGACAAATGGCAAAAAAGAAAGAAAAAGACAAGAAAAACGAATCCTTATAAAACAGGAAAAACAGCATCTCGAATTTTATATTTAGTTGTGACTACCGATGAGTGATTGCTTGCATACAATCTTTGATAAATAACTAACGCACTTTGATAATTGACCAAAGCTTGATTATAATCTGATAATTTAAAATAGATATCACCCACGATAGAATAAATAATCGCTGTTGAAAGATCTCCTGCTGGTTGTTTTTCTAATTGTAATTTGATCAACGAATGAAAATATCGTAATGCCTCTTTCGGTTCTCGTTTTTGTAGGCAAATGTTTGCGACGATGATATAAATTGAATCTTTTGTAAAGACATTTGTCGACGTCTTTTTGTCTAACATTTTTTTAAAATATGTCAATGTTTGATCTAAGTGGTATTTTTCATAGAGAACATCGATTGGATTCGTTGCTTTGCTTTGATCGGTATAGAGAACGAAGTAGTTCGCTATTTGATTTTGATAATGTTTCTTAAGGAAGATTTTACCAATCATTCCATAAGTATTGATAACCGACGTATCTTCTAACGGTCTTCGTTGTGTAATGCAATCGATCAGACGATAGAAATGCGAGAGCGATTCGTTATAATCACTTAGTTTATAAGTGATATTTCCTAAGAATTTGTAGATTTTGGTCAATGATGGATCGTTGAAATATTTCTTCTTTAGTTCGGTGTTTAACAACAAAGTGAAATAATTCAATGCTTTGTCATATTTTTGCTTTTCTAAAGATATATTTCCGAGAATGAAGTACGTTCGATTGATGGAGACCTCATTTGGAGTGTTTTCTTTCAATAATTGTTCGAGATATCGTTCGAAATAGAATAACGATTCATCTAAATGTTGTCGTTCAAAATGCACATTGTCAATATCTTTGTAGATTTCCATCGTGGACTTGTTTTTTCCTGGACGAATGCGAGATTTGTCATACAATAGTAATGTTTCATCGAAATGCCGTTTTCGTAAATAGACTTTTCCGATTTTCTTGTAAATATCGAAGAGAACTGATTGATTGAACGGTTGTCGTCGCAAATGACAATTAAGTAAACGATTGTAATAGAGTAACGCTTGACTTAACGAACGTTTCTTGTAGTAAAGTTTGGCAATGACTTTATAAATTGGTATCAATGAAATATCTTCAGGCAATTTCTTCACTAATTCATTTTCTAATGATTTATGATAATATTGTAAGGCATGATCGAAATCTTTCTTCTCAAAATAGATGTCTGCAATCAATTTGAATGTATCACTTAGGATAGGATTTCCGAATGTAAATCGATCGATTTCGTTGAGAAGAACTTGATGAATATGACTAATTGAACGATCGTAATCTTTCTTCTTAAGATAGATATCACCAATCAGACGATATGATTCAGCTATTTTCGGATGATTCCATGCGAAAATCTTCAATTGATTCTCTACTGTTTTATGAAAATAATATAAAGCTTTATCTAGTTCACCTTTTTTCACATAGAGATCACCAAAATGTTGAAACGTTTTCGTAAAATCGGAATGATGATTTGGAAGAGAATCAACTTGAATGTGATAAGCCTTATCGACCAATTCTAAAGCTTTATCATGATTTCCCAAGTCGGAATACATCAGACCGATCGCTGTATAAGTGTAACTCAAGTCGGGATGATTAGAACCGAAGATTTTCAATTGAGATTCTAATGCTTTGTCATACATATCCAATGCTTTACCTTGCTGACTAATTTTTGCATAGGCTTTCGCCATTGAAATGTAGGTGTCTGCGATAGATCCATAGGCACTTGATGGTTGATTATCCAGAGCTTTTTGTAGGCATTCCAAAGCGAGATAATAATCTTCTAATTCGAAATAAACATGTGCTAAGCCGGAATATGTTGTTGGGCAATCATTAATGATTGTTTTCAATGCTTTGTTGTAGAAATGTATTGATAAAATATATTCTTTTTGTTTGGCATAAACTCTGCCTAAATCATTCAGTGCTTGACAAATCAATGGATGTTCATTTTGTTCCGAATATTCAACTAAACAATCTAGAGTTTTGTTCAGATTATTTATCGCTGATTTATATTCTGCTTTCACATAATTGATTTGAAATAAACCATAATGGCAATGTGCCAATTCCGTTGGATCGTTAAAGGATTTATTTTCGAGTAATTTCTCGAAATGCTCTTGCGCTTGTTGATATTTTTGCATTTGAATGAGATAAGTTCCGAAAGATATTAATTTACTTCTGCCGCTAAGTTCTTTGTTTAATGTTGATAAGAAATCTTTCATATCGGAATCATTGTCACCACATAAAGTTAATTTTCCACGCCAAATTTTCAATTGTTCATCAAACCAAATGTCATCAAGACGAAAAACGCATCCGAACATGAACAAAACTTCTTCGTCGTCGGAAAATCCGCGTAGATGTTTGATGTCCGCCAATGGTCGACTGGGACTCTGAATATTTGCATAGATTTCAAATAAAATTGCGGTTAGTTGTTCGGTTGGTGGAGATTGAGTGACTGTGAAGTGCAAGGCTTTCTCTCGATTGGCACTTGTAGATAAAAATGAATTCATCGAAATCAATTGACCTTGGTTGGCTTTCAAACGATTGATTTCATCTTTGTGAATCAATTGACCACGATAAACTTGAATGATCGATGTTTTCTTCGTTTTTACAAATGATTTGTACTCTTCTTTTAATTGTTTATCAATATCGCGAATTAATGCCGCGAATGCTACGACATCGTCAAGATTTTGTAATCGTAAAGCTTTATTTAAGAATTTATAAATCGAAGCATCTCTTGTGTACCAATAAATCGCTTTGTCCGACGTGTATTCTTTATCGAATTCTTTGAGAATTCTTTGATCGAATTGATTATCCGGTTTGAAATATTGATATAATGCAGGTTTGGCTTTGGAAAACGGTGTTTTGTCGTCTAGTAGATAATCGATGAGAAGTTGGTAAAGTATAAATTGACCATTCAATGATTTATGCAAGCTCTGATGATCTTTCGACGAATACACGATAGTGCAGATTGTATCGTAGAAATCATCGTTGCTTTTAGTATCCGACATGTTACAACGTTTTTTGTTTTATCTAAAAAAACAAACACAGTTTACAAGTTCTCCTTCGATGTTGTGCAATGAAACTTGTTTGAGTATATAATTAATCTGACGTACGAAGAAATACCGAAGAACAATACGTTTTCATAATGATGTATGTCACCTACATTAAGAAAGATATCGCCCGGAGGGATCAATGATGCTCATCTTCTATTGACATGCAATGTGATTACTTACTCTTGCTCTGCACAGGAAAAGTTATTGAAAACAATAAGAAAATCTATTCCTAGGAGTTAAAATGACGACACCTAACCAATGTCACCATGTTACTCTTGATGTTCTCATATTGAACAATATTTTTCGATCGATATTATTAATGAATCATTTACTCGTGCATGAGTAACATCATACAACACAGAACGACAAAACTATTCATTAGGTCAATCATTGTCGTCATCGTCTTTTTCATCATTCGTCTGCATATCGAGTCATTTCGAAAAAAAAATTCCCTAAGCGAAATCTCTCGTTTTAGTTTCGTGCAAATTCCTCTGTAAAACACGCTTTATTATGTATGAAGATTCTCACTACAAAAATGTGTTAGTTAGCTGAATAATAAAAACACTTTGTTTTCTCTCTCGGGCGATTAGACTAGGTGTTAATGATCTCGAGGGAGGATTATCTCAGTGAGATAAGATCGGTGTTTGATTGTTTAATACATGAAGAGAAAAACGACGTGCATTGAATTCGTATGTTGGTGTCTATTGAGACACGTGTGTGTATGATTAGATTTATTTGTAAATGAACTCGACAAATAGTTCAGTTGGCAATAATTTATTGTTTTAAATTGAACTTTTAATTGAATTCATGTCCATAACGAATTTATTGTCTGTCTCTTCTTTTTTTTACTCTCCTTCTGTCTGCACTAATCACGCGTTTTCTATGACAATGAACAAACGTACATTGTGTGACCCTCTAGACGAAATTGTTACACTTCAAATATTGTTCGTGTTTAGTTTTTTGTTGCTTTGAGAAAAAAAACGACCTATTTTATTATTAAACTAAAAACTGACTAAGCGACTACACGAAAGAATTGCGATTTCAAATTTGTGGTACAAGAAGTTGTCGAATAAGATAGCTCAATTTGTCGATGACTGTTTGATTCATCGGATTGATTCGTCGATAAATTGAGAGTGCATAACGGTAGTTTTCGAGACCGGAATGTGTATATCCATATCTACTTTCAATATTTCCAATAATAGCAGAAGTATTCGCTATTGGCAGACTTCCACGTGTCGATTTGCGTAGTTGATACTTCAAAAGTAATTGGAAATATTGTAATGAATGATATGAATCTTCTTTTTCTAAAAACATATTGCCAAGTATAGCGTAAATATCTTCGAGAGAAAACGGTTTTGTGGAAATATTCTTCGAATTTTTCTCTAAAAGATTCTGGTAGAAAAGCAAACTTTCATCCAGATGATGCATTTCATATTTATAACTTGTTAGATTTGGAAGAATGCGACTTTGAGAGTTGACACGCGTTTGTCGATACTTTTGGATCGATTTATTCAAGAGAGAAAATGTTTGATTAAAATCATGTTTAGCTAAATAAACTTTACCAATTAAGTGATAAGCTTCGATAACGGATGGGTCATCCTGAGATCGCTTTTTAAGTAATCGACAATCCAGGAAACGGTTGAAAAAGATCAATGCTTGATCAAGACGATTCTTATCCAAACAAATCGTGCCGATCGCGCGATAGATTTTACTTAATTTCGAATGCTCGAGGTATTTTCGTTTGAATTTAATCGCTAATAAATGTTCGAATGAAGTTAATGCTCGGTCTAAATCACCTTTTTCGTAATAAATATTGCCAAGGATTCGATAAGTCTGGGCAATCGATCGATCATTTCTCGGAGAAGTCTTCAATTGCTCATTGAGAAACTTTTGAAAATAATTCAATCCTTGATCTAAATGCCGCTTCTCGAAATGAATATTACTGATACTATTGAAATCGTTGGCAAACTTGGTTTTGTCCTCGGCATAATACGTTAATCGTTCGTCAACGCGATGCTTTTTTAAATACACTTGTCCAATCTTCGTATAAGTTTCTTTGATCTTTACTTCATTAGCTGGTTTTTTTTGTAAGTAACAATCTAACAGTCGATTATAATACAATAATGCTTCACTTAAAAGACGCTTTTTGAAGTAGATATTGGCAACAGTACGGTATGTTTCCGCTAATGACATATGTTCGTGCAATTTGGTTTGTAGTTCATTCTGTAGGTATTGAAGATAGTAGTTCAGACATTGATCACTATCGTTCTTGTCAAGATAAACATCACCAAGTGTTTTATATGCTTGACTTAATGTCGGATCACCAAAATTCTTGCGTGTTAGTTCACTATCAAGGACTTTGTGAAAGTAGGTTAATGCTTGTTTATAATCTTTCATTTTTCGATATGCATTGCCGATGGTAATGTAAGTTATTGCGACGGCTGGATGATTCCATGAAAGCGTTTTTAATTGATTATCTAATGCTTTATGATAATAGCTTAACGCTTGATTTATATTATTTAATTTCATATAGATATCACCGTAGTGTCGATAAGTATCGGCAAAGTCTGAATGATTGTTTGGAAGCGAATTCAATTGTATCTGATAAGCCTTGTCCAAGAATTCAAAAGCTTTGTCTTGATCATTCAGTTCGAAGTGCATCATAGCCATTGCTGTATATGTATAGCTAACATCTGGATGTTCAGCGCCGAGCACTTTCACTTGAGTCTCAATAGCTTTATGAAACATTTCCATTGCTTGCTCTTTGTCGTTGAGTTTCACATAAAGATTTCCTAAGTCAATATAATTTCTGGTAATCGAGGCATACGCTTTTGCTGGTTGATGTTGTAAAGCTTGCTTCGAATAACGAAGAGAAATATCGTAGTTTTTTAACTGAAAATGAAGCTGTGATAAACCGGAAAAAGTTGCAGATGGAACGCTGTTTGCCGTTTTCAATGCTTTGTCGTATGATTCAAATGCTAACTGATATTGCTCTTGCTTAGTGTAAATCGCTCCTAAATCATTATAGCATTTTGAAATCAGACTATGATCGTGTTTTGGACAATTTTTAAAGAGAAGTTCTAAAGCTTGTTGAAGATTTCGTATCGCGATCGGATAATCCATTTTTTTCTCATTAACACACGAAAGACCATGATAACACTGAGCGAGTTCAATAGGATCAGTAATTAGTTTATTATCGAGAATCTTCTGGTAATGTTCTTCTGCTTCTTTATATTTTTGCATCTGGAATAGATATGAACCGAGCGATATTAATCGATTAGTTCCTTCTAATTCTTCATCTAATGTGGATAGAAAATCTTTCATATCTAAATCTGCATCACCACATAAAGTCAATCGTAATTTCCAGAGTTGAATTTCTTCATCGAACCAAACATCATCCAGACGAAAGACACATCCGAACATAAAAAGAATTTCTTCTTCTTCGGCGAATGCACTTAGATGTTTGATATCAGCTAATGGTCGACTTTCGCTTTTGATGTTCACTTGAATTTCGAGTAGAATCGATGTCAACTGATCAGTTGGTGGTGACCGACTTGTCGCAAATTCGACCGCTTTGTTTTTATTGCTGCTTGTCGATAAGAATGAATTCATAGCAAATAATTCACCCTTCGCACTTTTCAAACGAGTTAATTCATCTTTACTAATAAATTGTCCACGATAAACAGTCAGTATCGAAGATTTTTGATATTTAGAGAATACTTTATGTTCGCGTTTTAATTGTTGATAAAGATCACGAACTAATTTTGCAAACGCAGTAACATCATCGATATTGTGCGTTCGTAAAGCTTTATTAAGAAGTTTATAAACACAAGTTTCTCTTGTATACCAATGAATTGCTTTCTCCGATTTGTATTCAGTATCGAATTCCTTCATAGCATTCCTATCAGCAACGCTTTCCGGTTTGAAATAACCCGCAATTCCCGATTTACTCTGTGGGAGTTCCGTATTTTCGTCCAATAAACGTTCCATGAGTAATTGATAAAGAATAAATTCTCCATTTAAAGACTTGTGCATACTTTGACTATCTTTCGAAGAATACACGCTGGTACCCATAGTATCTTCGCGTTCGCCTTGTACCAATAAATCTTTTTGTAGGTTCATCTCGCAAGTTTTGCTAATATCGAATGTGAATTTATTAAAAGAGATTTTTTGAGAAAAATGCACTCTGAGTGCGTTTGTCTTACCTCTACCAACACTATCTTCTAAGTAGTTTAATAAATGTAAACACTACTCGTTTCGACATGGTTTATTGTATCTACACATACCAATGATTGCTTATAATAACCTTCACCTGATGTTTTCTCGTTCATTTAATGATCAATTTATTACACATCTTTTGAGAAAAAAATATTTTGTGTTTCATTTAAACGAATACCAACAGATAATGAATATCACATGTCTCTTATTAATGTCAAACATGCATCGTACAGCCAATTAGAATATTTTCCTCTCATATTCATTCTAATGTACAACATATATATATATGTTCACACACAATCCAATCACAGGTACTGGACAAATAGCTTGAGGCAAACAAAAGGAAAATTTCTTTTTGAATATGTATAAAAGACGCAGCGTCATTAGACGTGTAAACACGACGAATGTCTGTAATAATTGTAGATTAATGATCGCTCCTATCTATCACTTCACTATGATATCTGTGGGTTTCAATGTATGGACAAACCATAAAGTCAACGAGGTAGGAGAAAATTATACAATGACACCTAACATTTATTATATAAACAAGGAAGAGAAAAAGAAAACGTTTAATAATGACAATTATTTTCAAAACGGTGTGATAATTTCACGAATGTGAAATTTCATATTATTGATCAGACGTTGATTTTTTGGATTGGCTTGTTGATATAGAGACAACGATTGACGATAGTTTTGTAGAGCCTTCGTTAGATTTCGTTGTTTATGAAAGATTTTACCTATGATTTCATATGTTTGACCTAAGATTGTATATTCATATGGGTTTTTTCGATATTGATAATGGAGTAGTTGATGATAATACACTAAAGCTTGATTGGTATCTTGTTTTTCTAAGAATATATTGGCAATGATCGTGTAGATTTGTTCTGAAGTAAAATCTTTGATCGGATGGTTTTTGTTTTCAATTTGTGCTTTGAGTAATGTGTAAAAATAGATAATTGTTCGTTCTAAATGACGTTTTTCTGCGTGAATAGTTTTAAGATTGAGTTTGGAACTGATTGATGCATTTCGATTAAGATAATTCGACGTTAAATCAAATGGATTCTTCCGGAGATAAATTTTTCCAATTGTTTTATAAACATTGATTATCAATGGATGACTAAATGGTTTCAACAATAGTTGACAATCGAGAAATTGGTTGAAATAAACTAGAGCCTTGTTATAATCTTGCTTTTGTAAATAAATTGAGCCAATAATTTCGTATAATTCGGATAAGACGGGATTTTGTGGTGCTTTTTTATTTAATTTGATATCTAACAATTTTAAAAGATAATCTAGTGCTTTATCATGATTCCGTTTTTCTAAACAGATGCTTCCCAAGATTTGATAAACATCAGCCAATGATGAATCCGTTGCTGAACGAGTTTGAATTTGTTCTTTGAGATATTTTTCATAATAATTCAATACTTGATCCAAATGCCGTTTCTCGAAATGAATATTATTGATATCATCGTATTTGCTATTCGTTGATTTATTACTCAATTTCTCGTAATACAACAAAGTATCAGTAATACGATTCTTTTTCAAGTAAACTTTTCCGATCGTCATATAAATATCATGAATTATGGTTTCGTCGAATGGTTTTTTTTGTAAGTAACAATCTAACAGTCGATTATAATACAATAATGCTTCACTTAAAAGACGCTTTTTGAAGTAGATATTGGCAACAGTACGGTATGTTTCCGCTAATGACATATGTTCGTGCAATTTGGTTTGTAGTTCATTCTGTAGGTATTGAAGATAGTAGTTCAGACATTGATCACTATCGTTCTTGTCAAGGTAGACGTCGCCAAGTGTTTTATATGCTTGACTTAATGTCGGATCACCAAAATTCTTGCGTGTTAGTTCACTATCAAGGACTTTGTGAAAGTAGGTTAATGCTTGTTTATAATCTTTCATTTTTCGATATACATTACCAATTGTGATATAAGTTAACACAATCGCTGGATGGTTCCATTGAAGTGTTTTGAATTGGTTTTCAAGTGACTTGTAGTAATATGCTAAAGCTTTGTCTAAATCATCTATTTTCACATAAATATCACCGTAGTGTCGATAAGTATCGGCAAAGTCCGAATGATCATTTGGAAGAGAATCTAATTGTATGTGAAAAGCTTTATCCATTAGTTCTAAAGCCGTATCTTGATCGTCCATTTCAGAATACATTATCGCCATCGCCGAATATGTATAACTAATATCAGGATGGTCCGTATCTAAAAGTTTTAGTTGAGCTTTCATTGCTCGATCGAACATGTCTAGCGCTCGATCTTTTCGATTGATTTTGGCAAATACTTTTCCCATGTCAATATACGTATTAGCAATCAGTGCAAATGCGGTTGGCGGATGATTTTCTAGAGCTTGCCGGAGATATTGTAGGGCAAGATAGTAGTTTTCAAGTTGAAAATGCATTTGTGCAAGACCAGCGTAAGTTGTCGATGGAACATTGTTAATTGTCTCCAAGGCTTTCTCGTAATATTGAAAAGCTGAAATGTAATTCATGTCTTTAGCATAAACTTTCGCTAGATCGTTATATGATTGAGAAATGAGTGGATGATCTTCTTGGTTTTCATCCGAATTTTCCAAAAGATATCCAAGCGCTTTATTTAAATTTCGAATGGCATATTGATATTCTCCTTTTTTCTCGTTCACTTGTGCAAGACCATGGTAACAATAAGCAAGTTCAATAGGATTATTCGTTAATTTATTATTTAAAATCTTTTGGTAAAAGTCTTCCGCTTGATCATATTTCATCATTTGTATGAAATAGTTTCCGAGTGCAATCAATTGGTTTTGTCCTTCCAATTGATGTTCCAAAGTTGTTCTAAATTCTTTCACATCTGCATCATTCGGCGAACATAATGTTACATTTGCAATCCAAATTTTCAAATGTTTGTCATAAGAAATGTGTTCGAGACGGAAAATTGATCCAAACATGAAAAGAACTTCTTCATCATCGGAGAACGCACTTAAATGGCGAATATCTGCATATGAGCTTGGCGGTGCACATAAATCAATGACAAATTCAAATAAAATTGATACTGAATTCTCGTTAGGTGGTGCTGATCGATTTATAATAATGTCGATAGCCTTTTCTCGATTCGTACTTGTTGATAAGAATGAATTCATTGATAGTAATTGTCCTTGCGTTGTTTTAAGACGGTTCAACTCATCCTTACTGATAAGTTGTCCGCGATAAACTTGAATTGTTGTTGCGTCTTGCTCTTTAACGAATAGTTTATGTTCTTCGGTTAATTGTGCATCTAAATCTTTCATAAATTGTCCAAATGGAATAATATCATCAATATTCTGCATTTGTAAAGCTTGATTAAGTATCTTATGAATACACGATTCTCTCGTATACCAATAGATAGCTTCTGATGAACAATAATTTGCATCAAATTCTTTCATTGTTTGTCGATCATTTTTGTCTTCGGGCTCAAAGTATTTCGTTAGTGATGATCCTTCGATCAGCTCCAGATCGTTGCCGTGTAGAATTCGTTGCAATAAAACTTGATAAAGAACAAATGCTGCATTCAATGAACTATGAAGACTTATACTATCTTTCAATGAGTATACATTAGTACTCATCGAATTCGCATGTATATTCGCTTCATTATGATCTCGTTTTCTTTCACCTCGTGGCATTTTGTTTGATGATATTTTCAACTATTTAATCTAAAAAATTGAACGGGTAGAGAGAAATGTTCGACACATTACCTGAGCTTCTTTCAGTCTATATGCGAACGTTGAGTTCGACGCTGTTGTCGAAAGTAACATCAACTTACATGTACCTCAACAAAAACCAATTGTATTAATACGAAAAGTAAAGGGTATATATTTAGTTTCTTTTCTCGTTATCATTACATCTGAAGTTAATTGTCACGGTCGATTGTTTGTTGTTAAAACAACTTTTTCCAATTAAAGATAAAAACTATGTGTTACGCTTTCTAGTTACGTGTATGTTATAGAAAAAAAAACTACGGTATTTTTTCATTAGAAGTCATAATTATTTTTCTAAGGATAGATCTATTAAATGAACAGATGCATCAAGTATTTTCAGTGAAAATACGAAAATATGCATATCAAGGCTATGTTTAGTTTTACGATTGAAAGTGTGGTTAAACATAACTTATGCCGCTAATTGAAACAATTAACTTGATTTAATTGAGTACGTCAGAAAAAGTTATTCAGTTCGAATCCTCTTATCCTTGAGAGAATGAGGGAAGAAGTCGAAATTGACTCATCTAGTGTAGATATCTGTCGTCATGATTATTCGAGTCAATGGAGACAAAAAAGAACAATCTAGAAGAAAATACTATCGTCAGAGTCGGATTTAATTGAATAATCCATATCGGTATCTTCGTCCATGGTCAAACATCAGCTTCCATAAGAATTGTTGCCAATTAAAGGAAAGGAAACGAACGTATTATTATTATTATTATGGGATATCAGTCATCAGCAACTTGTCAACACGAATCTTTTTTTAGTGGATTTGTGGGGGTTAGAAAGAGAGACACTTTTATATAGATATTGTACAAGAAGTACACTTCAAGCATTTGATAATCATTTCTTACATCGTTCCGAGAAAACCAAGAACGCTCGTCGATTCAACATGGGAATCTTAAAAGGAAAAGACACTGCATTGGAGCATATCGAGAAATCCAAATTGGCTTTTTTAGCAACATTATCTGAAGCTGAAAAAGGACCATCGACGAATACAATGCCACCCAAAGATCATTTCATATTGAAATTCGATCGACCATCGATCAAAAACTTAAAAGGACGTGTTTACGAAAACATGAAACAATATACATATGAACAAAGAGGTGATGCTGACTCAGACAACTCGAATAAAACATAAGTTTCTGTACTTTTTCTCTCTCTAGGTGAAAGTATTCCTGTATTTTTGAATAATACCGAAGGTGGCGATGGTCAAGGCGGTCTTATTAATCCAATCAAGCCTGAAGTACCAACTGTTGGCAAACAATACTGTGCTTGTGTTTATGACGATCTCAAAATTATTGATTGTCTCGTCGAAATCGATTGGAACGAAACCGACGAATTAGTTAAAACAGCCAATGCTCGACGAAAATCTGTCGTTTAAACATTCGTTCTTTTCCCCTATTTGCTTCAATTTTTTTCCTCTGCTTGGCTTCTCTATTCATCCAATAAACAAGAAGTTTGATTTCTTTTGATCGATAGACTATCTGTTCCACTTTCTAGTGATATTTATTCGAGGACGTGTCAAATCATTGAAGGACATTTACGCTCTTACAATCTCTAATCGTTTTTATGCATGAAGGCGAAGTAAAAAGTTTTGTCTACTATGCCGAGGACAACAAAATAGTCTTTTAATTTAAACGTTCTTTTTGAAAAAAGCAATAGCATCTTCGACAGCTTTGTCTCGTTGTTGAGTCGCTTGTTCAGAGCCTTCGGGTCGAACAACGAAACCGTGTGTCGTACCAGGATATTCATTGAATTGTCCAAGACCATTACCTTTCAAAACCTTTTCAAACTCTTGTCGAAGGTCGGGCACAAATATAGCGTCATTTTCCGCACAGAGAAATAGAATCGGCCGTTTTATTTGTTCAGCTTCTTCTTTAACTAAAAACGACGGATGAGCAGCAACGGCTGCCTTTACTGTCGAAGACAGTTCAGCATGTGTTATTAAATGAATAACAGCTTTTGCACCGTAACAAAAGCCAATCACCTAGATAAATCAATTCGATAGATAGTAAAGGTAAATATCATGAAAAATTACTTGAATAGAATCATAGTGTCCTTTAATAGTTGAAATGAATTTTTCACCTAAAGCGCAGGCATCGGTTGGTGGATGTTTTTTTAACCAAGCTGGTAATTTATCCCATAAATTTTCAGCATTGGGATCCATTGGATCGCCATTGAAAAGATCAGGAATGAGAACTACTACTTGAACACCTTGTGCAAGACTGTCAGCTACTTTTTGAACATTGATATACGAACTTCCAAAAACGTCCGTAAAGATGACAATTGCTGATTTTCCTTCGCCTGTTTTATAAGTTTTCAGACCGGCAACTTCTTCTACGCAGCCGCGAGCTTCGTGGCTTTGTTTCGCACCAGGATTAACACAACAAGGTCCGCTCATTTTTTTCGTACACTAATGTTCTTGAAATGAAGAGATTAAAAGTGCAAATACAGGTAAATAGCGACTGTTGACCGACCAATTAATTGTCATCGAATCCAGATGACGCTAGAAATACTTCACTTAACTAAAAAAAAAAAGTATTTCTTTATCAAAACGAACAGAACGAGAGAAAAGATAAACGAATAACAAATCGACATACATTTGTATGTAATAAACGAGAATGTTTACACAGATTCCTCTGATTGATTTTGGTCCTTTTCTTCATGGAACGGACGAAGATCGACAACATGTTGCTGATCAAATTGGTGAAGTTTGTCATAACGTTGGCTTTTTCTACTTATCTAATCATGACGTACCGTCATCATTAGTTGAGCGTGTGTACAAAGAAGCCGAACGATTCTTTGCTCAATCTATCGAAGAAAAAATGAAATTATATATTGGCTCATGCCCTTACAAAAATAATCGTGGTTATACACCCATGCTCGAAGAAAAATTAAGCCCGAAAGGTGATCTGAAAGAAGGATTTGATTTGGCTATGGAATTACCAGCTGATGATCAAGATCGAACAGACCGCGATGCAACATTATACGGACCTAATTTCTGGCCAGAGAATCTTCCCGGTAGGAGAATATTCTTCCAATAAGAAGCTTTAATTTCAATCTGTAATGATTTAGGATTTCGTGAATGTATTTACGATGAATATTATCTAAGTATGGTGGTATTAGGTCATCGCGTTCTCGAAGCATTTGCCTTATCTCTTCACCTACCATTCGATTATTTTAAGTCAATGTGTCGAAAACCGATGGTAACAATGCGCTTACTTCATTACCCGTCTCAACCGATTGTATACGATGAAGATCAACTTGGTTGTGGTGCACATACAGACTATGAATGCTTTACACTTCTGTCGCAGTCAAATCAATCAGGTTTACAAGTATTAAATAATCAAGGCCAATGGGTGAATGCCACACCAATCCCGAATACATTCGTTGTAAATATTGGTGATTTAATGCAACGTTGGACGAATGATCAATTCAAATCAACAACTCATCGTGTTATTAACACAAGTGGAACAGAACGGTATTCAATTCCGGTCTTTTTTGGACCTGATTTCTTCGCCGAAATCAAATGTTTAAGTAAAGATCAAATCCCAAAATATGAGCCAGTGGTTGCAGGAAAATATTTAATTGGAAGATTTGACGATACATATCAGTATAGACAAACTAATTCACAATCTTCACCAAATTCTACGTTGTAACTATTTGATCTCGGATGTTCTTTAATAATTATGAGTAATCTTCAAATTTTTCGAATAAAAGTAGTTATTTCAACTTTCAAGTTTGATACTACGAAGAATTTCAGACATACTTTGTGGAATTTAGATGAGATATTCGCTTCCAAATAATGTATAAAAGATTAATCTTGTCAATTTTATTACTATTTTTATTTCTTTATTGTGAAAAATTCTTTGACAGGCTTATAAAACGTGATAATCTTTTAATTCTCTTTCGAGAAGCAAAATAATTAGCGTATTCTACAGAAATCTATTCGAGCAAGCAGAGAACGGATATCAAATAATACTATACACATGAATTTGTTTAGCGTCTTTTTATTGTCAATTATAACTATGTATTAATGCTCTTGTGAAAATCATTTTCTTAACTAAGCTTTTGATTCAAAAATTGTGTCGAAAACGAGAATATTTCTTCGAGACATTTTGTTTCATTTCTTAAAATAAAAAGAATATTTGACTTCAAATTCCACATTTAATCGCAACAATCATGAAATCTTCAATGACAGAGACTGTCTTTCACGACAGTAAATATATCCTTCATCGTGTCAAATTCGGTATTTATACTATATTAGCAGTTGCATCAATTGTTCTTTCTCTTCTTATGTTTATTTTTTTTCTTACTCATCAACATATTGTTCGTATTCGTCAAAACCAGGCTCTATTACTTTTACTCGTTGTCAATTTCATTCAAATTACATTAAATCTACCAATGGTTATCCATTACAACCGTCTTGGTTATATCAGTCCAGCAACAGTGGCCTATTGCACCTGGTGGGAATTTATTGAGTATACTCTTAACGCATCAGGTGAAATTTTGATGAGTATCATTTCAATTCAAAGACATCTACTTATTTTTCACGGAGAATTATTTCATAAACGCTTTTATCGATACCTGTTGCATAATATTCCGCTTTGTTTGTTTGGTATTATCTATCCAATTGTATTTTACTTTTGTGTCCTCGTGTTCTATACATGTGATGGAACTCAATTAAATTTTACCTTAAATGGATGCGGTATAGCAGCTTGTTATCTCGTCTATAGTAAAGTGTTAGCTACATACGATTGGGCTGTTAATAATGGTATGCCGATTATACTTATAACTTTTGCTAATGTAATACTTCTTGTACGAGTTGTACGACAAAAACTTCGTCGTCAACGAGTAATGCCATGGAAAAAGCAAAGACGGATGACTATACAGTTATTGAGTATTTCAAGTCTATACTTTTTTGGATGGTTTCCGAGCATGGTCGTAGCGGTTGTGCAACAATTATGGTATCCTACTTTCTTAGCGGATGCTCAATTGGATTACATATACGATCTGGTTTATTTTATATGTCTTTTATTACCATGGGTATGTCTGGGACTGTTTCCTGAATTTACGAATTGGATTCGGATGTGTGTGTTTCGTCTGAATGCAGCGCAGAATATTATTCGACCGGCCACCCGTGCAAATTGAAAAACTTACAGTGAACATACAGTAGCACCATTATCTGAGATTAACGATGTACTTTTCCACTGCTATTTCAAAATTCTACAGGGATCGTGAATAACTACATTATGTAGTTATAGGCATCACAGAATCTCTCATAATACTACAAGCGGCGCCAGGGTTTTAATTTAAAGACGGCTAAGTCTTCTTTATAAATTTTTTGAGGGTACTCAGTCTCTTTCGGCTCTCCCGTGGCGCCGCCACTACTTAATACATAGTTCATGATATTAAAATAAAACGTTTTTAGTATTTATCTGAGAACGCGAGCAAAAAAGAAGAAGATATACGCACGCTCGTATGACAGAAGTCGGGCTTAGCGACTGTAATATGTATTGTATTGTATTGTAACTGACGAATAGAAACGGATTAAGCAAGTTCTGCAACACATATGGGTCGAATTGTGTGACTGTATTCTCTCTATTGACATGATATTGATCGAACTAGTACATTTCGTTACTATCAGAGTGGATACTGCCGAACGAAACCTGGAATTCTTCACAACGTGTAGCATTCCATAGTATGAAGCCTTCACAAATCAATAATTTTTTTCTAGTTTCATAAGTAAGGATTCTAAAGCGATGTTTGAATACAACTCGTGAGATGTCAAAATAGAATATTCAATTCAAAAATTTATCAAAAGTTGTGCAATGGTTCCGTTAGTCACGCCTTTCAAGAGATCGTGTCTCACTTTTATCAATGAACACGTTGATAAATGAACATCATTATTCTTTATACGACTGTGGTGGTGACGAGCACATCAATAACGTTCATTCTCCCTTCTGTTTTAAAAGAAACTAGAGCAAAAGATTTCTCTTGTAAGTAGGGTTCGGATGAATTTTCATCATAGAGAGTCACGCATTCTAACAACTACGTATACTTGAAATAAATGTGAATTTTTATTCGTAGGCAAGAAAAACAAATCAATTGATCAAGTCATGAGAAAAACGAAGATAATCTTTTCTTATTACAGCCGACTGAATTTTATTTTGATCATAAAAGAAACGAGTAAATAATCAATATTTCTATTCGAGAGTTCAATCAAAGATCTTTCTAAGGCAATGTATTTGAAACTTACGTCAACACTGCAGCAAAAATGTGAAGAATCTATTTTCAATAGAAAATTTGTCGTTTATACATCTCGTTTCTTTCGAGGTGATAAATCGTTACACTGCCATTGAGGGCGATGTATTTTCTTAAGAATATTCTCTTCATAGAGTATTTTATTGACAATGAAGACTGCGAACCTCAAGATCAAAGTGTTTTGCACGCAATCGGACGATGATGATTCAACTGGAATAGTTCCATTGCCTGTGAATTTAACATAATACTTCTGATAGTAAATATTTAAATTTCTAGGATATTGATGATACAGATAAGTCTGAAAGAGACGAATCAATTGCAGAAAGAAATGGATCTTCCTTTCGTCATTTGGTTGTTCCGTAGGTCCACTCAATGAAATCTCACTTCAAAAGCCAAGGTTTGCAAATCTTACAACTTCTTTCTCAATAATGTTTTCATTATTTGTTGAACCGACATACAATGAATGGGAACTAAAAAGCATGGTCGTTGTAAGGGGACACGTGCCAGAAAACAAATTAAATCAACTCAACAGTCCCACGGCAATTTTAATTGATGAATAGAAGAATATTTTGATCACTGATTGTCATAATCATCGTATTATCGAATGGAGGGTGTGATGCTCGAGAAGAAAAGTTGCTGCAGGTGGGAATGAAATAAGAAAGAAGAACAATCAACTGCCTCTTCCGACAGATGTGTTCGTTAAAAAACGGGATCACACGTTGATTATCGCTGACCGAGGAAAACAGAAAAGTCATTCGACGGTTCAATAAATATTACCAACGGATTCTTATTATAGATATCGACTGTTGAGCTTTAGCAATGAACGAATAGGGATTTCTGTATGTTTTTGATGTGATAAAGCATGCAGTGAGACGATGGAAACTCGGAGAAAAAGGATAAGAAACATTAGTTGCGGGCGAAAACGAATAACTTTTATGCAACCGTTCATGCCTGGCAGATCGTTTGTTAATTATTAAAGTCAAATATATGTGGCAGATTCGGACAATAAGCAAATCGTGTTTTGAAATAAAAGAGAAAAAAAGAAAAACGAAATTATTGTTGGTGGATATAGAAACGGACAAGAGTTACACCAATTATCCTTCGTCCATGATATATTATTTGGATTGGAAGAAAATCTTTATGTTTTAGATTGGAAGAACTGGGGAGTTCAAAAGTCTTCATTAATTTCTCAATACTTGAGCCAATTTACTGATCTTTCTTATCTACTGGAATAGGTTTGATGCTCTGTGCTTGCTTATACTGAATGAGTGGTATGAACCATCCGATGATATTCAATAGGAACAGAAACAATTGATAATAATTTAACTCCGCAACCAAATTTCTTGAACTTTTGCCACTTAACTTTGTTTCTAATGGTAATGCACACGTAAAAGAAATATACAATGTTGTAAATAGATGCATTGCTCGAACAATGCTCATTAAATGGCGTTTTACGGGATAGTTCGCGGTGAAAATTCTCAATAAATCACGAATCGCTTCGAAGATCGACAACGGGATAGTCAATAAAGTAAACAAATGCCACCATTTCCATATGAATGCGTTTGATTTGAACAATAAATACTTTCGATAAAGTTCTGGGTCGTTTTCATTTAGAACATAACTTGATAAACTGAATTCAATAGTTTGAACAGTTAAAAAATACGTCGTAAATAATACTGGTAGAGCAATTGGAGATACAGATTGTGTTGCTGACATTATTCGAACGCAAATGAGGTATGTTTTTCTTCAAACATGTGCGTGTACAGAAAAAAATGCTGTTTGCTTTTTTTTTGTTCTTTCGCTTATCGAATAACAGGTACGAAGTACGGGCTTTTTGCCTCTGCTTATCATTGATTCTACGTGTAAAGGCATGTTTAGAATAGCTTAGAAGTCGAATTTTATTTATCCCTTAAACGAAGCTGTTCATCAATTTTTAATTGTCTTTCATATTGTTCAATATTCAATCGGCGTTGTTCTTCTCGACGAGATATATCTGCTAGAATATTTGCACGTTTTCTCTAGAAAAATTTTGTTTTAAGTGTCTTTTTTGCTTGTTCAACAAGAACAAAGTCATCATACTTTTTTTTCGTCAGTTAAATAATAATTCACAGCGAATACAGTGACTCCAGTTATGACAATTGAACTAACGAAAAATACACGAGCCCCGGTCGACATTCAAAGCTTGATCTTCAAAAGAAAAATAGATAATGTGACATCTTGTTGAAAGATACCAAGATCTCTTTCTCATCGATATGAAGAAAAACCAAAGGGCTCAAGTAGACAGCAAAGTGAATTCACTTAAGTCGATTTACCACAAACACGCATGTACACCAAGCACGTAAATCACCAATAAACGTTGAAGAAATGTATCATACATACCAAATTTTACAAGACGAGAGATGTCTCTATCGTATACATATGATTTTCGTCTGGATAACTGCGAACGGTTTTTAACTGTTCTCAAGATGATCTAGATTGCTTCCTGAAAGAATTAATGCCAATATATTTAAATATCAATCCGTAATGGATGTTTTGTATGTATTTTAGAAAGTCCTTGAAATTGAGATTCTCAATTTGAGAGTATGATGAAATGGAGCAGTTTGAAATTAAATAATCATTTAACGAAGCATTTACAATAGAAGATCACAAGGTCTTTGAACTATCAAGCAAGTAGAAAATTGCCTACACAGTTAAAGATAAACAGAAAGGAAAACAATTATAAGGAATTCTGTAAAAAAATACTTGACAAGAGCATTTCTATCTCTAATATCGTTCGAAATGTTCGTCGGCATATTACACGATGGTTTTCTGTACAAAACTTGTTGAACATCCCATTCAATTTCATTTTGATCACCAAAAAGAACACATAGACTGTAGTATCAATGTCAAACTTGAGCTTTCTGTGAAAACAGCGAAATCAATTCTTCAACAAGCCGAACGCCCGATTAGTGCCACACCGCACACGGCTTAACTAGTATATCTAGATGCTCAGAGTATGTAAGATATCTTGGACACGGATTCGCACACGAGTGTGTTCCAACTCTGATCACGTTCGTTCCAGATGGAACTCGGCGAGCAGCTCTATCGATTCTAGTGATTAAAAACATTTTCTCTACACTATGTCGAAAGTGCTGCTATAGGTGGCGCTGAACACAGTTATATCAGTGCATTGATACTGTGGTCTGCTATCCTCTTCGTGCATTGAGTTGAGTCATGCGAAAAAGACGATTTAACTCTATTTTAGGTTTGCTTTTTCTATCAATTTCATTGGTTAATTCAGTGTTATCACGTTCTGCCTCAAACAAACAAACAGATTCATTAGATGAGAAATGTTGAAAGTGTTCAAGCAAAGACAAACGGGATTGATCCCATTTGCTTATGAATATTTCTTATCCACACCTCCAAAATACGATCTTGATGAAAAGAAAAACTGGCCATTGCTTTTATTCTTACACGGTGCTGGTGAAAGATTTCCTCCGATCGAGAAGATCTTAGCACATGGTCCACCTAAATTAGTCAATGCTTATTTAACACAAAAATTCGATGATGTGGACGCAGAATGTGCACGGTTGTTAACAGAAAACTTTATCACATGTTCTCCACAAGTCAGTCAAGGCTATGGATGGAACAGTCAAGTTCTAACGGATCTTATTCATCAACTCGTTGATACCTATCGAATCGATCGAGATAAAATCTATTGCACAGGAATTAGTATGGGTGGTTATGGAACATGGGATTTAGCCATGGAACTACCGAAGATATTTGCTGCAATCATACCGATCTGTGGTGGTGGTGATGAAAGCAAAGTATCGTGTTTAAAAAGTTTACCGATATGGAACTTTCATGGGCAATTAGACGATGTCGTACTTGTTGATGAATCAACTCGATTGATCGAAAGTTTAAATAGTGATTTGTGCCGATCGATAATTTATCCTGATTTGAAACATGATTCATGGACTCGAACTTATAACAACAAGGATATCTATCTTTGGTTACTTCAACAGACGAGAGCAAAAGATGTCGCTATTTGAAGAAAAAAACAATCTATGGCTACAAAATCTGATAATAATCAAAGTTTAATTGTGAAAATATTGTTATTTTTAATCTCGCAATGATTTGATAGAGGTTTCCAGAAAGCCCAACTGTCCATATTTTGTCGTTCTCGAACAAATAAACAACGGAAAGCGATTTCATTCATTCATTCATTCGAAACTGCGATATGCTTTGAAAGTGTGTTAAAACATAAATGATGAAACCTTTCTGAATTCGGTGAAGTCTATAATGATCTTTGAATCAAATGATCGATAGGACTGATATGTTTTAACAGAAAAATAATGCGGGAAACAGAGAATTTCAGTTAATGTCTTTGCGAGAAAGTTCATTTGAATTTCATGAGAACAAACGAGCATCGTCTTTGACAAAACTCGTTCTTCTATCGAAAAGAACCATTCGGTGAGATATTCCGAAAAGAAATAATGAACATTTTTTTATCAGACTATCGATTCAGATATACAATTCGTGTCCGAATCTGTAATTTTATTCCAATCATTCTCTGTGAACTACTTTTCCCATTGCTTATTATTGGACTGATTATCTATTTTTCACATAATTTATTCAATACAAATGAAACCAATCAGATCTTGTCCTCTTCATCGAATGAAAAAAACGAATGTTCAGAAAACGAAACGGATCCTCTAATGTCATATCACTTAGAAGACGATTGCCTTCACATCGACGAGAAAATAATTCCAAATCAATTTCCAAGAGTCAACCTATACCTTCGTTTCCTAAATCAGTCCAGCGAAAATGGCCAGCTGTTAGGTGCACTATACCACCGCATGGTGGAACAGCTCGATTTAGCGAAGTGTCTACCATTAGGAAGAACAAATGTTGCCTTTTGGAAAAAGAGTACAGAGCAGAATGATTCGATCTTATTCAATCAAGAAGAGGGTTTGAATATCATAGTTGACATTCATAAATTCACTTTCGAACTCCTGTCCTATGACATTGTTGTTCAAATGCCGACAGATAATGATTTTATTGAGAAATTAACTCGGAAAATCGACTTTTCATTCCTGGAAAAACTTCAACATCCAGCTGAACAAACGATAGCTTCCAAGTTAATTCCTCCATTTTTAAATATAAAAATCTTTGTTGATTCAATTATGACGAGAATTGTATTAGGCAGATCGGAATCTATCGTTATCTCATGGACTTTTTCAAGAATCACTTGTACACCGTATCGTCGTCATGAAACGATTCCGACCCGTTGGTCATTTATATTCATGACATTTTCATTATCAATTACTTATCTTTTCTATTCATTCATTATTATTCACTTCATTCTTCAAGAAAAACTTCTGAAAATTAAAGAAATCATTAAAATTATCCATATACAACCACTGATTAACTATCTAGCATGGGCTTTAAGGCCACTTTTTATTCTCTCAATTCTTTCTGTGACACTTACAGGTGAGTTGAATATTTCCGATGCAATGCAATTTTGATTGTCGCCTTAATTTGAAGTGGTATGGAAAACATCGATTTACGGCTGGATTGTATTCAACTATGTATCGGCACCAATGTTATTGTTTATATTTACAGCACTGAATATGCAGTTGATATCCTTTTCTATATTAATCGGACAACTATTCAATTCGATGAGTCGATTATTTTTCTTTGTTATCATTCTTTGGATTGTAATGAATGTTTTAGCATTCCAAAGACTTGATGTATCTCTTCAAGTATTTCTGTGTTTAAATCCGTATTATTCTCTATTGTGTGTACTACGTAATGTGTTTCTATTTGAAAGATCACGAAAAAATGTGTTTTTTTCGGAAACACTTTATTCATACATACCGTCGATGTCGAGTTTAATTGTGAATATATTCTTATCGATTATAGTATCATGGATATTCATTTGGTATTGGGAAAAAATCAATCCCGGTAGAGATTTAATTGATCACATTCATGTAAATTTTGTTGCTATAGGCGAGTATGGAATTGGTTTACCATGGACTTTTCCGTTTTCTATGCAATACTGGAAATCGAGTCTCAAGAAACCGAATTCTTTACGAAGAAAATCGTCCAGGGGGAGTTTAAATTCAGATGACGATTCGATTATTGTAAAGATCGAAGCGCTTTGTAAATTTTTTCCTCAAGCCAATCGAATGGCTGTTGATAATGTTCATTTCAATCTCTACGAAAATCAAATAACTGGAATTCTCGGACATAATGGAGCTGGTTCGCAGAGTTTCTGTTGCATAGAACGTTGAGAATTCGGAAATTTAGGTAAAACAACGATCATGAATATGCTCTGTGGGATGTTTGAACAAACAAGTGGATCAATCAAAATCTTCGATTATGATACACGAGAAGAAATGGATTATTTACGACAGTTTATATCATATTGTCCTCAACGTATGCTTGTTTTCTATGGATAAAAACAGTTGAATTGATTTTCAGTATCCAGATGATATTCTATTCGGTCTGTTAACCGTTGGAGAGCAAATTGAATTTCATGCAATTGCAAGAGGTTATTCAGGAGACAAAGAGGAGATCTGCTCAAATCTTCTTGAAGCTGTGAGCTTATCCAATGATCGCAATGTTCTTTGTAAAAATCTCTCAGGTGGAATGAAACGACGTTTATCGATCGCATGTGCATTCATTGGAAATTCAAAATTTGTCCTACTCGGTAAATCATTCGTTACTGCCATTATTTGCTTATCTAGTTGTTAGTTAGATGAGCCATCAAGTGGTTTAGATCCAGTCAATCGTCGTCTCTTGTGGTCATGGATTCGATCAATGAGAGAAAGTCGAACAATTTTACTGTCGACACATTTTATGGAAGAGGCGGACGCTTTGTCTGATCAAATAATGATTCTATCACATGGGAAGGTAGTTGCCAACGATACGAATACGGAACTGAAACGGATCTATGGAACTGGTTATAAACTAATACTGAACACTTCCACCGATGAAAACAACGATCAAGTTTTTGAGGTTATCAATAAAATTTTATTGAATTCGAAAATTGAAAGCGAAACGAATGATCAATTGATCATACAAACCAATGAACAAGCATCCAACTTATTCGTACAAGTTTTCAATGAGTTGGACATTTTAAAAAAGAATAACCTCGTACTAGATTATGGATTGACAAATACAACATTAGGTTCTGAATGCGTCCTCAGTTTTCATGAAAAGGTCGATTTTGTTTTTTTTTTAGAGGAAGTCTATCTTCGTATAGCTGTTGATGAAGATGCAGATGTAGACGAAGACGAGAACAATGAATTTTTTGAAGAAAATTGTTTTGATGTTTTCAACAACAAACTAGTTTATCATGGTTATGAGTATTATTTTAGTCAATATGAAGGTTTATTCATAAAATCATTTCGTATTGCTTATCGATCCTACCTCATCTTTCTCTTTATATGTTGTCTCGCTTTATCAATAAAATTCTTCCTGGACAGTACAAAATCTCATGCTGAAATCATCTTTAATTTCGACGATTGGTCACATTTAAAGCAACAGAATGTTTTTATTGCATTTACACAAAGTAATTATAGACAACGACAGTCAGATCAGCTAAGAGATCTCGTTCAGAAGCGTTTTCCATCGACGCAACTATTCACATTGACAAACATGACAAACATTACGGAATTCAATCAACTATTATACAGTAAGTAAACTACTCTTACTATGCCACTGCGATCACCTACATTCTCACTGAAATGTTGCTTGTAGTGCATCGCAAATGGTCAGACAATGCCTATTTTCAAGAATACTTCGGAATATTATTTGAAAGTACTGAAGCAGTCTCGGTATTGACATCGCACTTAATCATCGGTTATGAACCATTTAGTATAATTAATCAGTATATATGCCGTGGAAAATGTTCAATCTTAACCCGATTGAAATTTGTTCAAAACCCATCGAACAAACTGAACGAACAAACGTTTTTTAGCTTTCTAAAAATTCTATCATTATTCAGTTGTTTCTATTTGATATATCCAGGCGAATACACCCTATTCTATGTACTGACATATTATTTCATTTATATTTATATCACCATATTAATTATCAATGAAGGACAACAATTTGTTAGGTTACTGAAAATCTTTGGCCTACATCCGATTATTTATTGGACAGGAAGATATTTGTTTGATTTAATATTAACACTAATCTACACATTGATTATTTATTTGATATTCTCCTTGAATCGTCCAGAAGAACCGACGGAAAAGGACAATTCATTATCGTTTAAACAAATGATCGATCAAAATAATCATCGGATGAAAGTAAAAATTTTCTCCTTCACATTCGTTATCGCTTCAACAACGTTACCAGTTATGTATTTAATCACAAGTTAGTATTCTTTGCTCATAAGATCATCTCAACGTCGTTTTCTGTTAGGATTCTTGAAAAATGATTTAATCGGAGGTATTCTAGTGTATCTCCTCTTAATCATCATTGAAATAGCCGATTTAATTCGCATTTTTATACTGTTGATTACAAAGAATAAGAATGATTATCGGATGAGCTATTGGATTATGAATATTTTCCTACCACCATTGAATAGTAAGCGTTTAATTTCGCTTCTATTGAAAAATTCGACAAAGAAATTTTGTAAAATGCTTGAAAATGATCAAGCCCTCGTATCGAAATTTGGATTTACTCAGCAGAAGAACAATGATGACGTTTCAAAACATCTATTCGTGAGCTTTGCTCAAATAATCGTTCCATTTCTTGTTCTTTGCTCGATTGATCTTGGTCTGTTTACAATGAAAACAGCTAATTTTGAATTTGACGCCGAAGAAATCGATGATGATGTCCTAGACGAAAGAAGTAATTTGATATCCAATAAGCAAGACTATCTCAGCGAACCACTCCTGTGTTTGGATATTGTTAAAAAATATCCTCAAAAAACGATTCTAGCTATTGATCATCTCGCATTTCATGTCGAGCAAGGCCAGTGCTTTGGTCTTCTTGGGTTTAACGGCGCTGGTGTGTTTTTCCTTCTGGTATCAAATCTGGACGTTTGTTTCTTGCTTTTAGGCAAAACCTCTTTGTTTAAAATCATTGTTGGGGAAGAAAAAGCAACAGCTGGTTCCATTTATATCAATGGTAAAACCTACGAGAAATTTGCCGATGGTGTTTGCCGAGATATTGGCTATTGTCCGCAATATGATTGTATCGTTGAGAAGCTCACATTAGAGGATTATCTTTATTTATTTGGACGTTTGCGCGGAATTCATAGTTCCAAACTCATACAAACGGTTCAAGCAATTTCACAATTGTTTCTACTGGATCTGTATCTGAAACAATATCTTAAACAATGCAGTGGTGGAACAATTCGGAGAATGCATGCTGCTTTAGCTTGTATCGGGTCACCATCAATTATTCTCTTAGGTTAGATTTCGAATGGAGCCAAAGCGCTAATTATCCTTTTGTTTTTGTTTTCTCTAGATGAACCAACGACAGGTAATTGATTTCCTTTTTTGTTTTTCAACTTATTTAATCGAATTTGGGAAGGTGTTGATCCGTATAGTCGTCGGCAGATGCGTCAAGTTTTTGAATATGCTTTGAATTGTAATTTGACAATCATTTTAACATCTCATTCAATGGAGGAGTGTGAAATGTTGTGTTCCCGTCTTGGAATTATGTCTACAGGACAATTCAAGTGTTTAGGAAATATTCAAAGTTTGAAGCAAAAATTTGGAAATATTTATACGATTTCGATCAAGTTTAAAGCAAATTTTACTCCCGAACAATTCAAAGATTTGAATATCCATTTAAAAAATCATATTCGTACACAAATTTATAATCAAACAGACACCACAGTTATCTATCGAGTAGAACATTCTTCGCCAGCGCAATTGTTTGCTTTAATCGAGCAAATTAAAGAGACATACTCCATTGAAACATATTCAATTCAACAAATGACATTAGAACAAATATTTATTTATCTCCAAAACCATTAGCCATTTCCCCCATCTGTTATCATGAACCGCGCGAGAAAGTCAGATGAAACGTTAAAACATCATACGTCATGATAAGAAGAGAAAAAATTCGATGTACTCATATGTACTTGCACAATATTCGGTCGACTTCTGTTAATAATATCTTAATGTAAATTGTGATGCGTTGCAAACACTTGAATATGTAATTAGCAGAAAAATTCTCAAATAGCGCAGAAAAACTGTTAAGTATGTTTGTGACTTTTACGCATCGCAAAAAAATCTGAAAAGAAAAAGTAATCACAAGCCTTTGAATCGGCCACTATGCTCAGGCAAATAAAGAATGAAAAATATAATATTTCGACGCATAAAATTACGCACTTTTTATGGTTGGAGAAAAATCACATATTTTTATGAGAATGCCAATTGTGAACACGAAAGAATCTCTCTTGAAAAGCAATTGTTTTCCGTCGTTTGCTCATCCGGGTAGATTCACGTACAAAAACAAAATCTTCCATATCACTCCATTGTTCTGATGCTTGGATGTGTCGAAATTTTATTTTTATTTTTACTTTTTTGAAAATATGAAGTGAAAGACAAACGTCGCGGTCAATCATCTACCGGTAGTTGATATCGATCTAGTAGAATTGAAAACGGTTCAATTGAATACTTTTTCAACCAGAACTGTTCATTATCAATTGTTTTCAAATTTTCTCGTTTTCTTTTCTTTGAAGAATAAGACGATATTTTGTCTCGCCGACGTCGACGTTGTGTTTGTTTCAAGCTTGTGTTTTCCAGCGAAATGTTTGCTTCAGCTACTGTTGACACATCTTCTGCTTCTGCTTCTGCTTCTTTTTCCTTTTCCTCTACTTCCGGCTCCTCTGCTTGTTTCGTACTCAATTCAAGTGTAACCTGTGGTTCCATTGTCTCAGAACTCTCATTGATTTTACAAGGAATATCATTGAGTAGATGTGGAGTGTTTTCCATTTCATTTGATACAGAATTATCAGTAACAGGCTGCTGCTGTTGTTGTTCTTCTTCTACTTCTTCTTCAGCAGGAGGAGTCGGATGAGGTGTAAGACACGGAGAAGGTTCCACTGATTTGATAGATTCGTCGATATTTACATTTGCTGTCAATGTTTCTTCGTCGGTATTCTTTGTTACTGGAATTTCATCTGGCAGCGGCTCTTTTTCGATCACTTGATCACCTAATAGAAATGATTGGTCAAGTACTTTTCTACAGTATTATAGCGAAAGAAAAGGTCTAGAGCGAATTCCGACCGCTGATCTAACGGAAATGAGTTGGAAAAAAAACGGAAAGATTCTCTACTTTTATGAGGATAGTTGAGCGGTGCTTGTGTAGTTGGTAAAAGTTCTTTGAGAATATAATTCCAATGATGTTCTAGTTCTTGGATATTGACTAAACGTAATGATGAATCGCAATCTGTAGATTTATCAGGTTTGAATCTAATGATTTGTTTTTTTCGACAAATTTGAATGAAATCTTCAATATTTGACCATGGAAAATAAACCGAAACAATGTCTTTAATTGCTAGACAGGAGATTGTTTGATGATCTTTTTCATTAGTATTCGACGACGATGTGGTACAATAGGAAAGAATTTCTTTGCCGTGAAAGACGATCTCTCGACAAAATGAATTGTTTGTTTCCGTCTTTTTCGAAAGTACATTTTTCTGAAAAACAAGATCAAAATTAAGCTTTTACTTCTAATCAGCGCCGGCATTTCAATATGATTTTAACATACCGCTGAGTCGTACGCGTTGCTCATGATCGCCTTTTCTTTATCTAAAAGTAGGGTAAATGGCGTTATTTGAGAAATATCAATAGCGGTACATGAATAGTAAGGTATGCTCATTATTTTATTCTTTTATGTTCTCCTTGATACGAGTAGGAAGTTCCCAGACATAAGTACAAGAATCTCATGACGTTAGTTTAATATTTCACTACTGAAGATTTGCGTTCTACAAGAGATCCAGAGAAGGTTTGAGGACTCAATAAGTTTTTTCTATAGAATGCGACTGAGTTCGAAACGCGAAGTAGTCTATGCACCAGCATTTGCCAAGGTAAGAACACAAAGCGAAGCGAAAGTGCAGACAGATAAGGAATTTCATTTTTTACTGCCATAACAAAGCTATATTTATCATCACCTGCTAGTCGTTTGCAGGAGATCCTGTAACAAACAAAAAGCACGGTAACTTTACACGTAAACTACGTCACTGCCATAGGCGTATTCGAAATCGATGAAGAGATTTGCTGTCTTATGTTTAGACTGAGGAGATTTAACATAACAAACGGAAAAATTTAATAGAAGAAAAGTAAATACCTGTGATGGGCTTATTTGATGATGGTGATGATGATGATGACAATAGGCGGGGTGAAAACCACAATTGGCTGGAATTAGTGAATTGAGCCGTGGAGACAAGAAATTGATAAAATTTTATAAATGAGCTAAAGGGCGTTATTGATGTTGAATCTAGTTTCGAATAACACAATTGATTATTCAGCGAAAGTGTGCCTTTTGAATGAAATGTATTAATATAATGTAATAGTTCGGCTTCGTAAAGGGTCAATGAATATTGAGGAAAAGGACATTTACTCATACAGTAAGATAAGCTTTCTGATGTGAACCGACATAGTAAATGCAATTTGACCATTTGAACACATAGATATTCCTCTCGGGTAACATGTCTAAAAACAGAAGTTTTTATTGACAAGCTGAAAAATCCGATAGGAAAAAGCTATCTGAAGCCTTTCTCAGCAGGAATCTTCCGAGAACTGGCGTTTGAAATCTAATATAATTTCTTCCTTTCATGGTGGTTCAACGATCTGCCGATGTGAAAAAGAAAAGAAGAAAGAACGAGAAACAAGACGTTTCCTTGACAATATTAATGTTTTTATGACCGACTGAGTACAGCTTGTGTTGAGAAAAGTAAAAAATCAAGAAAAAAAACAACATAAGAGACTTACCGGAATATGACTGGCAAGAAAATTGCCGATGGAATAATTTGACGCCATGCGAATTGTCCAAGACGAGATGTGATGTCCATCGATTTCTTATCCGATAATTTCTCATTAAGACTTTTACAAGTCAACAACAAACGATTAGGTAGAGGACATTTCGTGGATTTTAATCGTTTCGAATTGTGCATCAATCCATCGGATTTTATCGATGAGGAATAATGCTGATCCGACAACATTGAGAGAATTCTTTTTCAAGATGACTTTATCTAAAATTTTGTCCTATATTTAGGAAAGCAATTTTCTCATTTTATGCACTCTAATGTCTATGAGTCACGCATATTAGTCAAGTATCATTCATTCTTATCACATAGAAAGAGAAAAACATCGACATGTTTGTATCTGACTGTAATATATTTATCTAAAATAATTTGAGTAAGTTTCATTTCAAAAGTTGATTTATAAATATTTATCACTTGTGCAATGACGATGAAAAGTGCATGGAGCATTCAATTAAATTTTTCGAAATTTGGCAATGCGGAGAAATCGATGACAAAGGTTTACGCGTTATTGTTACTTACACAGACACATGAAAAACATGCACGGAGGGTGATATACACCGAGAAGGACGAATGTCGACAAAAGGAATACGCAAGTAATGCATCGTGCGCTGAATACAGCGGAAGAAATAGAAGTAGGTTGCGTATGAAAGCAAGAAGAATAACGCGAGGAAAAAGAGAAAAGGGGAAGAGGAATCGCATATGCTACCATTTGCGAATAGAGTAACGAATGTAAGACAGCTAACGGTCGCTGTCGTGTAATAACATAAGTGCATTTTTTAAAACTATAACACATCTATTATCGGTAATAATTTTTCGGAAAAAATGTCACTTTCATGGGCAAGTTAACAAAAAGAGAGTGAGAACAAGAGAGAGGTGAAACAAAATAGCATTCTCACATAAATATTTACTTGAATAGACATCTGACATGTGTGTAGTGCGATTAAAAGTAAAAGAGAAAAAAGAAAAAGAAACAAGCATACGTATACCTCGTTGTCATAGCATCCTGTTCTATGTAGACACGTTTCTCTTCGAAGGCTACAGCAAACAGAGGATATGATGTAGACGCAGTAAATAGCTACACGAAAGATCCACTGTTATCTTTCGTACTACAAATATTTGCACCTAACAAATAAAAAGCGTCAAACTTTGCATGTTTCATGTAGACCGTTAGAAAACTTATAAATAATTCAATGCCAAACATTCGATGATGTTAGCAGCATTGAGAGAGTGTAATTTCTATGGACCGCAACATATAAGACTTCATTCAATTTCATTAGAATGCTAATCTATGCCTTATTTGCCTATCGCATATGAAAGAACTGGCCAGATTGGCTTCTAGTTTCAAAATTGTGGAAGTTTTCTTGCGAGTACTGTAGATTGAAAAAACATATGCTCGAATGAAATCTCATCCAATAGCTCAAAACTGAAATAACTTTCTCGAGATAGTCGTGTCAGACTAAATTACTGAGCGACAAGGGACACGCGCATCTCAACCAAATGATGATCTTCTACGAGATCACGATGTTATCCTAGTTCTTTGCTTGATAAGCCATACGTTATGACTTAGAAAATTAAGCGCTACTGCTACGATGGAATTATTTTAATTTTTCAAACATACTACTTCCTACGGAAACAACTATAAGCTCGAGTAGCTATATATAATGCATTCTCAGTAATGAGCCTTCTTTCTATTTTACATATATTCATATTTTCAGCGTAACGGAAAACGTTTTATTAATTTCCAGAGTAGTGCATATTGTCACGGTTTCTCGAAAGCTGCATCACAAATATTTTATTCATAAAATAGCTCTTGTGTCCCTTTTTCTTACCTTTATAATATGTATTTGATAATTTTTTTCCCATTTCTTAACGAACACGTTTACCTGACATCAATTAATTATTTCAAATAAGTTTCTTTTTACACAATGAATATCAGTTGCACAATCATCCGTTTCTGCAGGAGCTTATGATTTAATCACGTTGTAGGGCTAAATAAAAACAAATATCTTAACAGTGACATTTTTTTTCATTAGGGCCTGAAAGACTAACATACGAGCTTGATGGAATATATTCTGCATCTTACTTACTGCTTTATTGCGTTCCTTTTGTAGACGTCCTTTTACTATCGTTAGCGTCTATATTAACGGACAATACTTTACTTATTTTGTTCATAGCGTATGTGCAGCAGAAAAGTGAGACTAATTCATAATTGAAGGCAAAGACGGTTAGCATAACGAGATCTTAGTAAAACCACATTTAATTTATTAATGATTCATACAAAAATTTGTATTTGCAAATGTGACGATGACAAATGACATCATATATGCAACTATAAAATAGAAAGTAATGCGACGCACTTTTTTTGCTCTTCTACGTTTCTTATGCATTACGCGATCACTTTCGGGTCAAAATATTTGACGTCGTTGAATTCGAACTTTTTTGTTATTGCAATATTTTTTCTTTCATTCAAGAACGTTCTCTGATCGGATGTTTTTCTTCTGCCAGTAGTGTCAAACACGAAAGTTGAATTCAATTTTACAACTATTACTTTAGTTATTCACTTAGAGAATACCTCTCAACACCGTCACTCTGAAGACTAACTGAATTCAACTTTTTAGTGTTACATGTATGGACAGAATTCCTATTGATGGTTTCCCTTGGGTTTCATCACCAAAGCTTTAGTCAGTTGCTAAAAAGTTGACGAGCGTTGGTTTTCGCTATTCTGTAACATGGTACAAGGCGCCTCTTGTATTCAATTGTTGGACTATAGAGTGTAGTATAAAGTATACAGAAGATATAGTACATTCACGATTTATTATGAAAAGTGTGAAAGCATACACTCATTTTCATATTTCGAAATCGTTGTCAAGTTTACGAAGTTGGAAATGCATTTCAGAATCAAAATCAAACTCTGCTGGATGACATCTATAATATGCTATAGTAAGCATTGTACACACTGAATCGGCTAATATAATCGAATAGAAAAAAAGCTAAAAATCCATTGCTTTCTGGTATTTGAACACTTCTATGGATTTGAAAGCAGCCTTATATTACCTTTGAATGGTTGGTTTTCTGGAAAACTTCGTGAAAAGATCACACAGATTATAGTGACTATTGCCTTCGACGCTGACTGAGCTTCTTCGAAGATTTCAATGCGAAGCACGTTTGTTAGAGCAGGAGTTACGCTGGGAATCGGCTCAGGTCTTGGAAAGATATGTGTAGCCTGCTTATGTAAATGTTATAAGGCTTTGAAAATTCTTGCACACTTCATCAGCTGCCATACTATCGTACGTGCTGCTCTACATTCGAGAGTGGTTTCACTTTCGCAGCATTAGTCGTTTCCTATGTCTGAAAGTAGACAATGATAGTATTCATATAATACACATACAATAGTATTATCAAATTGTAGAGTCTAGAAATGTCTTTCAGAAATCAATAGGTATCCTTTATCAGTACCATAAATACGGGAATCTCGAGACTAAAAGCTCGATGTAACTTTCTAGTTGGTCAATGGATTACTTTGCCAAGTGTATAACTAACCAGCTATACCATTTAGAATTCTTTTTGCGCTGTTTGATGACTGTCAGGACACTAACTATTATTTTTTATTGTATTTTTAAGGCCTTAATATAATCGTGACTAGCTTGAACAGTAAATATACATCCGCGGTAGTATAGTGGTTAGTATCCCCGCCTGTCACGCGGGAAACCGGGGTTCGATTCCCCGCCGCGGAGTATAAATTTTTTGTTTCATATTTTTTTCTCTTTTAAAGATATATGTGCAGCTAAACAATCATATTTTCTCTTATCGTTTCATTTATCTACGTCAGCATATGCAAAATACTTTTATCGCGACACATATTCGCTTTTGTTTTTATTTTCTCAAAACAAAAATAAACACCATTTCGACCCATGTCGATCATTCGAAAGTCCGTCACGCGAAGGACAGTTTACGTACATAAATAGCTTGTTAAGTAGTGAATTTCTCTTGCTAATTTATCATATGAAGTACGTTGGACTTTATCTCCGTACTTATCCGTTCTGATTCACTTCCGTAAATAATATCTGTTAAGAACACTCGTATGGGTTCTACTCAATGAATATTTCATACATAATTTTATATTAAAAATTGAATTCAACAGAAAACGTTGCCTAATTCTTTTCTTTAATATTGTTGACAATTTCACTTCGTAACTATCGTTCAAAAACACAGAAAATCATTTTTTTTCGTCAAATAAAAATAAAATTTTGTCGCACATCGGAAATTTAAAAAGAAAGTAAATAAATAGTTAATTAATTCAATTTATCCTATATAAAGAACAACAAAATATATAATTGAAAGTCCTAAAATAACACCAAATAATTGTCGTAATGAATGTCTAAGAATGAAAATACTGGAAGAATCGTCTTGAAGTTCAAATTATAAGAATCATACCTGAGATCATTCTCTTTCAACAAATCAGGCACTGTCTTTACAAGGGCAACATAAAGAAAGCCACCACTAGTAAATGGTAGTACCCATAATGTACCTACAAGTGTTCACAGAAAACGAGATGAACGACAAAAGGAACAATTGTGTTATTTACTATGACTCGAGCTGGAATAGTACAGTGCTAGTATTGCGCCTAAAACTCCTCCTAAGCCAGTAACAAGTTGAGCTTTGGTTGCTTCCCATCGATTGAAACCAGATCGTAAAAGTATAGCAAAATCACCCATTTCATGTGGAATTTCATGAATAATAATTCCAGCCAGTGTCGTCATGCCAACAAATGAACTAACGGCAAAGCCACCACCAATTGCTGCGCCATGCGTTAAGTTATCAATAAAATTCGCTAATAAATTTAAATATCCCGTTGTCTAAATATTATCGAATATCAGCAAATAGAAGAATTTTTTCATTGAATTCCATTTACCTTGATTTTTCTTTCTGTCAATGGAAGACTCTAAAAGAACATAGTGTGATTAAAACGTTTATTTTCTCTCCAAGTCGCTCAACTGTACTTCTGATTTTTTACTATGCGTAGAAGTTTCTTTTTCATCTTCATCATCATCGTCTTCTGGAAAGACTTGTTCAATCAGGAAAAAAATAAATAAACCACCTATAGTCCAAAGACCGATTTGAACTGACGATGCATGTGGACACGCAAAAGCTTCGGGTAAAAGATGAAGGAACACGTCAGCCAATTGACTACCAACTGCAACACTTAGCAATAATTCTAAATATGGTTTGTCTCCTATTTAATCAGAAGAAAACAAACAGACGAATAATGAATGTTGTTCAATGAAGCAAACTTTTTTTCTCTTCATCTGGAACGATGAAAATCGGGAGGAGACCAATGCAACCAACGAGAGCTGCTCCAACAAGTGCACTTGCCCATGTTTGGAGAGAATAACTGATTATTTCTAATGTCATGATGTTAGATATAACACAGCGTTTATCGCGAAGCAACGATATCCTTCATCTATTTTCTTCTTATAAGGCGCATGATGTATTTTTCTTCTTCTGTTAGAAAGCAAAATAGCGGAGAGAAAAGAAAATGCTTGTGTACTTTTTCCTGACGACGGCGCATACGTTGATGACTCATTCTCAATTATCCTTTCGTCGACCTAAAAGAAGAGAACATATTTAAGAGAAGTCCCATGTAGATATACTTTTTCCCATGGTTGAATCAGATTGATAAACTATTTATCAAAGTGGCTTTATTTTCGTGAAGTAAAAAATGATCCATCGAATGAAGATACTTTAAAACCACGTAAAAGAAAATAGATGAAGACATCAAAAATTAAGATGAAATATGGTAAAAGTACAAGAATGATCTCTCCTAATGTTGCTCGATGTTGTACAAAGGATATTTGACGTGGTACTAATGATACACGAGTGGATGAACTTCGTCGTATTTCATCTTCTTCTATGCTTTCTTCAATAAAGCTTTGAAATGCATCGTTGTTTGTCGTTGGTGAAGACATTTGCGCTGTTATCATCTTCACATTCAACAAGATACTATTTCAACATGTATATATATGTAATTTTATCATTTTCTCTTCGACGTGTTTGTGTCTGTGTTGTTTTTATCATGTATTCATTTGTTCTCTTCTCGATTCGCTATCGTGTTGAGATTGAAAAAAACTTAACATCCGCTAAGATTCCCAGTCAACTCGTCTTATCAAATGAAATTCTAACTGCAATGAGTGCATAGTACAAAATGAAATTAAAAATGACGTCAAAGAGGATATGATCAGATCATAGCAATCGAATCTTTTCCAAAATGGTCTTAGTGGTAAAACTGTAAAGTCTACTCGAGTCTCTTCAAAAGTTGTAATTCGATTGATTGAAACATTGTACTATTGACTTGATTGTTAAAAGCAGAATTTAGTAAATTCTTCTTTCAAGGGCGCATTTGTTTAAATAAATTTACTTCTTTCGACACGACGTTTAGCTATCGGTATGTAAATTCTCTTCGGAATTTTCAGCCAAAGCAAGCCGACATTTTGCTATTCAAGAAAGAAAAATATCATGACAACGCCTCCTCTATGAATACTTATTTTTATGGTAAAAGAGTGTATATTTTTTTCTTGTGTTCTTTCATTTGGCTATTAGAGATTTTTGCCATAGTTGATCGATACAATTTACTGTCGAAAATCAAACGAGCTACGATGGGTGGTTCCATGAGCATATTCAATCGATTTAATTCTCGTGGTAGGTAGGACAAAATGATTGGTGCTGCACTATTTCGCAATGACACGGCAAATATCCGTTTTCTAGTTGTCTATTAGCAATGATCGTATGGCGAATGTTTCATGTATTAGGCTTATCATTTTTCGCGGAATTTTTGTCAATGCACTTTGTTTTTCGTCTAGAGTGTCGTTGATGGACTTCACCAAAAAATTTGTTGTCTTACCAAGCCGAAGCTCCTTTTTTTCTTGATACAATGAAAAGAGAACGGAAGAAAAAAACAACAAAGTAAATTCAGCAGAGTTAAGTTAGCAATCCAGTCAGCGAACGAAGAAAAAAACGTCAGCCGCGTCTCGTCGTCCATGTATCGTGTTTTACGATGTTGGAAAAAAGTAACAGTAAAACAGAGGTCTTTTTTGAGTTTGACTGAGTTTAGGTTTTTAGACGATAAGTGAATTTTTCTCATAATTAGATTTATCTGAAACTTGAAAGGTTTTCTATTATTTAGCGTAGAAACCAATGTGGGTGATTAGGGGGTTTTTGACAAAATAAAAGTGTAGTCAGGATGTTTTAGATTTCAATTTTGGCCTTGAGAATGGTTTTGTAGTAATTTCAAATCAATGTCTGTCAGAGAAAAAGTGTTGATGGGAAACTATCATGGTTCGACCGATTAATTTTTTTAAAAACTATCGAAATGATAGTGTAGAATATAACTATCTTACCAGACGCACGTTCTAGAAAAATTACATTTTTATCAATATAATCATTATGGCTGCTAACAGCGACAGTCGATCACGTTCCAATTCGACAAACGACGCTCCAGTACCTCCTGGTCATAATGATTCCTTTGACACGAACAGAACCGAAGAAGAAACAATGGAACATTCAGGACAGGAGCAGGCCACTAAAGAAAACACTGCGACTCCTACTGAATCTAGTACAAATTCACACGCAGAATCTTCTCTTAGCGTAGATACAGAAGGTCAGCAACATAGTACGACATTACCAAGGCAATCTCCCGAACCGCCGACCGCTACTGACACAAGTCACGACAATGATCATCAACCGGAAGAAAAAGACTATGTTTCCGAGAGCGCTGGCCAAGGTAAAGAAGCAGATGGTAGTAATACTTATATAGTCACATTCGTCCTTTTTATTAACACTATGAAATGTATATTCGTTCTATTTTAATACTACTTGTACTATAATTTTAGGTATTGGGCAAAACCCAGGTGGTTCTAGCGTCACAGATGAAGAAAATCTGGGAAATAGCAATCCAACGGCTGATAGCACATCACCTGGATTTTCTGCTGACCCGCCTGATAGTTCAAACACAAATACATCAGGTATGCGACAAAACCGTGCTGAGGGTGAGGGTGAATTGCTCATAAACCTATTAGCTTATCGAATATAATGTTTGAACGCTAACGAGGAAATGTCAGCAGCTATAAAATCGCTTTCAAGTAGGAGCTCGAGCAGCTAAAATCGGTTGACCACCTTGAACTTGAACTTGAACATCATGACCTCTGCGATCGATACCATACCAAAGACCAGCTTTTTTGCCAAATGTTGCTTATAACTAGCTCAAGTGATAGAGCACACTGAGTTGCCTACAAAACAATAATCGTTTCTAAATTGTGTCGATTTTGATTACGTCTGCAGCCGTTGAAATTTGTGTGAGAGATGCATACTATTGCACTTCCAAATAAAACTGCAACAGGCTTTTTTCCTGATATCATCTGTTGCGAGGAGAGAATGGATTTTAGTTCACGGACAGGTCGACGTACTCTATAGTCTTAGATAGTCATTAACAATATTTGAAGAAAAAACTTGTTTTATGGAAGCCTGATTTTCAGGAAACCGATCTTGCGATAGCAATAGCCGGAGAGGCCTTCGTGCTCGAATCCAGTCTGGTCGATGATCTTTTGTGGTGAGATGCAAAGATTTCTAGTCATTTTAAATAAGTAGGTATCGTAGGAAAAAAGACCGAAATTTTCATTTTTACAACTGAATACTACGATATATATTCTAATGTTGAATTTTCATTTGTAGTTAAACACTGGTTGGGTCTTCAGTTCCATGAAAATTCTAATACAATCAAGAAACCCCATGAGTTGGCACCAATGAGCGAACCACCGGGCTCAACTGGTGAACAGATTCTTAATCGTATTCAAGGTTCTATGATTGGAATGGCATTAGGTGATGCTCTCGGTGCGCATGTGGAATTTCGGCCTCACGATTATTTACTTTCACATCCGGTAACAGATCTCGGAGAAGGTGGAACTTGGGGTCTTTCGAAGGGACAGGTACGATGTTATTTTCTATTTTTAATTGAAATTAAGTCAGATTGGAAATGCAATCAGTGCCATATTTTATCTCTCCATTCACATTGACACCAGTGTGACAAGAAGAGTATCTGAACTAGTAGAGCATCTACGAATTACATTAATTTCAGAATATAGGTTGACGACGTTTGAGCGATGTTTTGTAAAATTGGACACATTTTCTGAATATGCAAATCTATATATCAAACCGAGTACTACATGAGATTTCGCATATATATCTGATGCGATTCTTCAATCAGAAAGGAGCTCGTCATTATTTTCAAGAATACAACTACCTATTTTTCCACAATATTCAGCAATTTCGGTAATTTTTTCTTTACTAAGTTTTTGACAAACGTAGCTAGATACGTGTGAAAAATAATACTCATGCATCGTCACAATGTGAGAACGAGCTGCGTTTCCATATTAAGTAGCTCATCTATAGTGGAACGTTCCGTCTGGAAAGCGAGAAAAATTTATTCAATATAAAAGATGCATCTAAAACACTTGATTAGAATTCAGTTTCTTTTTTTTAATGCACCGTCAGTTTACTGACGATACTTCTATGGCACTTTGTTTGGCAAATTCTCTGATTGTTAACCATGGTTTCAATGCTTACGATCAATTAGTTCGATACAAATGGTGGTATAAATATGGATACATGTCGTCAACTGGCCAATGTTTTGATATTGGAGCTGCTACTAAACAGTCGATAGACGAATTTCGTCGCAGACAAAACAGGCTTCGCGACGAACAAGACATTCCGAAGGAAGAAATTGATTGCCCTTCTAATCATGAATTGTTAGATGATTTCCCGGTATATTGCAGCGAAGAAGGCGTAGCAGGCAACGGAGCTCTTATGCGCCTTGCGCCAGTACCACTCTTTTTCTATAGAAATCCTAAAGCGGCCGTTGAGTTTTCTGGTTTTAGCGGACAAATAACGCACGGAGATACGAAAGCGTATGATGCATGCCGATATTATGGAGCATTGATTGTTGCTGCTCTTCAGGGTAAAAGCAAAGATGAACTTTTGAGCAACCAGTTTTATGAAAACAATAAGGAATGGTTTAATGGGAAAGATCTTCATCCAGATATAAAATCAATTGCCAAAGGAACATATAAAAACGATAACGGCTATGATGGTGGTATTCGAGGAAAAGGGTATATAGTCAGTGCGCTCGAAGCTGCATTGTGGGCATTTTGGTCCACTACGAATTTTAAAGATGGTGCGCTTGCTGCTGTTAATCTTGGCGATGATACTGATACAACAGCAGCGATCTATGGTCAATTAGCTGGCGCTCACTATGGATATGCCCAATTGCCCGAAGAATGGACTAAACAAGTTTATGCTGAAGACTTTATGAAAATGTTAAGTAAATGGATTGCATATGAAGGTGAACATTGGGAAAATGAACCCTCAACGCACACTTCTGAATCATAGAAGGTAGTAAATGACAGTGGCTTCCTACAGTCTAATTTCAATCTGTGTTAACGTGTCCGTAATTCAAAAGATTATCTGATTCTTCCTCGTTGTGATTCGTTTTTTTAAATAAATTTCCTTTCGAATCCTCAAACCAGTCGCAGAGAAGCATATCCAACTAGTTTTCTGATTAAATTGAAACTATTTAAATTATTTTCTTGTAATTTAAAATATATTTATATATAAATTTTCATTTCATCATAATATATAAATGACGAAGCATTGTGATTAAATGAAATTTTTTCAATTTGTGAAAATACAGCTATTTTATTTCATTGTAGATTAAGTTTTTCATTAAAAAGATATTCAACAATGGCTATGTTTCCATCGTATAAAGAAAACAAACTACCACATGAGATAGCACTTAGTTCTCCGCCAAATATCGATATACAAGGTACTCAAGTACGTCGCTTCATTGGTTCTATATTTGGACTTGCTGTGGGTGATGCGTTAGGAGCTCGTGTAGAGTTTCGCCCTTACGAATATTTAGTCAATAATCCTGTTAAAGACATGAAAGGTGGAGGTACTTGGGGACTTGAGGCAGGCCAATGGACAGATGATACTTCTATGGCGTTATGCCTTGCTGCATCACTAATTACGAAAAGATGCTACGATCCGTATGATCAAATGGTTCGTTACAAGTGGTGGTATCGTTTTGGATACTTGTCGTCTACTGGAAAATGCTTCGATATTGGCAATGCTACTCGCGATGCAATCGAAACATTTGTAAATCGTCAGCGCGAGTTGACTAAATCTGCTAATTTCCAAGGTAGTGACGTTGATAGTCTAGAATGGGCACATGTTCAAGCTAGAAGTAACTTTGAAATCGATTGCAGTTCGCCAGGTGTAGCAGGAAATGGAGCACTCATGCGTCTTGCTCCTGTACCACTATTTTTTTTTAAGCATCCTCAACTTGCAGTAGAATATGCTGGTCGTAGTGCTCGTCTTACTCACGGAGATACAAAAGCGGTCGATGCATGTCGTTATTACGCTGCACTTATTGTTGCTGCTGTTAACAATGCAACAAAAGACGAACTTTTAAGCGATCAGTTCTATGAAAAGCATAAGACATGGTTTAGTTCAGATGATCTTTGCCGAGAAGTATTGGAAATCGCTCATGGCTCATACAGAAACAAGAAAGGTTATAAGGGTGGCATTCGAGGAAAAGGGTATATAGTCAGTGCTCTTCAAGCTGCATTGTGGGCATTTTGGTCCACTAAGGATTTTGAAGATGGCGCACTTGCTGCTGTTAATCTTGGCGATGATACTGATACAACAGCAGCGATCTATGGTCAATTAGCTGGCGCTCACTATGGATATGACCAATTGCCCGAAAAATGGACTAAAAAAGTTTATGCTCATGGTTTATTAGTTCAAACTGGTCAATGGCTTTACTGTCTCGGTTCAGAATATCAATGCACCGACGATGAACAGGAATTTATATTATCGGGGAAAACTCCCATTGCATCAACAACACCTCAACAAGGTACCAAGAAGATGCTAGCGGCAACGCAGTCTTTATATCCCGATACAAGATCGAACTATCAAACAGATCTTCATTCAAGATTATTGCATCAAGACGATTCCGGTCTAGGACAAGCGCTTACTCCAGAGACGCAGGTCGAATCAACCCGTTTGTCAACGGACTACCGAACCCAAACTCGTCCGGCATATAGAAATCCACGATCCGATCCAAGATACTTTGTAAATGCAGGTGATTATGGGCATTCGTCACACGCAGATTCTTTTACTTCACAGCGATCAACTCCATGGGAACTAAAAAGCTCATCATTGGCCATAACAAATACTAATAGGTCTAATACACCTCCCAATAGTGGCCTCTTAGGATATCCACCGACCATGACTCACATCTCTACACATGGACCAACGGGTAGACGGCTTGAAAGACATTCTGAAATATCTAGCACGTCAACAGCGTATAACTACCCCTCACAAATGGTAACTAACACAGGTTTGAGACGCTTCGACCATAGTGGAACCCAACGTGCTGACTCTACAGCAACTACTACTAGGAGTCGGGAGCAATTGGAACATTCAACAATCAATAATGCAATTTGGAATAACACACACGGAACCTCAAATTCCAATCTCCGTTCAAACAATAGAAATTTTCCTCAAGTACCAATGCGCTACGATATGCCTAGTACGGCAGCTATTAATCAGTACAGCTCTTACAAAAAAAAATAAAACTTTCAATGGTTCGTTTATGAAGACTCAATGATCGTTCGTAGTTATTTGATTTTCTATTTCGCGGAATAAACTCGACAAACATTCCAAACAACCAGTGTTTGACTCTTTTAGAATAATTTTATATACTCTGTCGTATTTTATTTTGATCACCATCGAACGCACAATAACTTCCAAACAAACTACATTTCCATGTTTTTTTTTTCTAAATAGTTTTGTTATCAAATCGAGGAAAGTTTCAGAAAATGAATAAAATGAATTCATATAGAATTTAGCTTTGATACTTGTTCGGCAATATAGCTGTTCACAGTATGATACAAATATCATGAGTGATTATATCGATTAAAACTTCAACATTTTCATGAGAAAATCATGTCTAAATAAATACAGATGTCATGCAAGCTTTCTAAAAGAAATATCTCATAGAAATGTCAACTTTCTCCTTATGATATTCCTTCATTAGTTAAGATCTGTTTTATCGCAAAATTCAATACTGAAGGTGCTTTGTGGATAGAGGTTATTGGAATATTTTATTTTCCTTTTCAAAAAGAAAAAGCCAGTTTTTAAAGATTATCTGTTAATTGATGTCGAAGATTTCTTAATTGAACAACTAATCCTTCAAAACCTTTGATTAATTCGCCATTTTCAAATGTCACTTTTTTTATCTGTCCTTGTGTTTGAATTTGAATCCATTCTGCACCACCATCTGCACAATCCGGACATCCAATTCGTTCATCTAATGCTTGAAAAGCGCTGAAATCAACAAGACTAATCAATTCTTTCCATTGCTCCGCAGAAAAAGAATCGGCATTTTTAACCGGTGGAAATTCTTTCTGTGGATAATTTGCTTCTTTCATGGAAATTACTCGATTGGAATTTGTCGAGATCAGAATTGATCGACGACAATAACCTCGACACATACCGAACGAAGCACCACTGGAAATTGATATTATATCATCTTTAGATGCCGAGCTTTGTCCATGAATAAGAAGTATTGAGCTGAGAAAGAAACAGCAGGATAAAAAGCTTTTCATCGTGACGAGGAGAAGGAGAAAATAACGTATGTCGTAAATATCGATTAATAAGGAGTGATTGAATGATCAAGTGGCCTGGCATATATACACATTTTGAAAAAGTATCAGTAATGGAAATAAAAGATTAAAGTATCGATTTATTGCGAAAAAAGATCAAAGAGTAATAGAGAGAAAAAGCCTTTCGACGAGTGCTTTATGGAAAACAATCGATTTGTATTTGTTTTGAGAAGCTATTAAGTAGTTATTGACATTTGGATTGATGAGTTAATTGTAAGTATGAATTAAGGTGATATACATGGCCCGATAGCACGTGTTCTAAAACTAATTGTTTCTCTCCATAGACAACATGACAAACTGGTTGATTTGATGAAGGTGTAATTGCAGCTCGTTCGAGTATTCCATCTGTCCACGTGATGTCTACTTCATAATTTCCTCGTGCTCGTAAACCATAAACAGAACCTGACGGCCAACTCAGCGATGGTAGAGCAGGTAAAAGTTCAACACGATTCTTATGACTTTGAAGCAACATTTCGCAAATAGCTGACATCGCACCGAAATTGGCATCGATTTGAAATGGTGGACCATCAATTAGATCAAATAGATTCGGAGCAGTGTGTGTAGGTGTTAATAGCATGCAAAGAAGTTGAAAAGCGGTCGAACCTTGACGTAATCGAGCCCATATATTCGACTTCCATGCCAATGACCATCCAGTTGATGGAAGTAAAATGCCTCGAAGTTCTAAAGAACGAAGAGCAGCATCATGATAAGGCGATGGATCATCGGTAACCGAACTGCCAGGAAAAACGCAGTATAGATGAGACCTTTAAAGAAACAAAATGAGTGATGCACGAAAGCAAATCTTCTTACATGTGCCGATTATGAAGGTCAGCCGTTTGATCCCAATCTTTGAACCACTCTTGTAGTTGCCCCATCTGTCCGATTTGTAAAGGTGGTAATTGTGCCAGAGTTTGTTGAACTTCTTGACGAAATGGCGCGTCAATATCAAACATAGTAGATGCTTCGATCACTGCTGAAAATAGATCTTTGAGTAAAAGAATATCCAGCGTTGGGCCGGCGCATACAACAGCGTTTAATTGAGCATGATGTGGAACTTCAGGTGACATGGATGGACTTGCTAATAAATAATTCGAGGATTTGACCAAAGTTTCAATGAAAAATTGGGCAGCCGAGCGAAGGATTGGGTAATAGCGAAAAAGAGTGTCTTTATCATTAGTAAATGCATAATAATCGGTGATAGTTTTACACAACCATACACCACCTGTTGGCCACGTGCCGTAAACAGCATCATCAACAGGTGCCGTGCCTCTCCAAATATCTGTATTATGATGACAGACCCAACTTCCTTCGCGTTTCTAAAATAAAATCTATTTTGTCTCACGAAGATAACGATTAACCGAATTCTTACTGTTCCGTAGTGTAATTTTGCAGTCGTTTGTCCCGTTTGAGATATATCTTGAATAAGGTCAAACAGTGGCTGGTAACATTCGACCAGATTCGCAGGTGCAGCTGCCCAATAATTCATTTCAATATTAATATTGATCGTATATTTCGATTGCCATGGTGGTGACATTGAATCATTCCAAATACCTTGTAACGTCGCTGCTTGACTGCCCGGCCGACTTGACGAAATTAAGAGGTAACGTCCGAATTGAAAATACAATGTTGACAATTGTGGATCTAAATTAGGATTTTGCGAGAAAGCCTGAATCCGACGATCAGTTGGCTGCTGCATCGCTGGACTTTCGCCCAAATTCAATCGAACACGATTAAATAATGACTGATAATCGGCGACATGGCGTTGCACTAGTTGTTCATAATTAAATTGTAAAGAATTTCTGAGCATAGTCTCACTCAAATGAATTTCATCACCATTGACATTGGAGTAATTAACATAACTCGTAGCGATTACAATGCGAAGCGTAAAATAATTCGCCGAAAATATTATTAAACGATCGTTTAGCAAATCGCATTGACCATCTGATTCAATATTGACTAACAAACGAAACCGAATAGCTCCAGGCATCGAACCAAAATCACCGCCAACACCATCAACAATCAACGTGTTCGATTCATCAACAACTGTGCTGATTTTCTGTGTACTTGTAAATGATATAACACTATTGATAGAATTGAGTACCTAAATAAAAACGGCTTCGATCTGTTGAATAGTTCACTCAAAGTATACAGTACCGACGATTGAACACGATAGACTATGCAATTATCAGGATAAGAAGCGAAACATGTTCGCTGGTATGAACTTCCATTGCTATCTGAATAACTTGTTGTAGCAGTGGCTTTTTCTAAATCTAATTCTCTCTGATAGTGATCGATCGTGACCGATGGTGATTGGTGAAAGAAATCGATCAGTAGATTTCCAACAGGTTGATACGGTGCCTGACCAATCGGTTTTCCGAAAAAGCTCTCTGTCAACATTGTTTGCGCATCGACCCACCGATCATCTTGGATCAGTTGTTGAATTCGAGAAAGAGAATTGAAAGCATCTTTATTCGAATAATCATGTGGACAACCAGCCCATAATGTATCACTATTCAGTTGAATTGTTTCACGTGGATATCCACCATAGATCATGCCACCCATATAACCATTACCAACTGGCAATGCTTCCAGCCATGTTGAAGCGCTTTGTTCATACCACAATGTCAATGAAGACGAAGGAGTAGATTCCTTCGGTGGGATTGTGTCAGATTTGATGATTAAAATATTTAATAAATAATCAACTATTGCGACATGCTTGTGATGACTAGCCGTTCTTAATGGTCTGGGAGAGAAAGGAAAGAAATTGCCATGAACAATAGGAAAATAATGCACTTACTCCAGCAAGTAAATATTTACACCGTGTTCGTAAAGATATTTTACAATAGGTAAATGGTTCGATTCAATTGCACAAATTAATGGTGTTAATTTTTCGCACTGAATTAATGTCCAATGATCATATTCGACTTCTTTAAATATTGTTATTATTTCATCGACATTCTTTTTATTTAAGTATTTCTTCACTTTGTCAAGGTCGCCATTAGAACATGACTCGTGCAGTTTCGATGGTATCATTGGCGACTTTCGAATGGCTTTTTATTTGAATCCACACGAAATAATCTTCTGAGTTTGTAGGAAAGCAAAACGAACTTTAAAATAGATGTAATTTGACCAATAACACCAGTACTCAGTGAAGCTTTTTTAAAGTTTACATATAATGAAGATAAAGGAATGATAAAAAGTTTTATTTATTGAGATATGTTTTCATTTCATAGGTGAACTGATTTCTCAAATAATAGTCGCAAGAGAGGTCGCACTTTTGTATAAATTTCGTTCTATTTTATACACATGAAGACACAATAACGACGATTTTTTCTTCGGTATGAATTGCTTGATATTCATTGTGATTTCATCCTTGAAATGGCTCAAGCATAATACTTTGTTATTTTGTTAAGAAAAACAATTTATTTTAATACGAAACGAACGACAAACATCAGAAAAGCTTTGCTGCAAGCACAGCTAGAAGAACAAGAGCCGATGAGGAATAAAGATGAGATCCTTCGTTGCAAAAATCCATGTTCGAGCAGCAATAAACTGATGTAACACCAATATCAGTTGACGTCGCACACATTTCATCGGTACCAGACCGTACAATTACGCCAGTTACACCAACACTTTTCTATGCAAAGAAATCTTCTCTTTTCGATGAAAATATGACCACATATCAACAAACTCGACAATATGTTTGGTTCAAAGCAGTTCCAAAAACTCCGCCTGCATTGAACGGGTCAGCGCAAGCTGAATTATTCAGATTGTTACAAACTATACAACTAATCGTTCTTGCGTGACTGATGAACGCTATTGAAAAAATATCAATTCTAATAATAAGATCATGCTACATAAAACTTACTCGATAGATACAGTAAAGATAAAATCCAATACATAGCTGATTGCATTTGTCTTCAGGTGAATTCAAAAGAATTTTTTTGTACAGTGGCAAATTTTTTTTTCTTTTCGATCCTGTCGCGATTGATTTCAAGGAGTTTTTCTTGTTTTGAAAACATTTAGAAATGAATGTAAACACGCCTTGAAGCTCTCAACGGTAAAAAATGAAGTTCTTCTAAAAATATCGAAGTAAGAAGGGTGAATAAGCTAATATGACTAACTTTCATTCATGTATTAACCCTTAAAAGCCGAAACGTCCCTTCCAAGGGACATTGCATTAATGGCTATAGAACGAAGGAATTAAGTCGTATCCACAAGAGCTACTATGTTGTCGAATGAGAACAGCCAGAGTGATAGTATCATAAGAAAAAAATCGTGTCAAAATAGTGGTCAGACACCAAAGTGTAGCTTTTAGAGTGTGTGACTTTTCAACCATAATTGGTTACTTGGATGTTTCTATCTGATGATATATACAACGTGGATTTCGAGTGGTATCATTAGAAATAATTCTAAACTATAATATAAAACAACTTTGTGCGTTTTAAACTCTTCTACTAAGGTGTTTTGAAGCTATAAAAAAGTGCCATTTTATGGGAACTTTTGGGCATAATCCTCAAGGTTTTTCGCAAATTCTCGCTCTATAGATAATTAGAGATATCTTAAAATTTCATCAGCGTGAACTTACAGTGATTCTGAACCATATAACAGGATCACCCAAACAAAAATTTATAGCGATCATACTTTACCCAGGTCATCTGTTTGGAAAAATTTTTTAGTCCCACCCAGCAGTTCCAACCACGGTTTGTGCATATTGGGGGTCTAAACCCTCTATTTATGTGATTAATTCTTTCTCCATTTCACAAAAACCCTCTTCGGCTTTTAAGGGTTAAACCTCACTCACCCTATGTCTTTCAATAGTACATATGCTCCCAATAACTGCGACTGTCCCCAACGGACGTAAAAACCTTTGTGGCATTATTATAATATGATTATGTTGCCAGGGAATGAATCAGAACGCAAACAACATACAAATGTTGGAAGAAACCATAGACGTCGATATTGAGTTTCTAGTGTAAACGGCAATTACCAACGAGAAATAAACGGAAAAAACCAACATAGAGAACGTGGGCGTCATCATAAATATCAGTTGAAAAGCAAGACGTTTTGTGTACCAGTTAAATTGCACTGATTATCTATCGCGCCATAGTGACGAACAATGTCTCACCCTTTTGTGATAGTATGGTTAGATATCCATGCAAATGAACCTGTTAGCAGTTTTCGTGACAAACTAATGCATGATGAGCATGAGTATGTGAAAATCTTCGCAGATAGTCAATCATGTGTTACATTTATTCAATCGGAAATACACAAGAAAATTTTCTTCATTCTTTCTGGTGCGTTTGGCTCGAAAGTGGTACCGATCGTCTATGATTTACAACAAATTCAACAGATCTATGTATTTTGTGGTACTATATCATCTCATGTCAACTGGGCGATAGATTATACAGACAAGATGTATATGTTCGACCATGAAGACGATTTACTTGAAAGACTTTATCGAGAAGTCGAAGAATTTCTGCGCAAAAGTGCAGATTTTTATCTTCAACAAGCCAATTTATTTCGAGATCGAATCCAAGACTTTACGCAAGGTCCCTGTGGATGAGACAATGAGCACTTTAGTTCTAAATGACTTTACTCAAACTCTGACAATATATTTTATATAATATTCATCCAATAAACTTAACAGTTGACTATATTGACACCCAAATTCCACCAGTCGATAACACTAATAAGCATTAACACACTCATCGACAAACAAAGGATAGCGAAACACTGAAATTTATATCATTCTCTTGCATAAAACTCCGTAAGAGCATCAAATCTTGTATTTATGACAATGAATCTGCTTTAGACTGATCGACATAGACAAATCATCGAACGATTAAACGCAGTTTGGCATTTATAGCATTACGTTTTCCTAATCCTTGTTTTCAATTTTTCAAAGTTTAACTTTTCTCTTCGCCTAAATCCAGTCTTACATTGGTTTTTGAGGAGATTAAGATGTTCTCTTGTCTTAACCTTCAACTATATATGTATCCGTTTACAACATTATTCAATTTCTTCATGCAAATTTTGTTTTGTCAGTGGCTAAAAAACTCCAAATGATCAAAGTCGTGATTCTCGTGTTAGTTCTCCTTTCAATAAGTGTGTCAATTGAATGTCGACGTAATCTTCGTGATTATATTGTATCTCATGAATATTCATCCGGACTAACACGTGAAGAATTTTCCGTTTACGATCCTGTGGCAAATAGTTTACTTTGTCGTCTTGAAACATCAGGATATTCATACAATCGCTATACCAATCTTGTTATGTATCCATCCTATCAAACAATTGGATTGATTCGAGATGTTTGGTCACCATTTTGTAAGAATTTATTTTCAAAAAAGAAATGAATTTTTCTTCTATAGAAACGCTTTCTCTTAGCTTATCAAGGATACTTCAATGTACTAGATGACGAATTGAATCAATGGATGAATGGCTATATTTTTCAACGTTATCGACCACAAGGTTTTCGCCTTTCTATTGAATACGGCGGACATGTGTACATCATGGAAAATCGACTTGGTTCGTTGATAACAGATATCCGAGATGAACAAAACCCGAATTATCTTCTTACTCGATTCCAACAAACGTATATCGATCCCTTGACTGGCTCGATGAAGTACGCGGTGAAAGTTTTCACAAATGATCTGCCTGATCCGATCTATATGATGGCTCTCTATGCATATGATTCAATAGCATCGAAAAAGAAGTTGAAACTAAGACCGTGAAAGAACTGTACTTTTCTCTTCTCATTTTGTTAAATAAATCGATAGACCTGCACATACTCGTATGATTTTTATTAGATAACATCAAGTTTATTTTGATTACTATTCTAATTATTGCTCAAGGAAATGAAATGTAATTAATGATACGACAGAAAAGAAAGATTTGTCTTAATTCAAAAATAAGTTACGAATTCTGACGGAAGAGTTTTTCCAAAATCGCCGTTTTCTGCATTGATATTTATTTTTGTCGGAGAGATATCTTTCTTTTCATTCGTGTCGTCATCATCATCTAGTGTTGGATTGAAAGCAAAAGATCCTTTCGGAATAAATGTTGATAAAAAGACAATGATCAAAATAATTGTTAATTGAATTGCTGCTGTATAAAATAAAGCCGGTCGAACACTGCCCGTTGAATTATAAACATAATCAATATATTTTCCAAGTATTGGATTTAGAATAGCATATAAAATAATGTATGACGAGTAAAGAAATGCCATGACGGCTCCTAATGCAGACACGTTTTTTGTCTTCGTTTCTAAATGTGTTAACGACGATTGAATATAAGCGATGAGTGACACGTCTCCAGCAGCCCATCCAAAGGAAATAGGAATGAATGTTAATGCAATAAACCATGCATATTTGACTTCTCCAATCGGTGGATAAAAGAACGGAATATACCAAATGATTAATAACATCAATGCATCAATACGTAACCATGGCATAGGTGTTTTAATGATATTGGTAAAGAGAAAGACAAAGAATGCGCCAATCAATTCTCCAAAATTCGAACCACCAACAATGATTTGTGACCATTCAGAATTGCCTAGATAACGACGAGCGATTTGTGGTGCGATGCCATTTTCGAGATATCGATGTGCATATAGAGCAATGGAATAACCTGTGAATAACCAAATGAATTTCCGATGAGTAAAAACAATCTTTCCGCCAACATAAACCGATTGACCAAATGCTACGAATCCATTGATAACCGATCGGAGATAATTCTTTCCTTGTTGTTTCTCAACATTGCCTACAATTTCATCATCAATAGCTCCTTCATGAAACTTATCGGTGCTCAGAAAGAACCAAATAATGGCTGATATGGTAAAGAATATCGGTGTAATTAAAAATGCATAGTTATTTCCGAGTTGAGGAATTAAGCCGAGACCAGCAGCGAACGCACCACTTGTACCAGACACTTCATAGAAAATGTGAACTAACGCATCCATTCGTTGTAATTTTTCGACATTACCACCAACAATATCTCGTGGAATGACTCGTCGAATCAATTCAACCATACCGTATGTTACTCCAGTAATACAATAGATTGGAATAATGCCGTCGGTAAAATATTTTCCATAATAGGAAAAATCGTTTTTATTCAACGGTTTAAAATCTCGTGGTTTTATGTATCCACCAGTTGCACAATCGATAATCATAAGAATGGCTGTAAAAATTCCGAAGGTGAATATGGAAACCGATAGAACAGTTCGTGTTGGCCAACGTTTGATTAATGGTGCAATTAGTATTGAACCAACGCATTGAGATGCTTGATTTAATCCCGATAATAATCCAACACGTTCGAATGTATTCGATGGATTCTGATGGAGAAATGCATCTTGATCATATCGATTCGTTGCTAACGTTATGATCGCACCGTTGTAAGCTTCAAGACCAAATTTGTAAAACATGATACCGACGATGTAGAGAGCAATGTTTCGTCTTTCTTTTGTAGAAAATAACGTCCATATTCCACTAATGTTTTTGAAGACCATTCTACCTAAATGAAATATTCTTTTAGCATGTATGCTCGTCTATTTGTTATCTGCGAAATATATCTATGGACAATCGCTTTTCTCACATACCTTTCAATGACGTTATGTCGTTCGATAGTCAACGCTTAGAAAATCGAAAGATGACAAGACTATCGGATCACATTCGTATAAGTATGTTTCATTCATACTGATTTTCTTTGTCTATTTACTATCTTTCCAACGAAAAGAAAGTGTACTAGAGACAAGCGATGTCGCCAAAGAGAAACGTCTGACCAACAGTCGCGCTATATAAGAAATAATGAAGGAAAAAAAGACTTCATATCTTCTATTGCCTTTCTTCGATCGATACAACGTTCAAATTAGTCAACCATGTCATATGTAGATGTATAAGGACAGATATTCATGAAGAAGAAGCGACCAGAAAACGACATAGACGAGAGAAAATATTAATCATATATGAACTTTAGAGGAAAGAAAAAGAAGGAGAAGAAGGAAACTTTCTAATGAGTCATAAGCGTAAGTAACACTTCAATTCGAAAAAAGTCAGCGAGAATTCTATTCTTGAATGCGTCTTTTTCATCCGTGAGAATATAAACAAACAGACATTTCAGTCGACATAAGGTTATACCAGAATACATCGCAGAATAAACAAAGATCGTCTATTATAATAACATTTAACTGCAATCCGTTTTGAAATGTAATCCCTTTTTCGTAATCACTCAAGAAATAATTAAAATGCATCGGTTTCCACCAGTACGGACGACCTTTAGTCTAAAAGGCAAAGTAAACCACCAATTCGGATGAAATTCCAGTTCGAAATGACTACATTCCTATGTTTCAGTGGTTCTCGTCAGTTTCAGACGAATCGTTTGATTTCATTCGATACAAAATGACAAACTGTTACTATCCTAAACAAGTATTTATTGAACAATGTCGTTTATATTTAGTATATTGAAATCCTCTATGTTTTGTAAATCTCTCCATATATGAAAAGCCGCGTTGACTATCGAGTCTGTCAGACGTTTTCGTTCGTTAAGAAAAATGAAATCTAAGTGTGTACAAATTTCATCTGTAATTTGTGGATTGAATTGAAAACAATTCGTATCTGATGTTCTGTCAAATATTGTCTGTTCGAGTTGATTGAATTGTAATGAATAATGTCGTTGGAGAAAGTTTTGGAATCCGGAGGAAAATGTTTGACCTAATGGATGAAATAATGGATTTAATCGAATTGAATATTTTTTGATAATTTTTTCTACTCGATGGTCGGATATCGTAAAAGTTCTTTCTTTCGAAATGTGCCAATGTAGTTCATTAGAGTTGGAATTGATCTGATGTAACTTACGATTGAATGGTATTAAATAAAAGATCTGTCCATCGTCAGTAAAATCTAAATTTTTGTACCAACATTGCAACTCCGAAAACAAATCGATATCATTTCGAAGTTCTAAGCGGCTGAACCAGACATTTTGCTTAATCAACTTTCTAAGACGAGAATTGAGGTTAAAAAAGGCGTAGAAATTATCGGTGGCTTTTAAATATTCGAAAATAGAAATAATGACTTCATTTGGTAAATTCTCGAATGAATAAATTCTGGACATTTGGAGAAACGATGAGTTGTAGTTAATGTTGATAACATTTTCACAATTAAACGGTTTCTTTTATAGATGGTGCACAATGGTGATGACTCATTGGTGTTTTTCCTACGGTTAACTACATGACACGATTTGGTTTGAAGAACCACCTACAGGTTTGATGTGAATCATCGAGAATGCGTAGTAATTTCAAAAGGAAGCCACTTATCACACGATATTCGGATCACTGAACACATAAGTTGTATGTATGTGTGTGTCTTTTTATAAATAAGCGTAGGATTGTTTTATAATGATAGAAAATAAGATAGATAAACATCAATAGACACGAAGATTAACTATCATCGAAATGATCATTGCCAGAAAAGATAAAAGAAACAATAATATGCTACCGTAAGTCAAACGATTCATCAACAGTTCTACCACATCTGTTCGAATCGATACAAAATTGTATCAATATTCGAATTTAGGTGTTCTGTTTCTTACGGATAGACGTCCAGTGAAATGATCTTATTTTTTATTTTGTATACGCATTTTACACAAGTTTCTTGTTCGGATTCGCTCGAGAACGTGTGGTGACTCTGAAAATGTTGATGCTAGATTTAGAATCTAGTTCTCTGCCGAACGATAATCGATACATCCACATTCAAATGCATGCATCCCCTTCATATAATTATTTACTGATGAATGATCAACAAAAAAGATTGTGTCGATACAAAGATATGTAACGAGGAAAGAAAAGTATTAAATGATGAAAATCGGAAAGGTGTGAAGGTTAAGAATTTCGATGATTTGAAATTGGAATAAGAAAACATTTCTCAGTTGTCACTGTTGGTAATAATTCGGATAGTTTCGACCGTTGAACTGCAGCCCGACGTGCGTACCGATAAGGACGTTGAAAATTACGGAAAAATTGAGTGTGATCATCCGTTGAATTTCTGTTTGAGAAACTATCATTCGGTGACACTAATCCGCGTTTAAACGGAGATCGGTGTTCTTCATTAGAATGAAGCGAATTCACACGAGATACTATACGAAAAACAAGAGAGTGAGCGTTTCTTCTAAAATACGATCGCACAACCTGATTGAGATGTTGCTTCCATCGAACAATTCTGAAGATTTTTGGTTGAAGAGAAAACCAATGGCGTTACAGTTAAACCAAGAGTCGAAAGTCCGCGAAAAATTGTTGGAGTATTTCGATACTCAGCTGGTTTAGTAACCATTGGAGTTTCTTCAGTCGATGGAGTAGTTAAGACTTGTCGAATTTTCGTATATCGTTCGACGATCGACGAAGAATCAGCTGCTGAAGTTGTTCTTGTTGATTTAATTCGTGGTTTCATTTCCAACGATGGCGTTTTCATTACAGTTCCTCTGCAATTAAGTTCGACGGTTTCTTTTTGAAATAATTTATGCAATTGTTGTTTTAGTAAAAGCTTCAATCGATCCTGGTTACACGATGCATGATAGGGTTGATCATCGATTTGTTTTGTTTTCGAACAGTTAGTACTCTGAATATGACGCATAAGAGTACGACTGTTTATTGATTTGTTTAGATTTGAATTTGCTGAAATTAAAAGGCAATCGCTGGGAATAGAATGATGCAAACTGTTTGACCTACATTGTTGATTTGTATTGACTATCGGTGGATTTTCAACATCGGATGCTGTCGATGATGATAGTTCATCGGATGGTGTGTTCTCGACGAGAAGAGCTTTTTGTTTTTTGAATAGCTGCCGAAGACGTTTAGGAAAAAGATTATTGGATGTGCTTGTTGAAGAGACGAAGTCATTTGGAATTGGGACTCGCGCCGATTTGACTTTTTCACGTCGAGGTATGTAGATACCCAGATATGGACAAAAATAGAGGTTATGCCGAGAACAATTCGTTTTCTTGATATCTTCTGATACCGAGAATGACCATTGATCGAGTCCATCGGTCCATTCCGATGTATTAGCGAATTGATGTGAAGGTTTCAATGTAGAATTGGACGCTTGAATTAAACATTTCGTCAATGATCGATTATTTGATAAGTTGCAATGTGAAACCATTGATAAATTTCTCGCTAACAACCAGAATATTTTGTCGTTTTATTTCTTTTGCTCTTCTTATCAAAACAGAAACGTTTTCGTCGCGTTTCGTTTTTTTTTACTATTCATCTCTTAACAATTGGACAAAGACTTTTAACCAATTGAAGTCTATAAATAAGTACGTCATTCAGACAATTTCATATAAGAAGGAATTCATATTCAATGAGACCATTCAATAAGTACCATGGAAGATTCAGAAGTTCTGTTTTTCTTTTGTATGTATCTTTTACTCAAGTATTGAATTACATTCAATTGACGCGAGGATACGCGATGGCGATCGAGTTTTATACAGAAACTAGAAACGTAGATCGTCAGATAAACAATTCATCTTATTGTAGTTTAGATATGAGAGCATAGAGACATATATAAATCTACACTTAATCCAATGCGTCTATATTTGATATCCGAGCATCATGTTGTCCCTTGCGGATGCATTTATTTTTGTCTGTAGCCATACGGATCTTTTTCAGTTAGTTAATAAACTCATTCGGACTAATGTCATCACATGTGCTCGCGTAACGAGAAACAAAAATGAGATGTTATCATTACAAATTGTTTGAATCAAATCGAAATTTTACAATTGTATTTTTCTTAATCGAAAGGCTTCATCTTATATTTGTTTTTTGTTGTTCTTCAATTTGTTATATGGTCTTTACCTCTTCAAAATCTCGTGTGTTCGTTAGATTTTCTCTTTTATTATATCAAGACCGACAAAAAGTACACAATCAGTTTAACTTCGCCTACTTTCGAATATATATTACATATCACAATCCGATGGTTTAGCTGATCCATTCTTATCTGTCCCTGACGAAGACTCCTGAAATAATACATCTGCAGTACTGGTATTTCGTAGTGAGGCGAACGTCGAACTATTCAACGAACGAATTAATCTAACCAACATTGTTGCATTGAATGAATAGAAAAAAAAAAGATAAACAAGAAGAAAATGACTGAATGCTCCATTAAGCCAATGACATACCGCGTCGCCAATAATCACCGCGAATATTCAAAAGCCATGAATATTTACAGTTGAGTATTTTGTACTCAGCTACCTAAATTTCATAATAGATTATCAATTGTAAGATATGCACTGAAGAAAAGTGCAGCATAAACTTTGTGTTCGATACGGTACGTTAAATGAACACCTTTTCAAGTATCCGGTGTGCAGATTGAATACCGTAGGAGATAGCGAATGGTCTTTTTCTGTCTTAATCAAGATGCTTATTTTTCGTGCTTGGTTATTTCTATGTTCTAATCTATCATTTCTGGGATAATTGAGAAGAGAAAGGTACATCCTCTTTAATGTGTACTCGAAGAAAAACAAACGAGCAAAATTATTCAGACTTACAAGGATGTTATATCGTCACATGAGATTAATCAACAAAGCATCATAATAGAAAAAAATTAATTGGAAGAAAGTACTCGACTAATGAATGATATTTTATGTTATTCTTTACACATATATATATATATAGAATACGTACACGTGTTATCGAATGCTTTTATTGAAATTAGTATAGAAACTTTGTTTTTTCCAAATTAAACCGATTCCCTACGGTTAGATTTCATTCAGGATTCTCTAAGTAAGATTGACATAGACATTAAGTCGATTCTTTCACACTGTTGGTACGTCGAATAAAATGATTAAATACCAAATCTCAGACCAATCTTCAATTAGGTACTCACAGAATGCTTTTCCTTCTTCGAAGAGTTCGAAGTATATTTTTTATTAAAGAACTTTGTACCATAGTTCGAGGGCGAATATTTCTTCTAAATTAATCTTTTCAATTATAATTATCTGTGAGAATCATATATTTTTCTCGCCAGTAAAATATAGTCTGACAGTTTGTTTTGGAAATGAACGACAGTAACACATCTGTTGTCGACGATGATTCTACAAGTAATTTGGGAATGTCCCAACTTGAGCGAGGCATTAAGTTCTACTGCTTGATTTCGCTTCTCATTCCATCGGTCGCATTGACAGGTTTTATGTAAGTTGTCGTTTGGTTTTTCATTTCGATTTCATCAGTCTATTTTTGGTAGTTTATATCACTTTCGATGGCGTTATATTCAATGTCAGATCTATGGATTTGTTCTAATTGTCAATGCTTTGATTATTACGGTTGAATTACCTATTACATTATATTATTTAAACTACGGAACGATTTATTCTGAGAGTCGATGTTCAGCATGGATAACGTTGAATTATTCACTCTTTCAATTAAGTATATTTCTGATGACATGGACATCAATCGAACGTTATTTATTCATCTATCATGAACACTTCATTATGCGTCACCTGATTCTCCTTCATTATGTTCCGATTATATTTTTTTCTTTGTATTGTCCATTACTCTATACCGGAATTGTTATTTTAAACACATGTCAACCAGTTTACGATGTTCACTTGTACATCTGTGGTGGTCCATGTTATTCCTTAGTTTTGACGACTGGTTTATTAGATTGGATCGGAAATGGTATGAGTATGGAAATGACAACATTACTTATGAATATTATCTTGATTATACGCCACTTTATTCAACGTCACCGTATGAAAAAGGCTATACTTACAGCAGCTGGTCGACAACAATGGGTAAGTCTAAATATAGTTGCCTTCCCTAAACACGATTTCATTTGTATAGACTCGTTCAGCCAAACTCGCACTGCAATTACTTGCAATTGGTATGGCGTATATCATTGCGTGGATTCCGTATTCGATCATTGTTTTAATACAAATGTTTCAGAATTCTGAACGACTTGCGTATATTCTTTCCACAGTTTTTGTTTATTTACCTTATTTGCAATCATTGATCTTACCTTATCTTTGTATGCTATTCATTCCGGATATTAAACAAAAATTTTTTGCTTTACAAATCTTTTCTTGTTTTGGTCGAATACAGCGACATCAAAATCGTGTCCAACCTTTTGATGGACAACTGAAAACAGCAACGATTCAAACACGAACGTACAGTTTATGCTAATAGTGACTGAATATTTTCAGTTTTTATCATTTTCTTTGTATCTCCTAATTGAAATAAAGACAAAAGTCACGGGTTTCGAAATAGGAATCATAATTGATTATCAGAACGCAAGTAAAGCAACTGTCTACGTTTGTCGAATGGAGATATGGCGGAGGAGAGACATATTATATATAGATTTGTAAGCGATATGTTGAATAGACAGAACAACAACGACGGCGATTATCTCAACGATTGATTACAATCTAGTTATTTGTATTCGACATAGAATTAGTTAATCTGACCATGAAAATACTTGTAATCCTTTTTCTTGGCCTGGCTTTAATCTTAGCATTCCTTGGCACCATTACGAACCGTTGGTATCAAAGTCTTTCAAATGATTTTCATGAAGGTCTATGGTTGTTTTGTCAACGATTTTCGAGTGATTCATCATCATCAACTTCAACAATAAACTATTGTCGTCGACAACCCTTTGTAAAATCTCAAGCATTAGCAATATCTGGTATGATACTATTATTCATTGCATTTGTTTCATCGATCGTTTATTTTTATCAAAAAACCGCTCGTTTACTTGTATATTTCATTATTTTAATATTGGTTGCAAGTACACTCTTGCTCATCTTCAGTTATTTACTTTATTCTCGAAGTCCTCATTCACGACAACTTGGTTATTCGATTTATTTTATGTTAATTAGTAGCATTCTTGTACTTATTTCAACAGCATTGATTACATTTTTAGCGAAAACAGTTCGACCACCTCCACCGACTATCCGTTTGAACTGAGTTTGTCTACGGTTTTTTTTCTTCATCAGCAAATAAAGCGTCAATTCAATATCTTTCGACAAGTAAATCTTTTATGTGATTCGTATCAAAATATATAACGAAGATTATATCGTTTAACTGTTAACAGATACAATTACTCTTTCCCATATACATTATCATCGTCTTTCAACAGAATTCATCAGTCATAACGTACAGAAAAACAAAGACAGCATAACAAGAAAATATGTCTCGTTTTCCTATGAGAACTTTCGGGAATTGTTTATTAGAGAGAAAGATATTATAGTTCGTATATGGTTAAGACAATCGTTTACAATAGATCATTCCAAATATGAAGGAATATTCAAAAGTAGGAACAAACTAAGCTGAAGTTTATTCTGAAATAGAACAAAAGAAGAGATAATTGATCAGTAAAGAGAAATACAAAAGTCAATAGTTTTCCCATTGAAAATCGATGACAACATTGATGTTATAAGACTTCGAAGTAATCGATGATGAAATGGGGCGTAACATCGGATTTGGTCAATAGAAATCTGCATATCTCTTCAATCATATCACTCTCTCCTTATTGCTTATTGTCATTAGTGTTTAACTGACAATTTGGCATTGTCGATGACATTTTTATGTATTGAAACGATCTTTGTTTTGTTGTTTTTTCGTACTGGCGCTAAAGGACACTATGATAAAAACACAGATGTCTACTATAAGTAAAAATATGTTTGTACCTAGTTCTGCTTCGTTTGAGATCACTTCTATAAATTATGTTGAGGTCAATATTCAGTTCTGGATGGAAGAGAATGCATAGTCTTGCTCTTAATTATCAATAACTAAATGTATGTCATCCTATTCTCTTTCACGTCATAAAGAGTCGTACAAATAAATAAATCATCTACATGCTTGCATTCCATTAATTAATTGAAAAAAGACGTTGAAAATAAGAATTTTGCTTTGCATAAAACTTGCACAAAGATACGCGAAAGCATGAGTCTTCGAACAAACGCTACTTGTGATCACAATCATAAAATGTATACCAATCAACAGTTGTTGAATTAACCTGCCAAACGTGATCTTCCATTGGGTTCATTTCTCTGTCTTCTATCTCGTTGTAAATTCGAGAAAGAACTTTTATCCTTTATTTTGATTTCATTGTAGAAAGTAAAGACTGAATAACAATTCTATTGGACATTGTCATATTCGATACATTTTGCAACAAAATTGAATCACAAAGTTTCTCTCTAAACCAGACCAAGAGCAAAGTCAGTTCGTAAACACAGCATAGCGGTATGTCCTGAAGAAAAGTAAAGAACATATACCTGACGCATATACAAGATGCAAAAAGAAAGAAATCGCTGATTCATTGTTTGCTAAGCATAACTCTTTCGATTTTGACCGAAAAAAAAAGGAAGAAACGAAAGAGAAAAGCTGCATTTGAAAAAAAAACACATTCGTGGAAGAAAAACATTTGAAGTGAAGGTTGAAACTATACAACGTTATAATCGATGACATCGACTGAGCATCGAAATAATTTGGAGTTGCTGACATTGATATGGCTCGATTATTTGGCTGATGCAACACAAGAAAATCGAGAAGTACAGGCAAGACTTCGAACAAAAATCAATTATCTTCGAACATTCGATAATTGCCAAGATTGTGAACATTATATTCGAAATGTTATTGACGATAAACAGGAGAAAATCGTTTTGATTGTCAGTGGTCGATTAGGTCCAGATATGACACAACGTGTACATGATCTCAAGCAAGTCGTGTCTATATATGTCTATTGTTTAAATAAAGAAGCAAATGAACAATGGGCAAAAAAGTATAAAAAGGTCGGTGTTTTCTTTTGTGTTTCTTCAATTTATGAGAATTATTTTAGATTCGCAGTGTTATTGTACGATTGGCTGATTTGCTATATGAAATTGATCGCGATCAAAAGAGTGAAGAACAAAAGTTAAATGAATCGATTGAAATATCTACAAATGAAGATTACAGTTTACCATTACTTTTACGAACGAAATTATCATTGAAAGATAGACGCGATTTTGTCAAGTTTTGTTCAAAAGAATATGACGACAACGAGAGTCAAATGGAAAAAGTCAGAGATTACGAGCACTTATATTCATCATCCAGCGCACTCGATTATTTTTTCAATGAAACACTTTTGTATCGTTTATTACTAAAAAGTCTTCATACGTTCAATATAAAATTACTCTATTTTCTGAGATTTTTCCTTCAGGACATCGAAAAACAACTGGAAAGTCTGCCAACGATATCTGGAAAAGTATATCGTGGACAATTAATGACAACGGCTCAAGTGGATTCTCTTAGTCAAACAGTCGAGAGTGAATTCATTCAATTTAACACCTATTTTATTGCAAGTTCAAATCAGGAACACATTCGACAATCGTTACAAACTGCTGCTGATAATTATCTACAAAGAGTTATCTTTGAAATTGATGATAAAAATCACGTCGGAAAACAGTATAAACAATTCTCTATGTTTCCAATTACTACTACATTTCGCGTTACTTCCGTTCGACTCGAACAACGCATATGGATTGTTCAAATGACAGCTCATAATGATATTCACGACAGTCGATTGAAAGAAGAAATAGATCCGATTCAACTAGCTCAATACTTTCGAGAAATGAATCGATTAGATCAAGCAGAAATACTATTCGAACTCATTCAAACTCAACATCCTTCACTAACAGCTGAATGTTACGATGGACTTGGCCGAATCGCTCAAGATAGAGGTCATTATGATATTAGTCTTAGTTTCTATTTAAAATCCCTGCAAACAATCTCATCGAAAAATCGTACACAATGTTTGAATAACATCGCATGTGCCTATGATTATTTAGAGCAATACGGAGAAGCAATACAGTTCTACGCTGAAGCATTGGATCTTATGAAAACTGGCCTCGAACGTTCAACATGTTTAAACAACATGGGTGTTACATATGCAAAAGAGAATGAAATACAACAAGCATTGGATTGTTTTCAACGTGCATTAACTCTTCGACGAGCATCACTGGTAGAAAATCATCCCGAAATCGGAATTTGCTATGCTAACCTCGGTATGATCTATGTTACACGGGCACAATATGACGATGCACTGGAACATTACAATCTAGCGTTGAGAAGTTTTTCATCGAATAAATTTTGCGATATACCACAAGCGATTGTCTGCCAGAATATGGCTTCTATATATTATCATAAAAATCAAATTGATCAAGCATTAAAGTATTATCAAACTGCACAGAAGATTTTTCGACAATTACGGTCTGCCGATCACCCAAATCTTCTCTATATACAACAACAAATCGAACAAATCATGCAGAATAAATAATCGATTGTCATACCATGTATGAAATGTAAAGAACGAATGGAAAATGACTATTAACATATGTGTATATTCGTCCGCTTCTGTTTATTTATTTCGCTGAGGGTCGTGATTTTCACACAAACCCTCGATTTTAGTTTACAACGTTTTTTTTATCTTTTAGTAATTTCTTTTGACATAACACAGATCTATTTACATTAACGTGTATTTACTATGACAACAGCATTTACAATATTAGAAAATAAAGAAAATCCATCGAGAAAAAACTATATTCTTTTTTTATTATTAATTATATTCATTCTTCTTATCTCGACAATCACATTTGCTATTTTGTTATTCAAGAATTCATCTTCGTCACGAGTAGCCAGTCGATATGTTGCCGACAACGATGATATTGATAATCCATCATCACTTTCTAACAATGAAAACTATGTTCAATGGACAATCTTACAGATGAACGATGTTTACGAACTGTTACCATCAGGTGGAGGAAATAAAGGTGGACTCGCTCATGTGGCTTATTTGAGAGATTCGTTATTAAAAGAAAATCCACATACTTATACAGTTCTATCTGGTGATTTCCTTTCGCCATCTCCACTAAGTCTCGCAATTGTTAATGGAACAAGACTGAATGGTAAACAAATGATTGCTTCTTTCAATACATTGGGACTTGATTTCGTTACGTTTGGTAATCATGAATTTGATTTAAGTGAAATCGAATTAATTAGAAGAATGAATGAATCAACATTTACTTGGATAAGTTCAAATGTGTTTGATCCTCATACAAACACGTCATTTGCTTCAAGTATTCCATACAAACTGATAACCATTCGTCACGTTCGAATTCTTCTTATTGGTTTAACAACTGCTAAAAATCCAGTGAACTATACTCGTGTAGTAAACGAAACATCTCTTGTTCCATTCGTTCAACAGTTTCTTCAATCCCTGACTACTGTTCATTATGATGTACTTATCGCATTGACACATTTAGATGTAGCAAACGACATTATACTCGCACAAAACATTCCACAAATCGATTTGATTCTCGGTGGACACGAACATGAGAATTATTTCTTATTGCGAGGTGCAAAATTTACACCAATATACAAAGCTGATAGCAATGCAGTCACTGTTTTCATTCATCGATGCGCATTTAATCTCAAAGCAAAAAAATTCCACGTTCATAGTAAATTAACAAAAATTACTTCGGAGATGAAATATCAAGAGAAAACATTCGAAATAACCAACTATTGGTTCAACTTAGGTATGCAGTCTTTCATCGAAATGGGTTATCAACCAAACGAGACTGTTTCATGTTTACCTAATAGTATTGAACTCGATGGTCGATCATCATCCGTACGAAACTATCCCACTCGATTAACAGAATACTGTTGTCAAGCACTGCTTGAATCAACAAAACAAGATACGACGGTTGTTGCGCTGTTCAATTCAGGATCAATTCGAATTGACGATATTCTACAAGGAAAAATTACTCAATATGATATTTTACGCACATTACCTTTCTTTAATAAATTAGTTACACTTTCCGTTCCCGGTCAAATTCTCGCGAAGGTTCTGAGTGAAGGCGTATCATTGAGAGGTAATGGAATGTTTCTTGCTTATGAAGGTATCGCAACATTCGATGAAGGAAAAACGTGGCTTCTTAATGGTACAGACATTTCGAAATCAAAAGAGAATTATAATATCGTAACGCTTGATTACGCAAGAGAAAACACAGGATTAAATGATCCAGCAGTGACTATCATTCACAATTATGATCTATTACACACAAAAGCTTTGTTAAATTATTTACGTATGATCTATCCACCTTGTTAAATGGATCTGTTTTATGATTTTTAATAAATCTCATTTTAAACCTGTAATATCCAACTCAAAGATTCAAATGCAAAGTCCGTCTTAGTAATCAGTTACAATAGTTATGCAACGGATAAGAGAAGTTTCGGTGATCCATTGTCGATTCGGAAGAGATTTGATCTATTCACTTGGTAAACCTTTCCGGAAAGTAAATCTTTCCATTCATTACATTGGATTTTACAAGGTAATGAAATGTACTTAGACTTTTGAAATGATTGATTGGATACGATTACAATAAGTGGACCTTTCTTATACACGTAGGTGTATTGATCGACAGCAAGTGTTTGTTGATGGGCTCGGAAAAAAGTTTCACCATAAATTTGCTTCAGTAATAATCTAATTTGATTGAGCTTTTTTATAAAACTATAAATCCAATTCGAACGATCGTAACCAGTTCTCCATAAAGCTTCGCGGTTCCACGGATCACCAGCACCGTTTTTAACAAACGGATTTCCCGTGAAATTCTGTTCAGTACCCATGTAAACAATTGGAATACCATCACTAAACATTAAATAAACAAGAGCATTTTGAATGCGTAGTCGATCCTGTGTATAACTTAGAAACCGATCTTGATCGTGATTATCAAGAAAAGTTCCACAGAGAGTGGTATCTTTAAAGTATAATTCGTTTTGTTGAACTTGCTGTTCAAGAGTTGTCATTGATTTTCTTGTTTGATCATTGTCGGTGAAAACAGATTTCAAAGCATAATAAAGTGGGTAATGAATTACACCATCAGCAACGAATTGATATTTGCCGACATAAGATGTATTTGACGTTGCGACTTCTCCCAAAGAGTAGACACCAGCTGAACGAATATAATCTTTCCAAAACGATTTCCGAACATGACGAAATGTATCAATACGAATTCCATCGAAATTGTATTTGCGAATTGTTTGTTCAATCCATGATAAGAACGTAGAAACAACAAACGAGTTTTCAGTATTCAAATCAGGCAAGGGCAGTTCTTCGTTACCAATAGAACAATACTCAACCTACGAAAAATAACAAATCATTCGACTTCTTAATTCGTGTGTTCATTCTATGATTACCTGCGTTTGATTATTATAATCTTTGATAAAACATAACGGCTGGTGATAGTGTTCATATTGATCAAATGGAAGATAATTTTTGGTAACATTAGGTCCAACATGATTAGCGACTACATCTAACATAATCCAAATGTCACGTTTATGTGCTGCTTTAATGAAATCGACCAAATCTTTTTCACTACCAAAGTATGCATTCAATTGATACAGATGATTCAACCAATAACCATGCCAACCAACTCCATATATTGTTTCTGTATCGATATTTAAAGGAATTGGTGAAATCCATATAGCGTTGAAACCCATGTCAGCAATGTAATCTAATTGATCAATAGCACCTCTATACGTCCCACCACAATAATTTCTTATTGCTTTCTCTGAGGGTGGATATTCCATACATCGAGTGTAAGAATGATTAGATGGAGAAAATCGGTCTGTAAGTAGTTGATAAATTGATCTTGAACGCCATTCGGCTACATTTTTACAATATACTGACGAAAATATAGATAATATCAATAAAAGACTTATTCGTATACCACTCTTCATCTACGGCTTATTTTATTCTTGTCGTAAATAACTAAAAACAAAACTACGTAGCTGTTTGCAATGCACCATATACATCGTATAGGTTGTTAAGTACGTTTATTTGGATATTCTGAAATGTCATTTTGTTTGAAACAAAAAGAAGGGTAAAAACAACTAATGAAATGTGCATGTTTGTTTTATATCATTCTATACTAAACATAGATTTGAAAGACATGTGAGTAACACATGACAGTTCCTATTGTCTGTATAACAGTTAATGACATCTCTCAAAGTGCAACTTCGTATTGGATGATGTTCAAATCAATGAACGTGATTGTCGTCGTTCGTTTTTTCTTATTTTTCTTATTGTCATTATTATTTTTCGTTATACTTACTCAGAACAAAAAGCGATGGCTGGTCCCGGTGTTACTGATGAACCAATTGATTTACATGAATTATGTATTGATGGAGATTATGCTGAATTAAAATCAGTTCTAGAATCATCAACTAACGTTGATGTGAATCAATATAAGCTGTTTGTTTATCGTCCATTACCGCATAGTTCTCAGCAAGTCGATGGTCTGGTCGATGGTGACGATGATTATCAATCTGATGATGAATCATCCGAATCGGGTACCATGTTTGATTATCGATCTCCACTCTTCTATGCAATTGTTCACGATCGATTAGCATGCGTTAAATTATTGATTGAACATGGTGCAAATACTGAGAAATTAAGGTAGACAACGAACAAGTTTTCCTATTGTTTCAATATTCTTTTTGATTGATGTTTGTAGACCATGGGGTTTGAATGCATTTTGTTTATCATGTTTTTGTGGTCGATTACGTATTGTAGAATATTTTCTTCATTTAAATTTCAATCTTAATATAACTGACAAACCAAGTGCAACTGATAATTATTTTGGTTCATTATCTAACGATCATGAACATAAAATAAAGATGCGCGAGATGCATTCACGTGTTGCACAGGATATGGGAATGTTTCATTATCCACTTCATATTGCTGCTAAACAAGATTCAATTGAATTACTTACACTTTTACTTAATTATAAACAAAAATTGAATCTCGAAATTCAAGAGCCTTATACAAAACGAACAGCATTACATATTGCAGCTGAAAAATGTTCGACAGAGGTGTGCGATAGAAACTTTGATTAAACAGATATTCTTATATTTATTTCTTCTTCTTCTTCTTAGATCATTCGTTTACTATTAGAAGAAGGTCAATGTGAAGAAAATCCGGTTGATTTGAATGGACATACACCATTAGATATTGTTTGGAAATTACTCAATAATCTCGATTTTCAATTTGAATATCGCGAAGACACATTGAAACTAATGTTAAGTCATCAATGTCGATTTTCTTCATTGAAATCATTAACAGAATTTTATACGAATTCCTTATCAGCATTTCGTCGGTTCGAATCAAATTTCTGGATTGTCATTGCCTATGATTTACCCTCATTGTTTGTTGAACCTTTTCAAAATAATAAAACATTACTCGTTCATATATGGATTTGGTTCAATCGTAATTATCAAGACACTGTTATGGAAGATGATGAATTCGATCGGCATTACACTGGAAGTATTCTTCGAAATTTGATTCATGTTATGTATGAAAACGAACAATTAACATTGACCAATCACGAATTAGTTGAATTATTTACCGAAGATTTGGGAAGTCATTTTGATAAAGCTACAGATGAAATTGATACGATTACAACAATATTATCAACACCATTGAAATTGAAGCAAATATGTCGAAATCGAATACGTAAACGACTTTGTTCATCTAAACTAGGTGGTCTTAATCAACAAACACTTGAACATCCATCACTCTCACCACAATTAACAGAGGCATTGAAACATTTTATTTTACCATAAAACAATGCTCTTTGCTTCACAAGGATAAACTCGGTCAAATAATTCTAATCGAACCTAAAGTCATATTGAAATATCTAGCAGACGCTTTATTTCCAGAATGTTATTTTCAGAAAGTAACAATGTAATTACTGTATTTCGATATTTTTTAACCTTTCAATAAAACAAAACGAATCCTCTTTTCGATATCACCACTCGAACTTGTCGTTCAATAATCAATTCTGTTAAACATATATTTGTCTTGTCAAGAAATCATCGTTTCTTCAGATAATTCGATTTCTGATGATATGAGATGTTCCCGATCGGAATAAAGTAATGAAAATTTTGTTGACAGCTGATTTCTTTTTATCGATCCATTGCCGAGAGAAACCAACCAGTGACGATGCGTTTTTAGTCGTCATCATCATTTACCTTGATGAATGCTTTAGAAAACAAAATATAAGATGCAATATGATTTGTTTCTGATGCAAAATAAATCGAAGAACAACTCATGCATAAAAAAATCATATCATATATAAAGACAAGGTAGAAAAATATCTCTTTTTGTATTATATCATTTGGATAAGGAAACGATGTTCTCAACATTGAAAGAAATACTGGGAGAAAAACTTGTTCAACATAACCAATCTGATGATAAACCAAGTGAAATCTCAGCAGATGAATTAAACGGAAAATCCATTGCACTTTATTTCTCGTTAGTTTCTTATCATTCTATTTATAGATAACAATGAATTTGACTTTCTTTTGTTCTAGTGCATATTGGTGTCCACCATGTCGTAATTTTACTCCAATGTTAGCCAAAGTTTACAAAGATGTTTATGATGAAATATCAAACAAAGTTGAAGTTGTTTTTCTTTCGTGTGATGTGAATGAAGAAGAATTCAATAAATACTTGGAAGAAATGCCATGGAAAGCTGTACCATTTGCCGGTAGGTCATAATGTTTAATTGAAGAAAAACTGAATGTTGAACGGAGTCGTTGCTTGAAAATTTAGATCGTGATCGTCCGAGATTTCTCGGAGACAAACTCACTCCCAATGGTCTTCCAAGTCTGATTGTTCTGTCACCATCTTTTGAGATAATCACCAAATCTGGTCTTGAAGAAGTACAGATCGGTTTTGATAAAGCTCTACGAAAATGGTCCGAAGGAAAATCTTTATTTTGGACTCGTCCACCACAAGAAGGTGAACATATCTGGAAAAGTGCAACTTGTACGGGCTGTTTTATGAATCCAATAGTTGGTTCACGACATACTTGTTTAAATAAAGAATGTCAAATAAGTTTATGTAAAGAATGTTTATCGAAAACGAAACACGAACATCCATTAATTGATTATTTTCTCCCGACACAGCACTATTCTTTAGCACAATTATTAACAATGGTTCCATATTTACTTGATTCGAAAACGAATGAAGAAATTTCGACAAAAACATTATTAGATGACAATTTAAAAAGTATAGGATTTTATTTTTCAGCTCAATGGTGTGTACCTTCACAAACATTTACACCATTACTTGCGAAATTTTATGAAGAAATACGAACAAAATCACATCATTTTAATATCTTGTTTTTATCTTGTGACAAAGACATCGAATCCTTTCATACTTATCGATCTCAAATGCCATGGCCTGCAGCACCGTTCAACTACAACGATGTTTTACCTGAATACTTTGGAATTTCTAGTAAGAATCAATTTAATTCATTATAGAATGATCATCATCTATCCTATAGATATACCATCACTAATTATCGTTTCATCAAATGGACAAATTCTATCACGTCAAGGATTTCAAGGTGTTGAACAGCATGGCATAAAAGCATTAGAAACATGGTCACAAGGTGAAACGTTAACTCGTCCTTCACCTGATAAATACAAATGGTTACATTGTGCTTGCGATGTTTGTGGAATAAATCCAATAGTTGGTGAACGTTACTCTTGTCCAACATGTGGAAATTATGATCTTTGTTCGACATGTCAAAAGAAAGGACATCAACATGAACTTCAACTTCAACCATTGCCGAATGAAGATGATTGAAATGAAGAAACTACAGAGAAATACAATACGTCTCTTTATTCTAGAATTGATCGAATTAATTTAAGAAGTTTTCTTGTCGATCTAATAAAAACTATAGGGCAATTACATTCATAGTTACATATAGAAAATAATGATCAAACTCAGATACTCGCTGATAAATTATACAATTCGTATATATATGAAAAGCAGAAAAGTTATCGATTGTCTTTTATCGTGTAGAGATCGCTTTCGTTATAATTAGTCGTATTGGTGGACGTATTGTTGAATCTAAACACAAAAAAAAAAGGTTCAATCTATTTGGACAATAATCTTTGCTGCAAGAAATCTGAGATATTCGATTGAAGAAGGAAACGAATATAAAGGCCAATCTGACTTTACTTCGTGCAATAGTTACCTGATGAATCTTTTATTTCTCCACTACGAAGAAGAATGAGAATTGCTGGTAAAAGAATGACCATAATAATCAAAGCAATTGTAACTCCACAAATGATCCGCATGCATATCTTTTCACTGTTCAAAACTTGTCTAAAAGAAATTCTTCAAATAGTTATTCAATGAGAAAATGTAGATCTAACTTACGGTTCTTCAGCTACTGAGCCTAACGAATCAAGTCGATCCATAAATGATACGATCTTGAAATGTGAACGTGTGAATAGATAGTCAGTGGAAAAAAATAGTCGACAAATGTCAACAACTCATGCTCCGGAATGAAATTTCTAGTTCAAGTAGATTTTAAAAGATATTCTCGAGTTCGATATGTACTTTCTTTATCTTGAATTACTTTTGTGGAACATGTGTTAGCGATTAAACATCTTATCATTCCTTGGGAAAATATTTGATTCATGACTTAATGTGAAAAGTGTGAATAAAGCTATTTGTTGAGGAACGAATAAAAGAAGAAAGTCAGGATTCTGCGTCTAATGGTGTTATTCTTTATTTAGCACTACATTTTTTTTCATCAATATTATTTCTTTGTTATATTAATACAAATTAAATATAGATATTTGTCGTGTTAAGATGGTGACCTAGTATAGACTAGTTGGTTAAGTCTACTTGTTTTTACAAGATACTGTTTGCTCTTATAGATGAATGCGAATACAATGACAATCTGTCGTATTTCCACCTGTCTCGACACTATAGACTATGGATATAAGGATTTTTCAGATCAAAAATTGGTATCATGTGTTTTTTTTAAGTGAGAGATCAATGATCTGTCATTATTTGCAAATAGTAATGATGTATTCTTGTCTTTTGTGATAGAAGAAGGAACTCCAAAAGATTTCAATTAACACTTCCGAGTGTACCTTCATGGAATTTATTTCTATTGCAGCGAATTATCTCTTTTGATAAAAATCAACATGAATAATAATCTAAAATTATATTTGTGCTTTCAAGAATCGAAAGACTTCTATCTTTAACTAACTTGTCTCGAATAATTCAAAATTCAAAAACAAAATCTTTTCACATTTTATATCTTTTCATAGACAGTTAATCACATGATGAAAGCTTAGTATTTGAAAGAACGCTTCTTATTGACTTGGACTTTATTTTTTTTAAAATGTAATCTGAAATAATCTGATTAGAAAACATGATCAAATGACGTTAACATGGAAATTTTTATTTTTTATATGTAAAATGAACTCCGATTTTGCTAAGTACTCATTTGAATTTTCCCAAGAAAAACGATACGAACTTCGGCTTTTTCAAGAATTCACATGGAACCCTGTGAGCATGTTGATGCCCTACAAATTCAAATTTCACAATACAGTTCCAAATAACTCGTTTCCTCACATGATGGATTATACGAATGAAACGTTGATCAGTTCGATTATTTATGACGATAGTGAATTTTCACGTTTATTTAAATTATGCATCTTTACTTCAATATCTCTTCTATCGATTCCATTGAGTATCACCATTATTATCCATTTATGTGTGAGAAATGGCGAACTACGCATTTTATCTGATATAATATTGATTATTCTATTACTTATTAGTTTAATTGACATTCTGTGCAATCAGTCAGGTATAATGGTGTATTTTGCTTTGTCGTATGTTTGGCCATCGCATTCTGTTTATTGTCTTATATGGAATTACTTTAATTATTTAGATTATTATTTAAATTTGTATTTAACAATGTGGGCATCGATAGAAAGACATATTCTTATTTTTCATCATTTATTTTTCGATCGACCTGGCAAACAACTGTATTTTCATACGATTCCTTTGATCGGAATCATTTCCTATGGAATATTTGCTTATTTAGGTTTGATTATTTTCAATCCATGTACGAATCATTTTCAAATGACTGAAGCATGGTGTGGAGGAATATGTTTCACAAATATACCAATTCAATATTTCTACGATTTCTTTATCAACTCAGTATTTCCTATCTGTGCGATTATTATTTTAAATCTTAGTTTACTCATACGCGTTATTAATAGAAAAACTCATCTGAAACAAAGTCGAATAGCATGGAAAAAATGTCGAAAATTAACCATTCAAATGATCACTATTTCCAGTATCTATTTAATATGTTTTCTACCATCGGGGATCATTGTAGTGTTACGAAGTCTATTGGCAAATAAACACATTGGAGAAAGAGAAATGCAGATATGCCTTAAATATACATTTCTATTGGCAAATGCACTTTTACCATATGTAACTCTTAGTTCATTGCCAAATCTTCGTAATAAGATCAAACAACTTGTACAACATGCAAGACGAATAAGAATAATCAAAATAAGACCGATACTGACGCATATGTAAAAAGAAAACATTATTATATTACTAAAAATAAAAAGCGTGTAATACAGATTTATAATGTGAAGAGAGATAAGACGAGGTCATGTTGTCATCATCATCTGGATTATAAAATCGAGAAAGTTAAGCAAAAACAAATATCCTCTCATAATCTTTGAGCAACATCCAATGAAAGAATTCTTTATTGGAAAACATCGTTTTTTTTCAATAATTAGTACAACAATGTGCGACAACGCTTTTTGTGTATTTGATGAACTTAGAAAGGCAACCAATTTAGCAAGAAAAAGCTCTTGTTGATTCATGAAAACTAATTCTTGGAGATAAAAGAATAAGCTGCAAAGGTGCTAACCGACGTCTGATTTTCCTTCATAAAGAGTAGAGAAAAGTAATACTTGATTGCTTCAATAACCGAACAAAGTATTCTTTCGTCATCATTTCTTCATAACGATTATTTATAGTTTCAATTTCAAATATAAGGATAAAACAGAAAACAATAGATAATTATTTCATATCATATACAAAGACAATTGGATCTTTCGGACACGCATCGGATATTTAATATTCCAATGAATCTGTGAAATTCTCTCGTCGAACTTCTTCTTGACAAAACTGATATTCGTCCGATGCCGATGATTCACTTTCACTCTCGTCTGCAGTATACTGGATGTCGGCGAGTTCATCACGTGTCTTGGTGGATAATTTGTATTTGTATACTGGAGGAGTAATGGTCTGCAATTTCCCTTCGTTTGCAACTACTTTAACGCTCATCAATTGTCCGTTGCAACAACGTTTGTGTTCACCTAAAATTCTTGTAGAAATGCACCAGTTGGTATAACAAATCTCTCTTACTAAACCAGTAGTCACGGTACGATGGTTGTCGATATACTGGTCGTCTAAAATAACCGTAGAATGGCCTCCAGTTTTTACATATACCATTGCATTGCCACCAATAGTGTCCGCAAAGTTCATCTACAAATTTATGATAAACCTAAATGAAACCGACCCATCATATTTCTACGCTCAACAATTCAATAAAATCGAAGTTTACTTTGATATTCATGCCACTCAGATCATTGATTCGTAACATGTGATAGAGAAAATCTTCATTGTGAATACGACGATCCTAAGACTCGAAATTAGCGCTGATATCCAATAGGAGTAAATAAATTCATTACTCGTATTTGTTTTGTAATGTACAAGTAAACATGGATCATTTCGTGCTAAAAGAAAAGAAATCAGAGGATTGTTATGAAATTTATGAAAAGAACCGACAAGTAGAGTTTCAATCAGATCTGTTCGTGGTCGTGATCTTAACAAAGGTTCACTGAGTGTAATTCGACAAGAGTTTTCTTCTGATTGATAGAGACAAACTGCTCCGCAGCTACGAAACACGGATAATTTAAAAACAGTAAAAGATTAATAAATTTTCTACTTACCCGTTTGTTCGCTGATCCCACTGAATACAAGTAGATGAAAGTTGCTCACTAAAATAATCCACATTGAGTTGATTGAACAACTGATGAATGTTGGATGTTAAATCAGGCCGCATTGAATCATTCTGTCCGACATCTAATGGAATTTCGTTGAATTCTTCGTGAAATTTCAATGCCAAGAAATAACTTTCATCTTCATAATCGCACGATTTCTTGTCATGAGGATGTTCTCTCATACTAAATAATTCATTATCACCAGCAAGGGTTTCGAAATACATCTAGAACTAAACTACATCATTCCCAGCTCATTAACTGATTCTCGTTCCATCAATCGATTTTATTCTCTGTAACGTCATTTGGATAAACATAATCACGGTGTACAAGTGATATTGATGTTCACATGCCTGATTTCTTCCATTCACTAACTTCGCACAGATACTGCGCACTTAGCAGATGCCACAGTTCGTTCTAAAGAAAGCAAACATTGAAAATAATGAAAAATACGGGAAAACATTTACGTTTCTCTGTTTGTACAACTTATTGTGTAAACATATGATTTGCTTCAATGATAAGAATATCAAAGAGTAGTTCAAAATAAATGATCAAAATGGATTTTGCATTGATACGCTTGAACATCAAGTAAACAGAGATATTGATCTAGAAATCTCCAAATATACTTTTGCTGTACATTCAAGTGCACACTGATTGAACTCTTATTCCAAGCAGGAATTGTACATAATTAATATTTTCTATTCTTATGTAGTTTTATCTCGTTGTTAAGTCAGATGCTGATGGAACAACCGATGTTTTTTTCTTTCGGGGCTAATCTTTATACGTATATTATGCATTTCAAAAAGATATTTCACAGACAAAACATAACACAAATATTAAAGTTTCGATTATACAACATGTAAAAGCAGATATGTCCAATCTATAATTGACTAAAAACGCAATATTCTACTAATATCTAGACTTCAGCGGTGTCGTGCTTCTTTTCCATCGGATCGCAATTCCAACGGGATCGAGATCGGACTTGAAAGAGAAACAAAAAGGACTGGAATAGTCCCGTCGACTTCGACTGATCGGTCACACAAGCTACAAATAGAAATCTATCTCTGAATTTCCTGGACCCATTCGTGCATCGAAATCGAAAAACAAAACTAGAAAAATCGACAGCGAAATCGTTATATACAAAATATATGTGCATTTCCAGTTGATAAAACGCAAAATATTTACATAAATGACGAGAGAACGAGAAAAACGCATTATAGATTACAAATTTTGACGAGAAAAATCTGGGTGTCACAGGGGGAAGTAACTAAAAGGTATTTATCGCGACTAAAATAATACGAAAAAGAAGAGAAAAAAAAACAGGCGTTGTATGTTACTGTTTACAATTGCTGAGAATAGGCTGATTTGGGATTTATTGGCTGACAACCTAAATGAAATTGATATTTAGTAATAATGAAATCGATTTTCACAAACGATATTTGATTGTTCATTGTATTCTTGTAAATCTAACTGAACAAAATCATCTTGTAGAGCACTGTTTGGAATAATTTCAATATCATCTTCGATTTGTTCATTATCTTCATCAATACTTGTCTGTGTTGCATTAGAATTATAGCATTTCTCTTTATCAATATCTAATGGCTGATTGATAACTAATTCAGGCATTGGTACTTGTCGTTGTTTATTATATGAGGAAGTATTTGCTCGAGCCATTGTGCAAAGCTTTTGAACAACATCAGTCTAGAAAATCATTAATTAGACTGACTCGAACAAAAAAGATTGTCGATTACTTGATGTGGTGTACGAATCTTTGCCATAACATGATGAGCATGAACTAATTGTCGATCGGCACACGATTCACAGAGATCATAGTCAAAACATTCGAGACATTTATAACGAACACCAATAATCGGTGAACGATTACAACCTATCGATTGGACACACGAAATAGTATTATGAAAAGAGATAAGATTATTTTACTAACCATCACAAATAACACCAACATGTTTGGGTGGAAGATACTTCAGTAGAGCACCATCTTCTTTTAGAAATTTAACGAAGACACGAAGAACTTGCTGACGTGAGGCTTGATCACGCGCCGCTTCATTGATTCCGCTCGATGATGTTACTAATACAAGGCCATGAACGTCATCTGAAAAGGATATCATTCTTGTCTGTCGAGTTTTCTTTTCATATTTTACCTTCATATTGAAACTCAACGTCAGTACCGTTCGAGTCCGCGGTTAACTCAGGAAACAATTGAGAAAGTTTAGCACGTAGAACAGATAAAACATCAGTGGAACGCGTTAGAACAGGAATGCCTATACGACGGTATTCCGTTGTTCCATCTAACTTTCCAACGCATAATTTTACTTCGACCATTGCGTCTTTTTTACTCTTCTTTTTTTCTAAAAAGAAAAAAATAATAAACACCGAGACTCAGACTCATTTTTTTCATTAATTAATTTAAAAGAAAAAAAAAGAAAAATGCTATTAGATAATAACAAATATAATTACAAGGAGGAAAAAAAACGAAGATTAAGTAGATACATAAAGAGACGATGGTGGTGGTGGTGGTGACTGAAGAGACTGACAAGATGATGAGCCAACGCGCGCTGTTCCATCTTCGTCATACATCAAACATAGATAACCTTGAACGAGAGAAAAAGTAAGACTTCACTTCTTTTTTATCTTTGCTTCAACATACCATTGGAATTTGTTACTGTTTTAGCATTATTATTCAGAACAGTTTCAACGATTTCTGTTGCATCAATTCTTGTTGAATGCAATCGTCGTTGAATATCTCCAAATTGATCAATAAATGGAGTCTAACAAAGAAGATACCTTCGTTCGTATAATTATTCAAATCAAATTCAGTCGATCTTACTCGTCTTTTATGATTTACACGCCGCTGTGAGGGTTGAATACTCTCTTCATCACTGCCTTGTCTGAAAAATCGAAGTGAGATTTATTAATCGTGTTAAAGCGTTGCTTATCTTTAAGTTTTTTTTTTTTAGTAAAGCAACAAGAAGAAGAAGGCTAGATCTCTATCCGACGGTCTACCTGAGTTTAGCAAACATATTGGGATCCGAATAGGAATTGTGAAAATGACGAGACTCACATTTTATACTTCTAAGAATATGACCGATATATCGGTTTTCTATTTGTCATTAGAGTACGTACCTCAAATGATTTTTATCATGAGGAATTGAATTGTTGGTACTATTGATGCTATTGGTTGAATAATTCGAACACATACTACTTTTACTCGCTTGACGAGAATGACCACGAAGGGAATTTGTAGTAATCGGAGGACAAAGTTCAGCAGCTGATGTGCTCATATTTGAAGAACCATCATCTAAAACAAATTCCAAGGTAAAAACACAAATAAAACGTATGCAAATAAACCTGAACACGGATCATAGGTAGTTTTAGTTGCTGGAGCAGGTTCAACTTTAATATAAGGATGGTCGTTATTTGGCCTAGAGCGGTAAATATTAAGTTTTTCTTTTAACAAAGATTTCAATTAAAATCAGACCTTCGAAAAATCTGATCTCCTTCGACAATTGTTAATTTCATTCGTATTTGAAGATAAGCATTCGCTGGACTGGTATTTGTCTGTTGATATGCATTCAACAGACATGCCTTTGATTCGTCGCCACTGCCAGCAACTGATGCTAAATCCAAATCATAGAAGCCAATTTTCTCATGCGAACGACCGCCGCGTCCTTCCTAAAGGTTGTAACGCGAGATTTTGAAAAATAATCGCTTTTCGTTCTTGTTACGTACTTTTCGAATAGAAATTCGACAGAAACAATGGTCCAATGTGAAATTATCTACTCGCGATGTCATTTTCACTGTAAAACGGTCACTTAGATTGAATTCGACTTTATTTTCATGAACTTCAAAACGCCTAGAAGAAAACAACAGAATACAATGATTCATCTAGTGAATTGTACTTACTCGTGACATGTATAAACATGATTTCCGCCACTGAGTAGACGAATTTTGAAGAAAAACTTTCCACTGGCATACGGAAGCGAAAGGACGCGATCGACTTTTAGATCAACATCGAAGGTATGTCGACGTTTACGATTGAATGTCGACAATAAACTGCTCGCTGCTTTATTATTAGGAATTTCTTGCGATTTGTTCATGTCAATCTGATCGTTTTGGTTTGTTTTGGGGCTCATCATTACGAAAGAATCTTAATAAACAGAGAAAAAAGAGTTGTTTTTTCTATGTATTAAAATTCTTCAGAATATTTTATTTAGCAAACAAACACTTACCAGATTTCTTCACCTTTTTTCTCTTTTTTTCATTCATCAAATAGACATACACATGGCCAAGGTGTTAAGTAATATGACATCATTGCTTAGAAGCATATCAACAATAAATAAACATGTTTTCGATTACTAAATCAAATAAAACAAAGTCAAGGTAGAAATGCTCAGAAGTTTCATTTCAACAGACGAATATGACAAGAGATTCTCATAGGGAACAATTACAAAGTAAATTGCTGTTCTACCCTTCGATCATTCATTGTTGTTGGAATAACAAAGTAAACAAGGTTTTACCCGAAATGAATAATTGTACTAGCTATATCCAATGAACTTCTTTTGTATCGAAACACTAGCGACATCTATCAAACAACATATGTTTCATCTACTTTATTGAATTGCAATTAATTCTTCACTAGAAACAAAACTTATCTAAATCGTTTCTTTTCTAATAACACACGCACACAAGCAAAAAAAACATTTCATCTAGAAATCTCTAACGAGAAAAGAATTCCAAATCACCGATGATTAAATCAATGGCTTGGTCGAAAGACAAATTAAGTTGACGTATATTAATAACAAAATATTGCTTTTGATTGATTAATGAAGATATATTAAACAAAACGAATTGTTCAGGACGAATTTTCGCTGACCAGTATTCGCTAACATCCGAATTATTCGCTCGTCGACCCAGGTATAAATCACACATATGATCTGTTAAATTCTAAAACAAGTCACAGTGAAATACGCGGATAAAAAGAATGTAATGGTAATTGATCATACAGAAATTGTTGGCGTTGATATGTGAATAAACATCATTGGCCATTTCACTTGAGTCATATCAGCAATAGTTACTTTTAATAAAACTTTCCCAGATGCCAAACGTTCTGTTCGTAGGGAATTTTCTAAACTCATACATGCACGACGATTCCATCCACATTTCTCGTTCTGTGTGAACGGAAGAACCTTTTCAAGAACAAAAAAAAACGGAGAAAAACGTACGAAACATCTTTGAAATAACCAAACGAACTTGTGTTAATGAACAGGCAAGTGCTTGAGCTGGTCGATCTGTGAATTGGTTATGCAATGGTTGAATTAAATTCACACTCAATTCACCGATTTCACCGCTATCAACGAATATCAATTGAGATTTTTCATTTCCAACCAATCGAATGATTCTTGCTCGATACCAGTTCGCATCGTTTGGTGATTTTGCAACACAAAAGTCACCTGGTTGAGGAAGAAAAGTTTTATTCATATCGGTGCTATTATAGTACGAACTGAAAACGAATAGAAATGATTTGTGCTTCCAAGAAAAGAGTTATTCAAGGAGTTTTACTTGATAGTTTCATGCATTTCGTTATACGATTCGATTTGATTGGAGATTCGAAGAAAGAAATATGATGGATTGTAATATTTCGATAATTCACCTTCGAAATCAACGCCCGTTTGAAACCGTTGATAAGTAATGGTAACAGGAGTATTGTATTCCACTGCAAAAATCAACAAAATAGCACATCTCCTACCATTTAAAATCTTATTTACACGCTCGAGTTATAATTTGTGTTGCAGGATAATAGTGATTCTCCCGATTTGCTGTTACTTTTGTACCATTGTATGTTCCTCGTCGATTCGTGTGGTTGCCATTTGTTTGGTAACGTTGTTTTTGTTGATTTTGCTCGAGTTTAGGTATCGGTCGAAGTAAATGAGAATTGTTTGCATTCGTTGGAAATACTGGTGATGATAGATTTTTATTTACATGGTGAGAAACTGTTGATGGTGATGAACAATTACTAACTGATGGAAAGATTGGAGAGGGATCATCTAGACGTAAATCGTCGATCAATTGATACTGAAAACAAAATGCTCGGATAGTCCTTCGAAATGAATTCCATGGGAATCATCTTACGTGAGATTTCACGGCATTGATTGTTTCCTGTAATGTTTGAAGTTCTTTGCCAATTTCCACTTGAATATCTAAGAGTAAAATTCTCTTTTTCGCTCAATAGAAAATAAAACTACAGGGTCGTTTACGCTGGAGTAACTGTGACCATTGTTGAAGAGAAGTATGGACGGATTCCAGAGTAATCAGACCGACAACTTGCTGTTTGGACACTTTTGGTTGATATTGAAATGAGTTGTCCATTCGCCGCGATATCATTTGACCTTTAATAACATTGTTGTTCGTTGAAACAAACGAATCCAATGCCAGATCCAAATATTCATGAATTTGTTCATCATAGATTTGAATTAAATATTCCAAATTATATTTATCTTCGACACTGAATGCGGATTTGATTTGATTCTCGAGTAATCCAATATCAACTGGATGTTTTAAATCAAATTTTCGTCTTTGTCGACCGAATTCTACGACTAACGTCAGCATCACTTATTCCCAATAACTGCCTTCCAGTCGTCCAAACTTCGATAGATTTAAATTTTTTTCAACGTTAATCCGAACTGACCAACACGATGATTTCACTAACATATTTCAATTATTTCTCATCGATCATTTCTTTCAACTGATGACATCTATCAGTTCAATGAAGAATATCGATTTCCGAACAGAGAGAACAAGATACGATCGATAATCATATCGGTAACAACAAAGAAATGTCTTCCGATATACGATCAATTTACCTTTAAGATAAGATATTTCATCTAAACTATCTCACGATCTCGTTATTGAAAAACACCAAATTAACAATTCGACATGCACAATCTCTTTTTCCTTTTTCCATCAAATTCCGTTTTTCTCACTCTATCACATACGATTCGATACTCCGAATCCTTTCATTTTGTTCGATGAACATCTGTGACCACCGTAAGTTACACGGCGAGTCTCCCCTACTCCTACACAATCGGTCTGCTCATCAGAATATCGTCACAAAGTTCAAAAGAGTATCGATAATTGAATACGCCGGTCAAAATCTACATTCGAATCAAGTCCAATAATGAAAAACTGGTTCCCAGAGAGAGAGAGAGAGAGAAGGCAATACTTGATGCACTGATAATTGTATCTTTTTCCTCTCCCTTTGTTTTTCTCTTTTGTTTGTTTCGACGTCCGACGTCATCGGTCAATCAATTTCTTTTCTCATCGAATATTCTCGAGAAAACAAAGAGAGAGTGACCGGGCAAACGGTCATTTATGACTCATGACCAATGAACAACAATGACCTTGAACTACACCAATGGCAATTTTGTCTTCTCCCTGTACCTTATATAAATGGATGTGTCTTCCAAGAAGAAATTACACAATTGAACAAACGGATAAAACAGTAAGTCCTATATCATTCTTGTTATCGAAGTCACTGTTCGTCTTGCCTCGCTATTGAATACAATTCAGCGAAGCCTGTCGGCCAGTACCTTCTAACAAGAGATGTCAACAAACTGTTTTCTTGTCAACGACTCCTCCATACTATGTTAAAGAAGACGGCGATTACACTGTTCACACACCTCGCGCAGATATGAATCTCTTTGTCTTGAAAAAGATCAGGGATAAACAAGCCCGCCAGATTGTGCGAACAGTCTAATTGCTGCTTCCAGTGACATAATTTCGAATGCTTAAAGGAACACAGAGAACAACTGTTCATCTAGCCTCGCCTGTGTATTTGAAATAAATCAAGGCGGGAGCAGATTGCGACAGTCATTAGATGTGCTTCTAATCGACGAACGGAAATTTTTTGTTTATTTGTTTGAAAGTTATATGGAATAAAAAACTGTTTAGGGCTAAACTTGTGCCATACGGATATAGCCTTTGCCGCTGGGAAGATCGTTTTTAACTTGAACACCTTGTGGAAAAAATTTCTGTACGTCTTCGTCTTTAACACTTGGTGGGACCATGACTTTGTCGCCAACCTAATGAAGAGGTGTTTGATATATGTGTAAAAGTGTCGAATGTGTGCTTACCTTCCAGTCAACTGGTGTGGCAATGGGTAATTTAGCTGAAAGTTGGAGTGAGTCAAGTAAACGAAGAATTTCACTAAAAATATGTTGTTTACATGTATATTTGTTATTGTTTAATAAATATTACTCGAAGTTTCGTCCAGTTGTTGCTGGGTAAAGTAAGCTTGCTTTCACTTTCTTGTCGGGACCAATGAAGAATACCTATTTTGAAAGAGGCGGTGTTGTTATGCTGAAAGTGGAATCCAACTCACGGCACGAGCTGTTAAGGGTAGACCTTTGTTGTCGAATTCAGCTGGATCGATCATTCCAAGTTCTTTGGCTAATTTTCTGTCGCTGTCATCGATAATTGGGAAAGCAAATTCACCGTGTGGAATTATTTTGCATTTATCTCCTGTGCATTGAAAGTTTGGGCCGCTGTATGCTTGTAAGTCCTAAATCAAAGGGATATGAGAGGAGGACGAATGTAAACAAGGTATCGTTGTACTTTGATCCATCCGTGGTGATTGTCGAGAGAGTCGCATGATAAACCGATGAGTTTAGTATTTCGTTTAGCGAAGTCAGGTGCTAGTTTAGCAGCACGTGATAATTCGGTGGTACAGACTGGCGTGTAATCAGCTGGGTGGGAGAATAATATTCCCCAACTGAAATGTAGAAAAGAGGTGCATGGCGAGGAAAGTTGAAGAAAGAAACCTGTCTCCTAGCCATTCGTGGAGTTGAATGTCGCCAATCGTGGTTTTCAATTGAAAGTTTGGAAATTGATCACCTAATTTCAATGACATTTTGTTCGTTGTAAGAAAGAAAAAGTTGGAATATCTAGAAATTTGTTTTTGGTATTCGTGAATGAATCAGTAGGAGAACGCGAACAGAGTCGGTTATATAGAAACGAGAAAGAAATATGCTTCGTCATACAGCAGTACATGAAAGGAAGGACACTTCTCGTTTATCATGGCGAGAATGACATCTATTTATTACGAGAGAAGAAACGTGTCATTGTTTTCAGTGGATTATGAAATGTATAAAAGTGTGACAGGGCGCGGTAAGGTTTTTCTTTTGACGAGTAACCTTTGATCAGTGAATGATATTACGATAAGAAGAAGGAAAAAGTAAAGGTAAAATAGATAATGAATTCACGTTTGACATGGTCATTAATCGTAAAAGCTATGCAGAAAATGATTTGAGAATCATAAACACAAAAAAAACGTTATCATCACGAAAGTTTTGCTTCTGCTATTGAGTCAGACAAATACAGAAAAGTACTCGTATTCCTTTACATTGGCATACTTGAAATGATATCTACAAGAGATAAGGAATGTGTCATATGTGCATTCTTTTCAGGTTGATATTATATAAGTGATCGAATACAGAATTTGCAGTCGACAATGTGCTTATTTTTAATCAAGGCGAAATAGTTTTGAAAAAGTAGAAATAAAAATAAAATGATTTGCCATTGAAATGCGACATAGAAAATGAAGAACGAATACAAATGATAGTTTACTAGTTATCGTCGTTGATTTCCAGCTCCACCAGATCGTCGATGTGAATTATCATTGTGCATCGATGCCTAAACAAATAAGAGTAGAACAAATGATCGAAACGATATTCTTTTACATTGAATTCTTGATCCGTTATTTGTAGGTTATTCACTCGTTTTTCCATCGTGGACATCCATTCACTGTACATTTGTTCCCAAGTGGCAATCTACAGAAAGAAAATGAAACAAGGGAAGAGGGAAATCAAAACTGTCACTTGTTTCTTTGCTTCTTCTTCTTGACGACATAGTTCAGCCATTTTATCTGCATATTCTTTCGTCATTTTCTCACATGCATCCTAAAACATCTAGATTCAAACAGAACAAATACCAATTCGTATCAATCTACTCGGTAGTCCTGGTTTTCCTTTTGTAATTTCTCACGGCGATGTTTAGCATCAACCAATTGTGATTGTGCCAATGAGAGATATCGATCAACCGACTAAACGGAAGAATTTCGTCGAAGAAAATCGGAGATATGATCCAACCTCTTTAGCAGCGCGTGCTTCTTGGGTCTTTTTCTCTTGTGTCATAACTCGATCCATCATTTCTATGTTCTCTTCTTTTTGTCGGTCCAACATTTCTTGAGAAGTTGGACATTTTGGACAAGGAGCAGAAGTGGTTGATGCAGGTAAAGGTTGTTTTCTGGCAGTATCTTTCTGTTCGATTTGTTTTTTCAGTTGAACATTGGATTTCTTTTCGAAATGAAGTATACCTTCTAATTCTTCGCATCGATCACATTTGACTTTTTCAGTACGACTTGTTCTATTGATCAAGGTCTTGAAAATAGTAAGAATAAAAATGAAAATAGAACGCACCCCGAAGCACCGGCATTAACATATTCTTTTTCGGTTTTAACCACTGTTGTTGCAGCTTTCGCACGACGTAATTCTTCTACTTTCGTTCTGAATTCATTCGATTGACGTTCAAGCTAAACGAATATTCGATTGACAAAAGAAGAACGACGACAAATATTCAGTTTTACTTCTGCGATTCGATTTTTCAAACCAGGAATATCTTCTTTTGCTTTTCCCACGGTCTGCATTGAACGGATGTTCTCTTATACTTTGATCGTGAGTGTTTTTCAAGCACAAAACAAAGCAACTTTTTCTTTTTATTTACTTAAAATTCTTTTTCAATCAATAGAAACCAACACAATCAATTCGATAGAGGTCGAACATATCTAAAGTGACGTCGTGTTCTGAAAAACTGCTGAATTTCTTGATCGAAAAAAAGAACTCATTGTTGACTATATTCTACACGATAGTACACGACGATTGTAATAGCGGCCTTTTAGAAAGAAGTCATTTTGATAGAGAATGAACAAAACCGTTGCTTGTGGCATGGAAAGAAGAATAAGGAGGAAAAAAGAAACACTCCGCGGCGGGGAATCGAACCCCGGTTTCCCGCGTGACAGGCGGGGATACTAACCACTATACTACCGCGGACAGAAATCATTGTCATAACTAAGGAATTTTAATTTATCGTAGCAGGATGATTTTTCGTCGAAGATTGATGTTTTAGATAAATTTAAAGATTCAAAACTCATTTTCATTTGAAAAAAAAACAGTGAAATTTGCCCTTTTGTACATTTTCTCTGTTCGTTAATAATAAAACGACACATCTCAACACATTTGTATGCAACTTCTTAGAACATAACCATACGAGAGGCTCCGATACCTCCACCTGTAAAACACATTTCTTAACAGTTTCGTACTTGTGAGAAAATGAACAAAAAAAAGAAGTCACTCCGCGGCGGGGAATCGAACCCCGGTTTCCCGCGTGACAGGCGGGGATACTAACCACTATACTACCGCGGACAAAGATCATTCTCATACACCGTTTTACCTATGATAAATCGAATATTTATTCATCTAGTAGTTAAGATACGCATCTCGCATTTTTTTTCTCTCATTTTATTTGTAAATCAAATTCAGCCGGGTTAGCTCTATTTATTATATACGAATGTTGAAGATATGGATTTCTTTATGCTATAAAAAAATATCACCGTAGGATTAAAAATGTGTTAATATAATAGCTCTGTAACTAAAAGTTCTAATTGAATAAAATATTCATTCTTTTTCAGTCTTCCATTGCTTCATCAGAAGATTCGTTATTATCACCACTATCTTCATCTCCTTCTTCTTTCCATTCTACTGTGTATTCCATGGCTTGTTGACGAATATACAAATTATCACATTGTCTTAGCTGTTGAAGAAGTTCTTGGCATTGTTGTCGATCAGCATCTGTTTGGTTGAATACGGTATCTTTTAAGAGCTCGAACATAGCTAGTCCGCGATTTTTTTCTTTGATAAACCAACGAGCAAACTGGAGTTTTTCATTCGTATCCAACTGATGAATGAAAGCACAGGCATTATTATCTTTGATGACGCTTGCTAATTGAGTTAAAACAAATTCGAAATATTTCTCTGGTAAGTTTTCTTGTAGAGTCTTGAAAAGATCTTCAAGTTCTTCTTTATTTTCGATTGTTTTCATCAGTAATCTTCCTAATATTGGAGCCAATGTTTTATCAAATTGAAAGACGATTGGAGTTATTGCTCGGAATGAAACTTTTCTCGTGTGATCAAATTTTTCCAAATGATTATTAAGAGTTGTCAACAGACTTTGAACGCGATGATAAACCGGTAAATCATGTCGATTATCAATCGCATTTTCTTTTGAATCGATTTCATCCCGACGTGCCATGACTTTTTTAATAATTTCAATAATTCGCTCCAATGAACGATCTGTTTGATGTTTATAACACGACAGAATTGTTTCGAAAGCAGTTGTGCACAACGTATTTCCTTCCTTATCGAATCGAGTACAAATGATTTCTGCTTTGTCTGTTAATTTTTGTATATCACTGTATTCTTGGTCAATATTTAACCAAGCAGTTGATCGCGCTTCTAAGGAACTTGGATGGTCTAAAATTGCAAACTGTATTTGATTGACAAATGCTTTGAAAACATCTTTTCCAGACGCTTTTATTCGTGATAAAGGCGAATTCGATGTATCTCGACCTGTAACAAATAATGATTGAATAACTGGTAAATATTCATCGTTAGTAGCTTGTTGAAGAATTTGCCAAAGAACTGTTTGCTCTTTCGATCGACCAATAAAATGAAGTAATGTTGATATAAGACAGGCACGAATATCCTGATGAGGATGTTTCTCCCAAAATGGTTGAATAACTAGATGAACTAGATCGGACTTCGAGATAAATTCAGTTAATAAACGAAGAACTTCTTTGTTTGCGGTAATACCTAGAAGAGATTTGATAGAAATTTTCAAATCATATGAAACGATTGCTTTACCATATGTTGGAAATTTTTCATCTTGAATAAATTGAAGGTATTGTTCTAAGAAGATGTCTTCTGGGATTCGACGAGAAATGCATAACATAGCATCGCTGATATATCGTGCATTTGATGCTTTTAATTTCGTTTTTAAGAAATCGAAATGTTTGAAAATTCGTTCAGGTGGCAAATCGAATGTTGTAGGTAAACATTTAATAATATCACCGAGAGCTTCATTTGTTATACCACGACCCGGTCGATTTGTTGTATTTGTAGAATTTGTTATCAATTGTGAATCTTCTTTTGATCGTATCCATTCGAGTGTTCGCTGATATGTATGTGGAAAACGACGAAGAACGTGCAATGCCGACATTTTTTCCGCGACACTCACATCCTTATACTGAGAAGAATAAAGAAAAATTCGATTGTTGAGGTGAATATTTTATAATGAAAGTCTTTTTACCTGTAGAAAATCATTTAAAATTATATTGGTGATACGTTCTTGTTGTTGTCCAGTTAACAAATGTGAAAAACTGGCCAATAGACTAATTTCGAAACCAGGTAATTTAACATCTCTATCGTCACGATCGTTGGTATTTGCAAATTTGCTTTCAGAATCTGTTAATTTCTCAGATGTAATACATTTTTCATCTTCAATTAATTGATCAACCATCTGTCGATGTTGTTGAGAACGCAAAATATTCTGTTGAACAGATTTCTCAAGAAAAAATAGTTTATCAAGTTTGAGTAACTGATTCACACGTTCTGATCGAGTCGATGGATTTTTTAGATAAAGATCCACGATTGAATTATGCGAATTAATACGAAATGCTGATTGAAACTGTGCTGATGATGGAAGTGTTTCAGTGAAAAACTTCTGGAAAAACGCATCGATTTGTGGCATCAACCAACTCTTCTGTATGGCACCATTCAAAGTAGACTGAATCATGTCGAAGTGACGCTTTGAAACGAGATTCGGCAGCAAATCATTAACAAATATCTCAGCAAATATTTGACGTGTTTCAGGATATGCTTGAGATATTGGTAAATCATCTGTATATGGAAGACAGTTATTTTGATCAATCGAAAAGCATCTAAAATTGAGAAGAAAATTTCTATCTCTTCTTGACATTCGCTTGGTCACCTACTCTTTCATCATTTGTGTAGCAAACGTTTGCAGTTTTGCTTTGCGTTCTTTGTTCGCATGTGTTTCAACACGTTTGAGTATCCGAATTGCGTATTTCGTAATTATTTGGGAGGTATTTTCCGTTCGTTGTAGATGATTTTGTGTAAGTGAAAGAATTTTTTGAACGGATTCCAAATTCTTTGGTAAGATTTCGAATTGAAATCGATCATCGAGTGCATAAAGTTGATTGACGAAATTTTCAAGAACTATCAATTGTTCATTTGTAAATCGCTTTTCAATCCATTGAAGAACTTTCTCAACGGACTGTTCGTCGGTTGACAAAGCACATTTTAAAAATAATTGATAGTTCTTCACGCGTTGATTTACGTCTGAACCTGTTTTTTTGAATAATGACAGAAATTCATCGAAAACAGCTTGTGTCATTGTTTGATAACGAAGAAATGATAATCGTTCTTTTGCATCGACAATTCCTTTTCGTTCGGCTTGAGATAATAATTGAACCGAGAGTGGTGTTGTCAGTTCGGAATATTGTCCTAGTAAATCGAGTGTACCTTGATCTCCTTCTTTGCAAAGCTTCTTTAAAAATGCTTCTTTTCCAATGCGTTGATTAATCACGATATCAATTAACCATTTTCGTTGTTTTTTCAATGCACCCAGACTCTTTTGTGAACTTTGACATTGTAACATCATTTGGAGAAGGCTAATTGTGTTATTTGCTGACCATTTACATGTATCATAGAGAGCAGAGAATAATCGAAGATAATTTTCTACTGAGAATGAACTAGGAATTGCAAACCAATCGAGATCGTTTGTAGTGGAACACCAATGTGATTGAGTTTTAATTGAACCTATAGGAGCGAAAGAGAAGATTTGAATTTGAGGAAAAGAGGTGTAAAACAAACCTGGCTTATTCGCAGCTACCGTAGTAATTAATTCAATGGTTTCATTGGGCGCTACTTTGAAGAAATATATAAAGTTGCTTTCGATGAGAGACGGAAGACATTTTTGATGTTTATCGAGGTTTTTTATATATTCGATGGTTAAATTCAGAAACTCTTTTGGTTGGACTCGACACAATGATTTCATCAGTTGTTGATTTTCTGGAAAATAACTTTTGTAGGCTTCTTTGTCTTTTTTCTTTTCATCGAAGTCATTTTTAATTAATTGAATGATGACAAGCGGTTGACACGACAGTAATCTTGCGTATAGTGCAGATTTCCGATCAATCTCAGTCAAATTCTTAATTGACCAACGGGAAAGAAGTTCTAAAATCTTTTGTACTGAACAAAATGGTAGAAGATGCGCATCGATGTTGTATTGGCTATGGTGATTGACTTCAGTCAAACGGCATAGAAGATCGTAGAAAAATGCTGGTGACTTCTTCAAACAATCGACTCGATGAAGACCTTTGAGAAACCGATTTTTAATCCTTGAGAACAGTGTAAAGCTAGAATTTTGGATTAATTGAGGAAAGAACTTACAAACGTGGAACAGTTTTGTCATTGATTGTTTGTATGATGAAATCAGACGTTTTTTGTTGATCTTTTTGCAATTTAAGCCATATTTTTCCAGCGTGTGTTCGTTGTTCAACCGGATACGATTGATTCGAAAATATTTCTAAGAGATTTTTTTCATTCTTCGTTGACGCGGATAGAAATACCAACATTCGCAGATCGTCGTAGATTGAAACAGCCGATTTTTTCAGATGTTGTTCAATTTCGGTTTTATCAGATAAAGACAAAACATATTTGACTCGATCTGTCCATGATCCTGTAGTTTTTAATGTTTCGTATTGATTAATCAAAGACATCTTGTTGGGTGAAAATATCTGAAAGAAAAATGCAGCAATGTATATATATAAAGTTATATATGGAGAGTTGCTGCTCCATGACGAAACTTCTAAAGACTGTGTTTTTGCACGTTCTCTGCTGAATTATCCAGTCATTGCAATTTGTCATGAAATTGTATTATTATTTGATGATTATTTACTCTATGCACTCGAAAGATTTCTGGCGGTTTTGCAATAACGTTGAGTAAGTATTTTTTATTTACTAATGGGTAGACTAGATTATTTTTAAGAACTTTTTGTTTTGCAAATAAGCAATAGTCGGTGGTTGGTACATACAGAATCATTCAGAAAAATGAAAGAAAAGAGGGCGCAATCGTATTAAACGACTCTACTCAAGATACGTAAACACTAAAATTAAACACCTTCAGCAAATCTTCGTCACAATTCTAAAAGCGATCGAAAGATATACATTTCACATCTCTAGGATATGTTGTAAACACACTACAAATATATCATTGAGTGAATGAAGCTAACGAGAACTGATAGACAATTCATAACTTTCCAGATGTGAACACATCGGTATAATATACCATTTGAAGAAAGATTAGACAATATAAAACGAATGTTTGGGTTTGAACAAGTCATGCGTGCTGGTTCCAATTTTATCTGGTGTCATCTATAGAAACACATATGAAAAGATCTTCTCAATCGTCCAATAGAAAACTTTTCTTTTTCCTCTTTCTATTCTTCAACACTTTTTATCTTATCAAAAAACACATTTACATTACTGTGTTGAGCTTCGTCATTGTTCGATTTGCATCATTAGAATCAATTCCAAGATGGGTTTAAGTGAAGCCGATGTTACTAAACAGGTTTGATTGTTCTTTCTCATTCATCTTCTCCTCACATCTTCATCCATAGATTCAACAAATGATTTCCTTTATTCAACAAGAAGCCGCTGAAAAAGTCGAAGAAATCGAAGCGAAAGCTGAAGAAGAATTTAACATCGAGAAAAGTCGCCTCGTTTCCCAACAACGCATCAAAATCATCGAGTACTATGATAAGAAGGAGAAACAGATTGAACTTCAGCGAAAGATTCAACATTCGAACTTGGCCAACGCAAGTCGTCTATCAGTTTTAAAAGCACGTGATGATTATGTTCAAACGTTGAAGGAGGAAGCAAGAAAACAACTATCGATTTTAGCTCAAGAGCGATCGAAATATACAACAATTTTAGCCAATCTTATCGCCCAAGGTTTATTTTTACTTATGGAAAAAGATGTTACAATTCGTTGTCGACGTAATGATGTGGATCTGGTCAAACAATTAGTTCCTGACACAATCAATCGTTACAAACAAGAATTGAAACAAAAGGAGATTCAAGTCAATATTGATGAGAAAAATTTCTTACCTGATGATTCGTTCGTAGTTCGACCATTGAAAGTTTCAGAGAAAGATTACAAAATGTCTTTTTATCGTTTTAGAGCCGGTGGTATCGAACTCTATGCAATGGGAGGAAAAATTAAGGTATCAAATACGATTGAAGCACGTCTTGCAATGATCTTCAATCAAATTCTTCCCGAAATTCGCGAGAAATTATTCGGTGTTAATCAAAATAGAAAATATCATGATTAATTTATTTTTCTTTTACTTTATTTTTCCACGAACATTCCGAAATAGACAAAAAAAACACAAGTGCAATTTTTCAAACCTTTATCAAGCTCTACGTTCTTCTTTCTTCACTTCTCTAACCGATACCTAATAAATATGTTGTATGTCAGTGTATATGTGGAAGATTTTCTATTCGAGAGTACCTGTTTTCACTTGTGTTCCCTTCTCCCTAATTATCATCATTCGATTTTTATTTTCAAATGGCAACATGATAAAATGAATTCAATTTTGTCCTCTTCTTTTTCATATCTCTTAGAAGGATCGACAAAATGTGTAAGTGACGTATTTCCTTTGGGCATCGAAGTTCTCCGAAAGCGATTTTGGCGAATAATTAACATATACGATGATTTTTAATATACTAATAGAATTGATAACGAATCTATATGTGTTATTTTAATTAGATAGATGAATGCGATAGTTCCGGGTGCAATTGGAAAATAATCAAAGATGTTTTTTGTTATAATGAAGACTATCGAGATTTTAAATCATTTTGGCCTTTTATTCAACATTTTCTTTTCGTAATTCAAAATGAAAATATTTACTTAGTCTACATGTAAAAGTAATTCATTGGTAAATACAGTCAACTGAGATAAATAAGAATACAATTTGATATTAGTCATAATATTTTCTGTTGTGGTTTGTACCGAATAAAGTCTCACGAATTTCCGGTAGCATTTGATGGAAAATAATATCTAGTCGAGCTTCGATTGTATTCGATACTTTGATCTTGTCATTCATGGCATAGAGTTCAATACCGCCAGTTCTGTGAGAAATAAACAGATGTTTTGCGTAAAATATGACAATGCGAGTGATTTGATTACTCACAGTTTCTCGGAGAGAAAGTTTTTCTGATCTAAATGAATTTCAATGTCTTTTTTCACTGTTTGTTTGTATCGTCGAATTGCATCAGGAATGAGTCGTTGAACAAGACCATAATCATCCTGTCGACAACGAATAGTAATTATCGGTTCCATTAGAGTATAGAGACCTTGGATAATAAGATTTGAAAGAATAATTATATACTTCGATCGATCTACTTTCGAAAAATCTAATTTCTTTCTTATTTCTTCTTTGAATGCTTCAATACATTCATCACGTGCTTTCAAAATTGATAGACGACTTGCATTAGCCAAGTTCGAATGTTGAACCTTTTGCTGGAGTTCAATCTGTTTCTCCTTCTTATCATAGTACTCGATGATTTTGATGCGTTGTTGGGAAACGAGGCGACTTTTCTCGATGTTAAATTCTTCTTCAGCTTTCGCTTCGATTTCTTCGACTTTTTCAGCGGCTTCTTGTTGAATAAAGGAAATCATTTGTTGAATCTATGGATGAAGATGTGAAGAGAAGATGAATGAGAAAGAACAATCAAACCTGTTTAGTAACATCGAATTCACTCAGAGTCATCCTGTGTGCGAATGAATAATTATTTCAGAAAAGAGATTCTTTCCTATTAGCAAATCAATACAAATGGTGACAGCTGGATCTTTTTATGCATATCGTAGTGTCCATCTCAGTAACTGAATTCAATGTTGAATTTATGCACGATTTTGTTTTTCTGAATTAAAATCAAATCATTGAATTTTATTGAAAATATTTATGACAATAAAGTTTTAACTAGCGTTGAATCATTGTTCAGTCGATGTAATAGATCAAAACAAGATTGAATCCAAGAATTCTCCATATCGGTACTTTCATGTACATCTTCAATAATACATAAAGTCAATTTCAATCGAACAAAATAATCAAGTGTATCGATTTCATCTGTAGACAATGTTACTAATTGTTGATATCCACAAAGGAATGCTTTTGCGCGATGTTTTCCATTCTGTTTGTCTACTAACAGATGAAAAAGAGATGTTGCTAAATCAGCAATGAATAATGACTGACAAGCATCTACTAAATCAATGATATAAATCTTTGAATTATCCGTTAAAATAGAATTGTTCGTATGGAAATCATTATGAATCAGACCACGTTCAAAACGATCGGTGCGATGAATTAAGAATTGTTTACATTCAAAAAAATTTGATATAAGAAATGAATCGATATTCTTCACGTCTTGTCGCTCCCACCACTCATTAGTAAATTCTTCATATTCTTCCTGCATATGCATTTCTGACACGTACTCTCGCGAAGCACATCTCCATCGTGCTAATAAGCGACCCATTGTTTGCAAATAATCATCATTTCTATCGAGAATTTCCCGTGACGGTTCGGTTCCTTCGATAAATCTTTGAACAAAAAGTAAACGGTCATTATCGTCGATAATCAACGCATTGTCTTTCGAAGGAAGAAGTTTAGCACATGGATATTGATGAACATCATGTAAAACATTCTGAAATTTCAAAATCGACTGAAGATATTGCAAACTATGATCGTATTGAATATATTTCACAACGTATGTCATTTGATCCGATGTAATAAGTCGATAAGTTTCATCGAGACAATATCCACCTTCGAGTTGACTAATGTTTTCTATCGTTAAATTATAATATTTAGAGAGCAGTTGTCGAACTCGATCTTCCATTTATCTAGAAAAAAGGAAATATTTTTTTTCAACGAGAAACAGTTATTTATTTCCTATCATGAAGACTAATTCATATTTAATCTAATTCCTTCATATCTGACTGAAGTGGAAGCGATTTTAAAGCTAAATTCGTTTCAAATATACTTCGAAATTTACCATCACGAACCGCTCGAAGAAATTCACCTTGAAAAATCTATCAAAATACATTTAGATCTTCTAAATCACACGAACGCGTACAACAAACCGGTAAAACTGTATAATTATCGTTTCCAATCAAACGATATCTCATCGTTGTATGCGCACTGTAAACACGTGTAGAAGATCCATTCGATCGTTGTTGTCTTATCAACATGGAATTCATTATAGGAAGAACAGCAATTCGTTGTTTAACATCAATACCAAGAGCGTTCAATTCCTTCGTATTTGGAAGTTTTACTTCTAAAACTATAGAGAAATCAAACTGAAAATGAAATCCACGGCTAATATAAAGAGAAAACCTTACAATCAAAAAGTAACAATGGATAACGTTGATAAGTGTCGATAACTTGACATGAATTCTTTCCGTATAGATTATCGATCTCTTGTTTTAGGTCGAGTAAAAATCGTTGATAAGTTTGTTGATCAGCACGAATCGATGAACGATATTGATCGGTAATCTATTTGCATTGAAAGATTCCATATGCATAGCAAAAAACAAACAGATTTTACTTCATTTGTGTACGCAAGCATTTGATTGTTAAGTAAACGTGTTTTGAGTGCTGGACGATCGAGAGACAAAGCATGATGAATATCAGATAACTGTCGTTGAATAGATTTTGTGTACACGCCCATATCACCTGAAGAAATTTGTAGACGAGAAATAAATGTTTTAGTCAAACTTACGAAACAGAAGCGGAAAGAATTTATGTTGAACAGTGGAAAATAGAAGTTGATAGTTATAAATATTGACGAGCATCATACCATGTTGTGCTTGAACGATCCATTGAGGAAATGTCATTTCATTTGCAATATTCTTGTGTAATTTTCGGCTTAATTCTACGATTGTTGCTCGTGTATCAAATCGATTGGTTGGATCGGTTAAGCATAAATAATAGATTAAACGAGAACATAATTTGATATCAGACAGATGATTCTCTTTTAAAAGAACGTCATGAATAAATGACAACAATGTTTAAATGACTTACTTTCTTTGGATTTTTTTAGATGAACTCGAATTTTTTCAATAACTCCTCGTTGAAATAATTCATGAGAATAATGACATGAAGATATCAAAATGAGTAGTTGACAGATCTTGTCTAGATTATCTTGATGAATACCAATTTCAATGAGATAACTATTTAACAGGGAAAACATCTCGGATGAACTTGGCTGATTTTCATTGTGTTGAATTAATGTTAAATATTCGATTATCGGTAATGAACAAGACCTTTCATTATAAAGATATTTCAAAAGTGCGCAAGGCCATTGATCGATTGTCGAATCTGATGGAATTTTCACAATTGAATGAAGAGCGAAACAAAGTTGATTGACTAACAACAATGGCGATTTGTCAACTAAGATTGCAAATAGATAGTTCGATAAATAACTCACGATTAATGTTGATGATAGTAATGATTTCACATGCGATAATGGAAAATGAGAAGATAGATATTGAACAAAGAATGTCAATTCACAAGTCAATGGCAATGAACTAGAAGAAAGGACAGATTTTGTTTTACTCGAATGTATTTTGGTGTTTGTACAAACTTGTCATTTAGATTTTCTTGATTTTTAGTGAGATCGAGAATCGAATTTGATGTTTCTTTCAATGCGAGATTAATATCGAAAGTGATAAATCGATAAATAAATGCTATTTGTACATATCGAAGATATCGAAGAAGAATGAATAGTTGTTTTGTGGGATTCCCATCGAAATTCCCAGTAAGACTTTTTCGATCGTTTTCGAATTGAAGAAATTGAGAATTGAATTTCGATGAAGTTTTCTCATAGATGTTTTTTGATGATGTTGCAAGGTTAATCGATGAATATTCCGAATGAATTGTATTCAATGATGAATAGAGCCCTTTCGAAAATGACGAATCATCTTCCGTAGTTTTTAACAGATCTTGAATATTTCGACTCGATTCAACTAAATCTGATTTATTTATTGAAAAATAACGACAACTAATCAACGAAGTTTTCTTTAACAATTTGACGTAACGAAATATATTTAACATTTCGAAACGAAAACAAAAACTTTCCGGAAAACAAGTGTCGATATTCAACTTTTCATAGAGGTTTAATTCAAACGAAATGACTTGCAAACAATTTCATCCAATCTGATTCTTTCGTTCATTTATCTCTACAAGTTGATACAACTCAAATACTTCCCCATTGTGTGATCAATACAAACCCTTCCGTAAAGATTGCATTTGTATTTGCTCTCTAACAATTTTAATCTCTACGCATAAAAGATGATAGAAGGTAATGTAGGTGTTCTCTCGCAAGTCTACTATGATAAAACTAAGTGAGCTTTATTGATTCCATAGTCATAATATTTTCACACAAGCAGACAAGTCAAAAGACTGACAGGTGTGAATCTCTGAATGAAAATCCATGTTATCGTTATGTTACTTTTTTTTATCAGCCATCCTACATTAATTGTGTGACTGGGTTTTTTCGTTAATTGATCGATAGAACCATTTGTTTAATGGTGAAATGAGATGGGATATACAATCCAGTTCGTTATAAGCCCAGAGAACCTTTGTGATGAAATTTAACTTCAGTTATTCGATGTCTATGTAAAAGACATTTTTTTACAAACATGGGAAGATTATAAATATTTATTTGAACAATTTAAGAAGAAAAAATATATGAAATCTCGTTTAAACTGAGAAGTTACTTCAAATAGGTAAGTCAGTTTCGTCAATTGTCTTTCGCCAGATGCCACTCATTGGATTGTAGAACAGATAGAACTGTTCTTCTGGTGGAATAGTTTTTACATTGATATAATCAAGTGTAAATGGAATTTCATTGTAATGTCCGAAGAAATGCAGTTGGATAGCGATCGATTGAATATTTTTATCGGATATTTCGAAGGTAAACGGTTCTTCGGTTAACACGTGTTTTTTCTTCTTGCCAATACTCATATCAATCGATTGAAAGAGTGAAAATGGAAGTTCTGAATTATCCGGATCACGACCTTCGATAAGAACGGTCGACTTTTGTGTTTGATTATTACTTTGACATGTGATATGAACACGTCGTCGAAGGATATACGGTGGAATCGGTATGTCCAATCGTTTCATTACACCTTTCATAATTACATCGCTAAAGGCATGTATATTTAATGTTGCTCGCGTATATAATGGTGTACGTTGAAGATTGCCAATGATCAGCTTTTGCTTGCGTTTTGCTACACGACGTGGCACATCGCTAGCCGGCGTCACTGTTAAGCTACTACCTAAAACAATCGATCTTATTGTCTATTGGAGTGTCCGTGTGCTTAGTTACCGAGGACAAGACACACATCTGCCTTTTCTGCATGATCGAACGCCTTTTTTAATTCATCGGCTGGTAGATCTTCACCAAAATGTATGAGTGAATCTTTCAATCGGCCACGACAATCAGTTTTGCTACACTGACGACCAGTATAATGTCTTGGATGATCCATATCTGTATCAAAATCTCGTAAATATCTCGCTTGACACTTCTGACATATTTCCAAATTCATATTGCCATGCAATTCAGCAAGATGTTCTACATTCATACCACTACGTAGATGTAAACCATCACAATTTTGCGAAATGACACACTTCAAAATCCCGCGTCGTTGTAATTCAACAAGAGCCCTAAGTCAGAACGAAAAATCGTTAAATTTTTCTCGAATTCCGTATAAGACTGTATACATATGAGAAGGTGATGGTATGGCCTTCTGCATATCATCAATGGCATTAGCTGAATTTGGTCGAAATTTTTTGTTACTAAAATTACGGAAACTTCAATACGAATTCGAATGACTACAAAAAGATGTACTCTCTTAATTCCCATGCACCTGGTCCTGTAGGCAAAACAGTATCCATTGCGCTGCGGAAATCAGGAATTCCAGTTGACGTGGATATTCCGGCGCCTAACCATGCGTTCACAAAAAGACTTTGAAGAGATTTCCTCAATTAAATCATGCAACACACCTGTAAACACAATGAAATGCTGGCTTTCTTTTATCCATTGAGCTAACTGGTCCAAATGAGCATTGAGTTCTTTTCGTGAATCAAAGTACTCCTTTCGACAATCAGGATCTGATATACCATGAGCCATATGCGACTAATACGTACGCGCGTCGATTGCTAAATGTGCAGCAGATGGAAAGCAAGATCGATTTTGCGAACATCTTGCGTAATAACATTTCTTGCACAATAGTCAAATATAACGAATGGTAAAGAAAAACGTATTTAATGACTCATTGAAATAGCAGGACTAGACTTGCGTCAATTTGTAATTATATCAAGATAATGTCTCTTTGTTTTTTATTAATAGAATTTGAAAAGATTAAATGAACAACAAAGAATCATTTCTGATTGAAACTTTCACATAGGAAACGACTATTTCTTTTCTGACCGAAGTAAACACACTATTTTTGCTTTCTACAAATCTTTCACTATACTGAATGGAATATCAGTCGGCTATTACCGTTAATATTTGATCGAACATTCATATTTATATTAGGTAAAATAAAATAGAAAAGAAAAGTAAGACGAAAAACTACAACACGATTATTATCGTTCGGTAAATGACTGTGTACGTCTATTAACATTTGTCTGTAACGACGATGTTGTTCGTTTATGAGCAACTAAACGCATTCGGACTGTTTGTCTTACTTGTTCACGTTGTGATTTCGTTCGAAATAGATTCATAAATTTAACAAAACAACATTCTTGATAATATACATAGAGCAATTTACGTATCTCATTACGAAAAGATTTTCCACTCAAACAGTAGACATAAAAGTTCAACGAACAATTGGCTAAGATAACAACACTAGTCCAATAAACTAAAAGCGCATTGGATGTTGACCAATGTACAATCGTCGCGGTTAGTGACGAGAAAAAGAATAGACACGAATGGATAATTAAAACAATATTCATCCATGAGGTGCGAGGACGATTGTGAACTATTAAACCGTCTGCGACTTCTTTGCCACGGAATGACGTATTCGAACCCTGACGAATATTTGTCGCTGAGCCACTTGCTGATGAAAATGAGAGTGTTGATTGAACAACACGAATAATAATTCCGATATTGAAAAAAATAACTAAAATCGATGGTATTATCTCGGAAAATATTGAACGAAACGTCGTGTAATTAAAGCCAAATCGAACTTCCGTTAGAAATTTAAGCCAAGACAAAGATATCGATCGTTTTAACGAACACGTTGTATGATAAATAGGAATTGCGTCGTGATTTGATGTGACATCTTCGTTTTCACGAATGGAACGAGTCAAGGTTGTTAAGTTGGTTGTTCTAGGGACCGAAATAGAAATTTCTTAATTGATGTTCTGTGTAAAACCTAGATCATATTTATTTATCAGCTAAAATTACATCTTATTTGTAGACATTCCTTAGTTAAATAATATTTCCGAAAGATGAGATTAATTTATCTTCTACAAATACATTCTCTAACCGGAAATAGAAAGAAAGAACAAATCGTCCTTCGATTTAATCGTACTATTACCGAGCGCAATCGTTTTATGTCTTATTTTTGTTGACAAATATCCCAAAGAAAAAAAATTTCGACTAATTGTAATCTCGCGGTAACACACGATGAAGTCAACATGTACTTTTTCCTTTCAATTGCTCGTAAATTTAATTAATGAAATCTTCAAAAGACTACATACGTCATGTTACCACTCTCTGAAAATTTCATAGAAAAGATAAAACGTGTGAAAGTATTCATTTTTTACTTTCAGGATTTTATTGATGAAATTTTGCGCGTCGTTTCTTTTTTTTCTTTAATAAGATAAGCAGAATAAAAAACCTACCTGAATATTGTTGCTGCCGTCGTTGTGTTGCTATTCAAGTTTGCAACTTGTGGAGAAATTCGTTGGGGTTCCGATTTTAATTCATAAAAGTAAATTGTCGGTCCAGTTAGACTAGTAATGATGATCAGAGAGAAACTAATCATAAAATAGAATTTGTATTTCTTAACATATTGATTAACTGTCAAGAATTGAAAATTCGTCGTGACATAGGTGAACCGTTCGTATGTCCATGCAACAGTGACAAATGCTGAGAGAATTCGTAAACAAGACGAGATTCGATATAATTTACAAGTGAACCATGATTGGCCAGCTTTATGCGTAATCCAGAGACGAGTACTTGTATGAAGAAGGAGAGAATAGCGAAATACACAAAGAAGATTGATTATTAACGATGCAATGGCTAAACGACCATAAGTCGTTTGGCGAAATTTTCGAGAAGAAAAAACAATTAAGCCGAGGGTATTTCCAAGTGTACCAAGTATAATCATAAATATACAAGTCCAATCAACAATTTCAGTTGTTGTTACACGCCACATATCATTATATCTAAAAGGAAAATAATGACGAACACTAGTTGATTTGTTCCTCCATTTTTCTCGACTAAGCATCTCAGATATATCGTGTTACCAGCATATTCTTTTGACATAATTAACAAAACTTGATCAATCTTGTTGTTATACTCTGAAAACGAGGTTCGCTGGTATAAGAAAAACACAGTCATAGATCATCAAGATAGATCAAGAAGACAAAAGACGTAGCGACAATAACGAGTCCTCGAAGTCTTCTATAGGGCATACCAATCAATATTCTTAACAGATAAAAGTCTGACTAAACTTACTCGAAATGCAAAACATGGCGTAGAAAACAAAATTGTTTGAAGAAAGTAATCAACAAAGTATAATCGAATACCAGGTACAAATCGATGAAAATAACTCTATTTACTTTGATTATGCCACGGTTTTGTGAGAAACATTTCTGCTAACAAAGAATAATAACACAGCTTTGTCTAAACATATTATTTTCTCTGTTCGTCTGTCCAAACAATTAATTATTCTAAACGCACGCTAAACCTCGTCTAACTCGAACTAAATAACAGTACTGTCAAGAAAAAACTTTTGTGAAATCATATGATGACAATTTATCATTCCTTTATAGACTGATGTGAATATAATAATGGATTGTAGAAATTTTGCGTCCATTTTTTTTTCTTTAATAAAGAAAAGGAAAGAAACACGGCGCAATATATCATTCTTGTTTTCCTCACTAATAATTCAGCTTTTCTTTTCATAAGTCGAGTTTTTATTAAAATCTGCTCGAATGGTTCAATGATTTATTCTTCAATTGTATTTTCTTTTGTCTTTGAAATATAAAGCAACACTCATTAACGATAGAAATGGTTGTATCCCGTACGCTGATGACGTATGATTACTGGGATCTAGCTATTTTCTCAACATATATAATCTCTGATGTTTTCACCTTTCTTTTCGAATGAATCTTTTTTGTTTGAACGAGAGAGATTAATTAGAACTAAGAACTTCGCATAGTTTTCAATACAAACAAAAAGGAAAAATGTGTTTTTCTCCCAAGCAAAACTTCCAAAGATTGTATCCGCCTTTTTATATTTAGCTGAATTACTCATGTGTGACAGATTTGTTAATTCAATTAACTAATACAAGCAGAAAGAACGTTTTTAAACAAAAGATGCTTCTCTTGCAGATAAAACTCAACAAATGTCATGTTTGTAATCTGACTTGTCGGAAATGATATATTACTATTTTTCTCTATCGTTTAAGCACGTCAATCTCATTTCGAAAGACATTTCTAAATTTCATTTGCCATGAAAACTCTGGTAGTTAATTATCTTTTTCATATCGACGAAACTAAAGGAAACAAAGATCTATATAATGTGCAAAAGAAAATCAACATTTTTACTTTGCAATTATACAAAAAGCTTTTTTTAACCGCCCTAGAGGCTTCACTTCGCTTATGCCTGTATATCTGTCAGATAAAAATAGCATGATAAGAAAAGAGAATATTCTATACCTTTTTTTAAATATTGACTAAAAAGAAAAAAAGCGTCTTTCTGTCCTCCGCTTTTTCTGTTTATGATACAATTAATCTGAACCTATTTTTCATCTTTATCATCTTCCTGTTCCAATTGTCAAATCTGCTTAGAAGAAAATCTCACGAAGATAAACAGAATTGAAGTAAACTATCAATATTTACTTACCAGCAACGAATGTACTTAAAAAAAAAGGTCTCTCATCGTAAATATTCACTGTTAAGTTGTTTTCACATTGTATTTGAATCATTAGTAATATTTTCAAAAGAAAGACTTAAAAAGAATGAAAACAGGAAACTAATTGATTATGAAATAGAAAAGTATATAGTAATTTTAGATAGATGAGAGTCATATTTCTTTGTCGACTAAGCAAATGAAATGCAGTTAGACTAGTTTTTCTCCTTCTGTCTCTCTCTCTCTCTCTCTCTGGCAGTCTTTATCTCTCTTCGTACTATGATTCTTTCTTGCACTAATGACGGTTGCAACGCCTTCTCGAACATATTCAATACAAGGTTTGGCTTAATTATCTTTTCAGTAAAAAACAACGATCGAAGCGGATCGATTTGTAACCGATCAAAGCGACTAAGGTCGGCTAAAGGAACATTTCAATCCGACGAACAATAAGTTGTCTGAAAAGACGGAGAAAAAGTAGAATGAATGTACCGTCTGTCACTTGTCACTACTGGAAAGAGCAAATTGAACATAATAGACTCAGTCATATTTGACATACCAAATGATGTTCATAATTCATATAGTTTTCATGATATTTTGATTCTTAGACCTAAATTAACGTTTGTCAGGCTATGGAAAGTCTAGGGATCATAACTAACAATAAGAAGAAGAAGAAATAATAAAAAGTACGTCTTTCTTCAGATATTTTTTTTTTAATCAAATGCCGGAAAAGAATACTATTGGATGTTGTCGATCGTTCTTCTCAATACTCTCGATCGTCTTTTATTTTCAGTTCGTCTGAAAATCAAATCCTTATAACACAGAATATACCTCCATTCATTAAAATCTATTGTGAAATAACTTCTAGAGAACAAAACATCAATGAACCATATGACGTCGCCTGTCATTGAGGCGTGTTTTTCATCACTAAACGCTATCAAGTTTTATGCGAGGAAACTGATGCGCGTTTGAATAGAATTTCCGATAAGTTCATGAACATTTATGACAAATTGATTTGATGTGTTCGACGACAAGTCACGACGAACAAGTTTTCTTCCGGGATACAAGTACTCTGCATTAGCACATAGCTCAAGTTCTATCGCAATGCGTGTAGAAAAGGCGATTACAACTATTAAGAAAGGATATAACCCTAATAATGTCTAGAAAGGGCGGAAGAAACTATATTTTCTTTTTCTTTTATCGGCGCGATAATCTTCGCGGAATGTACTGGTTTTTCTCTTCGAAAATCTTCGCTTCGGTATTAAAACAGACTATTGGATGAGTTGACAAACTTGTTCTGCGAGGACATTTCTCTAAAGATACCTGTCATTGTTACTAATTATCTCTATCGGTTACAAACAATACTCGCAGATCAAAGCCGAAAGATTCCGCTATCCATTAGGAGTGTTATTTTATATTTAGGTTAGAAATGTGGACTCAATGTTCACTATTTTGTTCCAATAACGTCACACATAAGGGTGACTTCACGCAGTTTACAGGCAACAAAAATACAGAGCACTTCACTGACTGCAACTCATTGATCGTAGTAGGTTTATTCGATCAAGATTTTTCAATGGACGTCTCATTAAAAGAATTAGCAACTAATACACTCATTGAAAGCTTTTAATGCTCTTTTCCATATTATTCGTTATTTATGACATTATTTCTCTGAATCTTGTATTCAATAGTCGATCGAATATCATGGGAATTCTTTTTTTTGTCATTTGTGCGATTATGATTATTCCCCTTAGAAAAAAAAAGGAAACACGGAGCAGAGAACATTAGTCAATCATTAAATGCGAACCGACATTTATGAAGTGACTTTGTCGAACATCATCACGCAGTCGTCTTCGTTCTCGATAACATATCAGTCGTTGCCGACAAGAACTTTATGTCAAGAACATCGGCTATCGTGACATAAAACAAGTGTGCATTCATAACACACGAAATATATCGAACGGAGTAGACGTGAGGCTTGTCGACATACTCGAAATCTCTTATTAACATTAAGAGAAGACGTCTAAGATTATGACAAGCGCAATGAGTGTCTATATGCGTACTATTTATGTAATTGTTAAGAGTTCGTAGTGAAAGAATATCTTGATAAGATTTACTAATAATAAACTTTTCTGTTGTATTCTGAACTTCGAAGCATCATAATCTATATACATAAAAAGAAAAGTAGAGGCGAGTCACGATATTCTATAAATATTCTGTTAGAAAAATTTCTTTGACGAGTTTACTAATCATCTTAGGAAAAACTCAAAATGATTATCTGAATTGTGAATTCTACCGACAATATCTAAACGAACGGTGACGTAGACATTACCAATCGACATGCAAAGTAAAACTAACATGACAAATTTCATAATTCCATAAATCACCATTTAGCCGCTGTTAATAAGTCTACAAATGAATTGTTCGTCCTAACCAGATATATATATATATATATATATATAATTTATGCCCTTTTTTTTAGATTATTTCTGTTTGTCTGTGTTTTAATAGAAAACCCACAGATAAATATCCCCCATATGAATCTAAATTCTGTCTGTCGTATACGCAATAAGTCTGTAAAATAACGACAAAGCTGGCACCGTTTAAAACAAGGATTTTCAGACCTTATAATCTTTTTTTTCGAAGTCATTATCAAAAAGGAACTGCCGATGAACTCAAGCAGATTCAGATGAAAGACGATCAAAACGGTTAATGATTTTCTGTCACATGAATAGAAGTTCCTGAAAATTCCCTTTACATGTTATTCATAAATTAGGGTAGTATTCGAAACATAAATACTTCATAACCACACGATACATAGTTTCTTCAATTTTTCACCTTTGAACAGATGGAATGTAGTTCGATTTTTCCATAAGTATTTCAATGTTTCCACAATCCTAACATTTTGCTTTTAAATGCGTCCGTTATAATTAATAGCGTTTATTTAAGTTTTCAATTGGCAGTTCTCGTGTGCGATGGTCCAGATAGAATGTTTCATTATGTTGTAGCATCTCTTTCTATTCACCACTTTGTTTACCATATCTAGGATAGAGTGAAATTTGAAAAAACTAACATAATATTCCAAAAAATCAATCGCACAACATACAATACAAAACATGAATTGTTTTTTTCTGGTAATTTTTCCAACCTACGGCTGTTAAAACATATAGAGCGTTGAAAAAGAACCTGTACTTGTTATTTGATATTTCTTTTCGATATGAATAACGCGTGATTGTTAAATGGCGACAGATGGTCGCTTGTGATAAGGAATGAAAAGAGAAAAAAAAACAAAAAATATCAACCGATCTAACCATATACCAGATAAGTTAACGAATGTCAGCCATAATCGATGACTTTCTATATTTGGGCTCACTCGCAGATGCATGTACACCGGAACTCTTAAACAAACTACAAATAACTCATCTAGTTAATTTAAGTATAACTCGAATTATTCCTGATGAATCTTTTGAATTACTTCATATACCACTGCGAGATACACTCGATGAAAATATCATGATATATTTTCAGCAAGTCAATCAATTTATTGAAAAATGCCGTCAGCGAAAAGACGGACGGTGCTTGATTTTCTGTAAACATGGAAGATCAAGATCAGCTGCAAGTATGTACAAAAGTTTCGTTGAACTTGTTAAAGAAAATCTGTCGATATTCGGCTCGTTTTAGTTGCGATTGCATATTTAATTGCACATCATGGCCATTCACTTTCATCTGCATATATATATTTATCGAAAATTCGTTCAAGTATATCGCCTAATCGAAATTATTTGAAGCAGTTAGATAAATATTCTTCTCAATGCGAACAAGTTCATTGTCCATCCTTTTATTGATGAAAATAAGTTGAACAAGAAAAAGGAAAAAATGTTAAGCAATCAATGTTGTTGATTTACTGATTTTGTGGTTTGCTAAAACGACAAAATGAACTTTTGTAAATAAATTTCAATAAAGAAGAAAATATACTTTGCCCATTCAACTTTCAAAATCAAGTGATCGTAACCAAATCCAGATACACATTCGATTGCCTTTTGTGCATCTTTCTTTTCGTTAAATGTAATAAAGGCGAAACCTTTCGATGTATTGCTGGTCTTGTCTTTTGCTAAATAAACTCGACTAAGTGAGCCGAACGGTGTAAATAAATCACGTAAATCTTGTTCTTGAGTTTCTTCCGGTAAATTCGTTACTCGAACGGTGGCTTCATCTAAAAAAAGGGACTTTCTTCGTATTTTCGAAAGGCAAAGAACAACAAACGCACCTCTTCTCATGTCATTATTCTTGCCAGCATACGGACCACTGCCACCACCACCACGTGATGAAGCACCTCGGTCGCCAGGATAAGCAGTACCAGAACTGCCACCTTGTACTCTTTTTGAAACCCATCTTGTAGCGGAAGGTTCACCGGTAGTTCCACTTGATGCATTTTGACCTTGCGATGTAGCGTGCGGTGTTGCTGTCGTGGTACTTTCAGCTGAAAAGACATTTTTGTTCATAGGACGAGCCCAGTTGTTGGATTCATACCTGGTTTGTCACTGGCTTGATCCATATAAGTTTGCAAGTTATCCTTATATGGACATTTGGTTGTCCAATGATCACCTTTACATAACCGACATTGAACTTTCTTTAGAGTTGAAACGGCTTCTTTGATAAGTTTATCTTCATCTTGTTTCGCATCCTATGAGAAAGATTGAGCTGTTGAAAAACGATAATTGACACAAGACAAACCTCTTTGTTCGAGATGAACTGCATGGTTATCTCATCATCGACTTTCGTTGTGGCGGTGTTAATACCGGGTGGATCATTAGCTGCATTGCCGAATTTTTTCCATTTCTTCACGGATAAGAAGGATATGAGAGAGAAAAAGTCTCCATACTTATATCATAGGTTACCTTTCGTTCAGCAACAATAGGTAAAACTTTCAATTTTTGATTTCGATAAGTTTTAGTTGTCTAAGGAAGAGAATTTCGATAGAAACAACGAAAAATAAACGATCAGTAATCATACTTTATAGATTATTCCATTGTCTTCTCGATATTCGATACGAATTGTTTTACCGTCATTGGTCTCATGAACTTCATTGGCAGGTACTTGAAAAAAGAAAGTTTTTCAATTAGAACAATAATCAGATCAACAAATACAAACTTCGTTCGTGTTCAACTTGATGATGCCAATCGCGCTTTGTTGTTGTCGTCATTTTTTATTTGATTTCAACTAAAATTAATGAAAGTGTGTTTTTAGGTGCGAACGATATTTATCTAAGTGATTTTTTAGACGGATTTCATAATTATTCATTGGACTATCCATTCACAATTTATATAATATATGGTATTTACCATTTAGATTTTTCCTCTCATAAAACGTATAGATGTCTCCACCAATCGGTTGCCATCTTAACATTACTGTGTCACTGCATTTTCGTATCTATTATTCGCACATGATTTATGAAAGAGTGCCAGGACCTAATTGTTTGAAAAATACTCATATTTGTATGAAAACAATATTTTGTTGTCTAGCAATCGCTGAGTAAGACGTAGATTACATGTGACGCCATAAAACAGAGTATTTTGGAGATAAAAAAAACGTACCGTCATCATTTAGTAGTGTGCAAACCACAATAAAAGCCAAGTCATTCATGTATAGTATTTTTTATTTTTATTTTCATGCATCGAGTGGAACAAGGAGTTTATTACGGTGTTTAATCGATCAACCACCAGGACAAAAACATAGTCGACTCAAGCATTCAATATGACCGTTTTTATCGAGACTCCTTATATCGCTGCTTTGAAAGAATCATATTTACGCAGTCGCTGTTCTGCATGTTTTAAACCTGCTACAAGTCAATGTGCACAATGCTTGACTGTAGTTTATTGTGACAGTCAGTGTCGAGTGAATGATAGTCTTTTCCATCAATTGGAATGTCAAGCCTATAAGAATTCTGCTGATCAACATGGAGTTTCTGACGCAGTACTTGCACGGATGATTGCTCGTGTTATTAGTCGTTTACGCATTGATGGTGGTGAGCCTGAACAAGATCTGTGTTCAAATATTTCCAAATTAATTCATCGTCGATCATGGAGTGATCTTCTTGGACATCGAGATGAAGTCCCTCGATCTGAGCGACATTGGAATCAATGGTTAATAACTAAACAACAAGTTAAGTCCTTCTTTGGTAATCAGTTCGATAGAATTGATCTGTTGGAAATCTTCGGTAAACTTCTTATCAATCGTTTTCGTGTTGGTATTCATGAGAACGTTCGTGATGGACGCGTCGCTGTTGGCTGGGCGATCTATCTGACAACATCACGTTTTAATCATAGTTGTCAGCCAGATTTACTTCAATGTTCGTATGATATTAATATGCGTTTGAAAATAGCTGATAGTAGTAAAACATTTCCTGAAACAACTGCTGAATTCAACCAACTAACATTGAGTTACCGTCATCAGAATGATTTTCGGCTAACTTATCCGTGCAGTTATGTACCAACACGACAACAACGTCGAGCGTTTGTTAGTTTCTTCTTTTTCAATTGTCATTGTGATTTGTGTGCCGATGATTTACGAAATCGATATGCAGAATCAGCAACAAATCGTTTATGTGAACGATGTGGCGATTCACTAGTTTTGCAAGAAAATTATGATGATTCAACTGAATCAATTCTGACTTGTCTTGGACGAAGGAAATGCTTAAAAACCGAAGAAATTGTCGATTGTGTAACGCTACCGAAAATAGATAATACGGAACAATCCGTCGATATCTATGAAGAACAATTAGAGAATGTTGAACAATTATTACATCCTGAAAGTATCCTTTTGCTACAACTACGTGAAAAACTCTTTTTCATCTACCAGAACCGTCTCAATCAATTCAACCTAGACAAAGATCAACAACTAATCTATATCAATCGTGCTATTCAATTGGGCGAACAGTTAATTCAAGTTTATAATATTTACCTCAAAGATTCATCAGTTTATCCAAAAATCGTCGTAACCGATGTCGCTTCACTCTATGAACTTATAGGCAAAACAGAGAAAGCCAAGGTACTTTATCAAGAAGCCATAGATTTATGGCAAGCTGATTATGACGGTCATATCGACTATAGAGATTTGAACATGAAATTATGATGTATTTGTTTCTTTAATTAAATATAAGACTTGATGAAAAAATGTTCCATGGTCGACATTTCTTTATCATCTATTTCATGTAGAATCCTTTTCTAATTGAAAAATCTAAATTCCTATCTTTTGAATAGGTCACTGTTATGAAACATTCATTACAACATAAAATAAGGAATTATCCAACATGTTTCCTCTCTTGCATATAGGTTTTCTTTCTTTTCTTTTCGGTTCTCATACATATGTTCGCTCGTTCTATATGTTAACCTCGATAGGTGTTATATTGGCCTTTTCCTAGTGTTCATCTATATGTGTGATAGTAAAGGTATTTTCCAACGTAAACATATAGTGGAAATAACCAATGGTCATAGGTATATATACGGACCATATTTCTTATGTTGGAGGAGCGTTTACTTATCGAATTGGTGGTTATTTAGTCTTCAATAAAGGTATTTAATAAGATCTAACAGTTATAAATATAAAAAATCGATGAATCGCAAATTTTTACATATTCTGCTCAATATATGTAAAGGCTACTTCAATGTATGCGTGTGACGATAATCATTTTGATTGACGGGAGAGTGAGTACTTTAGCAAATCGCATCCTAGTTCAAGTAAAAGTCTGTTTTTATGCTATTATTGTTACCTAGTTAACAAAAATAGTTCAAGTAGTCTATAACGATTATTCTACTATTCTTCTCTTTTTTCTTCGATGACTAAAACAGAAAACACATACTGCTATGTTCGCCGCTAGCTCACAGGTGATTAAAAAACAAGATAATTCAATTATTCTTTTCTGTTCATCTTTTTTAATATTTTTCATATCAGAAAATACTTCGTGATGATATGACAGGAATGTCCTTATAAGGAACATGACTTTCACGAACTCAAGAAAAACTCAACCGGCTGTACTGATTTTACAAGCGAAGGATATTTAATGATAATTCTTCTTAATAGAATTTCATACGATATCATAATTGCGTCTGCTCGGTAAACGATTGGGTATGTTGGAAATTCAAGTACGATCTATACCGATACCTGAATTAGATTTGCAACGTTGCTATCCTGTATTCAAACGTAAGAATATATATTTTTAGATGGTAGTCGTCTGACTTGTGGATAAAGGGATAGACGACAAAAGAAGGTAGATCTTGAAAGTATCAATAAATCCAAGACAAATTAATCGGTGCGAAGCTAGCACCATTAAACTAAGAAATTTATGAAAATGAATTCCCGTCGATAGAACCTATTCTATTCGATGCAGAATTCAAGTCTGATTCGAATGGTGATATTTTAATTCACGGGAAAACGTTTGGAAAAAAAATTCCGAATTTTTCTTTTATATTTGTATATATAGGAAAAAAGTAAGAATCGAGTTAAGCTCCATCCCAAACGTTTTCCCGTGAATTAAAATGTCACCATTCGTATCAAAATTGAATGCTACATCGATAGACTCCGCTTTATTGACGGGAATTCGTTTTCAGATAATTCTTAGTTTCGTGATGCTAGCTTCACACCGATAAAAATATTTATACCGAACGTCTCACATGCGGAAAAGTTGCAACAGATAAAAAAAATCCATATACAGCACTGGCGGTGGCATAAGCTGGGGAATATGATTTTGCCGCACAATAGATGTAAAATAAAAATAATTAATATTAGCTGAATCTAGTATGAAGAACCTATCCGCCTAGAAGTCCGACAGTATGTTGGTATACATATATCCTGGTATAGCGGTTCTAGCAGTATAAGAATGCAATGTTAGTGGTATTAGTGGTGCTAGCGCTATAAGGTTGTAATCACATAAGGATATAGTGGTATGTAGTGTCCAGCTTTGAAGTTGAAAATAGTTATTCTTTACGGCCTCTGAATACCGCTCACACCACTATATCACCGTATTCTCTTTTCCGTAGAGAAGAGTCTTAGAAACATAAATTGCTTGCTTGTATCTCCGCAGGGTAAAAAAAACATCGAAAATCGATTTTTCGGAAGAGATATTTTCACACGTGCTTCATTGCGGAGACTTCGAATCTGATGCTTGCTCTTCGAATTTTTTTGTAAAAATTCTTTTTAGACAAGGGACCACTTTTTTACCGACAAACATTTTTTTCTAACAATTGACCAAAGGGTTTTTGGGTCTAGGAACTCGACTCTGATGTTAGTTTTTTGAGAATTAGAAAAAAAAAATGAAACAAAGGATACCCATTCTCGGTAAAAAAAACATGTATAACCATATGATATCGGATATAGTCAGGTGTATAAGTATAGTGAATGAAATATTCTCGGCAATCTCTGGTGACCTAATAGTTAATTATCGATCTTCATAAACGAACTTTGAAGTAACGCAGCTGCTGTTCATATACACAATAATGCATTAAAACTATGACATCTGAAATCAATATTTCTACGACAAAAAGCTGAGCGAGTCTAACGACGAGCGTTACTTGTTGTTATCAGCGAAATCAAATCGTGGAAAATAATTCTAGTAAGAGAGAATATGAATGCGTATCAATTAAGCAATAAAATAGATTTTCCAGCAAATTATATGCGCAAAGTTTATTTAAGCAAAAGAAAACCGATGCTGAAGAACTAGAACACTGTAGTTCTATTCATTTCATAATTGATTGCAGAATAAAGCACAGAGTAAAATCCTATGAAACGATATAACATATAGCACGCACTACATAAAATACTATCCTCCACAGCCAAATAATAAATCGGGTACTATTTTTGCTCTTCGTTGTAAATGCTCGCATATGTATGTCATGGTTATTGTATTGTAAGAAACTAATCGGCAGTTATTTGTTAACAGAGCTACGGGTGTTTTAAAGTAAGATATTCCAACGTTCTTGTAGATTTGATGATTGTCTTTAAAGCTATCTATTTGGGGATATCAAAAAGCGGCTTAACTTTTCCAATAAGTTAAGCGCCTTGTTTCCGAAGAGAATCGATAACGCTTATTTTTTCGAAGGTTTTCTTATTTAGTAAAATGCCATGGAGTAATTAATTCATCAAAATGAATTCACAACAAATTGTTAGAGCATCTCGGTGAGGGAGTTGGCATTCTATTTATGTAAAAGATGCTGAGTGTTCTAACTCACTCTTCAACACAAAAAACAGATATATATTTTAGGAGTGACAATTTAACTTGTGTTTAAGTTAACGTCACCCTTGCGGTAAACCGTAGCTCAATTTTCGATTTTGTGGCTTCGAAAAGAAATAAGATCATGTGACTGGTTTTTCAGGTTGACAAACGATCATTTTTTCTTGTTTCTTTTATCTATCATCGAATAAGACTTGAGAAGAATGAAACGAACACACTGAGGGATGCTGCATGAAGCTCTCAGCAAACTAAGGTGAAACGTTTTACAGTCGTGTGTTTTTTTTTTACCGAAGAACGTCAAATGGTGCAAAACAACCAGTGAAAACTGACTCGGTGGCATTTAGTGTTCTCGAAAACAAAACTTGCATAATCAAAATAAATCTCTAATGTAAGCTGTACAGTTTTTATGTTCCACTATACTTTTTAGCTAAACAATTTAATTTCGAGGTATCAATTTCTTTTGAAGAAAATCGAATCGGCTTGCAACGGAGTCAAAGGCATAAAAGATTTCCTACTTTTAATTTTTAAAATTTCTATTTTAAATGTCAAAACAGCATTCAATGAGCATGCGTATTCTAACACCATCTTTCTGCGCACGCCACCAATTCGTAACTGTTGAGTTGAAATGGTTACACGTCATTTGTTTTCGTCAAAAACATATATAAATACATCACCAACATGAGTTACTACTCATAACGAACAAAGTCAAGCATTCTTCATAGCTTTCAGTCTCTACGGTACACGGTTTGCTGCACGATTGAAATACAACATGTACACATTTTCCACATTACCCGTCGAAATTGTCTATCGAATTATGGATCATGAAGATGAGCAGACGCTATTTTGTTCAATGCAAAACGTTTGCCGAAGGCTCAATCAGATCCTGAGCACTTACGAACGATATCGAGTAAGTTTGCTTGGCATTTTACCACTCTTGTCGGTTGTGCTACATATAAGCTTAATGGTATTCGATGCCGTGAATTTCTTCATAGGAAGAGGCAAAGTAATTTTATAGAATGGGACTATCACAGTACGAAGTCATATGAAATCAAATACTTCCCCACTCTCTCGTTGTTCTTCTATGTATATTGAGTATGCATTCGATCGATACACGATCATGAGCGAACAAAATACATAATTATGCGTTACCGTTCGCACCCTGAGCTACTAGATACCAAACGTGTATCAACTAAAGCACGCTGCACTGCTCAGTTGCTAGACCTATGTCAATATTCAGTATAAGCAGGGATACATAAAATCCATCTCTTAATTTCACAACAGTAGGATTTGGACTCTATTGGAGCGCGCCTTCAATAGAGATATTTCAATACAATCAATAACTATTGATAGCTATATCTTACTCATTCCACTCGATCAGCTCGCAGTAATCTCGTATCTATGTTGCCAACACAGCACCTCTTCTCTGAACGCCGCCTTTCCTGCGCAACAACTACCATCATCATCCACACCAAAAAAACTAACATATAGACACAGCTGCTCCCTAAACATCGTCCCCAAATACGACAATTTCATATGACACCTACACAGTCGGAAGTGTCATCAAAGGTTCTCTTTATTAGTTGTCCTTTTCATAACATATTACTTTAATCTAGACACTCACCACCCTAAACCTCGACGACAATAGAATCGGTGATGACGGAGCACAACACATTGCGGATGTGTTACGAACGAACACGGTAATATTGATCTCATTCCACGGAAGGCGAAGTATTCAGTTTCCCTCACAGACACTAACCGCACTAGATCTCAACTGGAACGGAATCGGGGATAAAGGAGCACAACACATCGCGGATGCGTTGCGAAAGAACACGGTAATATTGATCTCATTTCACGGACGGTGAAGTATTCAGTCTCTCTCACACCCACAGACACTCACCACACTAAACCTTTACGGGAACGGAATCGGTAATAAAGGAGCACAATATATTGCCGATGCGTTGCGAACGAACACGGTAATGTTCATCTCGTTTCACGGAAGGTGAAGTATTCAGTCTCTCTCACACCCACAGACACTCACCGCACTAGATCTCTGCGACAACAGAATCGGTGATGAAGGAGCACAATATATTGCGGATGCGTTGCGAACAAACACGGTAATATTGATCTCATTGCACGGAAGGTGAAGTATTCAGTCTCTCTCACACTCACAGACACTCACCGCACTAGATCTGGGCAATAACGAAATCGGTGCTAAAGGAGCACAACACATTGCGAATGCGTTGCGAACGAACACGGTAGTATTGATCTCATTCCATGGAAGGCCATGCGCTCAGTCTCTCTCATACCTACAGACACTCACCACACTAAAACTCTTGAACAACGAAATCAGTGATACAGGAGCACAACACATTGCGGATGCGTTGCGAACGAACACGGTAATACTGATCGCATTTCACGGAAGGTGAAGTACACAGTCTCTCCCACACTCACAGACACTCACCGCACTAGATCTCAGCAGAAACAGAATCGATGCAAAAGGAGCACAACACATTGCGGATGCTTTGCGAACGAACACGGTAATATTGATCTCACTTCACGGAAGGTGAAGTATTCAGTCTCTCTCACACCCACAGACACTCACCACACTAAACTTCTACCGTAACGAAATTGGTGATGAAGGAGCACAACACATTGCAGATGCGTTGCGAACAAACAGGGTAATACTGATCTCAGTTCCCCGAAGGTGAAGTACACAGTCTCTTCCACACCCACAGACACTCCGCGCACTAAACTTCTACAGGAACGGAATCGGTGCTGAAGGAGCACAACACATTGCGGCTGCGTTGCGAACGAACACGGTAATATTGATCTTATTTCCCCGAAGGTGAAGTACACAGTCTCTCCCACACCCACAGACGCTCACCGCACTAAAACTCTTCGACAACGAAATCGGTGATAAAGGAGCACAGCACATTGCTGATGCTTTGCGAACGAACGCGGTAATATTTATCTCATTTCACGGACGGTGAAGTATTCAGTCTCTTTCACACCCACAGACACTCACCACACTAAACCTTTACGGGAACGGAATCGGGGATAAAGGAGCACAACACATTGCTGATGCTTTGCGAACGAACACGGTAATGTTCATCTCGTTTCACGGAAGGTGAAGTATTCAGTCTCTCCCACACCCATAGACACTCACCACACTAGATCTCTGCGACAACAGAATCGGTGATGAAGGAGCACAATATATTGCGGATGCGTTGCGAACGAACACGGTAATATTGATCTCATTGCACGGAAGGTGAAGTATTCAGCCTCTCTCACGCATACAGACACTCACCGCACTAGATCTGTGCGACAACGGAATCGGTGATAAAGTAGCACAACTCATTGCGGAGGCGTTGCGTCGGAATGCAGTGAGACTGATGCTTTGCTGGAACGAAATTTGAAATATCTGATTTATCTAATTCTTAGAGCGTCAATATGGTGTAGATCTTGTGCTGAATGGAATGGGAGAACAACTGATAGTGGATTTGGTGACTCTTTTCGTAGAAAGGATGCTTTTTTACTGAGATCTTAGTCTATATCATTTGGTGTGTGATTTTGGTGACAGTGAGAAGTAGTGAGGGAATAGAGAATTAGTTTTGTTGGGAGAAGTGGATGTGACCTCAATGAGAATGCTTTTTTTGTTGGAAAATATATGTGGAATAGTGAAAGTGGTTGCTTTATTTACGGAGGTGTAACAGAGGAGTGTTTGATGGAAAAGGGGCCGTGGTACGATGCGTTTTGAGAGGTTCTGTCGGATTGGAATTTGTTTCTGAAAGTGTGTGATTACTAAGACAGCATTTCTGCAGACTGCTCGACTATTTTGGAGATATGGTACAATTGAATTGACAGGAGTACAGTACGTATGCATTTTATATGTCAGTTCTCGTAAAGGTAAAGTGATGAGACCAAGGAACACTGAATGGGAGCGATGTTTCATTATTATCTAGCTGTTCACTTTTCTGGAAGAAAGGGTTATAGCCGCGTTAAAACTGGTTAAAGTTTGATTGTTTGTTTGTCCAAGCCAATCAGATTATAGCATATCATAAATCAATGAAAACTTAACGATGTTCCTGACAAAGTGATTCTTGCAAGGTAAACGAGGTCGAGGATCGCGAATCCGAGGTTAATGTTGCTTAATTAATTATTAATTTTTCATTAACTAGCCACGACTTATGAACATCCACTGTCAAAGTAGACCGAAGGGTTTCTGACGTCGGGGAATTCGAACTATCCGTTGAGTCTGGGCCTGTTCCTTGCTCTTTACAAAGGAGATATTTTTCTTCATCTGTTCTAAGATCTTTTGTAGAAGCCCAGGTTATTATGGCACGATCGGTTCCGGCCGGAATCTGGCGGCAAGGAGCCTGCCGGAACCGACTCAGATTTCAACGGATCCAGTCGCCGATATGATCGACCTGGGATAGTTAGTGCTGGAGAATTATCCACTGACAAATGGCTAATCGATCTGATTCCTAAAAAGACCTCTGTATCCTATTCATTCTACTTCTAGCGTGTGACATAGTGCCATGATTCAGTTGAGCACTAGTAGCAATCGCAGTGCGTTTTTTCTCTTTCAAAGTCTCTGAATGTATTCAGCATTAGGAAAAGTCTTTCAGAAAAGGGTCAGCGAATCCAAAGGATGAGCGTTACTTGTTTTTATTATGCATAGTAATAAGTTTAACGGATGAACAGTTACAAGTGAAGAATTATGAAAACTCCACAGATACAATTTATGATAAATAGATGCTTGAAAAGCATACTTTTGAAAGATAGTTGGACAGATGAATCTCTTGCGTACGAACAAATTTTACTTTCCCAGTGAGATTTCCTCATATCTATCTGAACACATGAAATGATTTTCGACGGGGGAACTATCTGATTAGAATTGACACAAATAACTTTTTTGTCTCTCAATACGTTTTATAGACTTCAGCTGTCACCTGATGTATATATATACATTTTGCCATGAATTCTGTACCCTGAAGCAAAACTTTCACCATACATCAGAAATACCGATGAATCATTTTCCAGACGTGACGTCACTTTTCACGTGTTTTCCTTTTTTGTCATCGATAAACAATAAATAACTGCTACGATGAATAGTGTACAAAACACGTATAAATTGTTTCATTTGTTTTTTTTAAACCATTTTATAGAAAAGCGACTCTGTACATCTCTGAAGTGTATTCCATTATTCCTGCAATACAATGACAAAAACTGTCTTTCTGTCTGGTTGTGGTGGTGGATATGATCTATTTGGTGCTTTGCCACATTATTTTAAAATTAAAGCACACGGTGATTGTGACATTACACTTATTAACTACACGTTTACTACACGTGATCTTCTAACGAAGTATAGTCGACATTTGACAACAATTCTCTATCGTGTTGAACCAATTCAGAATGCTGCATGGCTAACAGATGAAATATATTTCCCTGAACAACGTTTAGCTAATGAAATTCAAGTACCAATTTATGCAATTTTATGCAATCATCAAGATACGCGAATTGAATTAATCGTTGAAGCTTATGAGTATCTAATAGCAAAACGAACTATAGATGAAATTATTCTATTTGATTGCGGTTGTGATGTTTTGCTAACAGGAAAAGAACAAAGATTAGGTAAATAGATTTATCAGATCGTCAAAAAACAAAACTTCTTCCTTGAATAGGAACTCCTGTTGAAGATATGTCACATGCACGTGCTGTACAATTATTATCATCGAATGAAGTAAAATCGAAAATTATTGCAGTTATTGGTACTAATATCGATGTTGGTCATGGTGTGATACAATCTGATATTGATGATCGTTTAGCTGCACTTGCTCCAGGAGCTATTTTTACCTGGTCGTTACAATACGAACATGATGAACATGTGCGTCGTTATGTTGAAATTGTTTCTCGTTGTTCTCCATCTCATACAATTGTTCATAGTTTGGTATGTGCAGCTCTACAAGGCCATCGGGGATATTATTTACCTGATCATTTAAAAAGTCGTATTCACAAGTCAGTTGTACCGCTAACTGATGAGACATGTGTTTGTACTGGTTATCATTTTGACGACGTTATGCGTGATAATGTGTATTTGGAACGATTAGAACCTTGTATGAACTTGAAACAAGTACTTAATACTATTTATTATAGAAATGAAATCAGTATTGATGAATCTTCGACGAAGCAGGTTATATCGTCACTCAAAAATAATAAAGATGAAAAAAGTGTAATCATGTAAAGAAAATTTTCTTTTGAACAGATTATCTATTTTCGCTGTATTTTTATTCGGAGATTTTCAAAGGTAATAAGTAAAATCTATATACATCGATATCGATGAAAACATCTCTCTTTCTCGTGATCAGATAAAGTTTATCTGAGTAGGATTTGTATGTATTGATTAATCATGCATGCTGCATTGCAGAACTAAAAATCTTCTTTTCAAAAAGATATTTATTAATTATTTACTTTTACAAGTACAAAATCTGAGTATTTGAAGTTGATTTGAACGAAACTAATCTTTCACTCTCATCCTCTTTCTCAAACTTTACAACCGCTCAACAGGCAAATGTTGCCATTCGGAAACATCCGATCGGAAAGAACTAACTATCAAGAGATTGACATTCATACTTTGACGGACAAAGTGATTTTACGTAGTATTATTTAGGTCATGTCCTAAGATAGTTCTGCTAAGTTTCCTTGACGTATGTTCTTCATTAGCTGAACAATTTTGATATTTTGTGTGAAATATACTACCGTTGCTAGAATTGAGAATCTCCGGTTTATAGACATACACGCAAAAGACAATGACTAACCTGTGACATTTGGATGAGAAAATCACGCTAGTATTACATGGCAGTCTAGTAGTTTTATTTTAGTCTTGTAGACAATTGAAGAAAAAAAAACTACAAATGCTGTTTGTGACATAATTGAGGAAAGTTTTTAGTAAAAATAACTATCGACTACAAAACTTAAACTATAGACTCATTCACAGTTACGTGTCAGGTGCGGAATTATTGTCATCCATAAGAGAACACGACTTTCATAACCTTTATTATCTACTTGAAAAAAAGAAGCCATTCAATGTTGCCTCTCAAGAGATGATATTCATAACTGAAATTACATCTGTCAAAGCGTATTTTCAAAAGCTAAGGAATGAATGCTGTCAGAGAAGTTTATTATTCTGTATGTCATCATATCAAATCATTATAAAGTCTAAAAAGATTATCTGTTAGCATGGAATTGCATGGTAAGAGTTCAACTGATTACTAAGACTACCGATTCACAATTGGCTGAAAAACAAAATGAATGGATTGCACTGAGCAACCGGCTTTTTTGCGTCTATGAAGATCATAAAAGCAGCATCTGTCATCTGACATGGACTTGGTATCCTCCTCGTAGCGATGAATGAATTCGAAATAAAAGTTTTTGCTACGAAAGCGTATCTGAAATAAATGATTGATCACGTCTAGATAATTCGAAGATACGATTTGGTATGAAGAGACTATTCAAATCTATAACAAGGGTATCTAACTCTATTTGTTCCATTCGTTTTAATATTTACATATTCTTCTCATACGGAAAAGTGTTGTCATCTTCTTGTTCTAACCATGTCGTCTGCATAATCTGAATATACTTGTATATTTGCATTGTTTGTCTCTAATTGATCACAATACTGGTTCGTGAGTCGAGAATACCTATTTATAAAACAAGGGATAAAAGCGAATCGATGAACGTGCTCAAGTTGAACACGAGCTTTTTGTCGTATGAAGTATCAAATCAAATATATTCTACAAGATGACACGCTAGAAAAAATTACATCGATCTACCGGGATTGTTCCCGACATAATCCGATGAATGCCAACTAGTCGCTTATCAGTCAGCATTTTTCAATAGAGCGATCTTTCCGTCGCATTCCATTACTTTGTCAAAAGAGAACATTTATCAATAGAAAGAATTGGCATTCGTCGAAGAAGTGCTTCTCATACAGAACAAATAGATTGTTACTATAGAAATACTCGAGCAAAAGGAAAATCTTTGATATAGATATAGATTATGTATCTGAGACGTGCAAAGCTGAAATTGATTCTCTCCGTAACGAATCATAACTTTATGCAATGTCAATGCAGATGAAAAACGAAGTTTCGTCATTGCCAAAACTTCTCGTGTTTGAGGCATATATTGAGATACTTTTTTTGTTTTTAATCAACGATACAATGCCTCGAGTTCCATTTTTATGTCAGACTAATCAAAGGTCACGTAAACCTGATATTAAAAGCTAATTCAGATCTTTTACGTTGAGTCAAGTCACTTAATGAACAAGAAATTGTGTCAACCGTTAGCATGATCTACGAAATTGATTTCATACAACGAATTTATTAGAGTGACTGTCTCTCTCACAATTTCTTTTCATTGGCAAATTAGAATGCCTCGACCGGCATAGATAATCATCGAAAGCCTATCGCTGTTAAATACATCAAGAGGGAGTTAATGATTTCCGAGTGAGAAATCAATTGAAAAGCCTTTTTCAAATCACCAGAGAACCAAAAAAAAAACGTCAAAAGAAATCGTGACATTACTCTGTTACCCTGAGCCACATCACTAAGAATAACGAAAGCATAGTAAAATATAATCTACCGAATATCGTAACTGATGTCCATAGAAAATCCATTAGACTTATGGTAAACACGTATGCGGCACTTAAATACCCATTAAGAAAAGAAGAGACTTTCCGATCGTCACAGTCTGGAAAGTCTATAAGAGAATTTGAATATATGTACAGCTCTCTTTATTCAAAACACGGGTACATTTTCTGGGATAATCTGCAACGGAAAAAAAAGTGATTTTTGTCTTCGGTATACTCATGTCTGAACGTCTAATTCTCTTTTTGTCGATACAGCAGGAAAGAAAACGAGGGAGAAAAAAAGGAAAATCTCTCTGAAGCGTCCTGTTTGTAGAAAAGAGAAAGAAAAATATCTGTATTTATATAGACATAAAGTTGACTATTATATTACAGTCTGTCAAAAAACACGTCGCAAAAGATTATAGCTATTTAACTATTTCCAAATGGCAATTGTCAATATATCAAGCATAAGGGCAGCGTCAATCGATATGGCTCCGAATTATCTCAAATTTGAAAACATTGATAACTATCCAAGTACAGTCTCGTTGACATACATCTTTTTTATTTCATCAATTGGAATTATTACGAATGTATCAACAGTTTTCCTTCTTTCAAAGAATAATTTTACCAAAAATCTAAAGATTAAATGTGCATTGATCGCATTAGGTTTGTATGATTGACTTTTCTTTACTTAAACCAAACAAATAACGAGCGAAATCTTCATTTAGTTCGTCGAATAGAGAATATATCGTTTCATAGACAATTTTCAAAGATAAAAGCATAAGAAATTTCAATTAGTTCTACTCATTACCTCTTAAATTCATAAAATGTTGCAGTCCCGAAGACGTTTCATTTATTAAAAAAAAAACTAGTTATCCTTATAGAGCCTAATAACATTATGACGGGTGGCATTGCCATCTAAAATAATAACTAGTAATAGAAATGCAAGAAAAAAAGTGACGAAAGCAGAAACATCCGGAAATGTAGGAAATAAAGTCATAGATGTCTACTCAACGTTACAAATTATAATTAGTTAACAGAAATATATAAATGATTCATAGAATAAATGGTTTTGTGCTAGGAAAAGCATTTCATCTGAAAAAACAGGATATTCTCATGTTTGTTTATTTGTTTTTTTAGCATTAAGTGATTTACTTTTTAATATTGCATTGTCTGTTCGTGGAATGTCTGATTTGATCGAAGGTGAATCCGAACGTGTTTGCATGTTTATAACATTTTTCAGTCATCTCGCTGAATTATTATCTGCGTACTATACAGTTTTGTTTACTATTCAACGTTATTGTGCCGTTCGTTACCCATTCGAAGTAGCTATTAATCGTCGTTCAGCATCAATTATTCCTCTTTCGATTATATTTCTATTAAGCTCGTTATTTTGCTTTTTCTTTTATTACGAAGAAAACCCTTCGGAGAAATGCCGTCCAGTCCCAGCGTTACATTGGTTTATAGCCAACGCTTCGTTATCTTTCGTGATTCCATTTTCGCTTATTTCCATCTTTAATATTCTAATTGTTTACTACATTCGTAAATATTCTCTGTCACCTATCGGTGCAGAAACTATTTCGTTAAAAAGGAAGAATCTTTTGAAAACAAGAACGAAAACATCGAGTATGGATGACACAGGATACAATCAAGAAGAAACAAGGATTCCATCATTGGGATCAGTGAGTATACTGTATCTACCTATTTATTTGCGTACATAATAGGAATAAATTTGTCATACGATTATTATAGAGAAAATCTTTTTTCAGTTGTCGTATTCTTCATCATTAATCTAATAACAAGATTTGATGCGTGAAATCTAGCTCAAAGTAATCTCTTCATTGTTAATTAGATTTCTTTCTTCGTTAAGACAACGTATTACCCAGGTGTTAACTCCAGTTCTATTTGAATTAGTTATTAATACACCTCAATTTAATAACGTAGTCATGAAAAGTGTAATTCAATATTCATGACAGATATACCCCCGAAGTGTATTGAGGACATCGCTCTAGTTTTAGATTGGTGATAAAAGAAATGACTACGGAATACTTTATTATCTAGTTCTGTTTATACGTGTGTTATATCCTTCTGAGTCGGCGAACAGCAAATGACAAAGACTGAATTCGTCAAGAGCTTTACAGGGTCCTTGAAGTGAAAGTGTCTGCATAAAATATTTATGAAATTTATTATAAAAATGACAAATATATACAGAAGACATTTTCCAGAATATTTAAGAAAAAGAACTTAATTATCTCCTTTTTTTATAAAGAACAGTTTACGTCACGAATTGCCGCTTCTTTGGTTCACATCAAATTTGACTGAAACATTAATTAATTATTCTGAAAATAAAATGTACCCCGGAAATAACACGAATATCAAACAACATTCTTCTTTCCATTTAGTCATTCGATGGCGTAACCTGTGGTGCATCACCGGATTGTGATCGATTATGCCCATTCATATCATTAAGAGAAGCTCCTACGAGAAATACATATTATTCATCTGATTCATATTCGAAACAAATACCGAATAAATCCTCAACATCATCAAAAGAGAACGAATCTGTTGACCGACTTACGTCACGAATGGCTCAAAGTATTCGCGTGACACGTATGCTTGTCTTTGTTTCTACTTGCTTTCTCATACTTAACGCCCCAGCACATCTATGCGCCATTGCAATGAAAATTTATATTGAAGTTAATTCATTCATACCCGCTGGATCGACAGTCATCAATTTGAATCAAATAGATAACAATGTCGTTTTAATTCCAAACACTTCCAACGAAACGTATCACGAAAATCTATTCGAAGCGATTAAACGTTCGACATTCGTCGATGATAAATCAACATACCAACAACTATACAAAGCAGTTTCAATCACACAAATGATTCAATACGCATCATATTCAATCAATTTCTTCCTTTACTCTTTTAGTGGCATCACTTTCCGTACCAATCTTAAGCAAGTGATTCAAAAACTTTGACTTTTTCTTCTTCGCCTTTTCGATTTGTTCTTCAATTTATCACTCAATCGAGAAAACACCACAGTTTGTAAGACATAAATACTTCTATTTAATTATGCACCTCGATGACAAAATAAAAAACGAAAATATTTTTAATTATTACTTCGAAATAGACAACATGATGACAAAGCGCTGTTTGAAGTCAGATTATAATTTTCTATGCAATCTTACATCCAGCTTCGCTTCGAAGATGAAAGTTTTTCTTTGAAAATGACATCAAAATGCGCAGTATAAGCATTAAATTCAATTCATCATTATGCTTTGTCATCTTCATGCAGAGACTTTCCCTAAACTTCTGCCTTCTGACTACAATTTCAAACCATAGGATTTCACTCGCGTGAATCTCATATTTTTAATTATTAAAGTATTTCTCATGCAAAGATCCTGTATAAGGAAAGTTTAACTTAATTATCAGCGCTAGAGCTTCCAAAGATCAGACAGTGAACTTTGACTTTTTGTTCAAAAGGTGGGAGGTAGTGCCGGATGTGCAGAAACATTTTTTTTGTTGAATGGGCAAGAGAACTGATGAAGAATAATTACTTTGAATTATTTACGGCTTTGTGTCGCTTTCTTTTCCGATTTATTTCTGAAGAATAACACGTAACGGTTTAAAACAAAAAACAGTGCTCATTGCATATCTTCTTCATGATGTTGTTGTTGTTGTTGAACAGCTAATGGTTCATATGTCCATTTCGGGTAAATACGTTTGTAGAGATTCATAAACACTGTGTCTTGTGATTTAAGAATTCCATCAAACTGACATTTCATATGACCATGTGTACCTTAAAATATACAGAAATAGCAAATAAATTGTTTGTTGTAACGACTGAATTTAATTTACCAAGTGATTCTTTTATGTGACCCCGTCGACCCCATCGTGTTCGTAGTTCAATAGGTTTAAACCAATTAACATCCTCTAGAGATAATAATTCAACCATGATCAAGATAATCGCATTGAAGAAAGGTGAACTAACCTGGACTGAAGAACATATATCGAATAACTGCTGATTTCTTATGAATTTTGAATGGATGACCACTTAGAACAATTCGTTTCAATACTAAACGATCCGGATTAACCGAAAGTAAAGAACCAGTGGCGACTAATTCTTGACGACCTATAATTAACAGAAGAATTGTTTTTCGAAAAACATACTTCAAATAACAAACCGTCTGGAAATTCTTTAAAAGCAAGAACAGACGCTGGCGGATACGTAATAGGACCAAAACATGTGGCCACTAATGTTTGTCGTGGTCGAAAAAATCGTTCAAACTACGCAAGAAACGTAAGATAACGTCTCGTAATCTATTTGTGAAATAGATACAAACTTTATGTTTATCTCCGGTTGTATGTTGAGAATAAATTGGTGCACTAGCAAAACGGCGAAATCCAACATGAAAGATAAGACGTTCTTTGGATTTTAATATTATTTCGCTATCATTGGTGCGATTTAAAACAATATTCAACACAGAAAGACATTGTTCATGTGGTAATAAACCCGAGACAAAGACATGATGACCAGGTTCTAAATATTATATAACTCTTCATAGAGATTGGTTCTGTTCAACAAGTATTTGACATACCAAATCGTGTGACAGGTACATTTTTTACATATAAAGTAACATAACTGTGCACCTGAAAGTCCAAACAAGAAAGTTTAGTACTTCGTGTGATTAGGATTATCTTGTTTACTTGAGCGTGATCTCCTTTGCCTTGATTGTCCTCCTGCTCAGCTTGAATTTGTTTGATCATTCCTCGAAAGTTCGGAAATTGATAGATTCTTCCATAATCTTCTGGTAGATTTTCTTTTGCGTCCCATTTGGTCGTTCGAAAACTCTTCAACCCACGATATCTGGATAACAAGACGATAAGTTGATTTATAGAATAGAAAGCAGAATTACTTTTGAAATCGGACACGAGCAGGCACGTCCATTGGCGTATCGACTTCATCTGGAAACTGTTCATCTACTTTTGCTTCTTTAAGTTGTTTTAAGCTAAGAAATACCGAAGAAGTATTTCAGAAAACTATTTAGCCTATTTTACTAACGTTTGTTTATCTTCTTCCATATCCAATTTTTCATCGTAATTATTTGGATTAATCACAAGTTCATCCATTTCTTCTTCTTCTTCTTCGTCGTCTTCTTCTGCTCCTTGTTCATCCAACTGAATTGATTCCAATTCATCAGCATTTGCAGTGACCATGTCTTGTTGTTCATCATCATCTTCTTCTTGATAATCCTACAGGTCGAATGTATACAAAAAAAAAGTTTGTCATAAACATTTCCTTCAAACCTGATCTTCTTCTTCGTCGTCCGACACAATCCATGCTGCTTGGTATTCTGATGTACCTTTTGGTACACGTTTTTTCACTTGATGTTGTTCTGCTTGTGCCTTTTCCAATTCTTCTGTTGTTGGCCATGTTTGTTCTTGATTACTATTCATCGGATCGATGTCCGCTTCGAAAGCCAACGATCGTTGAAGTTCTGCTTGTGCAGTGTAGACGCGATGCACCACTGGTTTCACAATTCCATCAGACTGGAAAAAGAAATTATGCGAGGTAAAGCGGAAAGGAAACGAATAATTTACATCTCGTTGAAAAAGATTTTCTTCAATTTTTTCTAATTGAAATGTTCCTAAACCAGGAATGTACACAAGTTCATTGGGAGACAAGTGTATTCCACGAAGAGAACCGCTTAATTTCAATGTACTCGTCGGCGCCTAGAGAATTCAAATTCAATACATTGACAACTAGAAAAAGAAAATTTACTTTAGGATTTTCATATGCAAATGTTTCAGCGAATAGATAAGGTCTTAAGCATCGTTTGGTCGGTTTTGTTAGTTTTTGTTCAGTTAATTTTCTTAAAAGACGTTGACCATCTTGTTCATTATCTAATGGAACTAATTTCACATTTGAAAATCGTTTCTGAAGGAATTTTTCTAAATTTCTTGATGATGACAAACGTGATGTTGATGATGTTACAGACATTGTATCATCGTTCGAAGATGAGACAACAGAATAGATAATACTTCCCGGTAAACAATGAACGTTGATTAAATCGAGTAAATAATCTCCTTCGAGTGATATTCCACTTGATGAAGATATTACATAGATGATTGTATCGGACAACTAAAATATCATTTCAATAGAGCAATGCGTTCAACGGTGGAATCAAACCTTAGCAGCATCGAGAATATTTTCGAGATTAGTTGGTGTTGGAGTCAGAAAGCAAAATTTTGAACGAAGTTTTGGACATCTGAAATCAAAATCTCGATATCGCAAACAATCGGGAGTGGCAAACTTACGTATAAACTCTTGCACCACAGTCTGTGGCTATATCAGTTGATCTATTGTCGTCCATTGAATGAGTCAGTAACTCAACTATGGAGAAGATGTTCACATCTGATGACAAAGGTATTACAGTCTAAATAAAACATGGACGACATTTGAAAAGATGCCGTAAATTATTTACAATAAGTTGTGGAACACCATCGATAGCACCAATAGTTTGTCTGGCTTCTTTATTTGCCTGAAGTTTCTGTTTACGAATTTGAAGAGCTGTATTGACTCGATTTTGTTTTGGCATGACAGTCAATCGTTTTAAACTTCGTGCATGTTTCTTTTCAGCGACTCGGCCTGGAAGAAGAAGAGTTGTTCAAATTTGAAAAGATAATGAAGATGATTAACCTTTAGTTCCTCGTTTGATTTCGTGATGAGATCGATGACGGCCTGTTTTGAATGCTTTATTTTGTTGTTTAAGAGCGCCTGGACGATGAACAACGTTACTATCACCGACTGGACCCATACTGTTAATCGTTCTAGAAGTCAAATGGTTTAGTATAATCAATTATCGCGTGTGAAGTTTACGAATTCAGTATTTTCTTTTTTTCTCGTCCAAAAAAGACAAATTTGGATTGATTCCCATTGGTTTAAGCGGAGCTATCGAAAAATCTGTTTTTTTTTAATCGAAATTCAACTTTATCGAAGGGTTACATTAGATAATTATTACAATTTGGGATATTTCGTCATGTTGAAACTTGAATTTCTTTTTCTAACCAGTTTAGTTTTTCTACAGAGGGCGCCACATACGATTCGGTTCGTGTAAAAATTAACGTTCGTTTGTTTTTTATTCACTTCGGATTTTCAACAATTTGAGAAGGAATGAAGTGACTTGAGCTTAAGTTTATTGTCGCAATGACGTCAAGTGCATGATATTTCGTTTTACACTTTACTCTTGGTACAACATTTCAATTATTATTTACTCTGATGATCTGTTTGACTCACACTAATCCCGCAATATCTGCAATACACCTATATAAATGTGTTCTGTATACAGGATCGATGAGACTTTTTAGGAGATGAAATCAATGGAAGCGTCATTTCATTAGTATAAGTACTTCTTCCATTGAACTTGATTACAGTTATGCATTTGATTTCTATAAATTATACGATCTGCAGTGGTGAAAGAAAAGAATATCGGAGATACTTGTTATCTTTTGTGGCATGATTTTGCTGGGCATATCACATTCTCTCAAGTATATATTTCACAATATTAAATAGATAAGAATGATACCAAGTAAAACACGTGTCGTAGTCAACACTATAACTTCTTCACGATGAATAGAATCAATGTGAGCACAATTTATCTACGTTTTAGATTCGATATTTGTCTTCAATGAAGTCTGATCTATCGCATAGTGATGATGGCAACCAGAAGTTTTTACTCGTTGGACTTGAAAATCAATCGAACATCGATATTCCCAATAAATTTCAAACTTTAGATGCACTTCAAGCTTTCATTGCGGATAAGAAGGAGCAGTTGGTTGTCGTGATCATCGGTGAGAATATTTCATCGGATGCATTCTCAATCGCCGATTTCCCTCAAATTTGTGCGATTTACAATGAAAAACTGGTCTGTTTGTACTGCTCAACAGAACTCGTTCAATCCGTTCATGCTTACATACAAAAAATCAAGACTAAACAAGAAACAAAAGCAAAAGTTTCCTCATCTTGTTTAATACCAATCATTCGCAAATATTGGTTTCTAGTCGGTTTAATTTTAGCGATCTTATTCGCATATCTCTTTCCGAATGTTGGCAAAACAGGTGGATACATTCGTTCAGAATGGTCGGTTAAATTAGGTTGTGTTATGTTCATTTTCTTTGTCAGTGGATTATCCTTACGAACTCGACAGCTCGTTCAAGAAATTCTTCATATTCGTCTGCATGGATTCGTTCAAATCTATAGTCTGTTAATCATTCCATTTATAGTTTATGGCTTATGTTTATTATTAGTACGATTATCTTTGAATAAAACACTAGTGATCGGTTTGATTATAATGGGTTCGACGTCAACAACAATCTCGAGCAATGTGGTAATGACAAAAAATGCATTGGGAAATGAATATGCTGCATTAGTGAATGCTGTTGTTGGAAATATTCTGGGAATTTTTCTTTCTCCAGCATTGATTTTCTTCTTTGTTAAAAATCCTGTGTTTAATTCTCTTTCAAGTGAAAACAATACCGAAAATGGATTTGAATACGGTCGAGTTCTTCAGAAATTAGTTTTGACCATATTGCTGCCGCTCCTTATCGGACAAATTATTCATTTAATATGGACGAAAAGAGTGACTTATCTACGCGAAAAGCTCTACTTTGCTGAATTGAATAGTTTAGCTTTACTAATATTAGTCTGGGCTGTTTTTTCGACAGCGTTTGCGACAGGTACATTCAAACCTATACACACACAAGATCTCGTTATTTTATTTGCTATCGGTGCTGGACTTTATGTATTTTTCTCGGTATTCATTATGATTCTAGCACGATTACCTATTCCACATTGGCAATTTTCGCAAACAGATACTGTAGCAATTATGTTTTGTGGTGCAACAAAAACTCTCGCAATGGGTATTCCGTTAATTAGTGCATTGTATGGAAACCAACGGAACGATATGAGTGGTGTCTTGTCATTACCATTGATTATTTATCATGTCGAACAATTAGTTTTGGGTGCAGTCGAAGTTATTCTATTGAAAAATTGGGTGAAAAAAGGATTGAAGAGAGAAGCATTAACACAAAAGACTGAGAATGATATTGAATTAGGTGAAAGAGAAGTTATTAATGTAAAATCCTAAGTATTATGTTGAGACACATACGTAGTTGAATTTAGAAAATAAACGTATTATCACAATAAATGAGTATTATTTTCTCTTCATGTGTTCAGATGAAACATCGACATCATTTGTGTGTTGATGCAATATTGATCATCTTACTTTTCTTCTTCTTGTATTAAGAAATAAGTTCACGAATTTATTTGATCTGTGAGGAATATCAATGGAAAAGAAAAGGTGAAAACAACATAAAGATCAACTCTATCTATTGGATATAAATAGCTTGCGAGAAAAATTTTCACCATAACTAATTGACCGAACAATGCATGTAGAATTAGTTTCACAGTCTGAACATCAACATTACATTCGTTCATCTTCTCGACAAATCTGGCAGCGTGTGAAAAGTAAAACAATCCGCGTAGTTCATGGATAGAATATTTTATCTGTTCTTATAGATTTATTAAAGAGCTGCATTGGCCATCGATCAGATCAACATTTATTCCGTCATGATGGTTCACTTGTTGATCGTGATCGTCTACGAAAGAAGATCTCCCATCATGAACAATCATACAAACAACGTCAAAAGACTTGGCCATATCTGTTGAACATCTACTCACCAACGATGACTGATAATGACAAGAAAATCTATCAAAACCAAGCTCGAATTCGTTACAATAAGTAGGATTAGACTAAATTTCTGTTTAGACCATTTCATTCTCATTTAATGTTAGATTGAAACGAGCATGGCAAGAACGTGTGTCTCGTGGTGATCAATTCTATATTTCTCTTGCTGATCGAATACTCAAAGATGTTCGTCGTACCGATCGACACATGAAGTTCTTTCGAAGTAAGAAAAACTTCTCATTCTATCTATCTAAAATCATTGATATAGAAAATCAACGAATTCTTTTCAACATAATGATGACTTACAGTGTGTATCATCCACACCCAGGGTATAGTCAAGGTAAATCGATTTCGTGTTGTAGTTCGCTTTTTCAATCAAATCGTATTTTTCAGGTATGAGTGATATGTTGACGCCAATTGTTTATGTATTTCTCGATGAATCGATGAGTTATTTTGCGTATTGTTCATTGATGACTCGTTATATGAGCTCCTTATTCGATCGCAATCAAATCGAGATCAATCATCGTCTCTATCGATTTGATTTGATCTTTCGTTCAATAGACTATGAACTTTGGAGTCAAATTAACTTAAACAACGACCAGGATGACAATAGTTTATTTGTTTATCGATGGTTATTACTCGATTGTAAACGAGAATTTCATCACCGATTTAGTGATGTTCTTCGTGTTCTTGAACTTATTTGGGTAAACTCCATGTCGTTGACAGTGACAGAAACTGATCGATCTTTATTCACAATTTTTGTCTGCATATCACTTTTGGAGGAAGATCGAAACAGAATACTGTCGTGCTCGACTGAAGATGATTTACACGAATATTTCTATTCATCATCAACATCGATATCAAGATCTCGTTGTTCTACAAAGCGAATTCTACAACGAGCACAAAATTATCATGCAAGTTACACATCAGTAGATAAAAAATGAATTTCCTGTTTAATATTCAGTTTAAAATAAATTCGTTGTATCACATTCAAAAAAGGACATCATTGATATTTCGAGTTAGAGACATAAGTTGATAATAAAAATCAATAAAATAACTAAGACCATATTTCCTGTTTGATGAGAAGCATAGCTCGGAGGATCCGGTTTACATTGTCCTTGTGTATGACCGTCTGATTCACCCGATGGACAGTTAGAAAACTTGACACGACATTGGACCATACAGTTATAACTTGTACATGGATTGAGAGGAAAATATCCTTGATATTTTAGTGTGCAAGGTTCTCCTTTACAACACGAGCAACTACATACATTGCACTTGATCAATTGTACACAGCAAATGATAATAAATGCAATTAAAAGAAAAGAATTCATTGTTCGCATCGTTGTATTTTAAAACGATAGACCCGATGACTATTTGCTTTGTTTTATCTTGACAATGTTGTTCTCGAACTCTTTTCTTTTATCTTTTTCGTAGTGCAAACTCTATAGATTTAGTCAACGCGCACTGAAATGTTGAGCTACTTACAACGTGTCTTTTCGGATGAGTCAACTTATTTTCACGAAATAAAGTACAAAGAAAAGGGACGGTTTACATGAATTTTTTCAAAACAAAAGAAAAGATTGGTAAAGATAAAGTGAGCAATATGAGGTTTACTTTCTTTTCTGAGGAGCATAGACACCTGATACGCAAAAGCCTTGTGTAGAACCAGCACCCCGAGCTGCTGGACAAGTGTTATACTTTCGAAGACACTCGTTAGGACAGCTTTGCGCTTTGCAGGAATCTCATAAAATAGCTCTTTGATATGTTGGATTACAAGAGTTTCCCAAGCAACATGTATAATTGCACATATCGTCATAGATCGTATGTGTCAAACAAAGAAGAACAAAGATGGAGAAAACTCACTTGTTTTGCAGTAGTATGTTTCCCGTCGAACAATATCGAGAATGCAATGAAATTTAAAAAAGCAATTTCGTTAAGAACCTTAGATGAATTTGACTGATTCACTTCTATCAAGTCTAATCTTCGAACACAAATGTTATCGAATTCACCAGGGATTGACGTATGGTGCAATGCGCGTAAGACTATGGCAATACGAAGTTTATCACACAGAAAATTTTCTGTTTACAGATTTGTATGATGTTTAGCGATGTCAAGAATTCCGTGTTACTAATATTTCAATTAAGTATGATTGAAATGTTCACAGAAAAAAGTACAAGAAGAATCGATTCTGACTAAATCAGAGATTTTATCAATGTGAAAAAGGTAGTCTGGACTAATACACGTACTATTTGCCCTTTGATGATCCTTTAGTATTTTTCCAAATAGTATCAAAAGTGCAAAGACAGTCTATTGGCATAGAGTCCTGTTTCTGGTATAGATAAGGATCGAAATCGTCTATTTCTTGTCCAAAAATATACTGTCTAAATGAAAAACAATGCATACGAATAGCCTTTTCCCGGTATTTATCATTTTCACTTTGGTCAATCTAGGCATTCAGAATCTCGGGAAGCCAGCCTTACTTTCCGGACTTGGTAATCTTGACTTTAGTTTTCTCCGAAGTCCGATACGACCAGCTAGTCATGGTGGCTCACCATAAGACGTTCTTACCATTGCATATCATAGCTCTATAAGTCATAACGTTGTTCTCTGCATGTGTCATCACCTGCTGATGCATGTGGTGGTGATGTGTCGTATTATTGGTCAAGTGGTATGTACGATTCAGTGTTTATTCATGAATCGGCTTATTCAATTGAGGGTGGTAAATCAGCGTCAGGCGAATGGTGTGATGCTGTTGCTCGAGATTCATGTGTGCCCGATGCCTATGTCAACAGCAACTACGCTGATAACTTTGCTCAAGTTGCTGTTCTCTGGGTTCATTTAGTCGGTACAGGACGTGACAAGGATTTCAGTGGAACTCAATTTGCATGCATGAGAAATCAATTGCTTCAAATGGCTAAATATATTCCTGCTGCAAGTATTCAACCTTAGTTGAGCACTATTTTTCTATTTGCATGACTTTTGTGTTCTTCTCATTCCTGAGCTATTTTTAAGTTATAAATAAATAATCAAGGTAAGAGACGAAACTATAATGCAACGAACTTCATGTTGAAATAAACGGCTCTAGTAGTTGTTGGCTATTTTGAATGAGACATACCATGATTCATCAAAAACATCTTCAAGAATTCGCATAAGATTTTTTTCTCTCATTCTATGCCACAACATGCTCAAGCATAAAATTTCAGAACAGCGAAAGGTAAATTATCTTTGTAAACAATTTAAAAATCGATGGGCTTATTAAAAAAAGATAAGCCGTACTTATTAAACTGCGCCGTAGTTATCGGCTAAATCCGAATAGTCATCTCTTTTGATTACGAACGATTCTCGCAATGACGGATTATCGTCATCAAACCATTTCGTGTTATACTGATTTCAGGCAAAAAAATCTCTAAAAGAAAAACGAAGACTTTTCATACCGTATAAACTCTGCGAGAAACACTTACTTCTATTTTAGATTGCTGACACTTAATGCGCAAATATTGACTGCAGAAAAATAGATTCATGTGAACAAACAAACGGTTCACCTCATACTGATAACATAAATTATTTTGCGTAAATCGATTTACTCCTCGCTGCTAGATGTCGCTGCAAAACCTTCATTTGTTCCTTGAAGACAGTTACTCAGACACACGCACAAGCACAAACATTCCTTGAGAGTTGATTGGTCAATCAGAAATTTCCAATCGAAAAAATGTCTTCCTTGTATTGATATTAATTAAGATCTTTTTTTCTTCGAGAAATTATTGATAAGAATGACGAAGAATATCAGTCGTTGTCCACATGTTGCAGCAATCGGAATAATTACCAATGAAGATTACATTGCAGCGATAAAAGTTTGTTAAATTTATTTAACGAAATAGTCTAGTTTTTCGTTCAATAATAATTTCAGTCAGAGAAATGCGAAAAATGTGATTGTTTTGGTTCTCATCTATGGTTGTGTCTTCGTGAAGGTTGTCTGTTTGTCGGATGCGGATCAGGTAAAGAAAAAAATGATCATAGCAGTGATCATGAAAAAGAAAAAGCACATCCATTACAATACAATTTAACAACAAAACGGATTTGGTGTCATGTTTGTAACCAAGAAGTTCTTGCTAATAATGATCCACCCTTCGAGTATGAACTTTCTTTCGTTGTAAAAAACAAAGATATTAATTGTATTCAATTAGATTGTCGTTTCTTAATCGTTCAATGAAATCTGCCAAGTCAATTAATCAATCAATCAGTACTTCCGTCCAAATGAATATTGTCAATGCCATTAAAAATTCACCTGTTCATCATGATGATGAATGCAGAAAGCCATTCGAACCAACACTATTCGAATTTGAACATACAGATACTACTGATTTTACTCGAGGTTCGTTTCCTTTAGCTGGAAACAATCATCTATTTACATTTTTATCGATTTTAGGGATCGTAGGTCTATATAACTTGGGGAATACCTGTTATATGAATTCAGCGCTGCAAGCTCTTTCAAATTGGTAAGAAAAAATACACTTTCTTCTTGTGTTCCTTACTGATTTCGGTTTCATAGTGCACCTTTGACAAGTTATTTTCTTGATTGTACTTCGTTTGTTTTGAATAATCCACAGCGTCGTGTAAATGGAAGTTCATCGCAAAATAAATCCAATGGAAGATTAGCAAAAGCTTACACGAAATTTATTGAATCGATGTGGAAGAAGCGAACGAATGGAAATCAGAGGTTGGAGAAAACCAATTCCAAATCTTTCGAAAATTTCTATGTTTTTTTGTTTTTGATAAAATTTCAGTCATGTTATGAATCCAAGTTCTATAGCAGCAGAGATTCGTTCAATCAATCCATCATTCCGTTCGTATACACAACAAGTAAGCAGAATATCGTTGATAAAGAAAATCATTTGTGGTATTTGGTTTCTAAGGACGCTCAAGAATTTCTTCGATGTTTTATGGATGAATTACATTCAGAAATGCGTATTGCTCAATCAGACCCAGATGATAAACACCGGAGTGAGAGCAGCAGCACAGAAAGTAGTGAAATGGCGCTTTTAATACCAAAGTAAGTACTTCATTTCACACTAAACCGATAAGATTCTCCCGAGAATCATTCGTTCGTCTCTTGAGATTTTCCTTTCTAAAAATTTCATTCGTTTAGTCGAAGTCTTGAATCTGAATATGAAACTTGTAACTCTGATATCCAATCCAGTACCGATGAAAATAGTAATGATGAAGAGAAAAGTAGATATTCTTCATTAAATGAACTTGGTCAATATTCAAAGAGAAAACTTTATCGAGAAAAATCCAAATCATTAAGTCGAACTGATTCCGGTGTATCGTTCAACACGACAAAACAATCTGAAACACACGTGAACATGTTTGAAAGCACAAAACGTCCAGTTTATTCCTCAGAGAAATCCTCGAAATCTAATGCATCTCACTCGATAATCTCATCTATATTTGATGGACGAATTCAAAGTCAAATTGAATGTTTAACATGCAATCGTCGTTCGACAACAATGGAAACATTTCAAGATCTTTCATTACCTATTCCATCGCGAGAACAACTTGAAGTATGTCAAAGATGTTTGATTACAAACAATTTTTCAAATGTTCTTCTGCAGAAATTTCATTCAATACAAAGCGGAAATGACGAACCTATTGTTTTGAGCAATCTGCAAGCCATGGATCAAAGTAGAAATGAATCTTGGATGTCATGGTTTTATTCGATATTTAAGAAGTTTGTTTAACTTTGCATAAAAACGAACGATCATATTCAATCTTATTTAGTTTATGGACACTGAATGTTTGGGGACCACCGTTGACATTGCAAGATTGTCTCCAAGCGTTTTTCCAAGCTGATGAACTCACGGGTGATAATATGTACAGCTGTGAAAAGTGCGGAAAGTGAGTTTTAACTATTTCATTTCGAAGAATCGATGATTATTTTTTTAAATTAGATTGAGAAATGGAATAAAATATTGTCGAGTGGTGGAATTGCCTGAAGTAATTTCGCATTATTCTCGAACAAGATTCTCTCATTTACATTGTAGGTGTTATGCATACATTTAAAACGTTTCCGTCATGATTCGATGATTTACACAAAAATTGGAAGTTATGTATCATTTCCTCTTGTCGACCTCGATATGATGCCATTCATTCATAAAGGTTTGCTGTCATCATTATGATTTTCTTTCGCGTAAGATCGATTGATTTCAGATTGCCGAGATAAAGTTCGTTCCTACGATTTATTTGCATGTATTGTTCATTACGGCCGAGCTGGTAGTGGCCATTACGTAACATATGCGCTAAACAGTCTCAATCAACAGTGGTATGAATATGACGATGAAAATGTTCGACAAGTCGATGCAACAACTGTACAAAATGCAGAAGCTTACGTTTTGTTTTACAGGTATTTTTAAACAATAAGACGAAATGATTGGCTGAGGGTTTTGTTTTCTAGAAAAAAAGAAGCGAATATCAGCGAAACATATGAAACTATTCGTCATCTATTAGCGAAAGATCAAGTTCGTGTTTTATTCGTTTGAGCGCATCTAGAAATATGCGTTTGTGTTCATTGTAGGACTATTTACTTCCGTTTTATATTTCACGTTCGTGGATCAATCGATTCTTTTATGTCGCTGAACCTGGACCAATAACAAATAACGATTTCTTATGCAAACATGGAGGTGGGTGGAAACTTGATTGAGCTTTGAGAGATTTTTCTTTCTTTGTCAATAGGTGTATTACCACATCATTGGAGTGTGATCAATGAACTTGTTTGTCCAGTACCTGAGAGTGTCTGGCAATATCTAAGCGAAAAGTAAAATTGAAATTCATCTGGAACAAGTTTGGAATGAGAATCTATGCATTTTGTAGATATGGTGGATCGCCTGTATGTAACATCCTGTATCCATGTCGAAAATGTCAGTTAGAAGATGAAAATTTAAAATGCCGTCAACGTTCAGAGAAAAATAAGTTTTTACAGGTATGCACTGTGTTTTTCTTCTCGATTGTATTGTCAAGATTGGAACAGAAGTCAGATGATTATTGTTGTCGAAAGCGAGAAATTGTAACTAATTTTATTCGAATGGTTCAGAGAGGGTGATGACCAACGTTCGAATCCCGGTGAGGGAAAAGTGTCATATGATGATAACGCATTGGGCACCGAAGACAATGACGATTACCATTGAAATCACCAACCTACCTTCTGATGACACAAATAAAAAAAGTTTTCTTTTCTTTTCTAGTTGAAACGTTCGGAAAAAGATACCGATGCGATCTATGCGCTCAACCCAAATTGGTTCCGCGATTGGGAAACGTTTGTTTGTGAAAAATCGTCAGGTAGATGATAATTCAGATTCTTTTTTTTCTCTCATCGCTTCGTCTCTATTTGTTCTCATCTAGAACCACCCGGTCCGATATCGAACGCAGGAATTTCGACAACCAAAAATGGTGTCACCCGTTTACTTCGACGAGGTAGGTTTTCCTGTCGTCAAAGTCTCTTTCTACAAACGAATAAATTCCTTTAGATTGTAATAACTTTCAAGTAAGCGAATCGATATGGAACTTTCTGTATTCGATCTACGGCGGTGGACCTGAGTTGTTAATTCGATCAAATTCGACAATGAACACGGATGATCAAATATCATTGAACAACAAACCAGATGTGACTTTCGTTTAGAAAAAAAAACTCAGCAGCTTTGGTTTTTTTTTGTGTCATGTCCGATCAATGTTTATGTTTATTTATTTCATTCTTTGCAATTTAATAGTTTTCTTTTATGCTCTTAAAGAAGAAGAAGAAAAAACCTTCAGAGGAATCAACTAAATATGTGTCATTTACTTCGCGAAAAAAAGGCGTTTCTGGTTGATTTCGATTTTGTCGAGAAAAACAAAATTTCTTCTTTCGTTTCAATTTTTACAGATCGATTTATTTACGAACGCAATCAAGAGATAGTGATCGAGTAAGTTCAGATAGAATCAATCAGACTAATCGAGCGTTTATAATTCAAGTAACAAATGGCACCACGATTAAGACCGATAATTCCGCGTCGCTATTCATTAAGATTCTATTTGAAATGCACTGTTCTCATTTTAATAATCTATTACGTAAATCTGCTACTCGGCTTGACACATTATATTTGGTCAGAGAAGTCTTTCGAAGAAGAATATGGTGCACAAATGATACACATCGATCCGGTCAAGGTTGAAGACGATCCAGAAGCGATGCTCGGTCCACCGAAAAACACTCTCTCAACTCAATTTCTGATTAGTAATGAATACTTATGTGCTCGATCACTGGATCCGGAAACACAGCTTTATCCACATGTACTGATTTTAGTGAAATCATCGTCAGATAATTTCAGAGAAAGACAAGCGATCCGATTAACTTGGGGCGACAGGAATCGCTTGAAAACGAAAGGAGACTTTCGATTGGCTTTTGTTCTAGGTAAACTTATTTTTCTTTTCTTTTCATCAACTTTATTTTCTATTTTGAAAATCTTCCAACTTTAAATAGATTAAACTAATTTTACGCTTTACGTAAGTGGTTTTTTGCTGCTATCTTGTGTATCGGTGCATGTTAGTTGTATATCTGCATGCTTTTCCCTATAAGAAATCAAAGCATAACTGACACATATCAATTGAATATTACTTGTTTCTAGGAACGGATGTACACAATAGAAGTATTGAAGATGAAGCGAATCAATACGGTGATATTATCCAAATTGACAAAAATGATTACTACTATTACAGTTCATGTAAGTTGGTACTTGCGAATACGAAGGAGAAATTGTTTTTTTTCAAAACTCTTTTTTGAAGACAAAATGATCATGATGCTGCGATGGATGACTAGTTATTGTACATCTCAATCGCATCGAACTTCGTACTTGGATCTTCGAAATTACGTTCTATTCGTCGACGATGACTATTATGTCGATACTGATGCTTTATTATCATATATAAGTCGTCTTGATAGAGATCCTGATATTACCACATACGAAAGACGAACGTTTATCACTGGTGAAGTCATTGAACAATCTCGACCTCATCGATCAGCTAGTGATCGATATTTCGTTTCGCTCAATGATTATCCGTACGATCGTTATCCAGCATATGTATCAAGTGGATGTTTTCTAATGACACGATACAATGCCCGGTTATTTTATATTGCATCGAAATATGTTCATTTATTTAGTTTTGATCATATTTATATGGCGCTCATTGCGTATTCGATGTCGATCAATCCAATTCCGAATAATGACCTTTTTCTAACATCAACTTCGTTGTCGATGAGCGAAAAAATACTATCGGCGAGATGGAGAGATATATTCAAGAGAAAAGACGATTTACATACGGGGAAACCTCCGATTTGTATGCATGGATATAGTGCTGAGAAATTGATCGATATTTGGGAGTTCATTCACCGAATGAATATCACTGCTTAACTTTTGTTTTCGAATGACTTTTTTTATTTTCATGTCAGATGTTTATGGTCGAGGGGCATGCGTTTTTTTTCTTGTTTTATAGATAAAGAATATAAATGATAAGGAGTTTATATATGATTATATCGCAGAACAGAATACATAGCTATTCTAGATCTTCTAACTGGAACGTCGAATGAAAGCAAATCAGTTTCTTTGTGGTGTTATTGAAGGTAATAAGAGATAGACATACGCATTTAGTTATAAGATCTTTGTACAGAATTGAGGAGTTTAGTTATTTATACATTTCAGGTTATTATGGTCGTCCTTGGTCATTGAATCAACGGCGCACACTTTTTGAAAAGTTTGTGTTGGCTTACTTTTCGTTTTCGAATGAGTTCTTTTTTTTGTTCGATTAGTTGCTTACGATTTGGTTTGAATACGTATGTCTACGCACCGAAAGATGATGCGAAACATCGATCGCGTTGGCGAGATTTGTATACAACTGAAGAATCGAATGAATTAAGTCAATTAATTCATCTTGCAAAACAATTCGGTATAAATTTTGTCTATGCTCTATCGCCTGGTCTTGACATAACTTATTCATCGGAGAAAGATTTGAATGCGTTGAAAAGAAAATTGAATCAAGTAAAGGATGAGATTGGTTATCGTTGTTGTTGATTGAATTCAATTGAATTTCAGTTGTTAAGTTTTGGATGTGAACATTGGGCGTTGTTATTTGACGATATCGAAAATGAAATGTCACAACAAGATAAGGATAATTTTGCTTCTTTCGCTCATGCACAAGTCGCGGTAACAAATCAAATCTACGATTATTTAAACAAACCAAATATTCTGATATTTTGTCCTACAGGTTTATATCAGACAGAGAAAGTTTTAACAAGATGTTTTAGTGATTTGTTTTCAGAATATTGTAGTCGAATGGCTGATCCATCATTGGAAAAATCAGCCTATTTACAAACGATTGGCAATGGTCTTCATCCTGATATTGATATCTTTTGGACAGGTATGTGGAGAAATCATCATTTCAAATATGGATTAGATTCGATGGTTATTTTTCCATAGGTCCGAAAGTAGTCTCTCGTCGAATCACTGTCGCTCATATTTTAGCAGTGAATAATGTTTTACAACGTCGAGTGACCATTTGGGATAATTTAAATGCAAATGATTATGATCAACGACGTTTGTGCATGGGACCATTTGCAGGTCGTTCGTCAAACTTGTCCTCTCGATTAGCCGGAATGTTAACAAACCCGAATTGTGAATTTGAATTGAATTATATTCCGATGCATACATTGGGACAATGGTTTGAATCAATAAAAGTCAATGAGAAACGTGACAAAATTGATGATAATGTTGATGATGACGACGATAGTATTCAAACAGTTGAAGTTTATCAAGTGGAAAAAGCATTTCATCAAGCTCTTATTCAATGGCTACCCGAATTTAACAAAGTCAAATCAGCGAACGATTTCTTACATAGTATCAAAGTAAATATCATTCTTTCTCACTTCAATCTCTCATTGAGTTTTCAGATTGATCATTCTCCGCAAGCCATGAGCCCAAAAGCAGCGGCTCTATCCTCGTTGAACGATGAAGATTCACAAGATTCGATTACAGAGCATGTTCCACCACCATCATCAACGTCGTCAAAAATTCATACGATGGAATGTGACGCAAATAGCAATCTTATTGATTTAACATTGGATGATATTCGATTTCTCGTTGAATTGTTTTATTTACCGTATGAACATGGACCAAATGTGCAGCAAATGTTCTTCAATTTTTATTGGCTGAGATACAATTACAATCCTCATCAAAATGTATATCTATTCATTCCAAACAAAAGAAACCCATTCTTTTCTTTTCTATTCTTTAGTTAAATGAATGGCGTTGTCGAGCTGCAATATTTCATAACCACGCAAAAACTGTCGGTCGTTTGCTTCAAAAACTAGTAGCTATTCACAATCGAGCGTTGCTTTATGATGTCTACAATTATATCAACGATATCAATTCGACAATAAATTTATGCTCGAAATATCTACACTGGCTTGGTAAAGAAAATTTCACTTGCGACATATTACGTGAAATTTTTCCTTAGACGATGAGCACAAGCGTTCCACAGTATTCATGTCCGGTGATGTTGAACCCTGGTCAATACGCGGTGGTCTTGCAGGAGAGTTTCTAGTTCGTCTACACTTTCATTCGTAGTTTTCAATAGATGTCGGTTTTCGTTCTGTTTTACAGAACATTCTTCCACTGGGCGACTTCCAAGCACTGATTAAATCAGATGGGGATTCTTCTTCGGAAGTGTATTTTATTCGGCCGTTAACTTCCAACGACCAAGTTTGACAAGAAATATGAATAATTAAACAAGCAACTTTTTGTATTTTAGCCGGCAATGTGTGCGCTGTGCACGACCATTTGCTATCAAGACGATGTTGACGATTTGCTCAGACAACATTCGGAAATCTTAGCAGATAAGTCGGTTATTTTGGATTGTATGTCAATAATTGAATATGATAATCGATTGTTTATATAGGGTCATTGGTGGATATTTATCGAATTCTATGAATACATCTGATCTTTGTTTTGGTATCGATGGTACCGATGATGGACTACACGGATTTGTCTTAACAATAAGTGAAAGCGAGAAATATGATAAATTTCATCAAACAAAATGGCTTGAACAACTTCGCCAGAAATATTCCAATGTGGATGAAGTGAAATCATACAGAAACTAAGCTTATTTTCGAATCGTTTTATTTAGAATTTCTTCGAAATTATCGAATGTCCTCAATGGATTTATGATCGTTATTCTGTTCGTATACAACTCTTTCTTGATTCAACCCTAAAACCTAATCAGATGTATCTTCTGGGCAATAAATTAATTAAAATACTGGCAGATAGTCTATCGAAACGAGGTGAGTCGATGAAAATATCTCCCTTCATTAAATTACTGACTTCTGTCTGATTTCATTTAGGATACAGTGGTTGTCATGCATTTATAGATGAAAGACACAGTTCTTTGCATAATCTATATCTGCGTCTCGGCTTCATCGATATACCAATGATCGAACAGCAGAACCATCTGATTCTCGTTGGAAAACAGTTTTAAAGATTCGTTTTTAATAAAATGGAAGTGATATTTTACATGCAAAAGAATATTCAGGTTTATGTAAGCGAGAATGTACACACAATATGATCGAAGTCCACATTTTTTCGAAAACAAAGTAATACTGTGGAGATCAACACATGTGGCCAACCAGATTAGATATGACTGCAGCATAAAATCGAGTGTGTATTTCTTGTTTTTCTTTCTTCAGATCGATTTTACGACGATGAATTCCGTTGGATCACTTCAAATGAATAATAAAGTGGAAATACCTCGATTAGCTCTGGGGACATATGCAACATCTAATGAAGAGATCAGCAATGTGATCGAAACTGCTTTATCAGTTGGTTATCGCCATCTGGATTGTGCTTGGATTTATGGAAATGAAAAAGGTATTGGAGATGGTCTAACGAATCAATTGAAAAAAGGCGAAATCAAACGAACCGATGTGTTCATCACTGGTAAACTTTGGTGTTCGTTTTTCAAAACGGAACGTGTACGGCAGCAATGCATCAAATCGATCAATGATCTTCAATGTCAATATCTGGATCTGTTTCTTATTCATTGGCCATTCGCCTTTATTGATCAAGTAAATTTGATTTGTTTTCATTTATCGTGATCAATTGATTTTCTTTAGGATCCAAATAAAAACGAAGAAAACAAATTCATAGTAGCTGATGATGTTGATTTCGTTGATACGTGGAAAGCGATGGAAGCATTAGTCGACGAAGGCCTAGTCAAATCTATCGGCGTTTCGAATTTCACGGAAGAACAACTTGAACGTGTTCTGAATATGTGCAAATACAAACCAGTTGTTAATCAAGTGGAAATTCATCCATATTGTCCTCAAATAGAACTGGAAAAGTTCTGTAAAAAACATGATATTATTCTTGAGGCATATGCACCTTTAGGTACGAAACAAATAGGAAAATTTGCAAATATTCTGGAACATTTTCTTTTAGGAGCAAAGGAACGTCCTTGGAAAACAAAAGATGATCCGGAGGTTTTAGAAGATAAAACAATCAAATCACTTGCCGACAAATATCACGTTCATCCTGCGGCTATTCTTCTTCATTATATCATCGATCGCGATATCGTATGCGTTGTTAAATCTGCCAGTCCTCAACGAATCAAAGACAATTTCGATCTATTTCAAGGACATCCATTCAAACTAAGCCAAGAAGATTTCGATACGATTCATAAGGAGATTAAAACTCGCTTTCGCTATTATATAATGAGCGATGGAGCAAAGGCAAAAGAATATCCATTCAAAGAGTGGAAAAACTTCGTGTCTAAAGATTAATCGTATAATTCCATTTTATATTAATAAATCTATACAAGCATTTTCTCCGACATTTGCTTCAGTGTCTACAGAAAAGCAAAACCGTATCGAGTCTTCATTCAATGAGTTGAATATAATCTATTATGTTCATAGAAAAAGAAAAGATACTAAATCTCAACAGTGTTCGTGACTAAACAACGAAACAAACAATTGGAAGTTTTTTTTTGTTGTTGCATCAATGTTGAAAACTTTTGAGTAATTGATCATACCGTTTCTCATTCTTCTTTTCGTTATCGTCGAGTTTATCCGAAAGAAGATTTAGTTTTTTTCGAATTTCATACAACAATAACGACGAAGGATCATTTTCAATTAATTGTGGTTCCTGACTTTCATCGCTCTAAAATATCGCACAAAATCAAAAATCTTCCTTTTCACTCTACGAATTGATTTACTTTGTCTTTTGCATGAAGTTTCGCTCGACGATCTTCCGGCAGAATAGCCAACGTATAGTCAATGTATACTTGAATTGTATAATGCGATGTATGGATTCGGTTGACTTTGATTTTAATCCAATGAGCATCGGTTCGGTACCAAAATCGTTTAAATTCATCATGCGTAAGATACTGTTGAAAGCGAACACGAATTGCCAACCATGGTAAACATGAAACAGACGGTGGACATGATAATAATTTCGAACGTTCGATATCACATTCGTTTCCATAATCAACAAATACAATTCGACACATGTCGCCTAAATGTACAAGCTGAAATCGAGAAAAGATTAGCGACAACCAACCTTCGACTGATCGAATCCATGCTCGGTAATAACCAACACTGCCGTCGCCATGTTTTTCGTTTTTCCATGGAGCTACTACCATCCTAGAATAGAAAACTGTTGAATGTAGAGAAGAAAAAAACTTGACAAACTTACATTCGTGGTTTGATACAAAGTGGATGCATTGTTCGTGGTTCTTTGGTGTTATATTGATGATAATCGATGGCTGCTAATGCTTTATCAACTTCAGTAGTCGTCTTGTCACACATGAGAACGTAGAAATCATTAGTCTGATGATCATCGCCACGATATGAGGCTAGAATCGACCAGTATTCATCGGCGACATTCAAAATTGTTTGATGACGAAATTCATCTTCTAAATATTCTTCTTTTCTCATTGTCAAATCCTGAAAATCGAGTACAAAACTTTATCTGCTTATCTTATTAACCGGAAAATACAAACTGGATTGAGCAAATTTATGATTTGATCATTGATACTTTCGTTATTGTGATTAAGAAGAATCAGATCATTGGAAAGTACACGTACTTCGTAATCATGATAATCTTAAAATTAATAATCAAATTTGATGCACTTAGAGAAAGAATATTATACAAACTTAATAGTTGATAACACGATGCAAGTGTTGTTACACTCGCTAATGGCCCATTGGTAACACCCGATAAACGACATTGTACACAACAGATGGGTTGACGACTCATCCTGGAATTTCAAATGAACTGTAGTTATAGGAGATGTCTAGATAAAGTAAAACTTACGATGATGACATTTCTCGAAGGTCTGAATGCAGGAAAAGTGTATGGAGAACAAAGAAGAATAGTGAAGTATTTTACCTGAAATAGGAATTTGTCGTTCCATTCCCCAATCAATCAAATGAACTGTTAAAAGATTCTCTTTGTTTGGAATGGAATTCGTTTTGGTCAATAATCGACAACGAAACCACGATGATTGACTTTTGCACATATAATAACCATCGATTTTCAATCTAAAATTGTTCAATTCGTTACAAAAACCAAAATGAACTATTTTTCGTATTTACGTTGAGAATTCAACAGCCGATTGTTTATCTAATAAATTTTGTTGAAATGTATCATTTAACATTCGTGTCGCAGTTAACCAATCCTCATTCAACATAATATAAACAAAAGCCAGATGTTCATCGACATGTGAAACTCGTACATTCGTATGAACTTGTGAACGTTCAAGACGTGGTTTATGCATTGGAATGTCCAACAGATCAAATTCGAAGACTGTCTCATCATTGGAATTATCTAAAAGAATTTCTTCAGCAGTCTTTCACTAAAAATACCGAACGTTACTCGAAGTGTTTGCCAACTGTTCGGATAATTTGTATTGACTACCAAAGCCGCTTGATGAACTTTGTTTCGTAGCATAAAAATTTGAAAAAGGTTTCGTTGGCGTCTTTACTGTTCGTGTCCATGATTGGTCATTATTTGTTTCCGGATCAGAATGTAATTCTTCGTCACAACTTTCTTCTTTCATCTTTTATTACTAAACTTATTTAAAATCAACTGAATGTGATCGATCACAGTAATCTAAAGAGAGAAAAATGACGAAGTTATCGACACGTTTTTGTATGTTCTCCCACATGTAATATTTCTTTCGATAAATGAAGAGATAAAATATATCCCGATAGTTAGATCACGTTGTTCGCTTTTGTTTATAGACAGATCGTTGAATCGACGTCTGATGCAATACTTTATCGAAAACTGAATGAAAAATGCGTCTAATTAGAGTAGGATTAGTCTGACCAATGCAGTCGTTCGCAGAGAATTGACGTAGGAAAAGGTTCTTTTAGTTCGGATGTGTTGCGCTCTTATCACATAAAGTCAATAAGAGACTTTTAACAAGCAAACAGAGCATTTGTTATTCGGCTGACTTTCAGTCCTCACAATGGCGAACAAAACAAGTCGATTTGAAGATATGCCAAATGAATTATTGTATGAAATCCAACTATATCTAAATGCTACTGATTTATTCGACGCTTTTTCAAATCTGAACTCTCGTTTCGATGCTCTACTCAATTCAGCAACTAATCTTCATTTCGAAATCTATTCAACTGTTGTTGAACAACGAGCATCAATAAGTTTATTCGCATCTCGTATAACAAGCATTTACATTCCATATGATAGTGACGCTGCTTCAATAGCAACCGTATATCCTAATATCCGTGCCATCACATTTCAACGGGCAATTCGACTCATTCCTTCGACGTTATCGACTGTTGAACACATTAAACTCGACTTATCGATGATCCGACCGAAACATGTGACTTATCTTTGTTCGACAATCTTCTCGTCAAATTTCCCTCGTCTATCTTCATTCTACTTATTACATCGAAAATCCAACGTTGCTGGTCATTGGAAACCATTGATGAGATCGCTCGAACAACGATGCTTCACACTAAATGAGTTTATTTACGATCTTCGGCCAACGACGGAATGGAAGATAGTCGAACAGTTTCTTCAACATATGCCAAATTTACAACGACTTTGCATTAGGCAATTGAATACACGTGTGCGCTGGACATTGGAAGATATTGCTCGAACGTTACAAACGTTTGTACCTCATTTAAATCGTTTATTTCTTCGAATTCATTCCTTACACATGAATATTCTTCTCGAAAATAACGAACATAACCGTTTATTTCACCGTCTTTTTCTACGAATTGATTCGAAAACAAAAAAATCGAAAAAGCTTTGCACAATAACCACAATTTCATCAACTATACATTAAGCCGTCCAATTACAAACAGTACTTCATACAATCATTGTCAAGTAAGCGTGCTTTTGCATCAGTGCGCATCATTCTAAATCTTTTGTATGTAAATGTCCACCACCAATACATAAACGGGGGAAAAACAAGTATTGCAATCGAAAAAAAACATAGCGATGAGATATAAACAATAAAATCATACCCATCGTATTGTTCGATTTCACGTAGTTGTTGAATACCGAATATAATTCCAGTAATGGAAAGAGGAATCGAATACATAATGAAATAAACTGTCGCACATATCAAACTCCAAACAAGAAGGATTGTTACTTCAGGAATTTGTCCGTGTTCGTATTGATATTTGTATATGGCAATCGATTCAAGTGCCGGACCGAGAGCAATGCTTGGAAAGTAAAAAGTTAATAGAATGAGAATTTCATAGAATTTGTAACGAAATCGTGAGTTTTCTTCGAGAAATAGAAAGAATATGGAGGTTGCATCGAATACCGAGTAACTTATCGAACGTATGAGAACATATTTTAATCTTCCGCATGTATTTGTCCCAAAAATAAAGTCAGTTGTCTTTTTTTCATCGCATTTGTAGTCCAAGAATAAATTGGCACTGTGTAATGTTGCTTCAATTGAAAAGGAAACAAACGCAATAAGAATAACACCAGTGGATGGTTTCAAAAGAGTTAAATATGCCAATAATTCGACAAATTCAATCGTAATTGAACCGATGGTTTGAATATGAAGATATGGACTAGCAGATGGCAAATTTGAGAAAAGTCCAATGATCAAAAGAACAAAAAAGAACAAACGCTCTTCGAATTTGTCGTTGTTAGATTCTTGTTTTACAATAAAATAAATCACGATTTGTTCAATTAAATTTAAAACATCAATTGAAATTTGAATAATTGACGACCAATATTGAACAAAAGATCTTTTCACCATGTTTGAAGAATTTACAATCTTTTCCCACTAATGTTGAAGGCAACAGACGTGTGACTAATTTTCTCGACGATGTTCTCGAGTTCTTTATTTAACTTTGAGGAAAAAATGTGTGCAAATGACGGAAGTTGATTTTACATTCATTACATAACCGTCCATGTCGGTGTTGACATGATAATTTGTGAAACACACGAGCAATGAGAAGGTACCTCCTTCTTTTCTTTGTCAAAATTAATTCTTTAACAACAACATGTGAACAGTAGATAAATCACGCACTTCCTCTTTTAATAACATGACTAAATTCATTATATTCTTCTTTAACAAATACTCATAAATGTCAGTATCGCGTACGCGTTTTCAAGTTTTTCTTATTTATGACATACCCTTCGAGACTCATTCTTGAGTTTTTCTTCTATCAACATCGGTAGACAAGACTATTCATTAGAAACTCCGTGCTCATATCTTCAGACTACGAAGTCATTAACAAAAGCTTCTTATCGAGGATACTCAGTAATACAGAAAATGATCTTTCATGCTTGTTTGTCTGTATCATCGTCGAAAATCGAGATTATTAGTGAAATAAATCTTTACTGAGAGAGACAAAAAAAGAAGTAATGAATGTTTATTGTTTGAAATGATTATGGATCTGGTGCAAGAAGTTTTCGAATGACTTCATCATTTTTACATCTAAATCAAAGAATTGTCAATGATTAAGATGATCAAATAATCGATACGTACCCGTTAATAAACTCGTCTTTATTCAGTTTCTTGTCACCTGTGATGTCAAGTTTAGCAATAATTTCCTTCGCACGTCTATGTGGATCTTGATTGCCTTGACGATCAACAACACCAGCACGATCATACTGAAACACGATAAATATCTTTTCTCGTATTCAAAAACAAAAAGAAGAAAACAAATGTTCCGTACCATTGCTGAAATTAAATGAGCTAATTCATTTTGATCGAGTAAACTATCGTTAGAAACGTCCCATCTAAATAAAAATTCAAATAACATATTTAACTAGTAGACAAACTTACAGATCGAAAATAATATCAAGTCGTTCATCTAAACTCCCCGTACGATTACCAATAGCAGCAAGAAAAAGAAATTCATTGAAATCGATTAAATTGTTCTTGTTTGTATCAATAACATCAAACAATGTGCTGAAATTTCAAAGATAGAACATACAGATTGTTGTTAAAATAGATAGATGAACACGTACTGGCATGAAAGCAGCGAATCACTTTCAGGATAAAGCTCTTGATAGGTTTTTATAAATGTTTCTTTGTCAAGTTGACCACTAGGATATTTGCGAATAAATTCCTACAGAGTTATATCATCAAACAATATGAAAATATCTATAGAGAATAGATTTCACGTACGCTATGCCATAATTTGATTTCTATAAATGAAAAAATCAAGTTGAATGTTAAAGAAGGAATTCCTTGACATACCTTTATCACTTAATTGGCTACTAGATCGAAGTAAAGCTAATTCTGTAATGGAAAATTTTCAATAGAAAAATGAGTCAGAAAAGAGGAAGTGAGTAGCAAAACCTTTTTGAGTTAAATCAGTTGATTTTCGTTCTTTTCGTGTTCTTTTCTGTTCCATAGCTATTGAATCAGCAAAAAAAACTTACGTTGAAAACTTAAAACTAGAGATAATCGTCAGATTCTTTAATCGGCCTTCGAATTTAGTTTCTCTACAACACAATAGTTAGTTAAACATGTATTAATCTATCATGATTATTCACCTAGCCGAAGCGATAAACAAACAAACTGTTCGTCATTGAATGATATGCTTGAGTTGTTCGTATTAGTCAGTAAAAAACATTTATTGTGCTTTTTTTTTCAAACTACGCAAAACTACATTCACGTCATAAGTGTGAGGAAAAAGACACCAGTTCATTTTGATAATTCAGCGAGCTTTCACGCAGTTGTAAAATCTAAAACAACTCGACCATTGATTTTGTAATTGATCATATCATCAAAGATTGGATTGATATCTTCTAATTTACGTTTTTGTACTTTACATGTGATATGATGATGTTTTGCCAATTGTAATGCTTCTTGCATATCTTGTCGTGTTCCAACAACACTTCCAACAATTTCAATACCTCGTAAAACACAATCGACTATAGGCACAGACATTTTACCATTAGGCAAACCGACAGCAACAACACGACCACCGCTTTTAACTGCTTTGAATGCTTCTTCGTAAGCTTGAATAGAAGGAACTGTAATAATCGTTGCTTGAGCACCACCGTCGGTATATTTCTGTACCCATTCACTGTGCTTATCACTGGGACCATCATAAACTATACCGACAAACAAAATTCGACTACTGTTTTTAGTAGACTTTCATCTTTACCTTCTTCGGCACCCATTTCCTTAGCTAAATTAACAGCTACCTACAAAATTACGAGAAATAAAGTGATTTCCGTTAAATTTTCCCGTCTTACTATGTCATTCGGTGCAACGATTGCCAGTATTCTCAGTCCCATAGCTACTCCAAAACTAACCGCAAGAGATCCTAGAAACAAACAATATTACTTCTAAACAAGAAAAATGCAAATTAACGATTGAATATATACCAAGACCACCGACACCGACAATCGATACAAATTCACCGGGCCGCGCCCGAGACACTTTCAATGCTTTATAAACAGTCACACCTGCGCAATAAAGTGGCGCACTAGTAAATGGATCCATACCATCAGGTAGTTTCACAGCAAAATTGGCGTCCATCAGACTATACTCTGCAAAGCATCCATCAATAGTAAAACCAGAATTTCTTTGATTAGTACATAATGTTTCACGACCAGTCAAACAATATTCACAATGAAGACACGTTTTTTGAATCCATGGAATACCAACAACATCACCTTTTTTAAGATGATCACTCACATTCGAACCTAATTCAACGATTTCGCCCACACCTTCATGACCTACGATTCTTGGAAGCGCCGGTCGAATATCCCAGTCTTCATAACAAGAAAATCAGGTAACAATATATTGATGAAAATTGTGCATATTCGTTTCTTACCTCCTTTCGCTAAATGTAAATCCGAATGGCAAACACCACAAGCGATATTTTTCACAAGAATATCGTTGGGCCCGACTTGAGGTCGTGGTACTTCTTGAATTTGTAAAGGTTCTGTGAAACTCGTCACAACAGCGGCTTTCATCATCTTTATTCAATACTTGCAATGAAACAAATATTTATATAAAAATCAACGACGTAGAATCAATTGATGCACTATTTCTTTGTCAAGGGTAAATGTACTAAATCATCAACACGTGCCAATTTGAAAAGAAACGAAAAGAAAAGTAGCGCATTCATCGATTAAAACAACTTCGAAAATATCAATTTTGATAAACCGACGTCTGAGTGGCAGACGCCAACAGCGATATTCTTCACAAGAATATCATTGAATCTAACTTGCGGAAATGGCATCTCTTTAATTTGTAAAGGCTCTGGGAAATTCATCATTACATCATTTCCTGTTGTTTCTTTGCCTGGATGTAGAACGTAAAATCTCAAATCATTTTATGTCAATACATTGCCTCTTAATGCAAACTGGATCAATCTGAGACATAATTAACACTTATTCCTGTTTATTCTATTTTACTATGCTGACTACTTTTTTCCCCATAAACACACCCTCCGAATGAGTGTTCTCGTTTGGATGAAAGAGAAAAACAAACCAAATAAATACCTTCTGTTGTAATTATAATGTCGTGCTTCACTAGTTGTTTTTTATTCGTAGTTTATTTCAGGAAAACAAAAGAATCCAGGCGTAAGGTAAAGTCAAATCAATGTTTTTCTTCTGGGGCTTTTATTTGATATGAAAAGGAAAAAAAGGGATTATTTTTGTCAATTCATTTGCAAAGAATGGAAAATGAAAATAATGTTTTTTCTTGAATCATGTCGATTATTGATCAGGTGCAAGAAGTTTACGAATTGTTTCATCAGTTTTGCATCTGAATAGGAAATATATGAATTAATTTATGAAATAAATTCATTTCAAAACGTACCCTTTGACAAATTCATCCTTGCTTATTTTTCGATCTCCACTAACATCAAGTTTACCAATGATATTCTTAGCAATTGCATGAGGATTTTTGTCACCTTGACGATCTTTAATTCTCGCACGATCGTACTATATATCAAAAACAAACGAATCTCGTTCACTTCTTGTTAATAAATACAAAGACAAGTGTATACCATAGCTGAAATCAGATGAGCTAGTTCGTTTTGATCGAGTTGTCCATCATCAGTAACATCCCATCTAAAAACAACAAACAAATCTTTCAAAAAAGAAAATTCGCCTATAGGATGAATTATATACACGTCGAAGATCATTTCAAGTCGTTCACCAAGATCAGCACCACGAGCAGTAACAGCAGAGAAGAACAAAAATTCATTGAAACTAAGTTCACCGTCATGATTGGTATCAACCGATTCAAGAGCGGCACTAAATTTTCAAATATTCGATAAAATAGATGTTGAGGAAAATGCATACTTTGCAGCAGCATCATCACTGTTTGGAAAAAGGTCTTTATAAAGTTTGACAAATGCTTCCTTGTTAATTTTACCATCGGGATATTTATGAACAAATTCCTACATGATCAAACATGAATTTGATAAATGTAAGAGCTTTTGCATACTGTGTGCCATGTTTTGATTTCTGAAATATTAATAGAATGAGTAGAAATAACTTCAAAAACTGTAGTTTACCTTTATCGCTTGTTTTCGTAGCTGATCGAAGAATTGCAAGTTCTAATTGGAAACGACGAGATTATGTTTTATAAAATCGAAATCATGACTGACCTTTCGGAGTTAAATCAGTTGTTTTTCGTTGTTTGATGATCTTTTTCTGTTCCATCTTGATACTTTCTATATGAACAAATAGCAATACTTCTGTATTTGTGTTTTATACAAAAATCAAATAGATTATATAGACGTAAATCAACTGGAAAAGTCAATTAAGATATGCTTCAATAATCATAAATACGTGAGGTAGAATAAAAAAATAAACAGTCTGGTAAATCGTTTCGAGCCGAATATTTGTTTTGCGTCGTTTTAATCGGAGAAAGTGAAGACTGATGTTGGTAAGAAAAAAAAAGAATTGTAGGAGAAGTTGAATAACTTGTTGTTGAAATAACGTAGATTTTCGACGATTTTTGTATTGCTTTGATTGGAGAAAATAAAGAGCGATGTGGATGAACGAAAAAGAAATCGTAAAGAATTGTAGGAGAAGTTGAATGACTTGATGTTGAAATAACGTGCATTTTTTATAATAAAAATTGCCTATTTTGTACTTCTATTATTGGAATGGGAACAACAATGAATGGTTAATTTAGTTTGAGATACACTGATTTGATTAAATCACAAGTACCGATACTCACAAATAAACTGATAACAGCAGAACGATGAATACCTTTCATATGTTTCCATCGAAAATGTTAAGTATATTCTTGAACTTTAGTTCTCTTCTCAAACTAATTATACTGAAATAAAATACTCTGTTATCATTTGTCACATTTATAACATCACACAAAAACCGAATGAAAACAAGACAGTAGAATATTTTTTATCTGATTGTACACGAACTGTTGAATGATGTCGACGACAAAGACGATTAGTACAAGCCACAAACGACTTCTATTACAACCAGCGTTTAGCAATAGATATGTGAATCATCAATTACCTGTAAATCGACAAAATACTCATCTTAGTGTGAAAAACTCCCGTTTTCAGCCATTAGTTTTATTACCAATCAAAGCTAACAACAGTCTAACGCAAAAATCGAATGTCCATTTACATCGATATGTCAGTACTCCGCACATTACCCAGTCAACCGAGTACGTCGTCAAATAAAATAACTTCATCTAATCCTTGTTCATTTTTACTATAGAACTATTCCTGAGATAACTCGCGAATGTACTGTTTGTTTATCTGAACAATCCATTTATGAATTCCATCGGTATTATAGTGATGAATGCGAACATAATGAACGAACTATATGTGATACTTGCATGTACAACTATTTGAAATCTCTTCTCGAGAATCTTATTGATCAGGATAAGATGCATTGTTTAGAACCAAACTGCCTTGCTGTAATTCCTGCCGCTAATATCCGTTACATTTTGATGGTCCGAAATAATTTACAATTATTTGATCGTTACGATCGGCAAATCACTCATCGATATCTCGAACAAAATAGAGAATTCATTTGGTGTGCCTATAATTCATGTGGTTCAGGTCAATTTCATGATATGGGTGTTTCTTCGAATCCAATGATGACTTGTATAAAATGTAGCAGACACACATGTGTGTATCATCGCCATCAATGGCACGTTGGAATGACTTGTCAAGAATACGATCGATTGAAACGATCGCCAATCGATTATGGTACACAACTGTGGCTTGTAAAACATTCAAAAATCTGTCCCAATTGTCATTCGTACATTCAAAAAATATCCGGATGTGATCATATGACTTGTAGACGATGTGGATATCAATTTTGTTGGCAGTGCTTAGTAAATTATCGAAATATTCAACGATACGGATTAGGACAGCATAAAGATGGGTGTAGTCATCGTCCAGCTTATTATCGCTCATTAAATAACTTATCGTCGCATAGATCAACAAATTGTCATATTTTGTAAATCTGAAATCGGTATATTCTCTTTTTTTTTACAACATAAAATCAAATACATTTACACGAAAAAAAAATGACTAAGAATTATCAGGTGTGGCATTCGTTTCCACTTGTCGATCTATTCAAAAGCAAAAAATGTAAATATCAAACATATAGCAACTAGTTTTTACTTTGCTGTTGCTGTACAATCATATCCTGATGAACGGTTGCCAATGTATTTGTAATCGTTGCACATTCTCGTTCGATAATTCTCGAATAATTCTTCATATCGCCTAACTCCTACAAAAAAACACACACACTCTGTAAAGAAAACGAAAGAATATATTTTTAGAACTGAGTTCTTACTTTTAACGCAACAGTAAACTGTCCGATGAGATTGATCCATGCTTGCGATTGTTTGGAAAGTAGATTCGATTGTACTGTTAACTGTTTACAAGCTTGATCGATACGTTTTTCGTTCTTATAACATTCCGATACTCTAAGTAAAGCAGAAACTTCTTTGCTTATTGAAAAATGAAACGAAACGATTTTTCATAAACTTTACTCGTCATTTAGTCGATCGAGCACATGACGCGTCAATTGATCGATTGAAGCAAGTAATTCTTTCTTTTTCTTTTCTAGAAATGTTAACAGTAAGATTAGCATTATCACGAATGCGAAGTACCTTGTCTTTGTTTCAATGTTGAAACTCGTTCAGTATGGTGACGATAAATATTCGACAACATGTTGTGTCAAAGAAACAACAACTAACCAAATGAAGGAAAAACATGACTTGCTTGCTAACTTTTCTTTTCCTTCCATTTGAAAGTTCATTTTCTAGAGGGAGCTAGATGACGTTAAAGAATTCTTTGATATAAAATAGTACTTTTTATTGTAATGAAAAAGAAACAGTAATAGTGAATTGAAAAGCAATCTTTTTCTTAACAAGGTGGATATGTCGTTTGTAAATAACTGATGAAACTTAGTGCTTGTGTAACGTTAAAGTTTTGCCAAACCGTTACCGTTGGATCATCGAACTGTGTATCTCTCTCGTAATCTATCGTTGCTACGCCATAGCTGAGACCAGTTTTAGTAATATCATTTCCATTGACTAACCACGTTTTTCCTTGGTCTGGAGTTGTAACACCACAATATGCAAGAAATGCACCACTACCTTTTGCTGATTGACTATGTGTTAAAACACCGGCAAGATATGTACCTGGCACATATAAAGAAACGAGTTTGTCTTGAAATGGGAAGACGCGTAGTATATCATATTGAGTTATTTTTCCTCGAAGAACATCGTCGATGCGTATTGATCCTGTATTGAACACACCAATGGTTGTACCATTCGTAAATGTCGATTTTAAGAGACTTTCACAAGCACGATCGGTTAACAATGTTGGAAAATTTCGCACCGATACTGAACGACCATCAAGTTCAATGCCATTTGGTAAACAGGAAACGGTTTTATTTGGTTCAAATCCCATTTGTTCAAAACCTTTGATACCTAAATTGTACCAATAACTCGCTACTTCGGCTGTTTTTGGTTCATCTTCTAATTCAGGCGTAATTGGGATCAATGTTCGATAGACACGCAAACGTTTTGTATTTAGATTAAATGCACATCGATGAATGTAAACCGTATATGCATTGGCATCGGCTTTTGTGATTGGAATATATGTTGAACCACGTGTTAGAAAATAATCTTCATGTTCATGACCACCTAAGATTAGATTAATCTCAGGAATATTTTCTGATAGTTGAATATCAGTCTCTAAATCTAAATGAGTCAATGCAATTAAAACATCGTATTTAACATGGGAAATCGTTTGAAGAAATTGTTTAACATATGGAACTAATGCTGTTTGATTGATAATACGAATATAAGGCTTAACAATATCGATAACTAAACCAATGAAAAGAACTTGAACATTATTGATTGGCACAACTTTATACTGTATACTGGAATAGAACGGTTGATCAGTTCCTTGTCGAAATGCATTCGAAGCAATCCATGTAAATTTGGACTCGTTCATGCGAGCGATAAGTTCGGTTTCATTTAAATCAAATTCGTGATTACCAAACGTAACAAAGTCCAATCCCAACGTATTCAACGAGGCAATCATTTGTCGTCCGTTTAAACTCGTACCATTAATTATTGCTTGACTCAATGCTGATGGTGAAAGAAAGTCACCCGCTAAAATAGTATATGTATTTTGATTTTCTTCCAATAATAGTTGCCGAGCACGAGCAACACGAGCTAAACCACCCTTTCGACCTTCATCTAGAGGTAGCATTTCATAAACGTCGTTTAATTGTAAAATTGTCCACTGCACATATTCTCCATCGTCCGGTAAACGAATTGGAAAGCCAATTGTCCCTTTAGCAACTGCATAAACATTATCGGAAGGAGAACGAGATTTTGCACGATTCCAAACCACGGCGAATACAATTGTAGTAATCGTTAAACTAATAATTATAATACCTAATAAGACATATATTATCAACCGGTTTCTTGGTTGACATACTGCAGATTGATTGGGATTCAAATTGAAACTCTAAATATGTAATTAAAAGAGACAGAAGACGTCTATTCTATTTGATACGATGTGAAATCTGAAATAACTTACAGTACGCTCTGTTGACATGACGTGCTTCAAACGTAATTGTTAATATGAATTACATGGAGAATATAAGAGAAAAAAAAGCGTTTGTCTATCTTATTGGTATATTTATTTGCATCATAGATAAAACGATAAAAAAGATATTCATATCAACAAAAAAAAGAACTACTTCAATAAATATATCTTACAGAATGCAATAGAATCACCTGTAAGATTGTGAAGAAAGTCGAATCGATGACAACGTTTCTTTTTGTATTTTTCTTTCCGGTCAAAAGTCAGATGTGGAGAAAATATTTCGTTAGTACATAACTCTCGAGTGGATTCAGTATAATGCAGGATTAACATTACAAAGGGCATTTGTCAACGAAGAACATGATAATATCACAGGATTAACAAAACTGTACACGTTCTATTCGTACGCATGTCGAAATCAATTGACTATTATTTTTAGCGCGACAATTGTAAAAGAAAAGTTTCTGACACTTCACAAGATTTATTCTCACTCGAGTTTCTGATCATAAAATAACCCGTTGATGTGACTTTTGAATATTCAGATTTATTCGATAGACTGAGATGATTATGTTTACAAGAAATGTTGTAAGAGAATAGTCAACTGCAAATGCATTTTTCATGTTTATGCATCGATGTCGGCGTCGATATAAGATTCGTCGATGTATCAAGATAATGCATGAGAAATAAATCACTTTGAATTCGAAAAACTTTGTTTAATGCTAAGGAAATATTCTTCTTCGTATGATCATCGAATTTCTCGTGCGAGAAAATAACTTCCGTAAGGAGATTTTCTATATAGGTTAACGTGGCATTTATGTGAATGTAATCCACGTCAATTGATGATGCACCCATCTTATTTGTATGCTTTCGACCAACACAGGATAAATATTCGAGGAATTCGTCTGTCCATTCACGTTGTAAAAGTAAGCGTTTCAAATATCCACTCAGCATATCTTTCCGATAAACCATTTGTGCCGAGTCCAATGACAGTTTTTCTTTTGCCGTTGTTGAACCATCAAACTTGTCATTTTGTATAACGAAATAATGTTTTGTTATATCACATTGGAAAAGTTTCCTATAGGCTCCATCGACAATTACCGGAATGCGTGGTAACGCTGCAACTGCGAGAGTATTCAATGCGTTGATATCCTCCGATGTAAAATTGATAAATTTTGAAAAATAATCAAAACGATAGCGAATATTAGTCTGTAATTTGTCTTTCTCGATATGTTCTACCATGAGTATTCTCTTGACGAAATGACGAAGAATTTTTTCCATATTGATAAAAGAAGAGAAAAAAAGAGGGCAAGAACAAGAACAGGAAAAGGAAGACAGAATAAATACGTCGTTTCTCGTATTGCTCACTTTGGTCTCACATATGTCATTGGAGCACCATTTCATATGATTACAAGAACTTTATAATTACACTTACGTTACAGGAAATTTGATAAATATTTCTAAACACTGACATGTTATTCCAGTTCATCGACAGAACTTCGATCTCTGAATAACTACTTTGTTCAATTTCCTTCCGTTATGTCTGTTGACTAAAATATCTCTATTTGTAAACCATTATGCGTACAAATAGGAGTAAAGCAAATGAAGAATTCTCATTACGATTAGGATAATACTGAATCATTCTTGCTGATCGACAGGATGAACTGTAGATGGAGAACGAATGGTTTGATGAAGTGGCGACATATAAGTACGTAATGTGATAAAGATCTTTGAATGATCGAAATGGAATTTTTTATTGCAGTTGCCTGAGTCGCTTGATTGTCGTTTCATAAATTAAAGAGAGTGAACGTGAAGTGTCTATAGTAATATGATTAATAAAAATCATCAGAAAGCACGTTCGGTTCGACAAAATCCACATAGCACGAACCCTTTAAGATGGATTTTATATTCTATTTTAAGTATCATATTATTGTTCGTAGTACTCTATTTTCGAGAACATTGACATCAATTCCTTCTATTGAATAAAAGCAGACAGTCTGAACGACAAATCAAAATAGCACGCAAAAATATAAAGTAATTAAACATGTCTGAATAACTGTCTTCAAGAAGATTTCGTCACTACTCCGAATGGAAAATCTAATTATTTCCACATTGACAGTTTATTTCATTGTTTAATATAAATCTCATCGTATAAAAAATTCACATATCGTGTTAATAGAATATCAATGCTTTCGAAAATGACTTTTTTTTCATTTCGATTTAATTTTAGGAACGAGAAAGCTGGTCATTCTGACGTTTCATTACGTGTACGAATACTTTGGCACGTTCTTCTTCAGTCTCAAGAAAAAAAACCGATTTGCATGCCGAAGAGCCTCTTTGTGCGATGTTCAAATCTATTTTTGTCACTGCGCAAATACATCGTCTCTAAAATGAAAGATTACACAATCGAGAAGAAAAAAGGTAGTTGGATAAAATATAAATATCCATTCGTTTGCGTTGTCAATTGAAAATAATTGTCAACAATGATTGGATGATTATTTCTTATAGGATAAACAATTTTCTCTTTCAATACAATTAGAATATGTGAATCTTGTTTAGATTCAGAGTAAACTCGATAAAATTTGTACTAATCTTTATAATAAAAGAGATCAATTTCTTTGAAGAATGTAATTGTTTTAACGTGAATATAAATTATAAAATATATTGAGAAAAAAAACCTCGGCCTTGACGGCAATCGCATATTTTATGATTGTGGAAAAGGCAGAACGTAATTCAACCATTACAGTAGAGAAGCACTCATCCGTGAATATATATGTGCTCTACACAACTAAGGATTGTCTGACACGTGTACAGAAAAATATTCATACATACGAAGAGTATCTTCTTTCGTCTATTTTTCTTTTTGTTTTGAGGCGAAACTTGTTTTCTTTTTCTCCACTCTTGTCGGCTAATGATATTTTGTACAGTAAACTATTTTCTAATTGGATAGACTTATCACACGAAGTGAAGACATGGTGGAACATTTGTTATCGATCAAAACCAACGAACTGAACAATATTGTTGATGGAAATAATCGCCTATCGAAAAGCGTTTCGTTCAATACAGACGAAGATGATTCCGTTCAACTAGGTGATTCTCAACATATCTCTGATGCTGAATCGGCCGCAACAAAGTCCGACATTGCCCCGTCAGCTGTAGATAAATTCAAACGCAGTATCTTTGCAGTACATTCGCCATCCATAGATAGTCTCAACGATGCTGAAGCACTTTCTCCTGATACTCCGTTATCCGAAAAGATAAAGAAGAAAAAACAACGTCGTATAACTCAACAATCGGTAATCATTTTATTCTCAAAAGCGACATTTCGTGTACATCGATGTATAATTTTCTTTTCATTTTTCTTTAGAGCGTAGATAGTGGACGAAAAATCGTTGTGAGATCGCCACCCTGGTACACAAAAGTCGATTTTGTAAAACCAATATCATACGTTCTTCTCGTAATAATACTCTACATTATGTGGAAGCAACGAGCTGTTTGGATTCCCCGACTATTAACTTCGAACCATCGTATTCGTCATATTGCGTTAGCTAACGAACAAAAACTACAGGAGAAAGGTTATTCACCTCAAACTTCAGCATCGGATAATTCCAATTCAACCGCTTCTGGTCAAAATGATGATAATAACGATGATGATGATGGTGATGACAACAACAACAACAAAGATCAAACAACCGTATCAAACAGTGACGAACCATCTACACCTACGCCAAGCAAATATACAAGTCCGCAGAAATTGAATATACGCGTACGAAGAAATAAGATGAGTTTTAGTAAAGAGCGTACTGATAAAAAACGTCGTCATGTACAACAATCGGTGGTTGACGACGACGACGATGATGATGATACGGTTGATGATAGTGGAGCTATTGATACTGATAGTGACGAAATCATAAATGATGAAGCGACACCTGATCTACCATCACAAATTCATTCTAGCAAACATCATCATCATCATCATGAACAACAACCAAAAGTTTACCGATCTCGTGAGAAAAAGCGTAAAATAGTTCCCAGTACAAGGACAAGTTTGGCTACGCTTTCACAAGATGATATTGTTGAACAGTTACAAAATTTGATCAGTTCACGCGATCGAAATCGCGATCTGTTAAGTGTCATGGCGAAAGAAACCGGTTTGAAGAAAGAAAAAATCAAACAATTCATACAAAAGAGGGATTTTCGCGCTGTTTCACTCGATAATCTCATCTCAATTGTCAAGTCGTACGATTCGACTCTTTTAATCATACCAAACTAATTGATATTTTGCTTTTCTTTTGTTTTTACTCAAATTAGAAATTCTATCGCAGTTCAATAAAAATTTTCTTCATGACTTAGGACCGATCTGAAAAACCACACGACAATATTTCCTTTAATTTAGAAGAAAAACATATTATATGCGTTACGTATGAGTCGTTCGTTGATTGAAACAGTCATGACGTTGAAATGAATAACAACATGGAAAATCATTAGTTTATTGAGGTAACTCTTACGTCATCATGATTCGTAAAAAAGGGTCGTGAAGCGAACGAGTAAAATTCAATTTTCAGATCCAGTAGATACAGACGAGAGTGTATCAAATTAATCATTGTTTTAGACATGTTTTAATTAGAGCAGAAATTTCAATGTAAACATTTATTTTTCTTTATCAGCAGCACAAAACGAAAACACTCATCAATAAAAAAAAACACATTCAATTGAGACCAAAATAAACTATAAAATCACTGCTGTACAAAACAAGTTCTATTTACTATTCAATCAATCTGATACGTTTGCTTCGAAATTCTGATTGTCAAGTCTGGCAACAACGGAGGGACGCGTTAAATCAAAATCCACTTCACTGATCGACGCAACGTCATTTAAATGTCGATATAAACCATGATGATCATCACTATGCAATGGACCCCAATCGTCTCGTGGTAAATTATTTCGTTTAAATGCTTCGAGATACCGAGGTCTCGTTAGATATTCGTCTTCTTCCAAAAGATACTCGCGACTCTCAGGACCAATTGATTTCGTCTGTAAGAAGATAAATACGAGAATTAAAGATGAAACATATTCATGTGATGCGGTAAACTTACAGCTTCGTCTCGCTCGATTGAGCGATATTCTTTTATATAGTTGACTACAAACACCAGTGGAATGGGTATGACACAAATTACGAAAATAAACCATCCGAGTGTATGGCTCCACTCAGGAAAAACATACGCAGCAAAACCACCACCATCTCCATGTTCCAGCAGCTTCGAACTAGCTAATTTCGACAATGTTAAGATCTATGACAAAACAATATCGTTAGTCTCTTTATCTTATTTCATTTCAAACATAGGTCGTCATGATATATACATACAACGATTAAAACAGGAGCGATGATACACCATGTAACGAACAAATAATATTCAGCTGCACGCTTTCCTAACATCATCTTCACATCATTCATAAATCGATTAAAACCGTAGATGTAAGCAACTACAACGATTTGAAAGAAACCAACCACCACTAACGATATGTTTGCTGCGTACTCATTCAATAGATCAAACAGATATATTCCACCCTACACAAAATAAATAACTTTCACTTTTTCATCATCGAACATCACACGTATACGAACTGGACACGTGAACGGCAAACTGACAAGAAAAGACACCACGCAAGTGATGATGACTATTACTGGACGTTTCACCGGAAGTCTAGGAAACAATTCCATCACAGCACTTATGGGAATGTTGGTCATGGCGAACTAAAAGTAGGACGAGAACATAATAAACAGTAGATATCGTTGTTGTTGTTGTGTTCGCAGACCTGAGTGCCGAGACCCAGTGCCAACAACATCAAAAAGAAAAGAATGGAGAAAACGGGACTAGCCGGCATGTGTGTAATAGCTTCCGCATATGTGATGAATGCTAAACCTGGGCCAGACGAACTTGCGTAGGATGCTACCGATTCTTTAACTTGAGCCGCAAGATATCCAATCGTAGCAAATACAGCAAAGCCAGCGAAAATACCGGTGAAACAATCACATGACACAACAACACACATTTGTCTAAACACAATCACGCTTAAGATATTCATGAGGACAACTAACTAACAAACCTGAAGAAGTTGTTTTTAAACTTGTTAGATGCTGAATATGCCATCAACGAACCAAAACTAAGACCAAGAGAAAAGAAAACCTGTGAAGCAGCTGCTTGCCATGTCTAAATTTGACGCCGAAGTCGATCGCTTGAGTATTGAATTGTGTTTCATCGAAAGAAAAGTACTACCTCAAACTTGGCCACAAGTTCCCATCGCGGAATAACATAAAATTTGATCCCATCGATGGCGCCATGTAATAAAGAACTTTGAATAATCAGTATTAACAACACAACATATGGAAAAATAGCTGTGAAATAGGCGACCTAAATCACCATCATTCACATCAATACAATCATTTCACTTTTAGAATAGAGAAAGAAAAGCGCATACTTTTCCTGATGATTTCACACCACGAATAATACATGCACCAACTATTAACCAGGCAACGAATAACGAAAGAGCAGGGTACAGTTGAGGTGTTCCAAACTCCTCAAAACTATTGCTCTTTCCCAAAAGTAATCGACTACATACATCAAACATCGTTCGATAACAGTAATCAAACAATCCTCGAGATACTCACTAAAAGAATTGTTCTGTTGCTGTCACGCGGTCTGTTGCATTGATCGACACACATGAATATTGAGACATGTTTTGATATTGAGGTTGAGTACAGTTATAAGTTGTTCCGTTGATGACGTGTAATGAACTTTCGCTACCAGGAACAAAGCATCGGTCATCATTCCACCAATAGCCACAGGTTTTCCACAAAAGATTCTTTCGAAATGATAGGACAAAATAGAATAATGCCCAACTAATAATAACATTGTAGTATAGCATACAGAATATGGTATTAATGACCATGGCGAATCCGATACCTTGAATAGAGAAAGAAGAAGTTGGGAGAGATGTGAAGGAGAGATGATCTGTTACCTTGCCATCCTTTTGCAAGAATGAATGCAGTAGCTGGACCTCGACTTGAGAATTGTCCGAGAGCCAGTTCGAGATAATAGATGGGTGCACCGATGAGGAAATACAAGATGAAGTATGGTACGAGAAATGCACCTAATTAAGAATGATGATGGAGATAGAAAGATGAAAGGAAGATAGACGTACCACCGCCACTTTTCGCAGCTAGATATGGAAATCGCCAGACATTACCGAGACCAACGGAATTAGAGATGAGTGACAGGATGAACTCGAGTGGTCGATCCCATTCATGTTTATCTTTACTCTAAAGTCAACTCTTTGTGTTTTCTTATTGACATGACAATAGTTACCTTTTCTACCGCGGTTTTACCATGAGATTGTTTTTTGTATGATTGGTCGATATCGTTTTTGCGAGAAATCTATGTAAAAACCTGATCTTAATAATTACTTGAATGGGAGATACGAAGTTGAATAATATGAGACCATCGCAATGTTTCACATAAATTCAACCGTTCGTTTTTACGACTCACCAACGAAAATAAACCCATGGTGGTTGAACCTATATGTAGAACTGAAATGACTCCCTTGAAATGTCTGGAGAATAAAAATCATAAATCTGAAAGGTAAAGTCAAAGCATTGAGTTTTGAAAGCAGGTGATAATCTGGTCGAAGCATATGTTAGAAGTCGTCAAATAGAAGAGACTCACCGACAGAATATATATTATATGAAAATAAGTGATGAGCGAACTATTGATTAAAACCTAGTACACGATTAGATATGATAAGTGATTGTGGTAACTTACAGACTAGATATAACAGAATGACGAAGATGTAACTTAACTTGGTGATAACTGGGTTCGCTTCATCACAAAAGAAAAAGAGAGAAAAGGAAAGGAAAAATAATCGAAAATACGTAGACACATCATATGAAACGCAAATCAAAGTATATACCCCATCCGACACCATCTAAATGTAATTCAGTGCAGTCACGTGCTTGACGCGTTACATCAATAATTTCTCTTCAGTAGACACTCTATGAATGATTACGACCATATCTAAATTTCTCTATGATTTTCAAAAAAGGATTTCAACACATAGTAAAAGAAACTGGTTAGTTTGCGCACATTTATCAAATGTATTCCAACAAGTTAGAATTACGACATGATTCCTTTTATTGAGAATTTATCATGCAAATGAAAAGATAAGCGGTGAAATATTATTTCTTTTTATTAGCTTTGTTAGCTACTGTTGCCACAGGTTTCATGTGTGGACAATCTTTGATAGTTGCAGTTAGTTCGTTAATACAAACATCTTTAAGTTGTGCAACGTGTTCCAGTCGACGCATTTTCACTCTTAACACTTGAATTTCTTCTTGTTGTATTAAACATCGTTGTCTCAACTCTTCATATTCGAGACGAGAAAATAATTTGGCCGTGTCACCAAAGGTCGATTTATCCATTGGACTCGTGCGTTCAGAAAGAAACGATTGACCTTCATTGATCGTATCGATCGTACTTAACGATAACAAGGATTGTCGTGGTGATAAAACTTTTTGTTTTGGTGCTTGTTTTACTTGTTTCGGTACAGTTTTTCGCGGTTCGCCTCCTTGATTTATTTTCGATTTCAAATTGAATAACACGAGTTCAATCGCACCAGATTTTGCGTTACAAACATCATTAATTACGTTTTCCGGGATAAGAATACCGAGACGCTCGAATACCTTTTTATTCAATATTCCCCAATTGACCTTTTTCTGGCTGATTGAACCGCTCGGCACATAATTGTGCATATTGATCATATCGGGAAATTCATGTCGTACAATCTCTGCTACCAAGACACCTAAATCAAATAAAAACAAATTGTCGCGAATTAGCACAACAGATCTTTTCGTTTAATTACCATCGGCAAAATCTCGTTCAATCTTCTTCTTCGGCTTCGATAAGGGAATCTTATCAATCCAAACATATAATTCTTCTAAATCTGAAGGTGTTAACACTGATTTCCAAGACATTCCAATCCAAATTGTAACGTTTAATAACCAGTAAAAGTAACAAAACAAATGAATTTTATTGCTCAAAAATAATCAATACTCGGTTCTGTTACCTTTATTTTCCCTCATTTCATCATTAATCAGCAGCCTGTAAATGCCGAGAAAAACATTATTCTTCTCTTCTCTTCCTTCCATAGTACACGATTATCACCACGGAAAATAATGAACTAATAAACAACAGTCACGCATAGTCAGAACACTTGTGACTACATATTCTTTTAAATTCCTTTTGACAAGAAGTTTTTGGGATAAGGGCGAAATAATTTGGTTTATTCTAGTTTTGTGATCAGAAGAAAAACTCGCGTTCGAAAATTACATTTATTGCAAATGAGAAAATAAACATATTAAAATAAATTTTTCATCAAATTTTTATAGAACAAAAGAATCATTATTTAAGAGAACGCTGCTTACATGTTGCACTCACAATCTTTCTTGTAAAACATCTTTTGAACCTTCCAATCCGACCGAATCTGGTTGAAAACTATTATTGTAATGGGTGTTTGCACGTGACCCACCTTGACCATTATGAACAACATCCCCAGTCGACAGTAATACTTTCAAATGCGCATATGGTTCTCCATAATTACCTTCTTTCTTCGGTCCCCAATCAAACCGAGGCGAATTATTTCGTGTAGCGGCTTCCAAGTATCTTGGTTTCTCTGAGTAATTGTTGTCTTCATGTCGATAATTCTTATATCTACGACCGATATTTTTTCCCTAAAAGAGATTTTAGCGACACATTGAAAAGAGAAATACCGGGATGAATTGGTACTCACAGAATCTCCACGTCTCAGTGCAGAATATTCTCGAAAATAGTTAACGATGAACACTATTGGAATTGGTATTATACAAAGGATAAAAATACACCATCCAACAATAGTGCTCCATTCAGGAAAAACATACGCAGCAAAACCCGCACCAGCATTATTCGACATACGTTTAGCATTGATTAAATTTGAGAATATTATAATCTGATGAAAGGAAACTTATTGTATTTAAACATGAAATAGTTTAGAATTTTACTTACAAGCATTAAAACAGGAGCGATGATACACCATGTAACGAACAAATAATATTCAGCTGCACGCTTTCCTAACATCATCTTCACATCATTCATAAATCGATTAAAACCGTAGATGTACGCAACTGTGATTACTTGGAAAAACCCCACCACAACTAACGATATGTTTGCTGCATATTCATTCAATAGATCAAACAGATATATTCCACCCTACACAACATAAATAACTTTCACTTTTTCATCATCGAACATCAAAACTATACGAACTGGACAAGTAAACGGCAAACTGACAAGAAAAGACACTACACAAGTGATGATGACTATTACTGGACGTTTCACTGGAAGTCTGGGAAACAATTCCATCACAGCACTTATAGGAATGTTGGTCATAGCGAACTAAAAGTAGGACGAGAACATAATAAACGATAGATATCGTTGTTGTTGTTGTGTTCACAGACCTGAGTGCCGAGACCGAGTGCTAACAACATCAAAAAGAAAAGAATGGAGAAAACGGGACTAGCCGGCATGTGTGTAATAGCTTCCGGATATGTGATGAATGCTAAACCTGGACCAGAAGAACTTGCGTATTTTTCCACTGACGCTCCGAGTTCAGATGCGAGATATCCAATCGTAGCAAATACAGCGAAGCCAGCGAAAATACCGGTGAAACAATCACATGACACAACAATACACATTTGCCTAAACAGAAATACAGTCAAAAGGTTTCTCGACGAAGAAAGCGGAGACTCACTGGAAGAAATTGTTTTTAAACTTGTTAGATGCTGAATATGCCATCAACGAACCAAAACTAAGACCAAGAGAGAAGAAAACCTGTGAAGCGGCTGCTTGCCATGTCTAAATTTCAAGCCGAAATCGATCGCTTGAGTATTCAGTTGTGTTTCATCGAAAGAAAACTTTTACCTCAAACTTGGCCACGAGTTCCCATCGCGGAATAACATAAAACTTAATGCCGTCGATGGCGCCATGTAATAAAGAACTTTGAATAATCAGTATTAACAACACAACATATGGAAAAATAGCCGTGAAATAGGCGACCTAAATCACCATCATTCACATCAATACAATCATTTCACTTTTAGAATAGAAAAAGAAAAGCGCATACTTTTCCTGATGATTTCACACCACGAATAATACATGCACCAACTATTAACCAGGCAACGAATAACGAAAGAGCAGGGTACAGTTGAGGTGTTCCAAACTCCTCAAAACTATTGCTCTTTCCCAAAAGTAATCGACTACATACATTAAACATCGTTCGATAACAGTAATCAAACACAATTCTCGAGACACTCACTAAAAGAATTGTTCTGTTGCTGTCACGCGATCTGTTGCATTGATCGACACACATGAATATTGAGATATGTTTTGATATTGAGGTTGAGTACAGTTATAAGTTGTTCCGTTGATGACGTGTAATGAACTTTCGCTACCAGGAACAAAGCATCGGTCATCATTCCACCAATAGCCACAGGTTTTCCATAAAAGATTCTTTCGAAATGATAGGACGAAATAGAATAATGCCCAACTAATAATAACATTGTAGTATAGCATACAGAATACGGTATTAATGACCATGGCGAATCCGATACCTTGAATAGAGAAAGAAGAAGTTGAGAGAGATGTGTGAATGAGAGATGATCTGTTACCTTGCCATCCTTTTGCAAGAATGAATGCAGTAGCTGGACCTCGACTTGAGAATTGTCCGAGAGCCAGTTCGAGATAGTAGATGGGTGCACCGATGAGAAAATACAAGATGAAGTATGGTACGAGAAACGCACCTAATTAAGAATGATAATGGAGATAGAAAGATGAAAGGAAGACGACAGACGTACCACCACCACTTTTCGCAGCTAGATATGGAAATCGCCAGACATTGCCGAGACCAACGGAATTAGAAATGAGTGACAGGATGAACTCGAGTGGTCGATCCCATTCATGTGGATCATTCTCCTATATTATCAGTTCCAACAGAATTTTGTCTTGTAAATGGTAACTATTGAACAGTTTACCTTGTTTGGTGTCGCTGCATCTTCGGATTTCAATTTCGTTTGTTTTGCACTATCATTACCTCGACGAAACTAAAGTTTGAAAAACCTTCTTTAAGAAGCTAAAGTACAAACTGATTGTTACCTTCGACATTAGCCTATCCATCAGAAATGGTAAAATGGAATCGATTCTGAAATGAGAAGCTATTAATTCTTTTTGGAATTAAAAATAGTAACTGTTTTGTGCTAAGCTACATCTCAAAGACAAAAGTGAGGGTCTCATCGATTGCAACAATAAATCTTCAATGACCTATTAAAGAATGTATCTAGTTAGACATAACAAATATCAAGGTTGTCGACATTTTGTCTTCTCATGGATTAAAGACTTATATCTTCTGATTCGAATGCTTCTATTCGGAAAAGAGCAACTGGTTTAAAGAGGTCATTCGTGACTATCAGTTACAGAAATAAACTGAAACATCGTGAATCAGTATACACAATTACACATCGAATCTGCCAGTTTTGTTTTCTCTGCGCACTAATATTCTGATAACAATAAAATAAAATATATTTGTCGACCAGTGATAACTGGTAAAAACGAATTGCTATCATCATCATCATTTTCGTTGCTTTTTTTCCTTTCGCAAAAAAGATAAGATGATTCACAGATGAATCAAAAATTTCCAAGGACAAAATAGTTGTGAAATCTCAACAAAGAATTTTCCCATTTGCAAAGAGCGCCAATGAGTATTTATTTTCCAATCGATGTTAAACAAGAGAATGATCAATAATCAGCGTGAATCAGATGTTGTAAAACGTCGGTCTCGTCGTCAGACTTTACTATGTTATTCCACTCTGTGTTTATTTTCATTTCTCACATTTTTACTACTTTCAATTCACACGTTTCATAATCATTCAATCAACTTTCAAAACAAAACCATTTCTTTAAATGTTATTAAGTTTCGCTCATCATTAATTCAATGTGGCCAATCGATTGTTCGACGACAATATCTCTACCAAAGAGTTCAACAATTCATTGCATTGGTAAAAGCCAATCCGGATACGTTGATCAATGACCAATTGAGTCAAAGTCTTTTAAAAGAAGATCTGATTTTGTGGTTAGAATATATTTTGAAAGAATGTTATCAGGCAAGACAATTTCTAATTTATGAGCAAGGAAATCCCATGCTAATCAGACGCATCATCTCCAAAATACGAAAAGAAATCTTATACATTGCAGCATTTTTCCTCAAAGATGTTTAAAGTCAGTTGTCGAAATCTTGTTTTAAGAATAGTCCATCGAGTTTCTTTAACGATTTTAACAATTTATGTACTGTTTCTATCCATGCATCTTCATCCTTTTTCCATTCATCATGGATTGGATTTCCATAGAGAACTAAATCTTCGAGTGTATCAACTGACGCCTAGAAATACAATGAAAATCAATGAAAACTTGGAGAGGTAAGTTTCAATTACTAAATGACGTATTTCTGACCAATCTTTGATCTGATTGTTGCTGATGTATAAGACCTAAAACAGAATCAATTGTACTCGATGATACGTAGAGAATTATTCACTCGAAGTTTTTTCATATTGAGAATTCCGTCAAACTTTTGGATGGAATTGTATGATATCCAAAGTTCTTCCAGAGTTTCATTCAAAACTTCCTGTTGAAGAGAATGTCTATTAGAAGAATCTTCTTTTTTTATTGATGATTTCCTACTAGATGAAGAAGATTTGTGAGTAAATTTCGACCGAGAGATAAGATTTTTAAATGGCCTAAATATTCTCATACAAAACTCGCCACACAATGAAATTTTTCGATTTACGTAAACCATTCAAATGTGCAATTTTTTCGATCATATTTGTCGATAATGAAAGCTTTCTAAAGAAATCCAATGGAAAACAAAAAGACTCTCTGATGATGTGAAATATTGAACAAACTCGCAATGAAGTAACTTTTCAATAGAAGCATCCATGACGTTAATTGGAGGGTAATAACCATTCAACATGATTTCTTTGGCCTGATGAGCAGACTGACCGGTTTGTTTCTCCCATCGAGCAATTGCTTCGCTTGCCGAAATGGGATGAACCTCATTGTTGGCTGATTCTCTGCGAAGTGCTGGTACAGATCGTGTTTGATTTCTTACTGCCTAAAATACATTCATATGAGGTTAAAGAATAACGAACATCAAACTCTCACCATCAACAGACTGATAAAATGTATACGAAATGAAATAATTGTGAGACGTTCTTATCAGCTTAAGCCATAAAAACTGACATGACAAAAAAAAACGTTACGATAGAAACGAGTTCATATCTAAATTTCTTTATTATTATGGAAGTGCGAGACGTTCCAATGAATGAAGAGGCGACAAAACAACAGCCTGCACATTAAAAAAAAAAGTTATAAATTCAATTGTTGTGGTTCATGGCGTGAATAATCGTCCATCGTTTGACTGTTTCGGCGTACTTCTGTTTATCGGTTCGATAAAGTGTCAAAGCTTCTTTGTTCAATCCATGGTCTGGATTTGGATCGTTTAATAACGAAGCTATGGATATCAGAAGACCACTCACAGTCAGTGCCGGTGACCATCGAGAATCAAGAATATCTAAACATATTTTCCCTCCGACGCTGATATTTGGATGGAAGATCGGCGTCAGAAATTTCACTATTGGTGGTTGAAATGGATAATCTGACGGGAATTTCATTGATAACATGAATCGTCCATTACTAAATGGAGTGTCTTGCGCACCTTCAACCCAACCAATCCAGTTTGTCAGGTCGTCCGTTGAATCTACTGGTTGCGCATGGCAGAGCGGTGCTGGACTCTTTTGAAGTTCACGGTGATGATGAGCTAGACGCTTCAACAGAGCCATACACAGCTGGTGATACAAATACCAAAGTAGACGTTGTTTTCTTAGACCTGGAGTTCAATTTAATGAAATTATTATTATCAGCGAACAGCAGTATATATATATACATTCACTAGTGGGGAAAAACCCAATCCGTCTGATAATGAGAGATAAAAGGTTCATTAGATATGCTCACAATCCATTGTCCTATGATGTCATCGATCATCGGTAATTTCCTAATCGGATCAGGGATTAAAAATAGGATATTATTTTACATTAATTTCGCCGCTGATTCAAAGAGATGAAAAATATAAGAATGAACAAAAATCAGCTGAACAATCCCTACACTCAGTTTATTTGATGTGTGATTGGATTAAAACGAGAAATTGTGATAGAAAATGCACAATCGATAAAAGACATGAAGGCTTCGTTTTTCAAGATACTCATTTGAAGAACATACAAGAATGAACTAGTTCTCCTCTATTATATCTTTGTCTAAAAATAAGATCAAGATAACATCAATCCTTGAGTGGCATCTATCGAACAATAACGACATACACGTATGGTTATATCACAGAAATAAATATTGGTTTTCTTTCCTCCCGTACCGTGTTTACTAATGAATCATCTGTGAATATACAATAACATGACATCTTTTTCATCATTCGCATATAATTTCATCGTGTACATATAAATATTTCGAATATGTCAAATTCAAGTTTAAAACGTAAATTAGATTCATCGAATGAAGTAAATACAGTTTCGAATCGTTCACAAGTATTAAATGATAAATTATCACGTCGTCCTGATCGTCATCAGTTAGTTGAACAAGGCATTTTACATGATTCGCATTGTGCACCAAGTCTTCAACATGCTGAACAAGCTCTCAAACGTGCACGGCTTGCCGACGAGCTGAACAATCGTCTTTTGAACCGTCCTGGTCCCTTAGACTTAATTAAACATAATATTCTACATATTAACACACCAGAAAGTCAGAATTTAGAACAAGCGATTCAAGGTGAAGCTTTCGACAGTGTCGGACAACATTTTTCATCGTATATTTTCTATTCTAGGAGGACAGATTCCATTTAAAAAGACTCCCTATCGTCGATCATTGGTATTTCATGAATATACAGGCTCGCCATCGTCTTGCAAACCAAAAGTGACTAAAGTCGATTCGCTGACATCATTGTCAAATGCTCATCAAATTCGATTAGCACAACAGCAACTCCTTCTCGAATTAACAGCTGATAATAATGATGTACAACCAACGGTTTTACCACAGAAGCCCTTGGAACAAATGACATTGGCCGAACTTCGAGAATTGTGCAAACAATACCAAATTCCATCATCACATACGAATAAAACCAAACTAATCGAACGGATCAAACAAACACAAGATAAAATGCATAATAAAAGTAACTATCAGCAACGATCCTTCTTTCAATGAGATTCTTCTTCATCTATGAAAGAATGACATGAGAATGTCGACTGAGTATTCACATCGGTCCTATGGTCTAGCGGTTAGGACATTGGACTCTGAATCCAGGAGCCCCAGTTCAAATCTGGGTAGGACCTTTTTTTTCTTTTCTCTTCGCACAGCATAGAGAGAGAAAGAGAAAAAAACTGCCCGACGTTCTGTTCTCTTTCCGCTCGTTCTGTTGCTTTCCGTCGATGTGTTCTCTTCCCGTGCCTTCATGATGCACAGCATAGGAAATTTTCTTTTTAATCTAGATGTCTCAACATCAGACACAAACGCAGTTGAATTATCCAATGCTGATATAATTGCATCATTGAAGATCTCTGATTTAAATGATGAAGACGTCCAAGCAACATTATCAAGTTCAGAATTGGATGAAATTCTCCAGTCAATTCCTTTTAATCAGACAACAAACTTTGACATACAAAATCTTTTAATCGATCCGCAAATAATCACTAATGATGATCTTTTCGTTGAAATGTTATTAAATAATGATTATTCATCAACATCAACAAATGAGACTGATTTTCTTTCAGTACCATCACCTAATTTACCACGTATCACAAGTGTTGATGAATTCGATGCCTTCCTACGTGACTTTACTTGTTCTATTTCGCCACATCAACAAGAAGTTCTAACCTCGATCAGTTAAATCAAGAGTAAAACATTATGTTTTCTGTCTATCGATATACATATTTTTTCATGTTGTTTTTCTTTCAAACAAAAACAATTAAATAACCTCTAATTGGTCTTTTTTCCACTAATTTTTTCTTTATTATATAAATAATATTTTACATTCGAGTTTCTATTCAACGAATTTCACTTCATATCAATCATAGATACTCTTACCATTTTGTCTTCCCAGTCAATTAAAACATCAGAATCACAAGAAGTTTTGTGGAAAAAAGAAACAAACTTCAAACAGATCGTCGATTGTCGTTTCCAATTTTTCTAGATGTGATACAGTCCGAAGACATGCCCACTCGTTTAGAAGATCTTCCCAATGAATTATTTCTCCATTTATTCAGTTCTTATTTCGACGGTGCACAACTATATAAAGTTTTCTATGGATTAAACATTCGTTTGAATTCGATATTAAGATCTCTAGAGCATATTCATGTTCGTCTCGAAAACTCCGATGATGATCCATGTTTGAATCTCTTTGCCTCAAAAATCATCAGTTTGTTTATTGATGCGAAACATAAAAGTATCGGTTTTATTCCATCATTGACAAATATCCAAGCAATAACATTAGTCAATCCAACTGTTGTTCAAATTATGAATCTTTTACAAATCGGTAGAAATCTTCATCATGTTTCCATTCAATGGTCTAATCCTTATACACCTGATCTCATGAGTATTCGATCATTTTACGAACTAATTTTCAGTGCGAACGCATCAGAAAGTCTTCGTTCATGTCGATTTTATCTACCTGAAAGTCATTCATTATACTTAGAGCCAAGACATTGTACATTACCATTGTTACGCACAGTATACGTTCAAGTCAACTATCCACTAGGCGACTTTCGTCGTATTGTACGTTTATGTCCGAATTTGACGCGACTTGAAATGGAAATAATCGACAATGGTTATTCCAATGAAGAAACAATTATCATCTGCAGTCATCTTGATCATATTCATCTTCGACGATTTTATATACACAATTTACTTTCATTAGATATATTGGACATCTACATTGAATATTTACCAAATTTAGAATATTTGTACATATCAATGAAACTTCCATCGCATCCAGTGGATGTTTTCAAACATATTTCAAGTCTAATTCATCGATTTACACATTTGAAACAATTCCAATTTCGTTTATCAACTGATTTTTGGAATCTCGATCATCAACAATTAGAAATGCTGAGACGGTTGAATCCTTTCTTTGCACATGTTCATATTGAAATGGATGACGATGAGATTGTTTTTGTTAATTAAACTATTGTCATTTGCTCGATACTTAGGTGCACTTGATTTTCATTTCAGATTTTCCTTCTCCAATGCCTTCACGTGCAAAAAAGATTCTTTCGCCCATACCTGTCGTTCCAAATACTGAACAAAGTGTGACAGATATGATTAGACAGGTGAGATGAGTTTTTTTTATAGTAACACGTTCAGAGATATTCTATTCCAGAGTCAATCGGTATTTTCTTCATCGGATCAAGACGCGATTCGATCATTATGTGAACAATTAGTTAATTTGTTGATTGTTTCGTCTTCATCGGATCCGCCTAATACATCGTTGAGAAAATGCGTTGTGAAGTGAGAGATTTGTGGGATGAAAAGTTCTTTACTTTTAGTTTGTTTTTCTAGAGGCTTTTCTCATTTACGAGAGGAACAGTATGAAAACGTACTTGATGAGTGTACGAAACATTTACGTGAATTCTTCAATCGCCAAGGCAAAGAACATCGTCTTGAATATATTTCGATGTTGAATTATTTAATCGAGAATTTTCCATTTGGTAACAACATTTCTGTAATTTCGAAAAAAACCTATTCCAATGCTTTTAGGTTTGGCTTGTATTTTGAGAATGAAAAGTACAAGTAAGTTCCGTTCGTTACGCACATTGAGTGATTGATCAGTCCTCTTTAGTTTCCAATCAGTTGATTATCATTGGCGAAGAACTCTGGTCGGACATTCAGTCAGTGATTCTTTTTCTTCTTCAGTTGAAGTTCGGTGTTTTGTAGATCGACCAACGTTCCTCATCAACGATTCAATCTGTTTCAACAACTTCAATACTATTTAAAAGTAGTCGTTTTTCTTCTTCCAAAATTTCAACAAGAACTGGAACGAGATGGAATCATTTCTCGGATTATTCATGAAATGCTAAACGATGGTTAACCTTTCAATCGATCGGACTGAATGAAAATGAGATGTTTTTTTTTATTTAGAGAATACAGTGACATTAGAAATTCGTTTGACTTGCTCACTGGTTTGGCATCTTTTGAAAGACAACGATCAACTATCACCACATGAAAAAGTCAAAATTAATTTCTTTTACAAATGGATAGTTTGTATCTTAGTCTTTTTAGTTGAATCGCATGACAGAAGTCACTGAAGTAACTTTGTCTCGACTAGCGTTGTACTTTGGTTTGATCAAAACAACAATGACAAACGAGCTGCGCGATACGAGCTTCTTTCTTCAATTGTTGGAAGATATTCTTGCTTTCAAAACGTTTGATTTGTTTCATCTCTTCTGCTTTCGCTAAAATCGAACTTTGAATATAATAGACGTGAGGCAACAATCATGGTTGGAATATCCAAAGCATTGGAAACATATTCAGAAGCATTGACGTAACAACAACTGATCTTTTATAAAGAGTTTTGTATTTTTATTTTTATAGTTCAACATGGACTGGTCTCGATGCAGCGTCATTGAAAGATATTGCAAAACAATTGTTAACTTTTGCTTGGGATCATTTTAGCTACAATGTTGAAGTAATTGACATTGAAATAAAGGATGTTTAACAATGATCTTTCTTTGTGTTTTAGACGGTTCGACATTGTTCAGCAAATATCTATTCGAATACGTTCAAGATAACTATGAATCATAGTAAAGTCATTCATTAAGAGAATGATTATTTGATTGGATCATTTAGGTGAACTTCGTCAAACAATAATCGATTCCCAACTAACACTATTAAAACAGCTTCCGTGGCAAAAAGATGGTTGTTCATTAGCTTATCATACATTACTCGAATACTTGTCGGTTAGTGATATCCTTCAATGGAATCCCAAATTACCCGATTCATGTTTAATGGCAATGAACGATCGAGGATTAGCATCAGAGGTCAATTTTCATGTTATCCGAGAAGGAAACGAACTTTTGTTTTTCTTAGGCGAGTTATCTGTATTGTGTCCTTTGTCATAAACATTATGAAGAAGAAAAAGTCAAAGATAAATGGAAACAAATTTGGCTAAAACCGGTAGTTCAAGCATTGGATACATCATCGCCATTGCATCGATTTCTCATTGCTGAAGTACGATATTGATCGGATGTTCTATTGAATATATTCGACTTTCTCTCTAGTATATTCTACCGAAAATTTTCAAAGCTCATCCGGATTGCTTACAGGATTTCAAAGAAATTACAAGTAAGACAAAGAGTAATCTGTACATGAAGAAAGATTATTGTTTTCTGTTATTTTAGTGAATCCTCGAACAGTAATTGTTTGTACTCGTATTGGTCGAACTCTGGGTTTATGTCCGAACATCTTTTCATTAACATCGCAATCTGCAAATGAACACGAACTGATTCGTCAAGGAATTACAAGTGAAGACGAACAAGTATAACTTTTAAATGATATTAATCTATCGATCATTGATTGTTGTGCTCTAGATTTGTCTTGATTGTCTGTTTATTCTTTGTGAAAACCCGAAAACAACCGAATCCATCAACGAAATCGAATTTCAATTGATCAAATACTTTCTTCAAATGAACATCGACAACGGCACAACTTCATTCAGAAATCAATCGATTTCATTGCTTAAGAAAGTAAGTCAACCGATTTTCTTCTCAAACGTCTTCCACTAATCCATTCGTGTACAGCACTTCATTCGTATAAAAGACAGTTGGTTGTTATGCGCAAGGCAAAAACTGAAAAGCAACGCTCAAGATTTCGATAATCTCACAAAACGATATCGAGTATGGTGATTGTTGAAGGGTAAACCATTTCAATTGTATTCTTCTTTCAGACTCACTTGAAATGGTTGATAAATTGGTGTTGTTCTAATTTATATTTGGAAGGATCCTATGCTCAACGTCATTTAGCTATTTTAACTTTACATTGGCTAATTCATTTACATGGATCTGATGGAATTCAAACAGTTTGTCGTGAGTTACAAACAGGTTTATTTTCTGATAAGAAAATATGATGATATTTTTGGCAAATAGAAAAACTAAAACTCTACGATTTTCAAGAACTACTTGATGAAAATTCCATGGAATTTTTGTTTAATTGCTTATGGGACACGTATGAAGACATTCGGCAATATTGTTTGGAGATTTTAATTAAGTTGAACGTAAGTTTTCATTTCTCTGATAGATAATCCATTTCGCTAAGGATTCAATGGTTTCTTTGGCATAAATTTGCTTCAATAATCGATCGGGAATTGAATTATAAATAGCTGCACTCGTTTGTAAATAAAGTGTTAGAAGAATAGTTTCATCCGAATCGTAGGGATTGAGATATTTACATTCTTGCTTATGAATTTGTTTTCTCTCTAATGCATATTGAATGCCTTGTTCGATATTATTATTATCATTAGTAATCACGTCGATCAGGTCGAAGAATGTTTTCGTGAGTAAATCGTTCGAATTCGATTGAACTTGAACTGATCGAAGAATCTCATCCTTTGAAAGACCGTTGAATGCATTAACAAGCAGATCGATGTACGCGATGAAGATAGTCGAAGGTGTTTTCGTGCCAAACATTCGCTTGATACAATCTTGAATAATTTCTGCACGTTTCGTCGACGGATGTTTGGAATAGAAATATGCAATAGGTGATAAACGAAGTAATGATGATGGAGTAGCAATGAGCTTCGAAGTTTTCCGTTCCATGTCAACTGCGATACCAAGAGCATGAGCAGCTTGTGTTTCACCAAATAAATCAATTGACTTTTTCAAATGAACACGCGGAGTAAAACAATGACCGGCCGGACACATGTAACTAGAAGATTTTCTATACGTAAAAACAAAAAATAAGCAGATTAGAATAGTTTACCTATTCATCCACCATTGAAAATATCTTTCTAAAAGATGATCTTGCGAATATCCTCCATGATGTGCGAGACTTGCGAGAAAGCATAACGTTAATGATACGTCATCCGACCAAACTAAAGCTATGTCATCGTGTTCGCTAAATTCCTTTTCCATTTGGATATGTTCCAAGATATAAGGATCTATCAGATGAGTTAATAAACCATCAGCTAATGTCATCGCGTAAATTGATGTGACTATTCGATTGTATTCTTCGTTATTTTCGATAGTTGGTGGATCGATCGGTGACATTTTATGAGGACGAACACCTAGTTCAATTATCCAATCTTTTTCGGAATAATCCAACGATTCATTCGTCATTTTTCGACTTTCAGAACTTCGTAGACTTAGAATTGAATAAAATAAATTTCAATGGCTCCGAACGAAAGAAAAACACGATGATTGTGTGTGTGTGAAAAAATATATCTCGAAGCGATAAAGCAAATATACGTTGTTTTTCTTTGTTCTTTTCCTTCTCGTAGGTTGCCACGTGTAGAAACATTGACCTTCGCGTTGAAATCTTGTTCGATCGTGTTCTACAGTTATTATCCAGTACACAACCGCCTGAAACAGCAAGCGGCTCGACGCTCGTACAATGTATTGCACAAGTAAACCTGAAAAAGCTGCCAGAACTAGTAGGTCATGATCGAAATAAACAAGAAGATCAAGTTTATCTCCTGATAAATCACATCACGAAAAGATTAGACAATGAAGTGAAACAAGCGAAAATCAATTTGTATCAAGCAGCAAAAAACGGACCCATGTACGGATGTTTAAGTGGAATCAATGCATTGTTAACGATTGTGCAATCTGATAAGTAAGGAACGAAATTTTCATCATGCAAAGAGGAAAATACGAACGAAAAAATCCGTTTAGATACGAGAGTCAAGAAGATATTGGTCCATGGCGTTCACTGTTTGCTCATTTGATCGATCTATGCTTAGAAATTGCATCGATCACTGGCCCAATTGTTAGTTCATCATCACCGGAAGGAATGATGCCTATGGAACTAACTGATAGTACGTTCGTCGAATGTTTTATTGTGATTCTAATATACCGTTTGATCTGTTTTTAGTCAGTGATAAAGTTGAAGGTGAAAATCTTAACGGTCAAGTTACTTCGCAGATGTTATTAGTATGTTGTTGGAGAACAATCAAAGAGATATCGCTATTGTTCAGCCGATTGGGACTACTTGGAATAAAATTCATTCAAAATAAAGATCAATACAAATTTATTAGTTTAAATCAGGTACTGATCTCTGCTCCTCATTGAACTCTCTATCTTTATATTATAAGAAAGTAAAAATTGTTTTCTGCAATTTTTGATATTATCAGTATAAATGACGTACAATTGATGTGGGGTGTTTTTTCATAGGTTCACACTATATGTAATTATTTCATGGAACAATTACTAAAGTCACGGCATTGTGGTGCATATGAACTAGCGTATACAGGCTTTGTGATCATGTGCGAACAACTATGGAGGTAAAAATCGAATGTTTGTTGCTGAGAGATGAATATTCATTCGGAGTATTCGTTTTCTAGTTCGAATTGCAGTGAACTATGTAATTTACCGATCGAATGGATTGAGAATGGAATCAAAATGGTTGAAGAAAATACTCTCGATCGAAATAAATTGTGTTTAACGCGACGGTCAGGTGGTTTACCGTTTTATCTTCAATCGATATTAACTGATGAACCGATTAAACAACGAGGACAACAACGAACGTATGTCGCAAAATTAATGGAAACTCTACTAAATATCATTCAAAACGACCCGGATACAATCGACGTCGATGGAGAAAAGTTAGAAAACAGTCGAAAGGTCTGACTGGTGTAGGAATAGTTTTGAGAAACGTTGTCGTTTTGTATAGATTCATGCGTACAATACCGCACGTTCATTTTACCGTAATCAACGATTTGCTAATGATGTTTTACCGTACATCGAACGTGGTCTTCTCTTGTCGATTACTGGTTTTACATCATCGATCTGGATGATACGAAATAGTGCTACACTACTTCTGTCAACTATCGTTCAACGTATATTCGGTCCATCGAAAACTAAAGATGGTGAAGATAACTTATCGAAAAAGAATAGTATGACTTCAAGAGAATTTTTCAATAAGTATCCATCATTATTTCATCTGTTCTATCAACAATTGCAACAAACAACGAGGTATACACTGTATTTCAGTATCAATTTTAACGCCCTTCTTTTTCAGTACTCGTTCATCGATTGAATCATTGTCATCTTCAAGTTTATTTGCAATTTTATTAATTCTTCGTCGACTCTATCCGAGTCCATTAGATGGTATTGATTGTTCATTAACACTCGATAAACTTTTACCATTTGTGATCAAGTAAATATTCCTTTCTCGATTTCATTCTCAATACATTTTCCGACAAATAACTAGGTGTGAAGAATCTCCACTACTGCGTATACGTGAACATTCATCGAAAGCACTCTTAGCTTTGATCAATCATGATCAATATTCCAGTATTATCCATGAACGNTATCCGAGTCCATTAGATGGTATTGATTGTTCATTAACACTCGATAAACTTTTACCATTTGTGATCAAGTAAATATTCCTTTCTCGATTTCATTCTCAATACATTTTCCGACAAATAACTAGGTGTGAAGAATCTCCACTACTGCGTATACGTGAACATTCATCGAAAGCACTCTTAGCTTTGATCAATCATGATCAATATTCCAGTATTATCCATGAACGACTGAAACAATTAATGAAAGGAAAAGTTCGACAAAATACACTCCACGGTCGTTTACTTCAAGTCTGTTCTTCGATAAAAAAGGAATTCTTGTCCATAAATCTCTACTCATTAGGTCAATGCCATCTTTCAATCGATGAAAAAACATCATCTTCAGTTCAAGTTCGAACCGAATTTCAGTGTACAAGAAATGCTTTCTTCATTACAATGGTGCATCTATGAGTTCGTATGAATCTGCTCTTATTTATAAAACTTTCGATTCGATTTTTAGAAACAATTGTTCGTTAACACAATATTGTTATCTGGAATTCCTCTACAATATTCATTGTCAAATTCCTTCAACTCAACTGACGAACAGTATTAATGAATATGTGAATTTCATATTGAAAACTGGTGATAAAGTGACCATTGGCGGTGATGATTTGACTCAGATCGTAACCCGTTTGATAGTTCGCTTGGAAAATGTTCCAGTTCAACTAAAACTTTTTCTTTTTGTCGAACAAACTCAGACAGAACTATGTTTTATTGAAACACTTCTAACAGAAAATGATTTATCTCGTTTCGAGAATAATCTTCGACAATGGCTCGTCGATCTATTGTTAACAATGGATTTATTTAACGAGCAACTCTATACCAAAGCATGTGAATTACTTTTGAAAATGATTGATAAAGCAAACAACTACGAACGATTAACAAGACGAATTGTTGAATTGATTGAAAATCTACGACGGTAAAGAGAAAGCATTGTTTTGCACGATCAAACACTCACTTCAATCTTTTGTTTTAGTCCGATGAGTTTAGCAGCTAGTTTTAATCTAATTGGTGAATTATTACCCTTATCGTCACCAACGAACAACAAAGAAGATCTAATTCAACTTGTTTACAATCGAATGAACGATTTTATTGATGGCGAGAGTAATGACGAATGCGCTTGTGCTATTCTCAATCTCCTGAGTAAAGCACGATCGTGTTTATACGATGCATCGAACGGTATTGAACGTTGATATCTTGTTGGTTTAGATTTGCTTTTGTTGTTTGTTTTAGTGGAAAGTAAATGTCGATATTGGAGATTGATATTGAAACTTTCCTCATTTCCCTCGGATCTCGTTCGAGAGAGATTAACTAAACTAATGCCCACGATATTGAACGATCAACGTCTTTCTGGTGTGTTTGGTGCTAACTGCTATTTAGCACAAAATGTTCTCTTTGAACATTTTACAAAAGATGCGTTATCCGATGTTTCAAGTGATTTATTTGTTAACCTTATTGTTGAATTATTTACTGATTTACTAAATGATATCCATTCCAGTGATGATGATAACGGTGGTGAGGAAGAATTGAGTTTAGATCGTCGTTTATGGCCAGCATCCGAAGGTTATAATAATGTATTCGTATCCGAAAATGAGACCTGTGATCATTATTGTGCACGTTACGGTGAACATTTACTTGATTCATTAGGACAAATTTTAGGCAAATCTGAAGAAGAAAACCTGAAGAAAACTATTGCTGTGATTCGCGATGATTCTAATCGATTGATTGATATACAATCAGAAGCATTCAATCGATTTTTAGTTCGACAACGATCGACTGTGAGATTGAATTTAATGATGAAATTTCTCCGTGTGACCAACACATTCCAAGAAGTTCATCTCGAAAAATTACCGCAACAGTGGATTTGTGATAATCAAGACAAAAGAAATTCATTGATTTAGTTGAAGTCAAGTTTCGTTTTGTTTTTTTCTCTTCTCCTTAATAAAAAGAAGAAATGATTTCATACTACGAATTATCTTTCATTTCAAATGANATCGACTGTGAGATTGAATTTAATGATGAAATTTCTCCGTGTGACCAACACATTCCAAGAAGTTCATCTCGAAAAATTACCGCAACAGTGGATTTGTGATAATCAAGACAAAAGAAATTCATTGATTTAGTTGAAGTCAAGTTTCGTTTTGTTTTTTTCTCTTCTCCTTAATAAAAAGAAGAAATGATTTCATACTACGAATTATCTTTCATTTCAAATGATTTTCATTATATTAGTTATTAATTTTGTTGATTCTTGTTCGTTTCGAAAAATCATCCCAAGAATCGATTATTTCATTGAGATAATCCAGACGAAAGATTTGTTGATTTACTTGTGAAATCAACATATTTCCATTTCACTTTTGCTTTCATTAAGAAAAGAGAATGTTTGATGCAACTAATTTTATTTAATTCGATCAGATAAAACTTTAAAAAAGGTTTAAAAAAAAGCCGTTGCCGTCATATCTTACAAACCATAATGATTTTCTAAAAGGAACAAGTTTCATAAAAGTATAGTAATCTTATGAAATCAAACCGCAGATGAGAACAACTATCACTTTTCCCTCTTGTCCATTCTTCTATCTCTCAGTTACACTTTCAAATGAAATGAAGTTCAATAAAGCATAAACTTACTTAAAAAGATTGCGATTAAGCCTAAAAATGAAGTATTTACATAAGAATATATGACAAGCGAAAACTTTAAAGTGTTGTTGACTCGAGTTGAATGTTAATACTCAAATACGGATTTTACTAATCTAATGTCAGTTGGCAATTACTCTATAGTTGCCATCAGAACATCTGATGTAGTAAATCCACACATACTCGGCCTTCAACTTGAGCTAACGCTTCATGATCTTTTCTTTGATATTGGAATAATTTACTGATTTACCAACAACAACAGCGATGACGAGAAGATTACCAAGGAATAATGCTGATGAGGGCGGTAAACCTTGGTCTGGTGTTGGTGGTAGCGTAATAAACCACGCATCAGCATCATTGTTATCTTCAGGTTCGTCAAAAATTGGATCGAGATCATCCATTACGAATACGGGGGCGACCTGGAAGACATAAAGAATATGCAACCTGTTTTCATCAAAAACATTTACTATAAAGCCATTATGGAGTGATATGCCGAATAAGATCAAAGTAGAACCAGACGTTGAAGCATCAATTCATTCTCTAATTTGTTAAAACATTCGCTCTTTCTAACTAAAGGAATCGGATCGTTCATTGCAAACCATTCTCAACATCTATCGATATAATTCCATGTCAGAACGAGTTCTTCCATACATGAGAATGAAAACACGCACAATATAGGTTGTCTGCAAGGTTCCTGGGAAAACTGGTCGACTACAAACGTGTAACATACGGTTTTCACCGCTGTATGAAGTGCCCATTTTCAAGATAGTACACTAGTTTTAATTTATTTCCTTCACTGACGTTACAGAGAAAAGAATCGATGTGAAGTTAGCACCAAAAAATTCGATGACAACGGTAGACAAACGGTACTTTCCGAAACAAAATTTGACTCCGAGTCGAATGGTAACAATTTTATTTACCCGAAGATGATTGCGAAAATATCGTCTAACTTTCTTCTCTTATATGTGTGCAACAGATATTCCATTGGCAATCGCCTTCAAAGTATGCCATCTGAAATATGAACCCACCTGATTGTGCAAACACCTTTCTTTTCTCCAATACATCAATACGGTGATTGGGTCAAACCTATTGTATCATCCTAAGAATAGATACCTCATGCTGCTAGAGGTGCAAGTCGGTGGCGACTCAAGATACTTGAATTTTTTCCTAGTCCAGCGACAGAAACCATATGCTCACACTTGCGGTAGAAGAGTATTTGCACAAATTTTTCGGACAGGCTGAATGTTCTGATCATTGATTTGTTAAAGAAAAAAATAACAATATACACAAAGACATCAACGTGGAGAAAAGACTACATCCAAATCTCAATAGCATCACCATCATTTTTCACTTGAATTTTCTTTTGATCAACGGTTTCGCTGGGATATGTTTCATAACGTTTCATAAAAATATATTCACGTGAAAACGGATCATCTAATAATGTGTCTCGCTTATAACATAGCTTGAGATGAGATATACATTTCAATTGAGTAAGAATTTCTTCGATGATAAATGCACAATTATCAAACGAATAGACTTGGAATTCAACTTCTTCGACGAGTGGAAAACGTTTAATAAACTTTCCAATCATGTTCGATGGGAAATGAAGATTTTCTGCTCGAGATTTGATTGATTTAATTTGCTTGAAGATTTCAAATAAAGACGAGTTATCGATGAAAGACGGGGAAACGAACAGCGGAGTATTAACAATGATTTTAGTTACATTGAGACATTTCCTTAAACAAGAAAAAACATAATATTTGCATTTATTCTATTCGAATTTATCAAATTTACTGTAAAATCAATTCGACATGTTTCCACCGAGATACACCAACTGAGGATCCAAACTCGATTTCGGCCAATTTCGATAAATGAATAAAATGCGAAATATCATTAATACAGCTCTGTACATCATTAAAATTGTGTCTGCTTTGTGAAAAACGAACTGAAATCAGGCCAAATGATGAATTTCGAATTGAAGAAAGAAAGATTTTACCAATATTGTATAGATTTTCCCACCATGAGTGTTCGACCGGCATTTCTATACGAAGATGTTCGACACCTTTGAAAAGACAAGAAGACCAAGTAATTTTTGCTTTCTCATTTGTTAAATACAAATCAAAAGCTTTGGTATTAGGGTAAAACATCCAGTGATCATCGACGTGTTTCGTTGATGCTGTTTCAAATGCTCCAGTTTGAATCATCGGACATTTTATTTGGTAATCTCCAAGAAATTTGTGATGGTTTATTGTGCGCAACATAACTACTTCGCCTTCAAATGGAATATTAACTCTCCAGCGATCGATAATCATATGCCAATTGGAATAAGTTTCAACAAAATAATCAAATGATCCAACAACTTGTTCTAGTCTTAAATTCGGTAATTTTCTATTTTGAATGAACATAAAAAACTCGAATAGCTTCAAATGCGTCAGGTGCTGCTCAAACATTCGTTTCCAAACGATACCGTTAATGAAATTTTTGGGAAATCTCAATCGTGATGTTCGGAAACTATAAAACAAAGCAAACCACATAAGATTGGGCAAACACCGTAAGACAAGCTCAACAAATTTAATCCCACATATATTTGTGATTACTAAATACAGAGATTCAACTTGTGTCAATACAGGAAGATCGTTTTGATCCATAAGTGATGAACCATTTAAATTCCTAGCAAAGATGAAACATTCATTAATGATGATGTCGTATGTGAATACTTACGTCTTTTGATTCGTCTCAAATTTGTCTGTAAGTTCGACTGCTAATTGTATATATTTTATCCGTTGACAAATACGAAAAATAGTTCGAATTGACAGAAAACAAGAAGCGGAACTTATACCGGCCATCCGTAGTCCAATTGATACAAGATTCAAATTCGCAGGAATGCCGGATTTCAAATCAAAATAGTTATACGGATAATAAACGTTGATTGAACGTAATGGCGACGGATGTTTTAATAGTATGGAAAGCAATTGCGATTTCGATGTTAAAGGTAAGTCTTCATGACGATTGTTAAATAAGTTGAATATGAGAAGTTTCCTGTAAGTCTTGATCTTTTCCAAAAGACGATCGATTTTAGTATTGAAGTCAACTGATAGTAATGAACACAATTGGAGGTTGGGAAAATTGTGTCGTCGAAAGAATAAACTAATAATAGCAGAATCATCACGAATTGTATCAGAAATTTTGATGGAAATGACTTGATGCTCATGGAAAATCAGTTGAGAAGAAAGAAAATCGACTTGAGAACGAAAAGCATTCGCTGAAATATAAATCCGAAGTGGAATCGATTGAAGAATCGATGAAATACGTTGATTTAATGAATTAAAACTCGTGAAGATTTCAAATGCATCCAAATAATCAAAGATTTCGAAAAACAAATCAGTGGGTAAGTCTTCGAAACGAGTGCAACTCGTCATATCCGCAAAACACGAAAGAATACTTGGCGTTAGAATTTTAGGGAAATGAAAGCAACGATTGAAGAAGAACATGTTCTGTATATTGAACTATCTCATCTATGAACAATAATGACGAACAGAAAGAAGATGCTCGACCGCGTCCGTTGTATGTGAATTCATCTGATTCGTGTTTATTGATTGAACTGTACGCAATGAATAAAAGAAGACATAATATGAGTTGTGTACAACTCTATTGTTGTACGAGAGAAGCGATAGCCGAAGCAATTCCAGTCACGATTGAAATAAAAATTTTCAAAGCTAAAGAATAATCAACAACAAATCCGAGTAGTTTAACAGAATATTGGTCAGTAACAGATTCGATATGTTCGATAATTATATCCAAATAATCATAATTCACGTTTTCTTCTGGATGTAAAATATTTGATGTTACCACATCTTTTTTCAAATTTCTTAAATGTCGAATAAAATCGTAATTAATTGATTTGTTAATCAAGACAACGACACTGATAAATAACATGATAAAGAATGATAAAAAAACGATATCAATAAGACACCAGATTGTCAATAAATCCGTCGAACGACCGTAAACAAAAACTCGAATGACTGCAATCAGGATAAGAATCACATCGATAAGCAAAGCGCAAGTCATTGTTGTTATTAAAGTATGATTCTTATCAATATTTCGAATGGTTCGCTGAAATAAATGAACGAAATATTCCAAATTTTCACTTCGACGTAGATTTAAATAAAATTCGCATTCAAAATCGACTTGTTTCTTCAGATCAGTACTTGATAATAGTATACGAAGGTTATATAAAACCTTAAGATACTCTGATATACTTCTCATCATCAAAAAAACTAAAAGAGTATAGAAAATGAATGAAATTATCATATAAGAATATTGAATCAATTGGATATCCCATGATGTGTGAATAAATGACATATTGAGACGAAAAATACGGTAAAAACTTGGAATCAATGGATGGATAATAACTAATGGAACAAAAGTAATGAGTAATAAAATTGAAACTACAAAGTAAAATAAATTTGAATTAGGTTTTTCAGATGAGTTCAATATTGATTGTGTGATCGATTTCTGAAGTAGTGTGGGATGAAAATCAGTGATTTTTCGATCGATGATTTCATAAAAACGAGTATCTGAAGTATCAGCGACGAAAAATGTTGATAATTTCGTGGTATTTGGTGTTGATTTAATCTCTAAAATTTGCAAATGAGCATCGATATACGTATTCTTAAGGATATTTTTGTTTCGAAATGTCTTCCGATGAAAGGAAGATGTCTGATAAACATGAAGAATAGTCAATAACGAAATAATTAATAACAAGGGCCAATAAATTTCCATTTGATTTGCATTTGTCGATACAATATGACGAGAATAATAAATAATTATGTTCGAGATCGAAACAATGAGACAAATCGAACAGAAATAGACCATTAGGTCGGACCAAATTGACTCTGGGGAGAATTGCTTCTTTCGGATTCGTCTGTAGATTTCATCTATACATTGTGCAATAGTTGCGAAAATTAGAATTGGCGAGAAAATGATTTTTAACAAATAAATCCATGTGTTTCGACATAGCATAGTAGCTGTTTGAGTTTCTGTTTGTCGAGGATTGATTAGAATAGACATCTTCAATGTTTTATCCAAGCATTTCAAGAAATGTGACATAAATTCAGATAGTTTCTCTTCGATATTTCGATTCGAATCATTGTTACGATTGATCAAAGGTAATTGAGTTGTACGCACATATTCAAAAAGAATATCACCAAATAAAAGTGCACTTTGATAGTAATTTACAGTTCGAGTCAATGACGAAGGGATTATTAGATCGTAATAATTTAAATGTAAGTCTTTGTTATTTAGTTGTTGGTTGAATAATTGAATGAGAGTTAGTAGAGCGATTTCTAACTCACGAGTTTTGAAAGTAAAGGATTTATCTTGATCACAATAGCTGAAAAAACGCTGTAAATTCGTCTGATTTTCTTGAGTAAATAGTATTGAATAAATACTGAGGCGTATGAGCAGTTCGTAAAAACATAAATCAATCATAGGAGATGATATTTCATTGAGTTCTCTCTCCGATGGACAATCAATCACAGTGATAAATGGATAATTTTGTTGTAGAACTAGTTCATGATCCCTTATTTCAGCTCCCTGTTGAATAAAGATGACATTGTTGATGGATTCTTGTTTTAATGTATCTCGTACGATATTTTGTACTGCGTCCAATGTCACCTGATTCTCATCGTTGTTCAACGAAATAATTTGACTGATATTTTGATCAGTTGTTTTGTATATATGAATGAATAGACAGTTTTGAAAATGTTCAGGATGGCAAATGGATTTCATCGCGTGATATAACCCTGAAATAGCATGTTCTCCATTGTGTTCTACGTGAACAGTATTTCGATTGGAAATTTGTTGAAATAAGTTGCGAAAAATTGATGATTGTTTGGTTTCGGTAGTATCATTTGTACATTGAAATAGACGAATCAATGATGTTGATGAGAATGTTTCATTCGAAGTGAAATCGAGCAATTGATCTTTATTTGTCAAACCTATTGGTAACAATTGTTCCGCAACAGAATTCTCCTTTTGCTTGATAGACTGAAAGAGTTCGACAAGCGAACAGTGGTCAGATACATTAATCGACGATTCGATCGATAAATGTGAAATTCCTCTGGAAATCGGAGCAAAAACCGGAGTGATTCTGCAATCGATCTGCATTTGAATTTAGCGTGTGTCAAGAATATAATCTTATCAACATCCATCTACTTTCTTTTTATACGTGTGTTCTTATCAACGATTGTCATGGCGAATGTCGAATACAACCAACTATATTTTTATATCCCTGTTTACAGAATAAAAACAAAGAAAAAAAAAAGCTTCGTCACCGGATCCATAAACAAATATCTTTTGAAGATCTGATATCTTTAGCAAAAGTACATGTTGATGGTAAACGGAATTGTAACCATTTCATTAATTCATCACTGTTACTTTTTCTATCGCGACAACGAACATTCAATGTTTTTAGTTGTTTCATTTTTTTAACTAAATCTAGAATATTTGCTCGTTTATCGACTTCGATCAAAAGATGTTCACATTGTTTCCCCAATGGTGATTGAATCAATGCTGAACATTGCTGTTCATTGTAAAATTGATAATCACTGAAATGATTCCACCCTTGTAGATCAAGATAACGAACGGATGAACTTTGATTTCCATACGGTGCCATTTTTGCATTTAGAACCTTAAGAGATTTTTCTATGTAAGATCGATGTGAAAGTTTCGTATCTACTTACTTTTTTATTTTTATTATCTGATTTCGTAGTCGTTGCTAACCAAGAATGAAATTTGAGATAATAAAGACATGGTGCCTGGTCAAGAATTGATTGTAATTGAAGGAGATTATTGTCATCATGACTTCGAGTATTCATTCGTACTTCAAGAAAAGTCAATTGATCCAATTGTGGAACAAACGCATGAAATTGATCGTCATATGGAAATGTTAAAGCTAAATATTGAAGATTTGTAAATTGTATCGATGGTATGTTCTCATCATCGGAAAGATTACAATCGTATTTAAGTTTACGAACATGATTATAGATTAAATAATCATCTTCTTTCGGACAAGTTGATTTGAAAATATAACCATCATTCATTTCCAGATGGAATTCTTCGAATCTGTATGGTAATGTATGTAAATGAATTAAAACATTATCGTCTTTAACAAAACCGAAGCATCGAACGAACCATTGATGTTCTTCGATCCAAAATGGTGTTCGATATGTATCGATTAGTTCATCGACTTCTTCTTGCAAATCATCATCGAAATCTGTCAATCTATAGTCCATTTTTAAATTGAAAACTTCCAATTGTGTCAGATGTGTTCGAATTAGTTCTTGCCACTTTTGTCCATCGATTCCAATTGTTGTTAATTCGATTGTCAAATGTTTTAAATTCACAGTTTTACGTAGAAGCACTTGAATCATATGAAACGATGCTTCGCATTTTAATTCTAATTTGGTTAATGTATGTAACAACGGTAATTGAGGATATTCATCACATAATTCATATAAATTCACTGATAAATACTCGATATAAGGAGTATGTCCATACAAATGAAACAGATAATCAAGATCACATCGGAAGCCACCGATGGAGAGATGTTTCAATGAACAGGAAATAAATGTTGGTAAAACTAAAGGACAATCGTCATCAGATGTGATATCAAGACAACAATGTGTTAAATTGGGTAATTGCCATATCTTGTCCATAACATCGACGAGAGTTTTAGGATTGTATGCAATATAACATTGTTTGAGTATCAAGCGATTCAACTGAGATATATGTTGTAAATCGTTCAGTAAACGAAGAACTTTCTCTGTTGAACAAATCTTATACAAGGTGATGGATTGAAGATTAACGAACCGATGTAGAGGATACAAACGCGAGAGAAATGTGTCGATGGCATGTGGAGTTGTATCGTCGTTTGACAGCGATATCGATGTGATTTTGTCGATAAATGATGATAAATATCGTCGACGGATAAGATTTAAATCTTCTTTGTAAATTAATCGAAAATCAAACGATTTCTTTTGTTGAAAATAATCGATAAGAAGTTGATCGAACCGTGAGTTCAAACTATTGAACGAATGAAACAAATCAACGGATGAAAAATATTCGAATAGATCAAACAATAGTTCATTTGCTAGAATTTCCAACGACATTGTCGACTTGATCTTCAAAAGATAATTGACTAAACTGGTATTGCGAAAATCTTCTAGCACGCTCGCGTGATAGAAATATAAAGAATGTTATTTCGTCATCCACACCCTTTTTCTTTCTTCCTCTACTATGTCGTATTTAGTTTCTACTGGTCGTCCACAACAAAGGTTTTGTTCGACGTCGTTCTTGAAAGTGAAGACTGTCGTCGTCGTCTTTCGTAATAACACATATGTCTGAGCAAATTCGTACGTCGTCATGTTGAGTCATGCAGAAATAATGATCGAATATGCGTTTCATTACATGACTAAATTATGAGCGTATCAAAATGTGCTTTTAATAGGATGATGACGTTGACATTAAGTGTATTTTAGTTTGGCAATGAAATTGATAGTAGACTACGATACTTACCTTCGTTTTAACGAATTTTCAAGCATCAGTGGCGAGTATTGTCGATAGGGAGAAGAAACATGCGCAAAATATGATGACAGCTATGGAGAGAATAACGAAACTGTATAGATAGATAGTGAGATTATTATCTAGCATTGAAATGTGTTCAGTGGAGAATTAAATAAGATGAGTTCGCTTTTCTTTGCTCCTTTTATATTGATTAAAAATTCATTAAATAGACAAGAGATCTGTCAGTATTCGAGAGAAATCTGTTCGTGTGATGAAAACACAATACAGTAAGACATAAGTATCATTTGTCACTTATTCAAATCGCTTTAAGAGGAAATCAGTTGGATATTACTTGACAGAAGAAATGATTTTCCGTGTCAATCATTCTGAATATTCAAAGATGTTTTTCTCTTGCTAGTTGCACTACAGGAATAAATTAAATGTGAAAAGAGGTTTTTTGCTTTTGCAACATGAAATCATGTCGGAGGGTCTGGATACAATAAACATATGCGAGCAATGCGCCTCCACAGAATATACTTTTTTTGCGTTCTTATCACCCAACATACTATTTCTTTCTCTCACCATGGTATGTCCTCAAATGGGTCAGAGAATGGCGTCATTTATTTTTCTTTTTCTTTCTTCCTTTATTTAAGAACAAGAAGGCGAAATACAACGATCGCAATACATAAATAAGCATCTGGATGCTTAGGGAAGAACATTTTTCATCGAATACATCAGTCACTTCGAACATGGATCTTCAACAACAAGACGATAAGGTGATTGTTTTTTCTTATTCGTTTTCTTTTGTTTCTTATTAACATCAGCTTGTTTTTCAACAATGATTTGCACATGAAACACTCGTAAAGTTGAGGTTCAAGCGTGAAATTTCATTACTTTTGTTCTTTTGAAAACAATCACAAATCGAGGATTTTGTTTTTATTTCGAAAGAACATAAGAGACGGTGAAAGATGTCACTACAAGCAATTCGGTATTATTGATATGATAAACAATCATTAACCTTGAAAAATAAATATATATTTTTTCGTTTTTTTAATTTAGAACATATCGAAGATTTTCACTCTTCTACGATCGAAACTCAATGCCAAAGAGAAAGAATTACTTGAACTACAACGAGCACAGCCATGTTTACTGGCACCGGATCGTGAACAAATCGATGCTTTAGTAAATCTTATCTCTTCTCTACAATTATCAACACAAGATGGTTCGTTTATTTTTCCTTCAACCACAACAGCCACCACCACCACCACCGTCATAGCAAATGAATCTTCTTCAACACCTATATGTTCAACAGGTGTTGATACAATTAAAACTCTACCATCAAATATCTGGTTACCTTCAATAACAATTCCCATAAAGGAGGAAGAACCAAAAAATGAATATCGTCTACCTATGGTTAGTCATCTATTATCATTACCAGTTAGTGCCTATGTTGCGTCATGTTCACCCAATCACTCGACCGTCGAAACGAAACCTGCTGAACCATCGCATCGTCTTCCGATGGTCAGTCAACTACTTTCAATGCTTATCAATGCTTTCAAATCATCATCATCATCATCCACAGATACTCCACAACTAAATGACGTCAAACCGATGGAAATCGAAGATAAGACAGAAAAGTACGTATTACGATGATTGTATACGCTGTCCTATTAACCTAATGTCATTTTAGATTGACAATTGATAAGCATGAGACGTTATCAGTTGAACCAATGAAGAGTATTTTTGAAGTCGAACCAACTTATTCGAAAGAACACTGGCTGAGAACGTCGTCATCATCTGACTCGGAATTCGAATCAATTTCGTTTGATTTAGACTCGTATATCGAACAAGCCAGTGACAAAATGCGTCGTCTTCATTTAGAATACTTAGAAGCATTAGATAAATTGAAAACGCCTACAAAACCAGAAGATACAATACAGGCAATCAAGTCCATATACCCGCAAACCATTGATCGAGTTCAACCGAATGCACCGGCAAAAAAATCGTCACGTATTTTTCCTTCATTTAACTAAAGAGATATGGTTTTTTATTCATATTAATAAAAATAATTATATAAAACACAATGAGACTACGAGGCGTTATACAGATAAAACATGATCTTATCTTTACGGGACACGGGAAGAACTGTTTCTTGATTAATCCGCTTTTTATCAACTCCCACATCGATAACTGAACCGTACCAAAGTACATCATATCAGCTTTTGATATCTGTTAATAATCTCTCAATCAAGGGCATTCATAAATGTTTTCAAAAATACATCCATCAAGATTATTTCCGAGCAACTATGTAGACTAATTAAACATCTGATAGAAAATTGCGCTTTTCATGTGTATTTTATTTATTTGCATTTTCAACAAAGACAAAAGCTACAAAACGCCATGTTTTTCTCGTCATGAATGTCAGCTTTTTTACCAGACCAGATCCATTCCGACGATGAGAACGAAACCGTGTTAAATATTTCTATTGAATAGCGCATAACGTCGTTGAATACGTGATAAAAATTGTGTAAACTCCTTTTTATAAATTGGCGACGGTAAAACAAAGACGATGAATATCAACATTGACGGCAAAAACGAAACAAAATACGCCAGTAGATATAACCAGAAGTGATCGGACGATTTTTTACAATTCAATGTAAAGGAAATGATCAAACGTGGTAAAGATAAAATGAGAAGAATCACCGAACTAATCAATAAATGTTTATGTTGTTTGAATTTACTGATAAAATGATTGGTGAATTTGTGTTGATTTTGAGAAACAACTCGTTGATGTGCTGTGCCAATAATGATAAATAGTGCAGAGAATAAATTAATAATAAATGGTGAAAAAAAATGAAAGAATAAACTGAATGAATTGTAGTTATTCAATAATTCCGAGTAGAGAATTACACACCAAGTCCGATCTTCTTTTGTATCATAAAATAAGCGTAAATGCAATGTTTGAGGAATAAGTAGAATTACATTGATCACAATTAAACACACGATAATCCATTCGGCTGTTCGTTTACTTGCTTCTTTTCGAAAAGAAACACCTTTAAACACTGCAAATGCGCGTTCACCGGCCACACAAGCGTTCAACCAATTATTTACATTCAAAAGAAGTTTTAGTAGCGGTTCAATAATCATACAGTTGGAAAAACGAATGAATTTCTGTCCGAAGAAGTCTCGATAGGAGTAAATGAGAAACCAGAATTTTAATGCGAATAGAATCACGATGCATAGAGAAACAATCGATGATGTAAAGAGATAAATTCCACAGCCGACTTCTTGCGATGTTTTATTCTTAAAAACAATAGTTGATAAAATACTATTGAAGATTCCAGCGAGAAGAATAATCGTTGTTATCAATGCACATAGTTTAACCACGAAAGATTGATGAATTAAATTCACATTAGACTTGATTTCATAGGTTAAGATTTCATCTAATGTTAATCCGAGACCTTTACTATAAAATTGACATTGATTACCATAGAAACAATCTGTACAGACACAAATAACCGTTGATGGGCAAGTCGGATGATCTTGTAAACATTGACCACCATTGAGACATGTGTGTTTCGATGAACATTGAAGATTATTATCATTTGAATCGAATTCGAAGCAGTTAGCATGACGTTCTTGTGTGCAAAAACAAAGATAATATTCATCGAGAAAACAATGTAAACTATGCTTTGTTTGACATAAGATGTGATAATATTTGATTCGATGGAAACGTGGAAGAGACATGACGGTTGAATTGAATAAATATTGAATAGGAAAGCATTCTTGCGATGGATTGATTTCTGTTATTAAATCGAGATTTGGAATGGTATGAAGAACTGCAAGGTAGTAGCGGTGATTTGAACGAACGATTACAAGATGATATGGAATTGAAATACGAAACGTCACCATACGTTGAAAAAGCGTTAGTTTTTGTATCATTATCGTTAATGTTGGTTCCGAATGATTTGAAACGGTAAAGAAATATGCTAACAGATACGATGGTATCTCTAGATTTTGAAGATAAATATCTAATTTCGCTTTCCGATATTGACACATTGAACCGTAGTATTGCTCTGAGCAAATACAAGAATATCGTTTGTTTGATATACTCAACATATCCGAAGGAATGCATTGTCCATTGTTTTCACATGCATTTTCCGGACATGACGATGTCAACACACATCGACGGCCGAATTTCGTTAGTGGACAAATACATATTGAACGATTATTCATTGATCCAATGCATAATGAGTTTTCGGAACAATCGTGACAATCTATCGGAATATCACATTGATATCCAGTCCATCCGGGAAAACATCGGCAGAAAGACAGATCGTTCCGATTGACATATTTTGTACATTGACCATTTTGACATTGGATCGAACAATTCAAACTCGAAGGTAATTCTTCCGATGGTATAAATACAAGTGTAGATATGCGATTGACAGGCAAGAAAAGAAACGGAATCGGTAAATACCAACTTGCACGATACTTCATTGCATGTTTTTCATATACATCAATTTGAATATGATAATTCTTCGAAATATTTTTCGGTCTACTTGAAAATAATAAATAGATATTATGTTTGTAATCACAACTTTGACTCGCAATGTATTCCAGCATCTCATACGAATGAATTTCTTTGAATGCATCATTATTAATTAACATCAAAATAATCATATAAACATCGTATCTATCTGCGCTGATAATTCCTAACGTTAAACTAACTCGTTCATTTTGATACTGACACAGATCTCCATAGTAACTCGGTGGACACATACATCGATAGTCATTGTAAGATTTCATTCGAACAGTTAAACCACGGTTACAAGACCACGGCGAAATAGGAGAGATCTTTTGCGAATAATGATATTGTCCAATTGTATGCTGTTCAACTGTCCACAAAAGTGTGTCATTTGTAGTTTCTAATCGTGGATAATTCAGTGATGTATGAAGCGAAAAATGATTGATTTTCTTCTGTTCAACATCATTAAGGTAACGAAAGACATCTTGAAAACTTTTTCCATATTGACAGAAGATTTCGTCGTCGGCGAGAGGACACGCTGGAACATTATCACAAAGTTCCGATAGTGACAAGCATATATCACTATTTTGACAACGGAAACGTTTCGGATTTGAATGTGAAGGATAAACACGTCGACAGAATTCCATTTCATCTATTGAACCAACGCAATCATTGATTTCGTCGTTAATTCTCTCTGATGGTAAACAAATCAGAGAATAATTCAATGGAGATATACACGAATACGTTCCGTTAGAGCACATACTTGGGAAACAGTTTTCTTCGTCTTCACCATTCGGACACGTCCAATATCCATCGCATGTTGTGTAAATTGTTTTGCAAGGCCAATGGTAACAATCGAGTTCATCGGTATAATTTTGTCCGTTTTTCAAATCAGTCAACGTCACTTCGCTGAAACCATCACAAATATTTTTGAAAGAGATTTGCTTTTCCGTTAATATACAATCGTCTTCAGTATGTAATGATGATAAACACTTGTTTTCTTCCGAACATCTGATGCGATAACGATGATTGTATGTGCAACTATACTCATTATCTATGTCTTCATCATCTCCCAAACAACAATCGAGATTCTCATCGGTTATACGATGTTTAGAAATGAATTTCGACGAATTTCGACATTGATACAATGATGGCGAATTAATATGATTAATTCGTGGTATTTTTGACATTAAACACGATCGAAAATGCGAACTAAGCGTGAGAATTATATCAATCCAAATATGACCGGTAATACTGGATACTAAATCAAGTTGTGAACTAAATACACAAGTGAGATTTTGATAGATCAAATTGGGAACTAAACAATCACAAAGTTCTTGATCATAACAAACATAATCAGGGATAATTAAGACCGAATGATTCGTTTTTAGAGAAATATTCTCGTATAAAAATCGAATATGATCTAAATGAATTGGAAAGGATGGAAACTGAAACATTGTATCACAAAATCGAAGATAATCTTGAACATTTTTCACAACAAAATCACAAGAATATCCATGAGTTTCTTTGACTAATTTTGTTAAACATATCATCGCAAGCAAACATCTTTCCGGTACACTTTCTTGTTTAGTAATCGTTTCAATCAATAACAAATGTCGCCCATTATGACATTGATCATATTTTTGTGCACATTGTCCGTCGCCACATGTAAATTCATACCAATTTGTTCGACATGAATGTTCTTCACAACGAAATGTTGGATCTTGAAAACATGAATTTGGATAAGACACATCAGTATACTCGTCCGATCGATCGAGACAATCGGCATGACCAATACCGTTTTCCCAAAATTGAGATGGAATGCACAAGCCATTATGACATCGGTATTCATTTTCTGGACATTCATTCAATTCCATATCGAAACAAAACATCTCATCGAGACCTTCATCAATACAATCGACATGTCCATCGCATATCTCGCGCCAATCGAGACATAGAGATGATCCACCTCGATTACATTCAATATGAACGTAACATGGAAATTCGATCGGAGAATTCGATGAGCCTTGATATGAGTTTTTCCGATGGAATTGATTGTAGACAACATCATTGATTAACATTTGTTCAGTAAATTCAAATGAGTATTGACAAAATAAACCAAACCACGGTTTTGTACAATTATAGAATATTTCATTCGATAATATCAAATCGTTCGTATTCAAGTACAGTTCGTATTTTTCAGCTAAATCAATTGGACATGACCAGAGAAGAAGATCTTTCGCAGTAATATTCCGATCACGCAATTCTCCAAAAGTGAATTGTTGATCGTTGGAATGAATAACACTTCCTATTAATTCGTCAGTTTTAGTTAACGGTCGAAAACAATATGGAATCATGTCGCTGATTAAATTCGATAATTCTTGATAAGCTAGTTCTTCACGAGTAACGTAATAATATAAACAATCATACTGCCAAATATGTTCGTTCGTAGTTTTATCGATATCATGAAGAATCAATTGACAATTAAGATGTATTATTTGACAATAAATAAAGACGATAATAAGATTTTTCATTCTTGATCGCTTATACTAAGTAGCACAATTTTATCAACGAGCAGAACGATTGCACACGGATATGACAAGTGCAAAGGTCACATTCTTTGTGACATGATAAATTCTGAACATACTCTCCGTGTTTAAATGATTGACTTATATTTCACTTTTCCTGAGTAGAAAAAGAGTCCGACGTGCTTTTTCCAAAGGACGCTTTCTTCTTCAAGGTCAGAATTGATTAAATAGTAAAGAAAGCATTCCGATAGATATACATTCAATTTATGTGAGACGAGTTGGGTTTATTAAAAAATATTCAAAGATTCTATGCAATAAACGTACAGGGAAAGTTGAGACTACAATGAAAAATCGGCTGATAAAAATCTTATTCTTTTTTGTCTACATTTGCTTGTGTATGAGCTCCTTTTGAATTTGCTGAATTGGCATCATTTGTGTTCGATCGGTTCGCATCGGAATTTGAACTTGGTGCAGTTTTGCCTGGATCTTGTGTAGGTTTCCAACGCGTGGAGCCCGGACCTGCATAAGCTGGACGCATTTCGAATAGTCGATAGAAGTAGAGTGTCCAAGTACAGATATACCAGTTGAATACAAAGAAATGTTCCTGTTATATACAAGTCAGATACAGAGAAAGGAAGAGAGATGGGGGGAGAGAGAATCGATGCCGTTTACAGAAAAACAGAAAATGTCGTCAATAAAAAAATAAGAAAGAAGTAGATATATATGTTATTATCAATGATCGAAAGATTTTCTCTTGTATCGAGAGATTCCGATCAGTAATAGACAACTATTCTATATACAGACGAACATCATTAATATTAGTTAAGGTCAAAGATAACAAAGTATAGATTAACAATAGTCGAGATTGTTTCAATTGTTATTAAGAGTGAAGGTAATTAAAAGAATTCTGTTCTTTTGAACTAAATCTTGAGATACATGTTGCTTTCAAATATCAGATAGACTATAGGTAATTCTCTAGTATATTTTCTTTCATTATAGGATGGTTCGAATACAATTGATGTTGTGTTCCGTATAGATTAGATCTGTTGTGTGAGCCAATCCAGAGAAGGATTTTGGATGAATCCAATCCACCTGCGCGTTTTTCTATTGTGAAATTACGAAATACAGTATTTTCTATAATCCATTGAGTCAGATTGGTGATATTTCTGAGTTCAGTATCCGGTAATTCAATACTTGCCATAGTGAGTTGTCGAAGAACATTTAAAAGAAAAGCCATTTCTTCTACTGAAACTAATTTCATGGATATTTCTTGTAAATTGATGAATGTTCGAGCGAATGAAATTAAATCTGCATAAGAGAGTACCAAGTCGCTATTATTTAATATCAATTTTCGAATTCGCATTGTTAGTAGAAGACAAATACATTCATTGTCTCGTGTCTCGAACAATGAATGTAACCAATGTGTTGAACATGTGAGAATAGAAACGCGATCAGATGATTTCGCTAGAAGGTGTGCTAATCTAGTTGGACTAATCGGTACATCGTTGTCAATAATGATATGTTCGAATGATGATGCATTAAGTAGGTCAAGAACATTTGGATGAATTGTTTCAATTTCGCCAATATTCGCACCATAGAATTGAATGGAACGTACATGTGGACATATCGATTGAGTCGACTTAGATAAATTCCACCATAATTCAACATACGTAACATGAGGATATCGAATGATCGACGTTGAATCGACAAGAATTTCATCATCGGGCCAATAAAGAAGATTAATGATTGGCGATTGACTTGTTGATAGACGAAAGAATCGACCACGATCTCGTGTATGACACTGAACAAACCAGCCACGTGACGTCCAGTAATCACTTTTGAAAAGTTTGAGTAAGGAAAGATGATCTAAACCAACTGGCGATGTTGTCGTCAGATCGAAACGAAACGAAGAAAGATTAGCTGACAAGTTTGCTTCCCATTGATGTGCGTCGAAAAACAATAAATCCGGATTCAGTGCCTCAATAATTAAAGTATGGAGTTGAGGTACATGTCGAAGAAAAGAAGCAAATTGAGGAAATGATACCTAAATTAGATGAAACAATTAACTCTTTTGATTACAAAGAGCAAGCTTACGTCTGATACAATATTTAAATTTAAATATCGTAACGATTGAAACATTATATTAGATCCAGAAATATTCTCAGCTATCAGATCTAATTCGCCAGGATTACTTAGAACTGTAGTCAATCGATTTAATCTTGGAAATCGCTGCATAAACGATATTAACGTGTCCATATAAAGAGAAGTAACATGTAATTGTTCTATCGATAGTGTAGAATTTGACGTCTGAATCCATCGATCTGAAATTTCATAAGGAAATGCCAAACTACGTAAAGACAACGGTAATACGACATGTTCTTGGAACAGTTCGTTTGTGTTTATATTAAACGGCATAAACCGTGTGTATTCGCCTATTGATAGATTTCTAAGATACACAAATTGGTGAAGATGTGGTACAAGAATTTCAACATCGGATTTTGTAAATTCAACTAATTTCAATGATAAGAGGTGAACAAAGATAGTTCCTAAAGACTTAAAGTGCACCAAAAATTGCGAAAGTAATCCAGGTGTGGAAGAATTACTTCCAGGTAATGTTAACGAAGTAATACGGGCAGCGATACGTGGTAGAATTCGTGTACAATAGAAGTCGAACTGATCTTTTGAAATACGAATAAAATTGACGTCCAAACGATGACATTGGTGACTGAAAGAAGAAAAAATATACAATCAATTTTGTTTTTTTTAAAGCGAAAACTTACTCAAGTATTGTGTTTATACGATGATTTAATCCATAAAATGCACGATACAAATCGCATGCATCCAGATAATCACCGATTTCAACAACTAATTCAGATGGTAAACTTTCCAACTTGGATACTACCATAATGGTTCGAAATTCGTTTATTTCTTATCGCAATAACAGATACACCTATGGAAAGACGGCCAAATAGAAAAAATATATGCTAAACTTTATTATTTAAATAGACAGGTAAGAACGGACTGATTCTAATTTTCTTGTCCACGTCAAGAAATGAAGCAAACAGAACATTACTCATCACATAGCAAATAAGCGTGACATTGACTGACAGTATGAGTATATGATTCTAAAAGAATAAAACGTCAGCTATTGCTCTTTCGGTAGGATTATGTAGGCTGAAACAAGTACGAATCGTCTTTCCCGAATGGTACAATTACCAATATTGATACGATAGAATTCTCAGATGGCGCATCAACGCAGTGTCTACCCATTGTAACTCGTATTGCTATGTTGATATGTCCATTACTTGTTCGAAACAATCTTCGACTGGATCTCAATCTACCAAGCTTTCTCAACAACAACAACAACAATAAGTCTAATTTGTAAATATTCTTCATGTCCACATGTTTCGGTTCAATGTATTTTCTATCGATCATATGTTCGCCGATCGCACGATGAATAACATTGAACAATTGAAGAAATTCATACTAATTTCTATTGAGTATAGAATTCAAAATTTGTTCGTTTTGTTTATTTGACAAGGTCTATTTTTCTTTCTGTTCTTTGCAAGAACTACAACAATATTTAATATGACCTCAACGTACAATTGATTGCATTTGTTAGGATGTGAAGGAGAGAAGTACATCATACAGAACGAGATTGATTTTCAACGCGAACAAAAAATCTTATGGATACTGACACACAAATCTTATCACATCAATTATGGGATGTTTTTTACAAAATATTTCTTGTCTTTTCACTCATAGCCGGAATCATTGTAGGATCGTACGGACTTTCCCTATACCTAAAAGCTAAACAAGACGAACATCTATTTCGTCCGTGGCAAACAATATGTACTTTACTTGATTATGAGGCTGTTAAACATGATTGTAAATCATGTGGCGAAGATGGATGCATAGTTTATACCTGTTATAATCAAGTTTATCAGATAATCTACGAAATTTTCAATGGAACATTTGTCAACAGTACGATTGTATTCAACGATAAACAGACTCAACGAATAATGAAGGTTTGAAATGTTCAGTGATCTTTTCTTTTCTTTTGTCTTCATTTAGGTTGGAGAAAACTATACATGTTATTATGACGAACCACATGATGTCACGTTCGTTAAATGGGAATATGAAGATCAACGCACTGGACTGATTCTACTCTGTGTCGGTTATGGTATTGTTGGGATTGATCTTTTCCTGATAATGGTATCGATCACATACCAATTGCTTCGAAAATGTTGGACTAAACCAACCATTCTACTTTCAAAAATCTCTTTTGTTCGCCGAAGATCCGATCAAAATCCGATATTTATTGAATTTTAGAACTGACTTTGTATTTCTACGCGTATCCATTTGTTTTTGTTTGTGTCTCATTATGATTCATCCATTCATTGCGTTATAATCGTTTTGAATACGAGTATCATTGTATTGTTTCAAATGATTAATTACCCTTGATATTTTTAAGAAAGATTTTATGTTATATTCTCAACGAATACTTTATCTTTCCATTAACTAGAACTTTCGATTTGAAAAACTCGTTTCTCTTTTGTTTCATTCTTCGAAAATCTTTTTTTTGTATTAACAACGTAATAATTAACCCGTCGATTGATTTCTTTTGTTAATTTCTTTTTTTGTCATCGAATAAAAACGAAAATACAGTAAACACTCGTTAACCTGTGCATTCAAAGGACAGAGATGCGCAACCTGCAGGCAAACCATCGCAATCGAAAGCGATTTTTATGTAATCCGTATGTTATTTGTGAGATAAACTTGCTTTGATTTCTATCTATGTTTTACTAGAGCTTTGTTGAGAGTTCTATGGTTATTAGGTATTGGAATATTTGCACTTGTGATTGGTGTCATTGGTGCACTTTTGGGATTCATTGGTCTTCTTAAACAAGCACGAAGTCATTTCTTTGATCATTTGGAGAATCAATGGGAAACGAAATGTTTTGTTTTTCAACGATTAACTGTTCCACATCCATGTTACAGTTGTAACAGTACCAATTGTACAACAAATATCTGTTATGATGAAAAATTCAAAGTGAGTTACAAAATATACGATGATTCAGAAATCATCAGTGCAATCAATGTTCGCGATACATCAAATCCACAAAATATTCAAGTTAGTATTTCTTGTTTGTGTTCACAACTAAGATGAACATTTTCAATCTCTTTCGTTCGTTTAGATTGGAAATGAGTACACGTGTTACTATGATCGATTATTTAATTACCGAGAAGTTCAATGGGAACATACTCTACCAAAATCACAAGCGCCAATTATTGCCACGGGAATTTCTTTAATCATTATTGCTACGTTAATTCTCGCTTTGTTCGCAGTTTACGTTTGTTGGGTTGAACGACCTCGTTTAAAACGATCGAAACGAAGAAACCAAATGTTAAGACATCTATCCGGTGAACATTAAAGCCATCGCTAAAAAAAGACTTCTTTTGTTCTTATATCTGTACGTTTCTATTGCATAAATTTCATTTAACAAAGCATGTCTCTCGATATAAATAGACTTCTCATCAGCACTTTCAATAACCATTTAGTTTTCATTGTATTGGAAGAAAATAAGAGAACGTTTTCGTCTAAAAATAGCTTTTTTCACAGGATAATAAACACACATTTGTCCTTTATTTTCTGTACTACCCACAGTGTCTCCGCGTATTTTCCATCTTGTCACCTTTGTCTTTATTGACATGACAATCTAAGAAAGAATACCAAGGAAATTCTCTATTCGAAATGTTGTAATTATATGAAAACAAAAAAAAAACAGGTTCTACCCTGATTTGAACAGGGGTTACTGGAGTCAGAATCCAATGTCCTAACCACTAGACTATAGAACCATCGACTGTTCAATGTTCATATCAGAAAGAAAAACACAATTCTCGAAGTTGTTTTCGAATGATATTTTTATACGATTTTTGATCGTCGTTCAATAATAAGTATAGAAGTGATAATTGTTCGTTATTTAACATTGTTAAACAATCTAAGAACAGATTTATATCAACTGTAAGTAAAGAAAACTCTTCAGAAACAGTTGATCGTCGTGGAACAATAGAAATTTGTTCCGGAGATTTCTTTTCGTCACGTAATCGACAGACAGGTTAAGGAAACACAGTTTGTTTAATCGATACCATAATTCCGTGTGGTATATATGAACGTACAAGTCAATAATCAGCTGCTTGCATTTCTTTCGCGTGAGATGCTATCTGTTCTTCTCTCTTATAGAGAATATTCATCTCGACATAATGATGCTGTTAATCGGATTGATTAGTTCATCTCTGTTCTCGGTGAATAGCGGTTAAATAAGTAGCAGATTTCTTCTCGTTACTGATTTGATGTTAGGAAGAAAAAAACATGCTATTTTTCTATCGACAAATTGAATAAGTAGTTCTCATGGCAAATCTCTTCACTTTTACTTGTTTATATGAAAATAGTCTTGACTATGTATTGCTGACTTTCCTCGAGCAAGTGTTTCTTCATACGCAATCTTTTCTTTTTCCTCTCTCCGTGTTCTTTCCAAAAGAACGGCAAAACACGATCTGTTTGTAGACGACTGCTAGTCAGTCCTATTTTGTTAGAGAAGAATGCAACTATGTTTTTTTGTCACGTCGAAGGCTATCGCGTAATGTGCACCAGTCTTTAGTCGGTTTTTTTTTCTTTTTCTTTCTGTTTTTTTTGCTCCATTTGGGACAATACACGTGCTCCTTAGAAATTTAAACTGCGAACAAAAAAAGCCCGAGTGAATAGAACCTTGAATTCGATCCATATTTATGCATGACGAAGTACTGGCAATTCTTTGACATTAACCTGAAAAAATTTCTAAATCTATTGAACTCGAGAGAAGTGCTTTTTTTTCAATGAACAAAAAGAATGGATGGTAAGTTTTTTTTCTTTTTTTTTCGCACATTTGTCTTTTGATTTGATGAGTGATCGATCCAATTTTCTTTCGTTCGTTTCTTCGATACGATGATAATCATTATTATATTGAGTGTGACGAATGAGAAGAACATTGAAGCGCGACCTTCTTCCACTGGTGTAATTTTTTGTACGTATATGCGTTGACAAGTGTCTTTACACCGACCGACAATGTACGTATGACTGGATGCATCTTGTACAGACTTTCTTATCTGTTTTTCTTTCTTAGAACAACTCAATTATCTTTTTAGATTCTATTATGACATAGCTTAATGGTTTTATTTTCCGTTGGGTTGAAGAACAGTCGTGTTGTTTTGTAATTGTCAGATGACTTTTATTTGAATAAGGTAAAAATTCTTTTTTTTTCTCTCTCTTTCTCTTTCGTTTTAGTCGAGGAAAGATGTAGCGTGATGGATAGAAATGTAAATAAGAGATGATTGATGCACGATTTATTAATAAATATCTATAATCTGTCAGAATGAAGGACGTTTCGTGAAAGTCTAGTCCGATGTTTTCTTTTCGGTTGAGTCAAAAGAAGTTTTGTAAATACTGTCATATGACACTTGAGAAAATATTGTACAAAACCATAGTTTTCGAATTTATGAGTAAAAGAAGTTGGTATAGAAGGGAAATAATGCTAAGAGAACGTAATCTTTCTTATACTTTCGTTCGATTATGTCGAAAGAAAGAAAGACCTTGTTGTACGTAGGTGATGAGTATATGAAGAAATATTTAACCACAACATAGTTCTTATAAGCTTTACAAATTGCATTTTTCTTCACGTTATTCGATACGAAACATAGAAAAGAAGACAAAATGTCTGTTTGACTAACTGAAAATCTTCATTCCATTTTATTGGAGAAATGTCAAGAAGAGAACCATTGATAACCCATAATGATCATTCGATTACGTGCTTTTATGCTTTCAACAAGCCACTCGACATGAATCGGGTATGATAAAAATGCGGGTTTCTTCTTTAGAATGAATATCAATTTATCTAATTCGATTATATTTAATATAATCGTATTATTCCTCCTATGTTCCTCGGTAAAAAGTTCAACATCGTGTTCAATATTTCCATCGTTGAATTGTTCGTGTTTTCAATCGAACCTTGACTTAACATCAACATTGCCAATCAAAACTTACTCGCATTTATATTGTCAGGGAACTTCGTTGGATCAAAATACATTTCAATCTCCTTTCGGATTAGATTTTAAACATCAGAATCGATTTCGAACGGTTTCAATTCAATTTTTTCTTAAACAAAAAGTCGAAATCATTACGAATCAATTCGATGCACTGGCAATGTTGTTTTCATTGACAGAAAGTAGTGCCCAAATTGAAGTTACCCTTCATTTCAATGGTTTTCAACGAATTAAATTTCATCCTCAAGCTATCACATCGAATATTTTCCAAAGAAAACATCAGAATACTCGACTGAAGTTGCATTTTATTCCTGAAACAAACTCGAATCAAGTAAATCACTATTTGAACTTTCTGCTTTTTCAATCAATTGAAAATTTCGGTATTTAGCTCTTCACCGGTGAAGATAATTCCATGAACAACAATGAACAATTTCAGTTTTCGCAAAATCCATTTGGTGGTCTGACTGTTTCACAATTAAAAATGCATATCCATACATTACACAATCGTTTTTCATCCTCGTCTTCATTTGAAGATGTTTTCAATAATACGAATATTGGCGAACTTCACTTTGACGGATCAATCATTCCTCCAGATCAATCGCAGCCTTCCAAATCATTCAAAGGCTTTGTGAGATCATTAACACTTCATCGACATGTTGATACAATCGATGCAACTGAATTTCCGCATTATTCACATGTTTTATCTTATAATATTCATTCGATCGAAGCACATTCAATCGATCTCCAGTCATTTATTCCTTTATACAATAACTTACGTGGATTGGATTTGACTAAACCGCGTTTCGAAGTGTCAATCGATAAAATAATTCCAACCTTAGATTCTCTATCATTAGATATTGAATATTTCAATGAACGAACATTACTCGCCGCTCGACATATTCATTATTTGAAATTCGGTCCAAGTCTACGTCGAATTCATCCCCAAGTGTTACGTTCATTACCGATTCGTTTGAGACTTTTCGATTTAGCCGACATAAATTTATCGGAAATGACAACTGATTCTCTTTGTTCATTAATCGAATTTCTGTACAGAAATTCGCAACGTTTACTAAACATAATTTTTCCTCGAACAGAAACATTAACCGAATGTAATTGTGCTCGACTTATTCTTGATGATATTCAATCAAATCATATTCACAAAAACCATCCCGCACAAGAATCTACTTGTTCGAAACAATGTCGATTTAGTGTTTGTCCAATAATCAGTGAACATTTTCGTGAGAAATATCCATTAATTATCAATAATCAACGAGGAATTGGTAATTTACATGATGATTTACCATCGGTCGATCTATTTTCTGACCCAAGTGACATGGCTCTAATGAGTTTTCTTGTGAATCAATCAAATAATGAACAAACAGATCGTAGTGAAAGGTAAAATAGAGAAGAGAGCAGAAAGAAATGATCTGTTTTTGTTTGTTTTAGTCAATTCGCATCAAGTGCATCTCAAATTAACTCTCAACATTCGGATGATGTGCCCTTTTCTCACATAACTCATGGCAGTAAAAACAAACAAAATAAATCGAAAACAACGGATTATTTTTCGTGGATGACACTTCTGACTGGTATTATGATTGTCTTATTCATCGTTATTATTATTATGAGTATCGTATTTTTTGTTCGAAGACATAGAAAACAGAATCAATTTATCGCTGTACCTGTTTATATGTAGAAATAAAGATATTCCTTTTGATTTTTATCAACATGTTGATTTTGAATCAAATGAAACCATTCTTCCGAGATTATGACTTATTTCATTCAAATATTTGTCGAATGTCTGATGAATAATTCCCATCTCAATAAAAAAAAACACATTAAAATAAACGTTCTTTCTTCTAATGAAAGTACATCAGATGATTTCTCTGAATATTACTCACTATCTCCTCAATAACTATTCCAAATCCTTGATATTTATTTGAACAACGTGTCCTTGTCTTTTATCTTTTATCCTTGTATATACATTTATATGATCGCTACGAACAGGAATGTGATGAGCGTTGCTTTATTAACATCACTTAGTTTTTCTTTAATAATTTATTTCACAACACTCACAGTAATTTGTTTTGAATTATTCGATTGAGTTGCGTAAGAAAACAAAGATTTTCTTGACTCTTGATTAGATGAGAATGGTACTAATATCTAGAAAGAAAAAGACTATTCATGATGTTTTTTCTTCTCCTTCTGACGATAAAATATAACGTGTTTCTTTTTGTTCTCTTGTTCTTCCTCTTTTGACGTGTCGATGAAAAAGAACGAACAGAAAAATAGTCCGACGAGAGAAAGAAAACGAAGTGACAGAGTAGAACGGCAGCATCTGGTTAAAGATAGATTTCAAAATACGAATGCCCATATATTTAGACACGGTGCGTCGATGAATACTGAAACAAAACATCCGCCCCCATCAGCGGCAACAGCCGATGAAGCTATCAGTTTAATGGAAGACAATATTCCCTTACCTCTGACAAATCGACAATACGAAGACAACGAAAAACGCAAATCACAAGTCATGATTACGCACAAAGCTGTGATTCAACATCGTCTAATGCGATTGTGTGCGTTGCTCTTAGCTCTTGGAACACTTGTTATTATATGGAGATTTGTTTCGATACTAATTCTTGCTACTTGGTTATCGTCAATCTGTAGACCTTTGTTGGAATGGCTTGTCAATCACTTGTAAGTTTTGTCGCTACGTCAAAATAGAATAAATTAAGAAAGAAAATTGCAATGTTCTGGTTTTTATTTAGACCGCTGATGAATCGGTGTCGAGAAAAGCGTTCTCGTTCGGGAATTGCAGCGTTTCTTCTTGTCTTTCTCGTTCTTGTTGTGATAATACCAATTGTTTTAATTATCATAGCTTTAACAGGTTCAACCCTGAATTTTGTCGCAAGTCTTTCAAATTCAACGACGGCACGCAATGCAATTAATCTTCTTGTGCCTCCATCAACTGATAACGGAACCGGTTCATCAATGAATTCGAGTAGTCAAAGTTTCATGGACTTTATCAAAGGCGAAAAAAATACAACCTTTAATCTATTCGAACGTTTTGTTATTCAACGAGATTCCATTACAGATGTCGTGCAATTATTCGGTGGTAAAGCTCTGTCAGTTTTATCTACGGTAGCTGGAGCGACGGCACAAGTATACATATCGATAAAATTGCATCTCACGTACACACGATTTTAGTTCTGTTCTTTTTCTTTATATTTCAGTTTATTGTTGGAATATTAATCTTTTTGGTATCGACATATACATTTTTATTGCATGGCCCTGAACTTTGGAATTGGGCAATCGACCATAGTCCACTATCGGCGAAACATATGCTACGTCTTGAAACTGCTTTTCAAGAAACAGGTCGTGGTTTACTCATCGGCGTTGGTCTCACGTGTGCTGTACAAGGCCTTGTCGCAGCTATTGCTTATCTATGCTTACAAATTCCGCGCTGGTATGCTCTCGGTGTTTTAACTGGTTTATGTTCATTAGTTCCAATTCTTGGCACAGCCATTGTTTGGGTACCGATTACGATCGGTCTTTTTATTCAACAAGCACATATTAAAGCTGTTATTATGATTGCTGTTGGAATTCTAGCGATTGGTTCAGTTGATAATCTCCTTCGACCAGTTTTCTCGAAATTAGGTTCATTACAGATGTCAACTTTATTATTGCTATTGACAATTTTTGGTGGATTAGAATTGCTTGGTGCATGGGGCGCTCTCTTAGGTCCGTTAATTGTTCGATTAGCAACGGAAGCTATTCGTCTTGTTCGCGAAGATGAAGACGAGGAAGAACAATATTATCAACAACAACAACAACCCCAGCCGTATTCGGTATCTTAAAAGAAAATTTCTCAATTCCAGCCTATGTTATTTCGTTTGATTTTGGTGTCTTTTGTATTTTACTTTTTTCTTTTGAATGAAAACATCGCCTGCTTTCTGGTGTATAGATCAAAGATATTAACTGATTTTCTACACGAATAAACCTATTTTTTAAATAGATATATCGCTTAATTTCAATCAAATGAATTCAAGTTCGAAGAAATGATTGTCTTCATTTAAATAATTCATTTCCGTTTTGTAAATCTTAATAAATATATTCTTTTTAATATGATTTTTCTGTACAGTCTGTTAAAGAAACGATTAACGAATAGAAACATTTTGTGAATAAAACTTTTGTAATGAGTGCAAATGTTGATCAATATCAGTGATGTGATTGAGAATTGTGGAGATTTCATCTATAAAAGCAAAGAAAATAAACATTTCTAACAATTCGATCACTACTTTGTTCAGGTACATGAAGAATTGTGGAGTTATGCGATGCAGGCCGATGTAAGACGAGAGGTGATGATAAACGTTCGATATCCTTTAGAACTAATTAGCATTGAGAAGATATGAATTACGATTAGAATTATCATACGGAATCAAAAGAATCGTTTGATTGATCATAATCACAATTGTTCGAGTGTTTTCGACTGTAGATACACAAAGATAAGTTTGTAAAGAGAAACGAAATATCGATGGTGCAGATACCTTAACTTTTGACTCTTGGTTTTGTTTGCGTGTTTTAGTGTAACATCTTGAAAAGAGGAAAGAGAATGTAATAAATACTAATGTCGTGTTTTTACCACTGAGATCGGGGTCCGAACGAGAACGACCGGCACTCAGTGCTCGACGAGTGTCTCTTTTTCTGAAATGTATTACATTTGTTCCATATTCAATATAGTAAAATAGCACTGCTACTTTTGTCGTTCAATTTGCTGTATTTTTTGATTTTTCGCATTGATATAAGCAGTCGGGTTGAACCGATTTGACGAATCTGTAGAAACTCGATTGGATGAGAAAAGTTGTGAGTAGAAAAAGTACCGTATGCTGATGGTAATCGTTGACAGCTGGTTACACAACGACGTTGGGATTGATCATTTGATGTCAAACGAAATGATCCTTTAGAATGTTGTTGAGAATCGTTCAAGGAATGACTAAAGTGGTTTAAAGTCAAGCGAAATCTTAGTTTTCCAATTGATCAAACTCGCTTTCGTTTCAAAAAAGAAATTTCATCTGTTAGAACTTTCACTTTTGATTTCCATTGTCTTTCTGACGTCTTTAACGAGTCAATCTATATGATAGAAGTGTGAGTGTTTTCCTTTTGTCGATTGTCACGTTAAAAGGAAACGAACTTGATCATAGAATGTTTTGCAACGCGCATCTTTTATCGTTTTTGTTTGTTGTAAACGAATTCGTGCTTTGATCAAAGCTTCTTCATTTCTACGAACCATTTGACGTAGAAAATCAATTTGTTCATCTTTTTCTTTTAAATTATTCGCTGATAAATGGTGATGATCATTAAATGTGTTGCTCAAATGCAGATGTCTATTCGAAAGTAGCTTATATGAGACGATGAAATCATTTGAACTTACTCTAATTGTACGTCAGATCGTTCAGTATCGGAACAAAGCTAAATTAAACAAAGAATAATATCACACTACGATTTTTGTTCAGGGAGGTTGTACTTGAGATTTTAACAACTGGTTTTCGATTGTTAATTGATGGATTCGATCTGTTGGATTGATCGGAACTGATTTGTCGGAGTATCGAAGTGACAGAACGTAGTTAGTAGAATCATACTCAGTTTTGTATATCAAAATTAAATAACGCTTAGTAGAGGATCGTTTTGTTTCTTCGTTGCGTTTTTTTCGTATCATATCGAGGTCAGTCGATGCTAAAAAATCAAGACTAACCGAAGGGCTTGTCTGATTAAAATAGATCATTTCACTGGAAACTGAGGAAAATCTACACAATTTACTTTCTTGATCGAATTTTCTAACATTTCAATAAAAACATGAAACGGCTTATAATTGCCAGTTTTCGCCGTCATTGTTTCGATTGCTGTTTGCAAAGAAAGAAACCAAGATGAACACATCGAATTTAAATACAGAAATACATTTACCATTAACATCAAAACTCGATATCCACTGTTCAGTAGTTTCTTTTTCTTCAACTTGAATATTGATTCGTGGTCGGTCAGAATTGTTTTCAATTGACATTGAAATAATATATGATCGATGACGAATTACTACTTCATTTCTACACATACGTGGTGAATGACTTGCAAGATAAACAGACTCTTTCATTTTGTGAAAATTTGATTAGATGATCGATCTTTCAAAAAAGAAAAGATTGCCCTGCCATTGCGGTAGTCAATGCATCTAACGGCCAACCATGCGGGAATTAAAGAACGGTTACCTCTATTAGTGAAGTGTTCTTATGGCGATGGAGAAAGAGAACGCATAATAAAAAAAACAAGTGACTGCATCGATTGGACATGTTGAAGAGAATTCCGATTGACATATCGAGACAAGATTGAAAAACTTCGTTCTTTTATTAGATAAACAAAGTAACAGATCAGTCTCTACATTTATTGTTAACATTAACGAGGAAGAAAACTATCCTTTGTCGAGTCTGTATAGATAGGATCGGTGTTCGTATACCATCAAAAGTACCTATGATACTGTTTGTTTAATGTGCCACGGTGTACATTCGACTACGTGTTCGATTATATTCACGTAATTGTTCAATTGGGCCTAAAAAAATCTTGTTTTCTCATGTTAATATTAATGATAGACTGAACTAACCAACGGCAGCAATAGCTGGACAATGATTATAAACATATTGTTTCATGACCGCCATGACTGTGTTTGCATTTACAGCCTAGATTTAAAATTGAATTGATTTTGTCATTATTGTTGAAGAGACACTTACATCAATACGCGCGTCGAGTTCGTGAAGGGGAATACGTCGGCCGTAAGATAGTAGTTGACTGAAAAAGATCCAAGTAAATATATCATTGATTATTAGCTCAGTTTTGAGAAAAACGAACCGTCCGATATCTTCGCAAATTGGTGTTGATCCATCAAGCATTAGTAACATATTGGTTTTCAAAAGATTCTTGGCTCTTGTCACTTCAATATCTGTACATGCTGTTGCAATGCGACACCTAAAATCGTAACTTATTAAATAAATTCGAATTACATCTAGAAGAAAATACCATTCATCTTGTATGGCGCTCATAGCGTCATCAATTTTCATTCGGTCAGTTACTAAGTACGTCCCCCATAGACCAGTATCAGTATAGCATGTATTAAAGGCTTGATATGAGTGACATAGATTGTATTTGACTGCTTGTTGACCGAGACGTGTTGCAACATGACCACCACCAGCCATCGATCTAAAGAAACAAGTGTAATATAAATATTTTTGGAGTGTCTATTTATACCTGTCCCAATTGCCAATAATTGTCGATGCAACCATTAATGGAATTGTGTCAGCATCAGCCCAGCCCGTACTTTCCACGGCAATACCAATATGAGCTAATGGCATATCATCGTCTCGAATACGAATCTCACTTCCAGTGAAACTAGAAGAAATGAAAGATGACTGATATTCTGTCATCATAAAAGATATCTTGACAAATGTACCGGCACGGTGTAAGATCAAGTGGCTCTCCTGATTGATTGGCATTCAATTTGACAAAATGTTCTTCACTCAAACGAACTAATTGATCATGATTTACACCACCAGCAGCAGCCAAGACAATACGTGGTGCTCGGTAATGTGTTTTAACATATTTCAGTAAATCAGCCTTTTTGATTGATCTTGAATTATTTAAAAACGAAAGAATATTAAAAGAAAGACTTTTACTACAGTTAATCTACTTTATATTTTCTGATGGGCCAAGAATAGTTCGACCCAAAGGTGTACCTTGAAAAGCAGTTGCATGCAAATGATCAAAAGTAACTTCTTGAAGGTTATTTTCGATTTCTTGCATTTCGCGCAAGATTGTATGACGTTCAAGTTCGATTTCTTCTTCACCAAATCGACTATTTTGCACAATATCAGAAAGCAATTCCACAACTATCATGAAATACACCGTTCTAAGAATGAATCACATCAAACTCCGAACTTACTCTGTGGTAAATCTTTACTAAAACATTTGGCATAGTATACTGTCTGTTCTCTTGACGTGTACGCGTTAAGATGAGCGCCAAGATTTTCTACTTCAAGTTCAAGTTCACGTTGTGTTCGTTTATTTGTTCCCTAAGTACGGAATTCGTATTTCTTGTAACAAAATCGACTTCGATAGTACTTTGAAAGCCATATGTTCAAGAAAATGAGCTGTACCGTTATTTTCTGCTGTTTCAAACCGACTTCCAGCATCGATCCATACACCAACGGTGCATGTAGGCAATCCGTAATCTTCCGATGCTATACGTAAACCGCTTTTAATTGCAGTTACACGCGTTTCGGGCACATTGAGAAGAGTTTGTTGCTGTGTTACTGATGGATTTGTTTTTATTGCGGTTGTCAGACATCGAAACTAAGAGAAATTATGTTGTATTTTACTAAAACACAGTGCAAAATAATTTACTGAAGATCGTGTTGTTAATCTACCAGCTCTTTGAGCTAAACCTCGAAGGAACATGGTTGAATAAAATCAAAATATTCTATAAAATGAAGACGATTTTGATAGATATACAGCAATGTAAAATTTCATTGGCGAGGCCATATTCAGTTGGATGTTGTTTGTCCTCTACACGCACATCCCTTGCTTTTTTCGAGGAATATCTGAAAATTTCAATCATCCGTCTAGTTAAAATTGTGATTTAACAGTCTGTCGAAACTGCTGTCACGTACATTTCGTTTGAAAACATCGTAGAAATAGTCATTTCACTTGTTGAAGTAATCATCAAAACAGGACATCTATGTTTTCAACGGTAGAACAAGGATCTACTGTTATAACGAGTAGCTTCTTAGTAATGCGGTGCGGAGATGATCGACAATTTATTTCGAAGACTAATGAAAGTAGAAAATCTAAATAATCAGTACCACCTCGCAGCATTCGACTAGAACGTTGAAAATACGTATATCAAAACATACTTACATTTAGAACAAAGTATACAACAGCAATGATTGGAGAACATGTATTTGAACGAGTGTTTTTAGTTCCAACCAAGTGATAGAAGAAATTAGATGATTGTTATTCAACGACATAAGAGTTGTTGAATAACAGATTCTTTCAGGTTCACCATAGCTTTTCGAAAAACACTTCCACCACTGAGTGTATTGACGTAGAAGGGCATTGCCGTCGCAAAATACGTACAAATTAAAGCAATTTGATAAATAAAGTCTTCAATTGTTATTTGTAAGAATGACTTTGGTACATTTTTTGTCAACGTCGCATAAAGTTTTTGAACAGCAAGTGGAAGTGTGAATATGGCGAGAAAAATAACCTGAACGAAAAGCATTGTTAACAAATCTTGATCGGTTTTCCTTGATCGTTTTTTATTTCGGATGACTTGACTCTTTCTTGCATTGACCGTTATAGTCAGAGGTCCGACACGTGAGAGAATTTTGTGTGTATTTAATATAGTCAACCAACCAAAAACTAATATCAATGCTAACGGACAAAGAATAGCAATAATTGCAAACGTTAAATCGTTTACTAAACGACACGGGACATTTCTTGAGAAACATTTCAATGGTGTATTGGTCAGGTTAGCTTCATAACAATAGAATAGTTGAGCATGAAGTAGAATCGATATGAATGTTATAGCCAATATGCCTCGGAAGGAGTTTTTCTTCGAACTCTTGTGTCTACGATTAGCATTGGTCGATGACAGGAGCCATCGATCGATTGTGGCTAACATAATTAACCAAAACGTTGCTGCACGAGAAGTGAATAGAAGAAAACCACGAAATTTACAAATCCAATTGACAGTTGCAGATAGATCAACAGTAACCCCGGAGAGAACACGTGAAGTTAGACCGGAGAGAATAGCAATGATACCAGTTGTAGATGATGCAATAAAAATGATAATACATGGATTGTAACGAAGAGATTTTCGAGATAAAATGAGAATGTTTAACATATTTCCAAAAATCCCAAACACAAAAATGAACAAACCAAAATAGAAATTGATTTGACCAAGAGTACTTTTAAGAGAATTAACGATTATGATCTCATCTGATGGCGAAGGCATTTTCTTTCTCTTGAATATTGACCACTAATTGATATCTAGAAGAGATTCGTAAATCATAGGAAATTCTCGTTGAAATAAAGCAACAGCATCTCCGTATATACTAAAAACAAAACTCAACTGAATGTGATCTACTTTTTGTGCTCATCGTAAAATCTATTATCATACGATTTTCGCTACGCTTCTATCGATATAACATTAAACAAGATCTATTTTCCACCGCATATGTATGGTTTCTTCTGAACACATCAGCATATTATATTACGAGCACTTCGTACGGGTTTCATATGTATGTTAATTTAAATGAGACACAGTTAAAAACAACACTGCAGGATACAATCTTTCCTTATATATGTCATTATTTATTAGGAGTCATTCTTGACTGGATTGCTTTTCAAATAGATAAACAATGTTAAAGGACAAAACATATCATCACTAAATATTTCCATTCCAGAGACTTTCATGATTTACCGTTGATTCTACGGTTCTTCGTCGCTGAAAATACAGAGGATTTATTCATCAGTAAACATCTTTTAGATTTATGTTTCCGTTTTCATACGTTTCAATCAAGAAAAGGAAGACAACTCGTTGTAAACATGCAATCAACACAAATTTGAATTGACGTGTTTTCGCAAGTCGCATAATGTTAATTACTAAAAACACGTCTAAGTTACAACCTAAATGCATAACTTGAGAAATAATAGATATTCATTGTCACCTAGTTCTGTAAATTCTATGTTGTCTTTCAAAAAAGAAAACGAAATTTGTTTGTGATATAATTCATCATTTTCAAAGTCGAGCAATTTTACTGAAATAAAAGAAGACAATTAATTCTCTTTAACGTCCAATCACTTTTCGGATAGTTGTACGTATCAAATCAAAAAATGCCTTTCGAAAAACACTTCCACCACTGAGAGTATATACATAAAACGGCATTCCATTTGCTAGATATGTTAATAGAAGAGCAGAATTATAAATCAAATTCTCCGTTACTGCGCGGGACGCGGATTTAACAACATTCGCTGTTAATGTTGAATAAAATTTTTCAATTGACGACGGAATGGTAAACATAGCAAGTAGCACTACTTGCACTAAAAGCATGGTTACAAGACGATGATCCGTTTTCTTCAATCTTTTCGAGCGCACAGCAACAGTAATTTTAATTTGGCTCATAGCTGAGATTTGACCCGAATGAACTCGATTTCGAGCTCGACGAATATTTCCAAGTGTCAAAAACCCAAAAGTTGTCATTACACATAGAGGTATGAGAATAGCACAAACAGCAAATAACATATCATTTGTCAAACGACAACCTATTCCATTACTAAAACATTTGCTTGGAGCGTTTACAAGATTTGAACTGTAACAATAGAAACATTCTGAGTGAATTATAATTGAAAGAAACACAACAACGGCTGTATTTCGAATCGAATTCTTTATAGTGCTAAACTGTCGACGGTGTGCATCAGGACAAGATAAAAGCCATCGGTCAACAGTGGCTAACATAATCAACCAGAATGCGATCGCACGAGATGTGAATAATGTAAAACCACGAAATTTACATAAGAGTTGATTTGTTTCGGAAAGATCAACAGCAATACCATTTAACATTCGAGGTGTGAGTCCAGCAATAAGTGAGCACAGGCCAGCGATGGATGAACCAAGAAATAACGATGCACATGAATTTGACCGAAGTGTTCGTTGTGATAAAACGAGAATATTCAAAATATTTCCCACACAACCGAAAATGAAAATGCTCGAAGCGAAATAACGATTAATTTGAGTAACAACATCAGCTACCGACATTACCGGAGTTTTTCAATTGAATATCTAGAGATTATGAGAAATGAAGGAAAACATCGGTCTTTATACATATAATGTGACTATTTGCTACATCATTTCACCTATGCGGGCACATAAAGGCCCTGGTAATTAATGTAATTTCTATTCATGATGTCGCATCGGAAGTACACGATCACGCTGCATGAATATGATGACATGTGACATAGACAATAGTTTTCTTGTAGAATAATTATGCGTAATATTATTCACACTCGAACAAACTGTCATCGATTCAAATGGATTATTCAGGAAGTTTTGGCGAAAGTCTTTCTCATAATAAGCAGAAAACATTAAATAAGTTTCCTGGGCTATAACGAGTACTAACACAAGGCGTTTAACTAGTTAGTTATGAATGATATTATGGTACCTCGAACTCTTCCTGTTATTCTTAATGTACCGAATGTATTCAATACATTTGATCGCCACGAACTAATTAAATTAGATTGTATATCGCTTTGCTGTTTAACATACTGATCTGTAAGTCACAAATCCATGTCGAAAGAGAACACACCCTCTTAACGGATTATAGAAACTCAATCTACTGAACGAGAATATTGACTGAGATAGTTGGTCGTATTCTATGCAAATTAAAACACGTCACTATGTCAATCGATCATTAAAGAAAATTAATAACAACTTGTCCTATCGCACATATATGCATTTCCTTTTTAATCGATCTGTGTTATTATGCAAACTGTATACTAAACGTGTGAAATCAGGATCGAAAGTAAAAGAATCTTACCTGCTGAGCTTGTACGTGTCTCATTCAATATTTCCTCTCACAGACAGAAAGAGAGGCGGAACCTCGATGGTTAGCATAAGAAACGAACAAAAGCGACATCAACTGTACAACAATCTGATTCGTTTCGTTCTGTGAAGCCAATCAATGATGATCATTGCATGTGAATTTTTCTTCCACATTCTACTAGAACTTCAATATCAATGTTTCGACTTGCCCTGACCCGTCTCGTATCAACTACGAGGATTTCAGTTCAATCTTCGAAAGTTCTCATCAATTATTCACGTTGTTTCCTTCGAAATCATTCATCAGAATTGAATGATATCAAACAACAACCAACAAAAATTCCTTTAGCGAGCATTCATCAAGGAGAAGCATCAAAACGAATGGGAATTCAATTTCGTTGCAAAGTCTGTGATCATACTTTGCAAAAAACATTTACTCGTCAATCATATGAACACGGAGTTGTTATTATTCGCTGTGATTCATGTTCAAATCTTCATTTAATCGCCGATAATTTAGGTTGGTTTAAAGATATAACACAAAATGGAAAATTCAAGTAAGAACTTCGTTGTCAATGACTTGAAAAGTGGGTACTCATGTTTGTGTTTTATATTTAGAAATATCGCTCAGATGTTGCAAGCTAAAGGTGAAACAATACATCGCATCACTGCTGTTCCGACCGATGATCAATCCACGTTAGAAGAAAAAACGGCAACAGATAAAGTATCAATAAATGAGAGTAAAGTAGCGAACGTTTAAATTGTTATGTTTTGTTTCTCGAATAAATATATTTTTGTTAACAATGAACAACAACGTATATGATTCATCTTTAATTCCTGTAAAACAGCTTCAATAGATTTCTAACGATGAAAGAATTTCCATTTTAAACAATAATGATAATAATAATTAAAGAAACACACAAAAATAGAATTCAGCAGACATTCATAACACTGCTCTTGCATTTATTTTTCTTCTGAGCAGTATAAAAATATTCTCATCGTCACTCTTAAACTTTATAAGGTTTTTATTCAAGACCTAAATACAATATTTTCTTTTCGTCAACACCATAAAACATCCAGCATGATATCTGATGTTACAATTCACTAAACTTAATTGTTCAAATGTTGATCTACATAATGAAAGTTTGATTTGAGTTTAAATAATAAACTCTATACTCTCATCATATAACGTTTTTTTCGTATTCTACATACGAAATACGTACTATCAGTTGAAAATAATCTTCATGATGACACTTGCATACACCCTTGTTGGATTTTGAGTACAATAATAATAGCGTGATGGGTGAGAATCAGGCAATAATCATGAGGACATGCGTGTACACAAGAAGAGGAAAGCGAAAGGAGAAAGTACAAAGTAACGAAAGAAAAAAAATCCATTGCCAATCAATTGATTGATTTTTTCTTTCAACGAATGTCAAGAAAATATCATTGACATTGAATACATAGTTTTTTGTTTCAGATGTCGACTGCAGTTTGCACCCGGTTAAACGAAATTCATATTGAATTTGTCTTAAATGATCATGATACGTTTCTATTTGACTGTGATGGTGTTCTTTGGTGTGCGCCAGTCGTTCTTCCGGGTGCTATCGAATTACTTAACCTTTTGACACAACTAGTACGAGTCGAAGCGTTTGTTCATGATGATTTTATCTTGTAACACGTATTCTTCTAGGGCAAACGTGTACTTTTTGTAACTAATAATTCGTTGAAAACTCAACGAGGATTTTCACAATGGCTCAATGAAATTGGATATCCAGCTAAACCAGTATGATTATTCTTTTCTTTCATATTGAATCCGATTGCGGTTTTGTTCGAAGGAACAAGTCATTTCGACTGCATGGATTACAGCGAAATATTTAAAATCCATTAATTATAAAGGTCATTGTTATTGTATCGGTATGGAATCTATGGTAGAAGAATTAGCACGTGAAGGTTTTCATATTTCAGATGGTATTGGTGTAAGTTCAATTTATTTCCATTTATATTCTTTGTATCGTTGGATTTATTCGTTTAGCCTGATCCTGTGTCTCCTGAAACGGATTGGATTGAAACTAATACAATTAAGTTTGATGATCAGGTTAGAAACAAAAATTAAGATTTTGTAAAGACTATTCTTTTCTATTGCCATGGTTTAGATCAATTGTGTCATCTCAGCATTTGATATACATGTTAATTATTTAAAAATTATCAAAGCGGCAACTTATCTGAGTCGACCTAATGTTCTTTTCATAGCTACAAATGATGATGTTACTACTCCACAAAACGATGTAGCTATTCTACCAGGTAGTTTGCAATATAGATAAAATTGAATGAGATTTTTGTTGTTAATTATAGGTGAAGGAACGATCTTAGCTTCAATTGTAGCAGCATCAGGTCGTTCACCGACAATTCTCGGTAAACCACGAGCGCCTATGTTTGATTCGATTCGTTTAGCTTTTCCTGATGTTAAACCAAATCGAACGATTATGATTGGTGACCGGTAAGATCATTGCCTTCATCTTGTACGTTTTGACGAGATTTGATTACATCTAGATTAGAAACAGATATACTATTTGGTAATCGGCAAGGTTTAACAACATTACTTGTGTTTAGTGGAGCAACTAGTGAGAAGAAATTGGATACGGTTAAACAATCAGCGGAGAAAACTGCGAGCGATAGAGATCTATTACCAAAATATTGCATTAAAGATGTTCAACATTTGTTAGAACTGATAATAACACAAACAAAACCTTCCTCGTAGATACTTTGTTGTTTCGTTCTTTCTTAGTTTAATTTGTGGTTATTATTTATCTTCAAATAAAACTTTTCTCTCAAATATGAAAAGTGTTCTCAATGACCCCGTGTTATTCGACCACATTGCACTGCACACATTTGCGTTCGTTCTCATACGTAAATACAACCAATGCTCTTTCTTCCTCTGAAACGATAAATATCATTTTACTACGAAATACTTTCTCGTCAAGCGAGTCAGTAAGGCTAGGTCTATCTCTCATATTGATTCCAGTTTGGTAGAAGATTCTACAAAGACGTCGATTCATTCATTATACTTATCGAGTTTCCCCTAATATAAATGAGATTTCAAAAATCCTTCCAGTTATATATCTTGATATTCTGATGATATATGTGAATATAAGTCTAACTAAACTAAAAGTAATATATTTCTTTCTCTTTCTTTACGCTTTCGGTAGTTTAAACTACATAAGAAGTCGAAATAAAGTCATCATTCTTGTTTGTCCTTGATCAAATAGTTTTCCAACTTTCTGATTATTCTATGCAATTTATATATTCTTCAACATGTTTCGTTCCATGATAGAGTATAAAATAAAACATCTGAAAACCAAAAAAAAAGAAGAACGACACACGAAAATATAATCAAAATGCTTGATCAATTTGATCAAATAATCGGATTCTGTACAAGAAATTTAACAAGAAAAATATTCATGCGAACCACATTGTATTTTCAATCATTGAATTGAAATCAATTTTTAATGTTTGAACATCATCAAGTGTGACGACAAGATTTTCATCGACAAGTTCTTCTTCCATATCCGAACTAAAATTCGAATTCTCTCATTTTTCTTTTGCGTAAATTTCTCTACTACGGCTTACGTTGCTGTACTTCGTTGTTCATTTGCCATTTGTCCTTCATAGTCAAGATTAACTCCACGAGACACACAGATTGATGCATAATGCACAGGCGCTGGAATTGATACAGCTTTCGTGCATCGAACATCAGTATGACAAAGATAATATCTGAATGAATGTCTATAGAAAAAGAAATCTTTCAATCGAAATCTTCAACTTACGTTAATTGTTGAATTTCGTCCGATGTAAAACCGATATCATCATATAAGACATGATAGAGTGCTGGTTTTGATGTACCTTGAATCGCTGCATGAGAATTGAGATAAAAATCAAATCCATTAGGCGAGACAATATCTGTATCAATAACTGTACCTAGAAAATAAACATGACATGAGATGTTCTGGAAAAGTGTCAATTCGAAAAAGAATGAATTGTTATACCAGGTTGAACATTACTCGTTTGGTTGGATTGTTTGTCATAGATAAAGAAACGAGTATTGTGAGTTTTCTTTACTACGGTAAAGCAAATTTTTGGTAATTGATTATGACCGTAGAATTCTACGTAGACAATCAATGACATTTTTCTATTGATTAAGATACGAAATAATTACCTCTGCATGCTTGTTTAATAGCTTGTACTTCATTGTCCAAGACTTTCTGGAATGCTCCATCGTCTACTCCAGCTCGATAAAAGACGAGTTTATTTGGTAAACGTGAATTATGCTCCGAGAATTTTCGTATTAAATCCCCAACGTAAATATGAAGATCTTTTATAATTTCAACTGATATTTTTCCTTTTGGTGAATATTGTTGAATAACACGACCACTATATTGTGTACCTACAATGATAGAATTCCGTTTAACAAGGGAGAATCTATTATCACAATAGTCAACTTGTTGAATCTTTAGAACCAATAATCGCTGCAATTGATGGTCGTTCGTGTGAGCACATTACATGAGTACAATCAATGCCGAAAAACATGAAAACATCTGAACGAGTTGATGGAGATGTCAATGCCCGCATGAGTGAAACGAATTGGTTAATACCACCTAATTTTGCATTGAATTTTTGTGCTAAATTCTGTTCAAAATATCAGAAAGGAAATCAAAATCCTAAGTCTTATTCTGATAAAGTCCACTTCTGTACCTGAATGTACATATCCATCTTACGCGATTCACTATTTGCTTGTAGTTTATCAAACCGCGTACATTGTGTTACCATTCCTACGAAAAATAAAACAAATCTTAAAAATGATCAACATACTTTTCTCTTACCAAGTTTAATATTTCCAAAGAATTTAATTGCATGATAAATATCATCACCAACTTGATTCAGAATATAAATGATCACTTCACAACCAAGTGTTTTCAATTCATTCATTCGTGCCAGGATAGTATCTGGACTTGCTGCATCAGATTTTTCAATAGCAGATGAATTGAGTCGAATTCCATACTTTGACATAGCCTTACCAACAGAAAGAAGAATAACATGTCGAATAATTTTAATTTGAAAAGTTTCATCAAAACCTGTGGGAGTTTAGTTGCAAAATCTTTTGCTAAACCCACTTGCCGTTCGTCGGGTGCTCTCTGACTGACAAGAACCAATGCCCACGAACGTATTTCACGCGTTTTATTGAAATAATTATTTAAATACCATTTACCAATACTGACTCTTTCGATCACATCTCGACTATCATCATGTGGTGATTTATATTTGATTTCAGGCGGAGTTAAAAGTCGACCGGTAATTGTTAACATATCATTCGTTTGAATTTTCATACCAAAACTGTGTAAATACGCATCTTTATCATATTGACGTTCATCTACAATACGTCGAATCAATCCATATCGTTCGCCTGGCTTGACAACAGTTTTCCTCGTCACAGTTGCACGTTGTTCTACTGTAAGAGGTTTTAAACTTCTCTGCCAGTCATCAACAATAACCAATTCCATCGGTAAAAAATGTGATTTATTCTTATCAACTGGATTGAAAAGTTCCACAACAGGTAGATGAGGATATCGCAAGCGAATTTTCCATTTCTCATAGAAATAATCAGCAACACTTATCTTTGAACCTTGATCCTTGATAAATGTATGTTGATTTGCTGGAGAACCAAATGATTTTAGACGATATTTACGAATTTGATGAGTATGAGTTGTGACAAACCATATCGATTTAAGAATTTTCCGTACTAACAATGGTTGATCTTTTGATGATATACCTGAAAGAACAAAAAACAAAACAAAACTTTCTTTTACAAATAATTCATCGTTGAAAAAACGCACCAGATCGTCGAATATCGGTACCAAGATAACATGTAATAAATTCTACTAAATTATAATTTTGATAAAAACAACAGAATGTATTATTGACATTTAATGTTGGACCACGTTCACCTAACACAATTGCTTGATAAAATCCCGATGCTAAACCACGCCCATCACCTAAACAACAAGTCAGGAGATGTGAACTTTTCTATTCTCATAGAAAAACTATACCAAGATCATCCAATTTTTGATGTTTTGGATATGATCGATTTTTAATATTCACCATATCGATCCGTTGTGTTTGTTTTAATAAGATTTCTAAGATTCTCACCGAATCGTGTGGTCGTAGTGGAATTCTTCGTTGAATAAAATCAAAAATGATCTTTAAATCATATGTCTTCACCAAATTAATTAATAGAAATCGAAAGCGATTAGTTCGATCAGTTTTCTTATGTTTTATCTGGCATTCGTATTCTTTATTAAAGTTCACAGTTAAATTTTCTTTCGCGTATAAACTCCTTCCTTGATCATACCATACCAATGGAAATTTTTCCCGTTCGATAATTGTTTTTATAACTTGGAAACGTTCGTCTCGTTTACATGAACGCCATGAACCATCGCGCATAAGAATTTCTACATCGACATCGAATTGATAAACAATTGACGATTGAGAATCTTTCTCAAATTCGATTTTAAAATGATTGGTGTAAAGTTCAACTCGTTGACCAACTGCAATTGTTATTATCAATCAAAAGTGAAAGGAAACTGGAAAGCAATGAATTTACCTCGTCCAGATTGAGCAGGTCGTCGTGCGAGGGAAATCAATTGTGATTCTGGAACAGCTGAACGAATTATTGGACGAACAAATGATCGTGAACGTGCTTTTGAACTACTTTCTGCTTCCTTTGTAGTCTTCGGAACGGTGGAAGTCGAACTAGATTCAACGGTTCGACTTAACTGACTGCTCGATGGTTTTTCTTCGACATCTGCTGATGAATACGATCGACGTTGAGAATGCGATGATGATCTTTCATGACTACGACCTGATCGATCTAATGTAAATTACAAACGATCAATATTACAAGAGATTTTCAAGACAAAAAACGAAAGAAAAATTACATACGGCGTTTCGATGATCGACGATCGTCATCTGTGTATAACAAAAAACATACAACATTTCAGGAGAGAAAAATACAGAGTTTCTCATCATACCATCCGGATAACCCCGATCTCGATGCGATGACATTATTACCAACTAAATCAAATACATCACAGTAATAAAAAAAAACTAGATATTTTCTTTATCGATTGAGATGAACACAAAATCCTTTAGGTACGCATCAATTGTAGAATATTTTCTACATATAATATACATTGACCTTCTTTATAGTGTACTCATTGGAAGAAAAAGAACGATGAATGAACAGTATGTTACGTCATACTATTGGATTATATACAAATATCCTTATCTGTTCTACTCTTAAGAGACATAGAATGAGTATAAGGCAAATTTACATGTAGCTTTGTATATTATATGAAATGTAAGAATGATATCGAAAAGAAAAGAATGTTTTATGATTATTATTAATGAAAGCTAGTTAAACGTGGAGATATTTTGTAAAATAGGTTTGAGAAAGTAAAAATAAGTCAAAGATAATCATCTGCGGTTTGTCAAGGAGAAAGTAACCGATGTGATAAAACAGTCCTGTTGTTGTTACGATAAGCATACTATTACTACTATCGAGGATAAAACGTCGTATCATGGACAGTTTTATTTGACTTTTGTCTATGTGAATATATGAAAGAGAATACGAAGTACATTGTTTTACATTACATTGAAATTAAGTTTTCAAATTCATATATCTAAACCTTATATTTTCGTTCTTGTCAAACAGTTTGTTTTTATGTTATGATCTTTGTTGTCCTTTGTGCAAATCAACAAAATAACAGAGTTAACTATACTACTGATTTTAGCTTTTGTTTGTATTGGATTGTTCATATTTCTGACTGACAACGAATTCAATACAGAAAAGATTTTAACAAGACAAATGAGTTTTTAATATCAGTCATGATGATTTATGTTCATAAATATCCAATTTGAATGATTCAGAATTCATTTCTACAGATCTCATTAAGAAAATCTATCGACTAGTCACTTTTAGATGCAAATCGAATCCAACAAGGTTTATGAATCTCTGTATTTTTTGTTGTTGCTTATTTACTCATCTTTTTCTTTGCGTTCTTAGATTACCTTGACAAGTAGAATTTCCAAGGTCTTGTCTGAATTTCTCAATGAAATCCATGTGAACGAAATGAAATTAAACAAAAGTTATTTTACCTGTGTACTCTTCCGATATATAAAAACAAGAGGATCGCGGTTAACGATTAGCACCTAGACGAAAACGAATGTTTGATGTAATGATAAATATGAGGAGTATCAGAAAAAGCCAATGGTTGAAAGCGCCAAAATATATTTTTTTGTAAGCGTTTTGATTAGATGAGAAAAGAAGAGAACGCAAAACAAAATTTTTCTTTCTTTTTGCTCTGTACTTAAATTATCTATCGTTTATTTGACAAGAGATATATTGACTCATCTCGGATATAAAAAGTAGTATTTAATAATAATTACATCGAGATATTTCTAGCACGTTCTCCTTCGTGATGATTGGATTATCTAGATGTTCAATAAAGATAATTTTAATCAATTCAAACATTGTTAAATTCAATACAAATTATTAACAGTAAGACAAATATGAATTGGATTTAAATTCGCCAATTAATGTCAGTAGATGATTCCGATCCTTGTGCTATTCGGCTTCGATCTCGATTGCCGAAGAATAGATGTTGTTCATGTTGGAATGGTGGATATTGGGCTAATTGTTCATGACCACCCGTTGTCATTTGTTGATATGTATAAGGGTCAATTTTAACAATGGGCAAACGAACTAATTCGACTTCAATTAGAGCGCGTGGTTTAGCATAGGAGACAACTATATTGTGTGGAGCAGGTGGAGTTTGACGAGCTTCCGGCGGTAATGAATGTTTTATTATACGTTTAGGAGCTGGTTTGTACGGCAACCATTGTTCAACAACGATCGGACCTTAAGTGAAAAAGATTAAATGAAAATTTCATCATTTGAAACGAGAAAATTTTACGTGGTTTAGGCGGCAAATCTGGATGTCGATGAATGATAATCTAGAAATTTTTATTCGAAATATTGCCTAACTGATACACGATTATTACCTGTTGTGGTGGCTGTTTAGGAGGAGGTACATATTTATTATAGACAATTGGTTGATCAGATTCTACTAGGGGAGGTGGTGGTGGTGCACTTTTGATCACAATAGGTGATGGAGTTCTTGGTTGAGGTTTGGCAACTCGAACATGTATTGGTGGTTTTGGTGTTTGTCCTTGAAGTAAAACTTCTTGAACTTGAATTTCAATTGGTTGTGGAGTCGGTGGTTGTAATTGACGTAAATAAACTTTTTGTTTATACCGTTGCTCAGCACTTTCACGTTCTTCAATAATCGGATCGGGATCTAAGTTTAGTTCTGTACCGGTTTCATCGGACTACGTAAGAATGAAAAAAGAAATATTGCTGTTTTCTGCTAAGGAGACAATGAAAGAAAATCCAACTTGTTCTGTTGATGTTCGATCTCTTAATCCTCCTTCTTCATCGCTTGTCGTATCTTGTCGTCGTTGAGCACCTGTTCTTACAGTTCCTTCGGCATTCGAATGATACTGGCGAAAAGCTGAGACATTATGATAATCATGGTAGGGACTGTCTCGTGGATTAATTCGAATTTCAGTTTCAGTTAGATCAGATTGTTCGTCATCACGTATAACATGTCGAGCTAATAGATTAGTTACATAATTTTTAAGTGATTCTTGTTTGTCTGTTACAGTTGCTGTTCCAGTTCCAGTCGCTGCAGCAGTAGTACTAGTAGTAGTAGTAGTAGTCGTTGTTGTTGTTGTTGATGTGGTTGTTGCTGCTGGTAGTGGTGGAAGATTTTCTGTATATGATGATGGTTCCTCTTCATAATCTGATGATGAGGATGGTTCACTACGATCGGACATTATTTCAATAAATATGTATATGAAATTAATGAAAGGTTACGTTTCAGTTCAAGATTCTCTATATATGTGTACAAAAGGCCTTGATATGTATATACTCCATATATATATGTTCAAGGAGATCGTCAAAAAGATACTGACATATCTTCTCTTCTTGCCTTCATAATATGTATCTTGTTCATTAATCGTTCATGGTAGTGGCTCTTTTTACTGTAGTCAAGCTTGATTGATGAGGGACAAAGAATGTTCTATCCGATCGATAATCAACATCATTTCGATATTTTCTTCGTATGAATGATCAATATTGAAAAAAAAGAAGGAAAGGTCATCATTAGAGAAACCAATTTATCGAGAATTTCTTAGTTAAAAAAGCATTAACTTTGTTGTTCATATTCAAATCTATAATTTACTTAAATAACATTCTCTCGATTGAAAAATCAATCGACATTGTATTCGATGAATTTCTCACAATCAAAATATTCGCAACAAATGCATACAAAATTTCTTGTTGACAGAACTAGAATTTATTTAATTGGAGAGCATGGCTTTCATGAAAGAATACTGGTTGTCTAGCGCCACCATGTTTCTTTTTCTTTTCCTTTCTAAGTCGTTTTGAAATAGGGAGGTAGAATGAGTTATGCGTATCATGGTGTTCTGTTTCTTCTCAGGTAAACAAATTTGTATGCTACAATATATGCATCCTTGTAAGAAAAAAGTCACTGTATGTATAATACTTTGAAATAAGACATGAAAAAAACAAGCCGATTAAATGAATGACGAAAGAAATCTCGTGTAGTTACTACTATGTCAGACAATTCAAATTCCACTGAATCTTATCGATACGCTCTTCTTGATTATTCAAGATGGTCTCAATCACGATTAATGAATAAGAAAGTTCCCGTATTTCTTATCTCATTGATTGCATTAGTTATTCTCTATGTGATTTGGTTTTATCCTACAAAGTCATTATTTCCAAATGTATTAGACACGAAAATTTATTTTTCTTCATTGAGACAATCGGTTTTAGAAAGTATTAATCCTAACTTGACTATGCATGACAAAGCTCAAGGACCGCCAACGTGTTTCCTGTTTATTCGTTCGGCGGATGGCGCTTTGGGTAATCGAATGTTTTTATTTGCAAGTGCCTATGGTCTCGCTCGTCTTCATCAATGTCAACTGTATGTTGCACCATGGATTTTAATCGATCTTCGATCAGTCTTTCGTATTGAGATCGAGAAAACTAAGGTGCAATTGACAAAAGATGATAGACTCGTTGTTAATCGAACGGATTACTTTAGTCGATATAGTTCATGTGTGTTTTATCCTGATTTACTCCGTGTACCGTTCAATAAAACATTCCAACGATATGAATTAAATGGATTTTATCAAGCATATGGATATTTTGATAAGTATCGTGATGAAATCAATTTCTTATTTCAGTTTAATCAAGGAGCAATCGTTAGAAATGTGCCGATGGTGGAGCAATTGTTGAAAGGTTCGAGAAAAAGAAAAGTCCATCTGAAGTATATTGAGTCATACTAAAAAGAAATTCATTTATCCGAGCATTCAAAATTTACTAAATTGGTTTTTTTCTTGTTCATGAGACTGAAACTTGTGAATGTCACGCTGTTGCTTCTTTGGAATCATTTTCTTTTTTTTTGTCTATTTCTAGCTGTTTGGAATATTTCATTGGATCTGCGTAATTATACGAAAGATACGGTACCACATCGGTATTTAAAATCAATGCTAGCGAATCCTGGACCATCGTTCACACCTGTAACTTGGGTTGGAATTCATATTCGTCGAGGTGATTTCTTAACTTTTTTTAAAATTGACACAAGTGTGGAATATCTCGTTTGGTCAATGAATTATTATCGACGAAAATATGTTAATTGCCGGTTTTTAATCGCTAGTGACGATAAGAAATACGTGCAGACGCATCTCGGTCAATACAAAGATGTTTTCGTAACGCCGTCCGGCTTTTTCTCTGGTGAAGATATGGCTGCCTTAGCTTTATGTGAACATACAATCGTGACAGCAGGAACATATGGTTGGTGGGCCGCATATTTAGCTGGTGGAGATGTTGTTCATGATCTGAATTATCCAGTTCCTTTTCAAAATTGTCCCAGAGAACATTATTTTCCTCCGTGGTTTGTTTTTCCGCATAATAGTTCGAGTTTGATGTGGAAGCCTGCCTCGCCAACTTAATAATCGTTTTTACTAGGTTATATTCGAATGCGTTTATGTGATGAGATCTTTTTTTGAAATAATATCAAATGAGATCGTATGTTATAATTGTATTTGATTGTTCGAATGATTAACGTTTGTTAACGAACAGAATAAATGAAATTAAACAGTACAGTTTTGTATAGTTAATGATAATCTTGTATCCAATCGAGTTACTAGTGAAATAAATTGTATCTGTCAATACTACAACTCAAATATTTATTTTTAAAAAAGGCATTTGACACTCGTAACTCAACTAATCATACAATTAACATAAAACATTCTCTTGAAACCGCAAATTTCTTGTTTTCTTTTCAAGATGTGATGAGATATGTTATTGAATTTCGAACAGAAATGAATAAAATGATAGGAACGTAGAGAAAATAAATGAATTAAAATGACCAATAGACACGGGGTGGTTAGAAAGAAGAAGAGGAGGATGAGTAAATATATATGTACACACGGGATAGAAGAATTCATCTTTCAAGCATTTGCCGGAACTGTTGGCGTAGCTTTTGAAGTTGAATCGGGCGCCAATGTACGAATTAAATTGGCAGCCATTTCAAAGAATTCCATTACTTCCGATGCACAATCTTCAGAAGTATTTACTGAACTATCATTATCAGTAAAATCCCAGCTCAATGAACGTTGCGGTTGGGTATTTTCCATTTCCTCTTCATCACCACTCGTTAAAAGACCTAGATAATACAAGAGAATCACAAAAAAACAAACTTTGACTAAAGGTCAACATACCATTTTGATCTGTATTCATATTTAAATTGCGAAAATCAAGAAGATACGAACGATGATCAACTTGGTACAATTGCAGACCCAATTTAACCTTGAAAAAAGATGACATATCAAACAAGCACTGGTGGTTCAGTGGTAGAATGCTCGCTTGCCACGCGGGCGACCCGGGTCCGATTCCCGGCCAGTGCATTCGAACTTTTTTTCCTTCTTTTCTCTACTTACATATCGATTTGTATTTGCTACTTTTCGACGTGCACGAACACTATACATGCTATTGTTACAATATTTCCATTCCTGAAAAACAAAAGAACTCGATGAGAAATAGAAGTTATTCTGACAAGACAGTTACAAACGTACCATTCCTAAATCTTTCATTGCTTTGAAGACTTCATTCATGATATCTTGAGGTTTCGATTGAGATCGAATGCCTAAATGCCATTTGGCTTTTTTCAGTGCTGTTGCCGAAGATCCAGACGACGATGGACCGGATGATTTACGATGCTGTGCAGAAGCGTTTCCAGTAGTTGATGAACTGTTAAGATCAAGAGGATCCAATGTAACACTGAGATCTTTCAATGCTGAAAAGGAGAAAAAAAGATGATTTTCATGAGAAAAATAATCAGAATGTTTGTACCTGGCATTTTTTCAGGATGTGGACGAACTGGTGTTGATTTCTAAATGACAGCACAAATGTGTACGAGAATTTCAAAGAGAAAAGTCAATGTATGCTTCTGATTATTAAAGCGGTAGAGAAAATCAAGTTTAAGAAATGAAAAAATATACAACCTGTGTAAGATAAACCGGCTTTTGAAACTTTTTATAGTGAAGAAAATGTTTGAATATTTAGGGAAGAAACAATACTTAAACTTACAAATGGTGATGGTGACCGAGTAGAAGCCGAGTTTGGCTTAAAAAAGAACCGATTTGATTAAGGAAAAAGATGAAGAATTCATATTTACAGTCATAGACAGAAATGCTGAATGAGGTGGACTTGACGCAACAAAAAAGTCCGCAATTTCAACTTTCCGCGCTGCAAGTTAAATGAAAAATTTTCCATTTGAAAAACATTTCAAGTCTTCCAAACCTTCATTCCATATCCGTTTGTTATCAATGATCAAATGATAAGCAATTACTAACTGATCATGTCGATCATTGAGTAATAGAGCATCTTGAACTTCCGCTTCTGTCACACCGAATTTCTATGAATTTGAAAAGGTTTTTCAATGATTTTGTTGGTTTCCATTCATCTAATTTTACCTCGCAAACTTCTTGTATTGCATCGAGATCAATGATATTTGTAGTTTCTTCGCATGTTTTGGGAAAAAGATAATCAGGTAGATTGACTTTAAACCATTCATGTTCTCTACGAAAGGCAACATGGGCTTGAGAAAAGAACTATTTTACGATGAATTGTTCTTACCGAATTTCTTTAATTGTTGCTCGACGAACTGGATCAACTGTGAGCATTTTTTGAAGTAGATCCACAACCGATGGGTTTAGATAATCCGGAATTGGAAAGATTCCAGCTGGAAAACATCCAAAATATACATCAATCAAATTTTTCTCATTTCTCGTGAACTACTCAAGACAAGAATTTCGTTATCAGTTATTCAAAGAAATATTTCTCGCATATTTGTCCGCATCATCCGATTCTTCAAGCTATAAACACATTCTTTTACTTACATCGAATTTTCTTGAACAATATCTGAACATTATCATCATCGAACGGTAACTAAAATGTTTCATAAAGTAACAATTCATGAAAATATATGAAAGAGATCGAATACAGACAGTTCCTGTTAGTAGAGCATAAAGGATCACTCCACAACTCCAAATGTCTACTTCTTGTCCAGCATAAAGTCTATTACATAAAGAATAGAAACGAGAATGAAACGATTGATTTTATTTACTCTCCAGAAACAACTTCAGGTGCGGCGTAGTTCGGTGAACCACAGGATGTTTTTAATAATTCACCGTCTTTCATCATATTTGACAAACCTAAAGCACAGAAGATTTCTTTTTCATCTACGAAGAATTTGTCTAATTACCAAAATCAGCTATTTTAACATGAGATGCATCATCAAGAAGAAGGTTTTCCGGTCTAAAAGTTCGCAATTACTTAGCACGCGTTTCCTTTTGAAAAGCAAATGTTACTTTAAATCGCGATGTACCTAGAGTAGACCAGCACATGAGAAAAAAGAAATGTATATGAATTATCTAACATACCACCATATGACGATGACAATAATCAACACCGGATATGATCTGTTGAAAAAACGGTCGAGCTTCAGCTTCGGTTAACTAAATAAATCAATGACATATTTCGTTTTCTTCTCTATTTGAGTCATTTTACTTTTCCTTTTTTAACAATATAATCAAATAGTTCACCACCAGCAACATATTCCATAACCATGAATATATCCGTTGGAGTACTAATCACTTGATATCTAATCAACATCAAAGTATGATATTCCTCATTACAAATTTCTTTTCTTTTGCTCTTACAGTTTAATAATATGTGGATGTCGAAAAAGTCGTAAGTTTTGAATCTCTCGTCGAATTTTGCCAACAACATCTAACTGTTTTATCTTCGTACGATTGACAATTTTGATTGCTACAGTATGTCTTGTTAATTGATGATAGGCCTCTATGAAATATACATAATTCTTATAGTAATAAACCAAAAGGAAAATTCAGAAAAAAAAGTGATTTACTTTTAACTTTGCCAAAACTCCCCGTTCCTAAAGTTTCATTCAAAATATAATGTCCAATACGAATAACTCCAACATCAGTCGATGGATTATTTGAATTATTTGCCGCTTGATTTTCTTTCTTCTTACGCTTGTATTTATCCTATATCGATTTACAAAATAAACAAAAATAGAAATCGAAATCCTCGATTTGTTTACTTACAAGCACTGAAGTCATCACTGTATGAACGTATCAATCTATGAAATCTGAAAGTAGAATATCTAAACACGATAGTTACGAGCGAAACAAAAAGTACAATGACATTCCAGTCAACCTAACAAAGTACGCAATTTCGGTTCTCTCGCAGAACTAGGCTATATGATAGAATAATAAAACTTTGCCTTATGCGTAGAATGATTCAGCATCAGTATATTCTCACGCAAAATCTTCTTTTACCAATGATCGTTTGACTTACGAGTTCCGCAAATCGGTGCTGAGCGACATCTACAATTCATTCACTTGTTCCACTAGATCGTATATTACGGCATTTTCTTGTCTTTCAAGAGTCTAATTACTTCTAAATCACGATGGCATACGGAAGGAAACTTGTCAAAGTCAATTATACAATTACATATACGAAAGTCAAGTCGAGTATACTCTTTCAACGTCAAGATTGAAATTGGCATTTATAGAGCGAAATTTTAGATTAATTCATCGATTCTTGGTATACTACCTATAAGAGATACGTACGATGAATAAATAAATAGATTCTGTCTTTATGTGTACGTGAACTGTGATTAAAACTAGTCAGTAGAAATGCTCGGAGTCGTTGTAGGAAAACTTTTCATAAAGTAATCTTAGCCGAAATATTTATTGATGAAAAATATCTCATTTACTTTCACACTTGCGATAAATACGATTAGTTCAGTTCAAACAATAATCGTAGATCAGAGTGCACATCGTAATACAGATACCATTATAAACATACGATTGTTTTTCTGTGATAAATCGACTTCTGACATCTATCAAACATATGAGTATATAATCAGGATTTATTTAATCAATTAGAAAAGTATTCAGACGGAACGAACTAGTGATTTCGATGAATATTTATCGAGAAATCTTACAAAAAAATCCTATACGGCAATTTCACCATGGCGAAGTCATTCCTAATGGTTGTATAGTTTTGCAAGCAAATGAACGTTGATATGCTCTTTCAATTCCAAAAAATGCATTCTCAATCAACAGTTAAAGAACTGATAAATGCGGCAGATATTAGTAACGAAAAAAAGTAACAAACTATATGATATTCTTCAAGTATTCTACTGGAATATTTCTTTCTAGAGGTGAAAAGGCACAGACAGTCACCACTCATAATATCAATCAAAGTCGTTACAGTGCCGCTAATAGTAAATGGGCATCACCTATTTCCGGTATTCTCAAGTAATAGAAGTTTAAATTGGCAATCAACGCATCTTCTATTTAATTTACTGTTTTGATTAGTGATGAAGAACTTCGTCTCGAACAGAAAAAAGCAGAGAAATCAAAACGTCTTGAACAACGTCGTAGTCATTTATCTGCTGTACTTGAAGCAGATAAAAATAAATACCAGGTATAATCTATAACCTCTGATTTTCTAGTTCAGCATCTTATTGAATTTGTTCAGTCAGAATTGCTTTCATACCGTCGATCTTCGCATGAAACGATACCTCAAATGAACATGCCAATCGATTTCTTCCAGTCAGCATCCGAACATTCACCGCAATCTGAAACAACGAATAATTTCGATTTACAAACAATGGAAACACATAAATTGCAAGATTTATCTTTGGAACAACGAGACGACAAGCAAAACGAACGGAAACGACGGCACCAACAATTGAAGATGATTCTTCAACAACAAATGGAAGAATTCAATCAATTAGAGGAACAGGTATGTCACATGTATAGACATCCTATTCTACACGAATTTACATTTAGGCGGAAATTTTCAAACAAGAAGAAGAACATTGGTATAGAGAACAAATCAGATTAGAAGAATTTCAAGAAATCAGAAGACAAACAGAGAACTTTCCTAGTCAACAAGATCAGGGGTACAAGCATATGAGTACGAAATATATTCAATATTTTCTTTCTCAGACGTCAACTTCTTCGTCAACATAAAGCAAAATTGCATAAACGATCAAAAGAAGTCCAACAACGCCTGGTAATATTTTCTTGAAACTTACGTATTCGCTTATGCTCGATTGTTAGGATATGGACATTCACATTCTTACATCAATTGTACATCCCGAACACGAATCTCGCTTGGAACAATCAGATGAACAAAAGCAATTAAGGGAAAATGTCTCCAATGTTCTTCAGCAATTTCAACAACAGATGAGAGTTGAGAAAAACAAAGAAAAAGAACTTGATGACATGTATCCGTATGTTTTTCTTTCAAAAATTTCCTTTCGTCTTTCGAAAAATGGATGTTGAAGGGAAGATGCTGCTAAACAATGGTCTCGGTATGATCAGCAATGGAATGATGAACAAAAAACACGTATGAAATTACTCCGACCGATATTAACCGAAAGACAAAATCAATTAATTAAACAATTACATCTTTTCAAAGAAAAACAAAAGGAAATCTACGAAAAACAACGAGCTTTAATTGAAGAGATGGAACAAGCACGGAAATACGATTTGATCGAAAAGCAAAAGCAAACGACACCAACCGAACAAAAGCCACAAGTAAAACTGCCTTCTCTTTTTTGTTGTTGCCTAAATCATTTTTCCCTATTCAAATAATCCAGATATTCATCTTCCGCAAGGAACCAGAACAACCAATTGAATACGAAGAATCCAAACAACCTCCATTGATACCAACAACTGATTCACAAGTAAAACGAAACCTCTTCTCTTTTTCTCAACATTTTCTTTTCATTTTCAGTTCCATGGTCGTCGTCGTGTTGCTTGGAATTAGTCGACTAACTACGTCTTTTGTTTTATAAACGTGATACATCTTATCTTTGACAATGATTCATTCTCTGTTGTATAAATAGCTGTGTACACTGTTTCAAAAAGCTAAACCAACAATTATGTTACGTCTTTTGTGTATAAATCTAACGTTTATCTTCTTTATTTCCTCGTTAAACGGTAGTTGTATTCAATTTCAATGTACATTGGGGGAAATCGGTTCAACATGTTGTTATCATCTCGGTTGTTGTCCAGCCAAAAGTAACGTATGTTGTCCGAATGATCCAACAAATTGTTGTACGCAGGATTTTCCTGTTTGTTGTGCTGTTGGAAAAGGTTGTTGTCCAAAACGATATCCTGTCTGCTGTTCAACGCAATGTTGTTCGTCAGGTTCTTACTGTTGTGGAGAAAAATGTTGCCGGCTCGACACGATAACAGGTCGTCTCTTTGAAATACCTGATGGAATAACAAAATTGAATCGCTATCAACAAATGATGTTGAAAACACATGCAAATCAAGTTAAAAACGGAATGTGAACATCATTGTTTATTTTCAACTATAAACTTTATACATAAATATTCAAAAAAGTTCTAAGATTACAAAAAAAGAAAGTTCGCTAAGTGAAAGACAACATGTACTATACAGGTATAGATAGTTTATTATTTCAGTGTTCCATCTTCTCTGAAACGTTCGCTTCGTGCATTAATCGAATAATATCTTTTCGTGTCAAAATTCCTTGTAGACGACTGAAATCAAAAGAATTTTGATGTTATATACTCGAACACTGAATAAACTTACCCATTTTTTGTAACGAATAATTGTCGACAACCTAGTTTTCTGAACATATCAATAACTGCTTCCATTGGTGTTTGATCAGTTACGAGGATCGGCGCTCGATCGACTAGTTTATGTAATTGTAAAACTCGTGATGCTTGTAATGCTAATGATGCTCGACGCATTCCTAACGAGGATGGTTGACCTGATTTATTCAATAAATTTGACATTGACACTACGGAGATTTTTCGATTTAAGACCGGTTTCGATTGTTCATATGTCAATTGAGTTTTACGTGACTTTAAAACTGCTAGCAGATCTCGTCGTTGAATTTGACCGACAATACAGGGAAAATCTGTACTAAGAACAACAGGATAGATTGAATGGGGATGTTGACGAATCAATTTATCGATTTGATAAATAGTCATTCCATCTTGAACGATACAGATTAACGGTCTCACTTCACCAGTACGTTTATCAACTATTGCTTCACCAGCCTTGCGTGTCAATCGATAACTTTCACGATTTTCTATAAAGAAACAAAACACAATTTGATCTATTTGTAATTCATTTCGTTACCGAGATACGGATAACCGCTTAGTTTAACATTCTCTTCATAAATTCCTTCTCCGAATGCATCACCAACCCATTTGGCTGTTAATGCTGCTACCATCAGTGGAACAATATAAGATAATCCACCTGTCACTTCACTCATAATCACTACTAACGAAACAGTCATTCGACTAACACCACCTAGAAAAGCACATGCACCCACGACTGCGTAAAGTCCCGGCGTGACACAATGTTCATTTGAAACGCCACATTCGTGTCTCAATATAGCCAAATGCTGATTACGATAGGCAATTTGTTCAGTAATAATTCCAATGATACGACCGGCTATTGCTCCAATTGAAATACTTGGAATGATTAGACCAGATGGGACCTTCGTGCCAATTGTAAATATGACCAATGTGATTTGTACAATCAAAGCCCATAATAATTGCCAAAGTGCACGATGAATACCCGGTCCAGCAACTGCCGCGTATAATTTTGCTGAAGCAGTTCCAATTGGTATTTCTCGTTCATAATCACTATATAAAGGTCAACTTTAATAAGTACAATTGGAAATGAAAATGAAGAATGCTTACCAAAGGTCCATATGATCGTCAACATGACATTGTCCGACTAATCGTCTGATTAATTCTGGCATAGTTAATCTCAAATAATGATTTGGAAAACAAACCAAGGCTGTGATAATTGTTAGAAGGATCACTTCGGCTCGAGGATATTGTCCAATTCGACTAGTTTTCTTATATTTTAACCACCGAATATTAGTTTTGATGAAAAGCGTTCCCCATAATCCACCGAGTGCACCAAGACCAATGAATGGTACGACTTCGAATGTTGCCCATGGAACGTTGTATTCTACAGGAAACTGAATTTCATGTCCATTTCCATATGGATTTATTGTGCGAACAACTAATGCTCCAATCATACAACAGAAAAATGTTCGCCATAAAGTTTTGTAGGGAAAATAATAACTGATCTCTTCTAAACTGAAAAGAATGCCACCGATCGGTGCACCAAATGCGACAGAAACACCTGTTGCTGCAGCTGCCGATAAGATTTCACGTTTACGTGCTTCATTTTGTCCGTATTTAGGAAATAATTCTAAATGAATTTTTACATTTTTTTTTCTCAAAATCAAACGAATATCTTGTCCTTATGTTTACTTGAGAAAAGGTTTCCACAACAACACGATATATGTACAAATGGCCCTTCTTTACCGACGATAAGACCTGCACTGGTCGCAAAGATCATACCAATACTTTTGATGATAAATGTCCATTTGCCCAAGTAACCATACATAATAAATCCCGATAGAATTGTCTTGATTTCTGGAATACCTGATCCACTTGCATACGGTGCTGAGCCAACAACAAGCACCACAATGAATGCTGCGTACACAACCGACCAAAATATAAACATAAAATATTGCAAAAACCATGCGCTTGCTGACAATTCATTAAATCCAAATAAATCCGACCAAGACTTCCACTAAATGATCAAAAATAGCACAAAGTAAAAACTGAAAAACGATTGATGTTGTTTGCTATTACATATTCGCAAATTTCATTATGTACATCATCGAATTCGACATGTCGAGATCCCCAACAACACTGTTCGCGGTTAAGCCAAAATGCAGGTGCACAAATACCTGTTCGCCAATGACTCATCCATTTTGCACCAATATCGACAAAGCCAGCGACGAGACCTTGAAATCAACAAGTATTCAAATAAACATTCGATCAGAGAATTTACATTCATACCTGCCGATACTCCGACTAACAGTACACAAATCCAGCCACTCCATGTATCAAACCAAAATGCAAATCGTTTTTTCCAACCATCACGTCTATGAGCGCGTGTATTCCGATGACGAATACGATTTCGCATTAAATCTTTCAACCAGTCGATTGTTTCAAAATTTTCATAATGTTTTCGAACAACGTATGTTACATTCGTTACTAAAAATCCATGAAGTTCTTTTGTTCAACTAACCCTATTAACTAAAATAAAAACCTTGTTCTTGATGTCTGCTTGGTGGTGGACTACTAATCCCATCATTTTTATCATACAATGTCACTGTCGTTGTTCCTCCACTTGGTCCGCTGCCTGTTAAGTCAACTTCTTCGCCACTATCATCTTGATTGATACGAGTCAAGCCTTGGTGAGTTTCGTGTCCGACTCCATCATCTTCATCGTCTTCCACACTCGGAACCGGAGAGAGATTAAATCGAGCATGGCTATCTAGAGAAGTGTCACCTACAAATCGATAAACGCACACGCTTCATTGCACAAACAAATGATCATAAATACATACGTGTTAATTTTCTCTCACTAGAAGTATTATTACTACTGCTACCACCACTGGGAGATGCCATGTGCACAATTACACAAGGATATTATGAATGATCTGAGAAGAACAATAAAAAATAAGTACGATTAGGTAAAACTACTTGACAAGAAAAAAGTGCGTGCTGGTTGACTGACTTTTTTCTTCTGTATAACTACTGGTGATGATGATGATGATGCACATATATATGTATCATAAAAATTACAAGTATAATGATCATTCGATGTTTTCGATCGTTCTGTCGTTTTTCCTTCTAGCTCGTCGCATTCTCTTAATGTCGTTATTTATTTGATTGAGTGTACATATATATATTCTTCTCTTCAAGGTGGAAATCAACGATGGTCGAGTGCAAGAATAAAAGAAGAAAATGAGAGAGAGAAAACATTAAATATACATATTATTCGTTATCAAACAGAATATACGTAGATACATATAAATAGAAACTTCTTTTACAGAAGACTTTGAGAAAACTGAGTGTTTGATGACGAAATGTATGATAAGGGCAAATATTTTTGATACAGATCAAACTTTACCTTGACACATTACCGTACATAAAATCTAGTATTCCTTCTAGCAAGTCATATTTCCGTTGATAGAATCAAATGTATGCATAGTTCGACTCTACTACTCCTCGTATGAAATTTGAATAAAGAGAACAAAATAATAAACCTATAAATTATAACCAGTAAAGAAGAATATGAAAGAAATGAATTGTATTTGACGTAAAAGTATCGTACAAGGTAAGAGAAATTCCGGTTTTTTTTGTCCTGATCGATCAATATCAGGTGAGTCTATCGAGCGGAAATTTGTTTGATTTACCGATATCAAAGGTGAAATAACAGACCTTAGGTCATATGAAAATAATAGAAGAATGCCAATTTATTGACTAATTTTCGTTAGCTGATTTTCTGTTCTCAAACGGTTTTTTCCAAGTTATTCAACAGTTATGTGCTTGAAAAAATAGTCGAAACACACATGACGAGTAGTTGGCGAGAGATGAAATAAAAAGGAAAAAAAAATTAGTCATCTTTGCCAATGTTATTTTGCTCTCTGTTACTTTTTTGAAAATAAATTCTTGTGCAACACATCTTTTACTACATTTGCAATGACTTATGAATATGTGAACGAAACGGCCATCGATGAAAATCTAAAATGCTCTATCTGCAATGATCCTTTTCAAAGACCAGTTCATACTCAATGTGATCATACGTTTTGCTATGCATGCATTGCACCATGGGTTAGTTCAAATAAATCTTGTCCAACTTGCCGTTCGACAATTTCGGATATTCAAGAATTAAAAGCAATCAAAACACGATTGGTGTTAAATATGCTCGATAGTCTTCCCGTTAAATGTAAAACATGCGGATCAACGAATATTGAGCGTGGCAATTTCGAAGATCATGTGAAGGTATGTCAACGAAAGAGTATGCATTCGTATTCGTGTGCAGCAGCCGATGTTCTATGCCCATGGGTCGGTTCGAAATATCAATTATCCGAGCATCTTAGTCAATGTCCTTATGAACAACTACGCCCGGTGCTTAGCAAGATTCTCGCAGAAAATCAACAACTAACAGAACAAATTGCTAAATTGACTGAACAATTTGAGAAGAAGGCGCATAAGAATGAAAAACAAGTACAAGATAAGAGATCTACAATAACTGAAGGTAGATAATATCATTGATATTGTAGATAATAAATGCTTTTTTTCTCTGTTTAAGTTCGCCCACATGTTCGAACAATAGTTTTCGCGTCATTGCTTGATCAAGACAAATGCGGTTCTGTTCCAGATGGCTTTGCTGGATTGAACTGGCGCAATGCTCGATACACAAATGAAGAAAAAGCTCTTGCAATCCGTCCACGTAAAAGAACTGAACGATTGAGTGTATTTTTACATGGTTATCCATGTATTATTTATAATGATTGGAAAAATCCCCTGGTAATTTCATCCACGACGCACAACTTCACACTTCATGCTTGTGAAGTCATGTCCGTTCATCATCCTAATGAAACATGCACATTCAACGTCATAGGTCGAAAAAACGAATTACCGGTTTATTCAAAGACTATTTCATTGCAACGTGATATTTCCCAAGTGATTCAGTTCACATCGTGGACTGATGTGAATAAACTTGAATTATTTATTGAAAATTCATACTTTATCTTAACCTGGATCCAAGTGGAACAGTAATAATCACATATTCGTACATTAATCACACGATGTTTTTCTTAATAAATATATCAGATGTCTCTACTTGTACGAAAAAGATGAACCAGTCGAAATTCTGTTTGTTTTTCCATTGTTTCAACAAAAACACGAGTGACGATAAACGAATAATTTAAAATAAAACTTCAATAAGAAATGGACGGATCTAACGATATCGATTATTTTCAAAATTCTTTTCAAATATCTCCACGTCTTGCTCGTCAATATTTCATGTGTCCACATTGTTCATTTCATTTATGTTTTGAACATGGTCAAGAATATCAACAACAAATTCAAAATCAAATTCATTCTATACAAGATCATGCCGTCAATCTCGAACAAACAATCCAAAACTATCAACCAGTTCAAACAATTATCGAACAAGTTTATAAATCTCTACATGAATGGAAAGATAAAATGTTCCAATTTATCAATGAGTACAGCGAGCAAATTCGATCACATATTGAACATGCACAAAACCGATTGAATGAACAATGGAATATGACCAAAGGTGAATATTTACAATTGTTAGAAAATTTCGTACAAGAACCCATTGATCGATTACTTCGAGGTAGAATATTGTTTTATATGACGTGAAATACATGTTGATTTGTTTTCAAGTTCCAAAGCAAATTCATCCTGAAGATGTTCGGCATATTCACAGACGATTTATTTCAATTCAAAGTCAAATTACAGATCTATTGACATTTCGGGATCTTCTTCGAATTAATTTTGATTCGTGTTCATTAGCTGGCGACATCAATATTTCGCGTGGTCATTTTCCATCACCAAAACTGCCGTCAAATTCCATTGAGACCGTTCCGTCACTAGATCAAATCACTTTATCCAAACGATTCGATGTATTGTCATCAAGTACACCAGCATTGGCTGTTCGAACGGTCGATCACTCTAATTCCATGATCCTTACATGGATGAAACCAAGCACATTATTAATTTTCGATTCAGAACAAGGATTGACCAGACGTGTTGATGTTGAGCCAGCATTCATATCGATTCACGATATTCTTTGGTGTGAATATTTAAATAATTTTCTCCTTGCCGGTGCTGCTCTACATACATTTGACGTTCAAACTAATGAAATCAAACAAATTTTCACACCAGAAAATCCACACATCTGGTCAATCACTACACATAAGTATAGTTTTCATTCGTAAAGTTGACATGCACAAAAGAAAACAACTGCGTTATCTCCCTTTTTTAGGACCAATCTGTACGTGTTGTATGCTATGGGTGAATCACCTCTGATTGAACATCGTTCACTACCATCATTCCATTTAATTCAAACGTATACTCGCGATCAAGTTTTCTCAATAAACTCGACATCGTCGATCGAAGTTGCACGATGCATTCGAACAAACGGTCGTCATCTTGCAATGACTATACGAAATTCCGCGACACATCAATGGCGTGTTGATGTATTTAATTTTCAATTACAACGATTGATTCAAGGTGAAATTCTTGGACAAGCTGCACATCCAGATTACTGGTGTTGTTTATTATCTTCATATCGATCTAATTATTGGTTAATCATGGACAATACATCGGAACCAGAAACAGTTACATTAGTAGATGGACAAGGACGTTTAAGACAACAAATTCAACATGATGGATACAATATTTGTGTGATAGAAAGTAAACAACAACTTGTTGTTAAAGATCAACATGGATTAGCTGTATTTCGGTTTTAAATATATATACACATAATTATTGATTTACTTATTATTCTAGTTGTTTTTTTTTACATATGTATTTGTTAATCATAATCACTAATAAACAAGAAAGAGATATGTCTATTTGCAGATTTCTTTTGTCTCTCCTAATAATATTCGTCTAGTTATTCAGCTTCAATGAAAAACAAAGTACGCGTGTTCCTAATCCGACCTGATAGCGTTGTAGATGTTAATGGTATTCGTGATCTTGTCAAAGGAAATATTACTACGACAGTCTATGCCCCAAACAGCGCACGTATGAAATAGCTCTTTGAAGATGAACTTCATTCTGAGTATCGAGTGCTCGTCACTTATGCGTATGCAATTCATTTGAAACACTTGAGAGAATTAATGTCGTTGGCAATATGATAGGAAAATTTAGTGAGAAGAAATATATGAGACGTCTTTGATCTATTTTTGTTCGTTATTCCGACGAACAACATGAGATCGTTTGAATGTAGACGGCAACCGCTGGCACGTCATGGCATCTTGCTGATAAATAATTGAATACACAAATTATTAATCCCGTTTAAACCGGCTATCTTTATCCGCAATAGAAATTCTGATAAGTATTAGTCATTGGAAAGTTTTGTATAGAACATTAATTGCCTTCGATGTGAGATCCTCATGTGAAGATGTCTTCGAAATGTTCGCAATCTCAATCATCTATTGTTCTCAATATGTCATAGTGCGTACTCATCGAACGATGACAAAATGACGTCAACATTTTCAAATATAATGTATTCTAGTTTTATTGAAGACGAAAGCAATCATCGATTTTAAGCACATTTTAGTTTTTGAAAAGTATCTGCAATCACGGAATAGAATTCATTGCGAAAAACCTTTCCACCGCATAATGTATAAATGTAGAACGGCATGGCAGTTGCTAAATAGGTTAAATTAGTACAGAAATTGAATAATAAAACTTCAATGACATTTTGTAACGCAGGTTTGGATCCAGCTGGTGGTGTTACAGTTGAATATAATCGATAAATCGTATATGGAGCAGTGCATAAGATGAGGAAAAGAATTTGTACGCAGAGCATTCGAAAGAGACTTCGATCAGTTTTTTTCTGTTGCTGTTGTTGAGTTTTAATACCACTATTCTGAGTTAATACTGAACTTTGTCTGTTGTTGACACGGTTGCGCATTGAATGGATGTTACGAATTGTTAATAAGCCAAAAAGTAACATCGCCAGTGAAGGTACAACATTGTTGCCACAGGTAAATGCAAGGTCCGTATACAGGCGGCATGGGGCAGTAAATCCAAAGCATTTTGCTGGTGTACCGACCAAATTAGCTTCATAGCAGTAGAGTAGAGGACCATTGAGTGCAATGGAAAAGAGTATTACTAACAAAATACTTCGGTAAGAATTTTTTAACGAGCTTAAATGTCGTAGTTGAACATCTTTACACGACGATAACCATCGATCAATAGATGCGAAGACAAGAAACCAAATGACCATCGTTCGAGAGACGAACAGAACAAATATTCGAAGTTTGCACAACCATCCAATTGTCTCTGACAAATCAACGGCCCAACCAGCGGTAAGCCGTGTGGTTAAGCCGGAAATAATGGCTATTATGCCAGATAATGAAGACACAAGGAAAAGTAATGCACATGGATTTGTACGAAGGGTACGCCGTGAAAGTATAAGTGTATTCAATAAGTTACCAACAAGTCCAAAAATAAAAATTATCAATGGTAAATAACGATTCATTTGGACAGTTGCATTATTAATAGAAGCGATGAGAATTGCGTCGGATGAGGACATTTTCTTACGTAAATATAATGCACAGTAATTACAGTAGACGAAAAGTTATGAAATATAGGAATAAGCGGCGACTAATCAACTTGCTTTAGTGAGTAAACTTGCGACACAATGCGCATAGATGAAAGTCGTCTACTTATACTTGGAGAGAGAGAGATTAGGCATGATCAAGTATATCATTTCAAGTCGTTGAACGAAGAGAAAAATCTTTAATTTGACATCATTTAGCTTAAAGGATGTCTTTTTCTGTTTCAAGTTTGCATGCATTCTTTCATAACATTTGACATAATTAGAAAATATTTAAAAATATCTTCTCAATATGAGTACGTGATATTTCAATCTTTCAAAGTACGGCTGGTATCGTCGAGAGGAGGGAGGTGGAGGGGTTCAGGCGTACACCATTCTAATTCATTACACAAAGATTAATAAAAATAATACTAATATCTTGATCAGTGACTTCTGTAAAGATGTCTATAGAACGGAAGCCGAAATGGTTTATCTCATTTATGAAACGACCTTTTGAACTGATTACAATGACAGAAAAGTGAAAGCAATTGTAAAATTACAATACACAAAATTCAATTGTCTCGAAACCTCATCATTTCATTTTATTGAGGTTGCTCTACTAAATAGGTTTCGATGCCTGTTCATACGAAATAACGGATGACTTCATCATCAGGTGTCTATTTTTACTAACAGCATTTTGTCTCCTAAAAAGATTACTCTTCAATTTTGTTTAACAGATACTCTTAGGTGTATCTAAAAGAGCACGTATTTGACTAAGTCATGCATAACACATCTTTCGTAGTTTGCAGGCAAATGAATTAATCTCCGTTGGACTGCAAATGGCGTCTGTAAGGATCATGTGATTCACTTTCCTATTTTCCGGGCGTCAGTTAAGATGTAAGCGGGTACGATCGAAAAATATTCTTTTGTCATAATATTATCATTATGAATTGCAAATATTATTCTCCAGGAAATCGCGTTATTATGCGAAAGATTTCTTTGCGATATAATTAGAAAATTGCAAAATACTTCGCCAAAAGGATTTTCGTGTTGATAAAGACAAAATTCTCAGACAGAGTTGCTTTAAATCTGAGAAAAGTTAAATAAACGCGAGAGAATATGAAAATTTGCGCACTATATCGTGTAACTTAATCGTTATCGAACAGCAAAAATGACGTCAAGAATTGATGATATTTTTTATTTGCAATTCTATACTCATTCGACAGTCAAAACCGTCGTTTATTTCAGTCGTGAAAGGAATTATGTGCGTATTAGTTGTAATTCTTTTTTACTTAATCTTTTTGAATAAACTCAGTTTGACTTTGAAATGCTACGAATGCACAGGCTATGTTCCGTGTGGTAGTGGTCAAACTAATCTGTTGGTCAACTGCCCTGGTAAATGTGTCGTTTATAAGAATCAATTCGATCGAGGTTAGTATTGTAGTAAATTTCCTCAATTGAAGAGTAACTTTGTTTCTAAGGAATGATCGTCCGACGGTGTTGCTACAGCAACTGTGGAAGTGAAGGATTGCAAAAGTTTGAAGGACGAGATGCGTATGTGTGTTCAACGGATATGTGTAATGGTGATCAAGCTGATCCGTATTTAACAGGTGGTAGTATTACTACTACAACAGTAGAAGAAGGCAGCGGAGAAGAAATTCAATCAACAACAACACCAGTGTTTGTGATATCAACGACAAGTAATGTGACAGAGTGAAGAAAATCAAAATATATCATGAACTCTTCCCTTTAGCAACCATAAAAACAAGTCAAACGACAACGGTTAGTTGTCATGAATGTACTGGCCATTATTCCGGATGCGGAACTTCTCCACATACGATTATAAACAATTGTCGAATGTGTATGGTCTATAAAAACGTGTGGGATGGAAGTAAGTTAGACTTTTTCATTTGAATGGTTAAAAGTACTACTCCGCTTTTCTCATTCATCCGATAAACGAATAATGCAGCAAATGCTATACTATATTTTAGACACGATCGTTCGACGTTGTTGCTATAGTAATTGTGGACCGGCAAATACGGTGAAACAATACGAAGGTCGACAAACGTATTTTTGCGCATCTAATCTCTGTAATGGTATAGGTTCCGAAAATACACTTCCCTCGACAAGAGGTATATATATATGTGAAAATGCTTCGTTAACGAGCACCTTTGATGACGTACATTCTTTTAGGTCTATTATTAGCAGATGATTCACTACCGAGCAATTGAATTGTGTATATCTGTCGTCGCCGTCATCGTCATTCATGCTGATCCAATCAATATTTCATATGTGTATACGTGAATGAAAAAACGAACATGCCATTGTTTATTCACTTTCTGTTGAATATTTTCTATTTGAATAAATTTCGCTCAATAACGAAGTTTTTGCGCAATCGATTTGAAAACCGATTTAATTCTACGTAGACAGCGAAGATAGTGGTGTGTTTATGTACTTTTATCTCAATGAAAAGTGCGTTGGTCTCTCGAAGAAAAACACGTATAATCAATCTTATCTCGTCATTGACTGGATTACACTGACAGATGTCAATTTATTCCCATGTATAATACCAAAATACCCATTTAATATTTATGTAACGCTTACATATTCATTTGAAAGATTTTCGTCATGAAGAAATACTTGTTAGTGATAACTACTGTATTTTGCTTATGTTCAATTGGAAAAGCAGAAGATATATGCTCAACAAATAGTCAGTGTGTTAATCTTCCAACTGGGGATGGAACATCACTTGTCTGCGCTTACAATTATGCGACATGTAGCGATTTAGTCGCTTGTACAGATGACAATACATGTGCACGTCCAAATACAGTTTGTGTCAAGCATCGTTGCCATGTTCATCCTGTTTGTTACCCGAAAACAATGACAACTCACACACTTTGTCCACCACTGACACGTAAGCTATCGAGAAGGAAAAAAGCTAAGAATTATCGATTTATGTCATTTAGCATCCAATTCTTCTTGTTATTCATGTCAATGTCCGACGCACATCGTTCCTGATCACCCGAAACAATTCTGGCGTGAGACTCTAAAAACAAGTGGCACCAATCCATTCACCGATAGTCTTGATTACAAAGTCTACCGTAATGTAAAAGATTTTGGTGCCAAAGGCGATGGTATAACAGATGACACACGAGCTATTCAGAATGCTATTTCTAGTAACAACCGTTGTTCGGCTGTTTCGGCCTGTGAAGGTTCAACTTCAGAACCTGGTCTGATCTATTTTCCGCTTGGAACATATTTGATTAGTTCGAGCCTTCAGTTAGACTATTATACACAACTAGTTGGAGATCCATCTGGAGATCGACTTCCAACAATCAAGTGTTCAAGTAATTTTAACAATGGTTATGTACTCGATGGTGATCCATACAATGCATGGGGAAATCTAGCATGGGGTTCAACAAATAATTTCTTTCGAGAAATCCGAAATCTACGAATTGATATGACTAGTATGAGTCCAACACTTGGTACGAGTGCAATTCATTGGCCAGTAGGACAGGCAACTGCTTTACAGAATATCGTTATTGAAATGTCCTCAGTAGCCAATACGCAACATCAAGGTTTATTCATCGAAAGTGGTAGTGGTGGTTTTATGAGCGATATTACTTTTCAAGGTGGAAAAATTGGTGCATTCCTAGGTAATCAACAATTCACTTCGAGAAATTTAGTATTCTTCGGATGTCAAACTGCTATCAGTCAAATATGGAACTGGAACTGGTTATATAAATCACTTTCGATTAACAATTGCGGCGTTGGAATTAGACTTTCGGTAAAAGCAGGAGACAAAGAAGCAGTAGGAGGAATGACCATATTAGACTCACATATCTACAATACTACAGTGGGAATCATTACATCAGCTAGTGCACAATCAATACCTGCTAGTGCCGGACAGATTCTTTTAGATAATGTGAATTTTGAAAAGACTTCTGTTGCTGTACAAAGTACATCTGGTCAAGTTATATTACAAGGAAATCAACGAATTCGTTCCTGGGGTCAAGGTCACGTTTACACACGATCTTCAAATACCTACACATATGTGCAAGGTTCGCTGACACCACCTGAAAAGGCATCTGTTCTATTAGATGGTTCAAGATTTCTTGAACATTCTCGACCTGAATTTTCTGAATACTCGGCGGAGAAGTTCGTAACAGTGAAAAGTCTAGGTGCTAAAGGTGATGGTGTAACTGATGATACAGCAATTATTCAACAGATTATCAATACGTATGCAGCTACGAAAATCATCTTCTTTGATGCTGGTGCTTATATTCACACAAGCACAGTTGTCATTCCACCATATGCAGTTATTGTTGGTGAAGTTGAATCAACAATTATGGCTACAGGTTCATTTTTCGGTGATGCAAAAAATCCTAAACCAGTATGGTCAGTTGGTCAAAAAGGACAAACAGGTAATGTTCAAATAGTTGATATACTCTTCTCACACAAAGGACCAGTACCAGGTGCGATTATGATGCAATGGAATTTGAAATCAACGTGCCACGGTAAATCAGGTCTCTGGTCCACACACTTTCGAACTGGTGGAGCTAAAGGTACCAATCAATCACCACTCAACTGTGTAAAACTAACCGGTGGATATAATCGACCAGAATGTCAAGGTGCATTTCTTCAACTTCATATCAGTTCTCAAACATCTCTATACATGGAAAATGTTTGGCTTTGGGTAGCTGATCATAATTTAGATTATCCCGATCATTCCCAAATCGATATTTTCAATGCTCGAACAATTCTAGTCGAAAGTGAAGGACCATTGTGGATGTATGGAACATCAGCTGAACACTCAGTCCTATATCAATATCAATTTCTCAATGCGAAAAATGTCTTCTTAGGACAAGCACAAACCGAATCAGGTTATTTTCAAAGTGAACCACCAGCGCCCGAACCATTTACATCTCTCGCTGCTTGGTCGGATCCTGTTTTTGACGGATGCGCAGCAGGCGATAGTGGCTGTACGAAAGGATGGGGTTTGGACATTATCAATGGAAGCAATATTTATGTTTATAATGCAGGTTTATACAGTTTCTTTCAGAATTGGAGTACAGCTTGCATAGGAACTCCCGAAAACAAATACTGTCAAGATGGAATTTTCCGAATTCGTGGTAATTCAGATAAAGTCTATCTTTGGAATCTTGAAACAGTCGGAGTAGAAAACATGGTTGTGGCTGACGGGAATATTAAAGTTAAAAGCAAAGATAATATTGGTGTTTTTGCTGATGGTATACTCGCATATCTACCAATCAACTGAGAAGTTTATTCCCATACCTTTTTTGTGAACTTTATTCTGAAATAAAGCGATATTTATTGATAAAAATCATCGAATGGCAAAAAAGCTCTGGAATGAATCACTCAAGAATATTAAAGGCAACATCGCGAACATAAAATACCATACTTATCATCATAAAATTTCTCATTTTCATCAATAATGCGGCGACACTTCGAACAAACAAAGCAATGAATATGATAATGTTTGCCTTTATATGTTGTATAAAAATCAACAATAGATCGATCGCATTTTCCGCATCTCGAGGTGAATTTCTTCTCATGACATTCACTGCAGCAAGGTTTATTATCAACTTGATAAAATTTGCTTTCGTACATAATCTTTCGACATTGACCACAACGAAAGCAATCAGGATGATAACTTTTCCCATTGTAAATAACTGATTTACCCACCGAAATCGCTCGTAAACATTGTTGACATTGCGGTGCAATATTTTTGTCAAAACATCCATTACAGCATGGTTTGTAATTATGCATATGAAATTTTGCTTCCGTGATCGGTTGATAACATTGACAGCAACGAAAACAATCGGCATGATACTTATTCTCATTGAAAATCACCGCTTTTTCTCCAAGAATCGCCTTGGAACATTGCATGCATTTCGGTGCAAATCTTTCCTGATAACATCGTTCACAACAAGGTTTGTTATTATACGCTGGAAATTCCATTTCTCGAATAACACTTTGACAAAACGAACATTTGAAACAATCTAAATGATACTTATTGCCTTTGTACGTTGTATATTGACCTGCTGGGATTGTCTGATTGCATACGTAGCATCGCGAGGCAAATTTTTCATCATAGCATTGATCGCAACATGGCCGAGTGTTCTGGACACGAATATTTAGTTGATCAACTAAAGGTCGACGGCATTGATAACAGTTGAAACATTCTCGGTGATAATCATTCTCGTCGAAATGAATGTATCGTTCGGATATAACTGCTTGTCGACATGTTTGACACTGCTTGATTCTACTTGATGAGCAGCTTTTACAAATTGGTTCACCGTTATTATCTAGTAAAAATGTTTTCTCATCCCTTAAACCCAGATTGACACGGCAAATCGAACATGAAAAACAATAAGTATGATAAATTCGATTGTTGAATTTAATGTCATTGTCAGTTTGTCGACTAATGATACCGCTACATTTGTGACACTTATCAACAGGATTCTAGATAAAACGTTGAAACATGAATCTAGTACATCAATCTCACTTACTTTTGTTGATATTGAATTTGATGGTGCCAAGATAAGTTCTGATTTATAGATTCTATCAGTTGGATGAGTAAATGTATAATTCGATGATCGTCGTTCACTCATTCTAGGTGGAGCAGGTACCCAACTAGATGTGACTACATCTTCCTGATGTGCTTGTGCTTCCAACACACTTTCCTGACGAATGCTTTCTTATTGCACATACCTTATTATTCCGAATGAGACTTACTCGAACATTCCGATGCGGATTCATCGTGTTGTACTTTTATTTTAATGAAAAACTCGTTTTCTAAAACAAACCAAAAGACTGAATTACCTCTGCTCGATGATTTTTTTATAACGAAATATTTAATAACCGCAATAAACCTGTACAAAGTTAAGGTCAAAAGTTTCATGATTACTCTATTTATTTAGATATGAATATTCAAGCAAGAAAGAAACAGAAGGCCGTGGTCGTCGTTAATTGATGTACGTTTTTATTTAGTTACTCACTAAAAAAGTCCCACGTACGTAAAACTCTTGTCGAACATCTCATCACAGAAGGAATTTTCGAATTCTTCGTCATCTTTTATGTCTTTCAACACATCCAAGAAAGAAAAATAACACAGAATGTTTTTGTTTTGACGAACTTCTGCAACTACTGATAAAAACTAAATAGATATAATATCTTTCGAAAAGCAAAATATTTTCGTTTTCGTTTATCTTTATAGTCATAATGAATCAGTTGTGAGAAATTTTTTTCTATTTAATAATCATAAAACGACGTTTTACAACCTACGAATCACATCAAATGGACGCGATTTTATCTACGCCTACAGAATTTAAACCAAAACAAAAATTAAAATAAGCTTTACGGCCGTAGACTTGTTTATATACAAGAATTGATTAAAGCCATGTGTGAAAATATAAAGTCCTTCGAGCTAAAATCTGCCATTTACTGAGCAACAATCGTATGTGTAATGATTGGAATGTTTATAAAAATGATCACTGAAATGATCTAATTGATTTTTTTATTATCATTGTGAATAATAGAAGAGAAAAACCTGATACAGATTGTTGTGTTTTTCTGAGCGAAGTGTTTGCTTTAGTTATTTTGATTAGAGCATGTAGGAACTAATTAGGAAAATACAACGAGAATTTGTCTAAAGTTTCTCGATATTTGTTGTTGTTGTTGTTGTCTGATTTGATGATGTCATATCAACCTTTTGTTGTGCTCGAAACATGAATCAAATCAATGAAAATTTCGATGAGATAGAATTCTCTTCTTTTGACTAATGTATATTTATCAGCAAATATGTGACAGTAAAGCAATCAGATTGTTTGTTTTTCGCAGTGTGAATATGAGCGAGAGAAAGAGAGAGAAAGAGGTTCAGCCAGGATTGGTTGATTTGAATCTACTTTTCAGTAGAATATTTTTCTTTTATTTGCACGCTACGACGTATTCGTTCGGTTTTTACTGCAGGTGCCAATGACGACGATGATGCCGATGGTGTTGGTTTCGATGGCGGAGGTAAAGATGCAATGAAACTTCGAGCTGAAATGAAACATTGAAAAGATTTCTTTTCATCCGAGTATAGATGATTTACTTGTTGCAACTTGCTTTTTGTGTACTTCAGCTTCTCGTCGGTCTTTCATTTTGTCAATCAGACCTACTTGATGGCCGATTTCTCGTTCGATTTGATGCGTTTGTCGGATTTTTGTGAAACGTCGATGACGTTCGTTCTCAAATGCTTCGTCGTCATCGTAATCATTTGTTAATAAATATGCAGATTGTTCACGTTTATATTCCGAATCCTGTTGTTATCAGAATGATATGTATGCATACAATTCCAAGTTAAAAAAAACTCACTTTAGCCCGTAGGAAAGCTTCTTTTTCTAATCGTGTGATTTTCTTCGAAGATCCGGGCATCTTTAGTTGTTTATGTATGACGTGAATCCTTCTTTATCTCCGTCTTCTTCTTCTGTAATATTATCTATGACAAAATACATACGACTGCGCTGATGGATATTTTTCCTCGATTCTCCTTCGTTTTCCAAGTATGCAATTACGGTCAGAAAGTTGCTACGAACGTCAAGACATGAAATGGAAAGATCGAAGAGAAGAAAAGAGAATACGATAACGTGCTTGTTCTGTTCTCCTTCATTCTTAGTTGGAGATAATAGAGAATAACATGAGAAATTCTCGTACGATAATATACGCCAGCACGACAAATTCAGACTAATACAACTGTTTGTAAGCAGTGAAGCACAGAAATATCGAAGATTGTCAATAGGAAAGGTTAATGAATAAGTGATTTCTTGCCCTTTTGGGTGACCTAGCTCAAAAACACCGAACATAAAAATATTTCCGAATCTATGCATTGACAGTTGATTGAATTATCGAATTCTTGATCTTGATTGTAGAATATTTACAATGACGGTTGTATGTTTATGCAAAGATTTATGTTTCTATAACTATTTCGATGTATTGTGAATTTGAAGTACAAAGTTTTTGTTTCTTCGCTTTATTATACGTCATTCAAAGTAACTGGAATGGATTTTAATATGTGATGTCATCGTTTACTTTTGAAAGAAAAATAAGCTTTCTGGCTAAAAGCTAGAAAATCTTTTCAAGTGATGACGTCTTATAAAATTTCGTTGTACTTAAAGAATTCTCGAAATGACGTAAATATATGATCAGTTCGCCCGAAAAAAAAGTCTAGATTAATGTTTTATGGATCAAGCGGTAGGCGTACGGAAAATAGCTGTTTGTATAAATTTGACGTAACAGCGATCATTACTGCTTTACTCTTTTGCTTTGAAAATCTTGAGGGTGAGAACAATCGGCATACATCGATTTCTACTCGTTTATTCTTTGTACTTTCTCTAAACTGCGAATTTTCATTGTTTACAGAATAACATCATATTCAGAAGAAATGCATGTTGCTATCAAAATTCTAATTGGTGTTGGGATTGCAACAGTACTTATTGCCATTGTGGTCATTCCAGTTGGAGTTACAGTTGCATCCGGTATTTGATTTTTCTAATCATTTGGACATCTGATGATACTTATGTAAGATTTGTTTTACAGGTAGTAGCAGCAATTCAACTGGTAGTAGTTCAGGTAAACATTGTATGAAATCTTACATTCCTTAGTTCTGTAAGTTGTTTCTTATTGTGCATAGGTGGTTCGAGTAGCTCAGGTATTGTATCATTTCTTGTATTCATTTTATTTTAATACAAGTTTCTTTCGTTGTCGTACAATAGGAGCTTTATTATATGGTGTGCGTAAAAATCTTATGTCTTCATCCTTAGGTAATAGTTGGTCCTTGTGTTATTCCAGAACGTATGCCACATTGATGAGTTCGAGTACTCTTCTAACTACATTAACAATTTGCAACAAATCTCGATTATTGCTTGGCTGTCGTGCAATCGGTAGTTCTAATTTACTTGTTGCTGCAATGGGTGACAGAAGTGATGTTCTATACAATTGTGGTGTTACATCGTCTTGTAAGAGAGTAGCTAATGGCGTGTCATGGTACTATTCAAGTATGCTCTCGTGGGGCTTTGCTAGTGGAACAGACACAGTGAATCGTAATCCATGTGATATATCTACTACAAATCCAAGTGAACGTTTGTGTTGGATTACTACTAACAACGGTGGTTATCGTTGTGGTTCAATGACAGGACTACAAACATCAACGTCATACGAAAAAGTCATATATCATTCTGATTAAGATTAATACTGATTTGTTTGATTATTTTCTTTTATGTACGTAAACGTGAACAAAAGTAATATAGGTGTGTGTGTGTCAATTAGAGTGGATCAGTATCGAAACGATGTTAAACTCGCGCTCATCCTTCTAAAATGATAATTTTTATTCGAAATGTTAACATTTTTCTTTGAGCACTTTGAGCACTTCTGGAAGTTGCGCACCCATGAAATGACCGCGATTTTTCAATTCCATGTACTCCGATTTCAAATTCTCAGCTACAAAACGTGCTTCGGCTACTGGAATAAATTTGTCAGTAGGCGAATGTAGTTGCACAATCCATTCCGCATTTGCTCGCATTGCCTCCCAATTCCTTCGAATATTTCATTTCAATTTTCATCGTTATCATTATCACAAACAATCTAACTTACCATGGTCGATTGTAATATTCGCTTGCTTTTTCATCCTCATTACCAAGATCAGTATGACATGCTGCTACAAGTATGACTCCTCGTACTTTATCGTGTTCGATTAATCTCATGATTGCTTCACAACCTGAGCTATGTCCAATCAGAATAGTTTTGTCATCAAATTTAAGTGTGTTGCGAATAAATGGTAGCCATTGGGATTCTCGAGCCCCATCAGGATCTGGCATATCTTCGAGAATTACGGTAAACCGACCTAAGCTGTTTAATTCATTCTCCAACCATGCATACCAGTTATTTTCTCTCACCGGTGTGCATCCCATTCCGGGAATAATTAAAATCCGTTGATTTTCGTTGCTCTCTGCCATCTAAAAATATAGTTTTTCATTCATATTTGCATCGATATTCATGTAATATAAAGTGAGAGTAATCTGATTCTAGTTGTCATAATATGTTTTATTTTCTTAAATTTTCATTCACACTCATAGCGAAAAAGAACATGGAAGTAGGACCGAATGAAAGGAAAAAACCAAACTGATTAAAAAAACCAAGACCATGAAACAAAGGAGAAACAAGTAAACAGAATTAAAACGGGACAAAAGAGAAAGATCATGAAACTACAAGACAACAAATAAATAATGAAACGTTCGACTGTTGTGATATTCATAGCACTGACACATAGATAAATGACAGAGGAAAAGAAAAAAGACTAAAATAATGTTTTTTATTAACGCATTTTGTTAAATAAATTAAGCACACTGTCAGATTCTTTATTGGCGCGACATTTCGTAAATACATTCCAGAATCTTAATGTTTCATCTCCTGCTCCTGTCACTATGGATTCACCATCAGGCGATACTGCTAAATATAGAACACGAAATGTATGACCAGTCAATCGAGCCAGTTGTAACATTGACGGATATTTCCACACAACAATTTGATGCTGAGAATAGCCGTGTGTTGAGACAAGTTCGTTCGAATGCTTCGACCAGGCTAAATTACATACCTAAGACAAATTGAATTCAAAAATAGAATTTGCATGTTTAAACATTGAAGAAAATCCTTACTTGAGACCCGGTATCAATTGACTGTAAATTTTGTGCTGTTAGTGTATTCCAAAATCGAATATGCCGATCAGCTGTTCCACCACCACTTGCCAATAGACCTTGTTGATGAGGACTCCAAGCAATGGCTTTCACGGCTGCTGTGTGATCTGTATAGACTTGAATTGGATTTGAACATGACTGATTCCAAACTAATAAACGATTATCATTGCCACCACTAGCTAACAATTGCCGATCAGGTGACCATTTTAATCCGCAAACTTCTTGTCGATGTCCAGCTAGTTTTCGCTCTTGTTTATTTGAGCGCGTATCATTTTGTAGAATGAATCGGTCACGAGAACCTGAATATATACACATATCATTCCAAGCTAATGCACCAACACGAGCTGTATGACGTGGAAATGAAGCCGTCTTACGGTTTGTCGCTGCGTCCCAAATCTGTACAATGCCTTTATGAGTGCCCACAGCAACATATTGTCCTCGATCACTCCAAGCTACACTGGTAACCGTATCTGATTCGGTTTGTAAATCACATAATCGTGTCACATTGCTCGTATTAGCATTCCATAAGTAAACAGATGCATTGAGGCCAACAGCTAAAATATTCGTGGACGACCAATCAACTAAATTTAGATAGAAATCATCTTGAAGTTCAGGAGCATCCAGAACTTTGAATGGAGTTTTTGGAATTTTCCGTAATTGTTTACGCGGCGATCGTAGAAGCCGAATTGAAGCTGGAGATAAGGGTGACAGAGAATAAGGTGAATAATGCAAATCATCTGTATTACGACGAGCAGAATAACGAAATATCGTATTCGGATCACGTGACCGTAATCGATTTGAATCCGAATTCGTATATGGCAAACGTTGCTGAGATGAATGAGAAAGAAAGCCAAGTGATGGTGTTAGAATGCCCTACAACAACAACAGCACAGAAGATATATTTTTGCAAAACAAAACTTCATCATTTTCATACATTAATGCCTGAAATAGCTGTTGTGTGTATTTGTCCTCCTAAGCCTTGGTTAATCAGTGCTGTTGTTCCTCCAGCGTTAGCTGTATCATTCGTGCCAGTTTGATTTGTTATGCCCGTTGAATGTTGATTGTTACTGTTTATACTTGAGTAGGCATTATTCATATGTTGTTCATCGTAGAGACAATCAACTTGTGTACCGAAGATTTCATTTTGCAACAAAGCTTGATAAGTTAGGAGATCTTTGGCACGATCAGCAGCTGTTGTTGTTGTTCCACTCGAAGTCGTAAGATTTGGTCCTGTGTTTGCTGTGTTAGACGTTGAAGTTTCGCGAGACGATTTTCTATCTGACATTGGACCTTTATGAATTTGTTCTTGATCAATGAAATAGGCAGATGGTTGTGAAACGCTCCGAAGTGGAATAAAACGATCACTATGTTTGATTGGCGATGGCGAAGATATCGGAGATGAGAATGGAGATGATGAAAGCGATGAGCATCCTGACATTGACCGAATTAAGCGACGTTCGAAATCAGGTTCCATGATGATTAATCTTACAAATAGAACACGATCGATCAATCACGTCAGTACTAAAAAAAATGCAATGAGCACAATTACAAACAACGGCCAGACAAAGCCTCGTGTCATCAGTGGTTCAAGACCGTGTCCAATGAAAAAAATTTGACCGTTTTTTTTTAGAAAATTCTTTCTATCTGTGCAAATTTATTAGGAAGTCATTCTATTGAATTAGTTTCCTTTTCTTATTAATCAACAGGACACTTTGTGAAGTAGATGGCGCTAGTGATTTGCAAGTGATTGATATACTTTCAAAAGAACGTTGCGCCGTTTTTATTAAAAAAAGTTGATTAATGATATTTGATGAAACGTAAGATTGTTTATTTTGCTCTTCAGCTTCTTTGTTTACACGAAACTCTTATGTATGACTTGGTAGACCCGAATTTAGATTTAGACAGCGTATAGCATGCGAAATCGCTTCCGGTGAATCATTGAAGTGAACTATAATTTTCAGATACATAGTATCATCACAAATATATGGATTATTCGGTTGTCGAAGCGTTTCTAAAGGTATAAAGTCATGTATGCCACTTGCTATATTCATATCAAAGCGAGGTCGTTGGTAACTAGTTGACTGCGTATCTGGTTGAAATGATCTTATAACGTGTCTGCGTTGACTTAATTGATCATAAAGGCAAAATGTCACTTTATAATTAAATGGAAACGAAAGAAGAGCATCGTATTCTCCGCGCATGAGTACGAAAAGAACAGATAGATATTTACATTTAGCATTTCCATCGCCGTCCAAGTAAATACGCATCCTCATTTTATAGCCATTTGGCGAGGAATAGAATGGTGGTGAATAGATTGACGGATGTTTACCTTTTACTGCATCCACTAGAAAATATTGACAAATTCAAATTTAAGAGTAAACAAACATTCGGTTCAGAATGCATACTCATATTCTGTTGAACATTCGTAATTTTCCATAGGAATGTTCCATCGTAAGACGCTACTGACCGGTTACTGATCTCTTCAGCTAATGAATATATGTATTGTCGAAATATTTGTCGATTAACGGCAAACACTTTAGCAGATGCTCCTGTTTCTTCGGTATCTTGTTTTAAATGCAGTAGATCTTTCGCTACAGCGTTTACTAAGTGCTGAGTTTGCGATAACTGTGACTTCATTCGCTGTATGTCATCAGTCTCGGCACACAACTGGTCAGAAAAAGCGCTGATTGAGATATTTCGTTCGTTGTTCGACACGAACGAAGTTGATGATGAATGTTGTGACGGTATACTTTGATGTTTCTGCTCATCCTCGTCTTCTAGTTGAACGGCATGAATGGTGACTAAGTGATTCTGAAAAAAGACGAATTTTACATAAACAGATTGTGACAAAAATATTGTCTTACAGGATAATCTCGAAAGAGACCGTTCCAATCACAGACATAACAAACAACCGGTTGTAGTTCCATCTCTTCTACATTCTTTCCATCATCCTTTATGTTTCATTAGAAAATAAAATAAAGCTCTTGGATGCCAGAAATTAAACGTAAGACTTACCATATCTGGTATTGTTTCCGTACAACATTGTACACAATTGCACAGCAGTCTAAATATAATTAACAACGCTTATAATTCAAAAGCCAATCTCACAAACAGAATGTGCTTACAAATCAATGAGATTTAAGCAACTTTGGCAAAACCGATGACCACATTTTAACCGAATGGGTTTCCGCAAAAATAGCGTACATTTCTCACATATACAAAAACGTGGAACAGAATCTTTATTTCGAATATTAAAACCAACCATGTCAATTTTCGTTCACCGAAAATAATGATCAACTCTCTCGACTTTCCTGGACTTTTTAACACGTATTCAACGTAAATAAACGTCTTCCTAGGAGATTTCATAAAGACAGTTAGGTTTTTTCCTCTATTTGCATAACTCAAACTTATCAGTCTTGTCCAAAATTGAATTCTGGTTGATTCTTTCAACACTATTTAACAGTTATTTTTAATAATCCGATAATTTAATCAAATTCTACATTTCAAATAAATAAAATTTGTCATACGATAGCAATCAAACACACCGGTACGCGTTTCTCGATGTATTTACTCATGGATAAAACCTCTCGATATTTTTCAGGAACTCAATTTTGTTTGTACTCGACGTCACTTCGCATTCTGATCGTTTTTTTTAAATTATAAAACAACAGTATCCATACATCACTATGTCGTTTGCGTCGAAAATATTTTTTCATCGATATAACAAATGTCACTATTAAAATAAAGATGACGAAGAAAGAAAATGGCAGACAACGTGTGAAATTGTTTTTACCTTACACGAACCGCTTTTACCTGAGAAGGAAAAAACAAATATTATCTCGCACTGTAGACGAAAAATAAAGAACATGAAATCATTCTTACCAGAAAATAGTGAAGGCCAATCGAACGCTTTTCACACATGCTTATATAAAACTTTTATCCAAAAGCTCTAAGAATTATCCAGTATGATCACATGACCAATTTTATCAATTAAAAGACGAATGAATCACACATACGATAAGAACAACAGCCATTCTCTCACCGTCGACATGCCGCTCATTAATGACATTTATTATTCATATTTGTCTATAACATAATGACTCTTATATGATACATTAACGAATGTGTTGTGAAATGTTTTCATTGATACTTGAGGCTTCTTATTTATGTTGTTTCTGTTGTCATTTGGAGAAGGAGCGGAAAGACTCGAGTCGTTCTTTGAATTCTATGATCTTATTGATTAAATGATCATCTTTCATCTTGTGTTGGATTCGTAAAAGACGGAATAATATCAAATAAACGAACTATGATGAAAGTACCCTTCTTATTATTAAACGTTCGCATGGATAAACATTATCGTATGTCTACATCGTAAGAAAACAGGTGACATTGTCTAATGACAAATAGAGTTAGGTTAGACGTTCGTTATTTTCTGTTAAGAACATGTTCCTGTCAATTTTATTACATGCACGAATTGAAATTCTCTTCGATATAATGAATTTCTATTGTTCGTTAGAGAACGTGAAAGATGTTTTTGGCCAAGTAAATATAGAGCGAAGAGAATGTTGGTTCAGAAACGATTTCATTCGGATGAGCGAACATATTCACGGCATTATCCACATCTGTTTTTCTTCATATTTTAAGTATAAATATAAGCGTCTCAGTTTTACATCGTTAGTTCAGCTTTTCTTTTGTATGAGCGACTTACCTTAAACATTGTACAGATCAACGTGATAGTTGATCAATTGTTTCCGAAGAAATTCAATTCACAGAAGATAAGTGCAAACAGATAAAATGCTTTTTTTTAATGAATTTCTCGAATTCTCCTCGTTTTCATAACATGATGAAAAATGAAGGTTAGCAGCATATGGGTACCGAAGTGTAAATAATAGAACGCAATTCTATACCTGTCAATTCTGTTGTTTACTAATGAATTAGATAGAAAGCAAGACAAAGTGTAGGTAATATTTATTGAAGAATGATAATCGTGACATTCTAAACCGAAAAGAATATTTCAGGATTGGGTACGATGCCTGTTGGGAAAACCACTGACTGAACTAGATTATTTAATAAATAGAGATCTGATAATTTTCATGAAACATTTTCATTCTGTCACGTAGACATTCTCTTTCTTCATATCTGACATATAGAAAGTCTTCCTTTCGGAACAAATGATAGTTTATGCTTAGTAAGATCTCATGCTGTGCTGTCACTTCGTAGTAAACCGTCGATCTATAAATAGGAAAATAAGTTCAATCAAGCAGCAGATTACATAAGTCGCATCTATTTAACACGTGAGAGACAATTAATTTTCAGTCAGGAGATAGTTTTAATTCGAGTCTGATCTTAAGAAAATAGTTCCTTCAAAGTGATCTTCTTTTATAATTAAGAAATGCATGATAAGCTACAAAGAAAAAACAACGTATTTTTTATCTTGAAGAAAGTTTTTTCCTAATAATGGGGTATAGAATCATCGTTGAAAAAGACCACCTTCTTGTCACATATCCGGAAACAGAGTGAAGACGAATTTCCTTTTATTTTACGCCAGATTGGAATAGCAACCAAGATTAAAACATCAATGCCTTTCTTCCATAAACAAACTAAGTACAAGATATGAACGTATTTTTCTTTGCTTTTCTCGCATTAAAAAAGATAAATTTACCATAAGATCTGACTTATATAGCGTTCGTCATGATTTCATTTGAATACGTTCACAGTGTCGATCTCCAGAGACATTCTCTTCTTCAACTTGTAATTACCTGATTCATATATATTTATTCATTATTTCAACTTTGCCTTTAGCTACTTTAACGCTTATGAATTTGTCCTTGTTAACTAATTATCCAATCAAATGTTTCTTTTTTCTTGTGTCTTGTAGACGTCATTGCTTGAGAAAAGATTTCGAATATGAAGTTTTAAGATTGTTTAAATCCAGTGAAATATCAATACGCGCAAGTGAATAGGAAAAGACTTAGAAATGAGATCGTTCTTGTTGTCTATTTTTGTATTTTCAATTCCCAAGTGTATTGTGTTGATGTCGTCGGTGAAATGACTTTTTAATTTTGTGAATATGTCTTGCATGTTCAATGTCGACGATCAGTTACAAAATGTTACTACTATCTGTCGATCGTATTAGCGATTGCGACGAGAAGAAAAGGAAAAAAGAAGTCTAATCTTCGAACTAATCATTGTTAGACGAGTTGAAGATAGAAAAAGAAGAGAAGAAAAAAAAGAAAGTAATCGCACTGTAATCATGCACACTATTGAGATGTTCTAGTCTAATGATGCCTGAGAATGTGACATTGTATTGATCATCTTGACATATTCAATGTGATGTTTTGCCTTTCTATTCCATGTGTTTGGGTGCGCATTTGTGTGATTCACCTAAGATTTATAGTTGTTCTCTTTCCTTACACATATTGATTGTAACATTTGTTTCTTCTGATTCAGATAGGTCAATGACCAGATTAAATGTTTCATAAGCTTCATTTACTTCCAATCTGTCGTCATCGTTATCATTCAAAAGTGGTCTTTTCTCATGGTTCCAAAGCGTCTGTAAAGATTCTATCTAAGTATGGCAAAGATCTTAGCTGCGTGTGATAAGGACCAGATTGGAACAGGGTGCTTGTAGGGAAAAGTTGAACGTCGATCAGTAGTTTGAAAGGATAGACGTTTCTCTTTTTCTTTTTAAAGTAAATTGAGCAAACAACGAACGAACCGACGGCAATCATTTTCCAGCTGATAAAACGAGAAGGAAAAGAAATTTTAGTGACGAGTTTGCTTTCTCAGGTCGCAAATGAGATGTAAAGTATAGCAGTTATGCATCGAGTATTTTGAAAACTCTAAGTAGAAAAATTTGTTGAGAGGCATAGAAAGGAAATTGTGAATAGGCTTTTTGTATATAGTATATTAACTGAAGAAAAATAAAAGTAACGATACTGAGATAGAACAAATGTTTTGTCATCATTAGTACATTAGAATACTTGATGAGATAGATGTATGTCGAAAGGTCGATATTGCACAATTCATTTTTTTTTCAAAAGAAAACTCTGACATGAATTGAATATCATTTAGTTTGAACTTGTGTTAAAAGAATACTTAATTGCAATGAGAACACAAGATTCATTTTGCTTTTAGTAAATCCTTGAAATTAAGTTTTGTTAGTTCTATAAATAATTTCTCATCTAATTGATTTGATCTTTCAAGTTCGTTATTTTCTAATCGGATATGACATTAGTCGTTTTTCTAATATAAAATAGCTATTTAAATTCGCATTCCCAATAGGCTCCTTTATTTGTTTGAAAATCTTCGAGAAATAACCACTCGTAGACGGAAGTAAATTGCTCAGCAAAATCATTCCCAAGAAAGAAAACCGATAACCAGAGTGAATGTATGATTCACAGTATCAAATTAGGAGAAATTAGAGCGTTCTTTCCCTGAAACGATCAATTTCCGAATTACCTGTCACGTATATTTTCTGGGAAGTAAACAATAGTAGATGTGAAAACAACGGTTTTTCTCCAGTTTTGACTACTATCGAGAATAATGATTGTGTAGAACTGATCAAAGTTCTTGGATACGAAGGAAACAACGTAATTTCTTGCCTACGCCTGATTTTCGATGATTTCATCTAAACCAATCAGTTCTCATTCATTCATTACATATTCATAACAACAATTATCAAAAATTTAGAAAGAAAACTAATTATAAAAGCATTTCTTGTATTCTGTAAACAACAGTTAATCATTCTATTCTGTTTAGTCTCATATTGTCATTCTCTCCGAACACGATCATTGCAGTGCAGTAGCGATTGATTAAGCGTAGGATTGCTCTACTTTTAAAAATCCACTTCCGACATGACTTCCATCGACTGAATAGAGTGAACAATCTGGTATTTCATTAGTCGAACAAGAGTCACTTTGACATATTTTGATTTGAAACAAAGATTTTATAATTTTATAAATATGTATGAGATGAAAAGTATCGAATTATTTTTTTTCTCTTTTGTCTATTCTCGCAGACTCGTCTTTATCATCAGCAGCTGACCAATCATTCTTATTCACATTGTAAATCTTTTCTCTGTCTTTTCAACGAAAAATGACAAAGTAAAACTATCATTGTGTTTTTTTTCTCTCTTTCTTCTTAAGTTTCGAATGACAATCATCATCGTCACCGCCGTCGCACGTCGAATGCCTTACCATTAATAAATCTTGCCAACGTTTTCCAAACTACGATTTCATCTATGTCAATATCAAATATTCGAACAACGGCACCTAATGATCAATTCACAACGTCACCAATCTTAACTAAAAAGCCATTAGCATTTGTTCAACCATGTATTCGGACGAATGACAATCAACTCGAAAAAAACATGTCATTTACATCTGATGAACCATTTTCATACGTTAGCCAAACGAGAAGACTTCCAATGAATAGCATCACAATGTATAATCATGAACAAAGGTAAGAGCATCGATTTCCTATTCGCGTCGATTGTCTCAATTTGCGTATTAGCAATTGAGGATGTATTATTCATCGAGACAAATGCGAGCGTTACATGCTGAATAGAACATCGATTTTGACATCTGCATTCGTTTCGCATGTCTAAATATTTCTTTCTCTTTCGCCGTTGTCGTTCGATTGAAGATAAAACGAAATTAATTTTGCACATTGACGCGGCTTGTTTTTCACTTCACATCTTCCGAGACAAACATGAATAACAGTTTTTCTTGCTCGCCGATTCTATACGAATAATTTTATTTGCAGGAAAAAAAACCGAATTATTAGATTGAAAGCGAGTTATTATTGTATGATAAATGATGAATATGAAAGATGTAATTGAATTAGATCAAGTATGGTTCGAAGGAGAAAGACGATACTCATAGGGTTATTTGCCACTAGCGCAAATAAACATTCAAAGTCACGATCAATTCATCAATACCAATAGGGAATTCTACCAAAGTCTACGTGCTTGTTCTTCTATATTAAAAATATTACAATTTATTTTTATCACTAATACCTATTAATGATGTTTTACGAGTTTGATACTCTTGTTTTCCATGTCAATGCCGGTTAACAGAAAATATTCTCTCTATTTTTGTGTTTACTCGAGTCTATTAGCAATGATGATTACATCAGTAGTTCGATAGGGTAATCGAATCTCTACGACAGTAATCGTTTGGAAAACATGAATAAGCATAAACTTGTCCGCCTCTTTTCTCCTCATCGTCAAGGCGCTGTTCTGCATATACAAATAGTTTTAATTGATCGTTCTACAGTTAGATATATAAATCTTCTCTTTGCACAGCAAATGTGCAAATAAAACTCATAAAAAAAAGGAACAAAGAGAGGTGATGCGTCATTCGGCCTGGATAAAAATAGATATTTTTTTATTGTTAGATTAGTAAAAAAAAGATAATTGATGAATATTTCCTCGTCGGCATGTAAAAACACCTTATAGATTGTGCGATTGTTACGATCGATCAATCAAATACTATAAAAGAAAGAAGAAGAAACGTCATTTCATTATCGGGATTGTTTTATCTATGCATAGAAACGAGTATCGAAATGAATACTCAAAAAAAAGTGGTTATATTAATAGGAATGAGATGATGTATGTCGTTGTGTGTGTGTCTATCTATTGCATTTGAGTGTAATAGCAAAAACAAAAGAAAAAAAACGGAGAAAAAGGAAAGTGAAAGAAAAAGACTTAAGAACCACCAGTCGTCGAACTGAGTAAAGAAAGAAAAGCAAGAGAAGAAGAGGAAGAGAGAAGAGACGACGAAGAAAAATCAATGTCGTTTTTCTAATTTATTAATGAGCAAATACGCATTCTCGCATTCTCACTCTCCCTCCTCCTCCTCTTCTTCCTTGTTACTGCCTGGAGGACAGAGGACAGGATACAGGACGATGATGACGAGAGCACAACGTCGAATCGTGCGAAGAAAATCTCTGTCGTTTTTTGTATATGTGTATTGCTGACATAGAAGAACGAAGACAAAGCGTATTAGTGGTACTTCACACTCTCGTCGTTCTTGTTCACCAGCATGTTCGGATGGCTGCGTGATGCACTTGCCAGTGCTCCAACTTCTTTTAATAATCGTCAGCTTCCAACACCTTCAGTCTTTCGTCAGTCGAGTCGAACACGCGAACGTATCTCATCATCGGAAGACGATGATAACAATCAATCTGTTGATCATTCATTCTATCACAATCCGTATCATTCGAGTGGACAAATGAACTACGCGGAAATCCCTCATCAACAATACACCAATGAACACACTTATCCAACATATCTCGCTCGACAACAAACGTTTGATCAATCGAATCGAACACTCGACGATCAGATTCAAGCCAAATTGATATCATTACAACAACGTCCGCAACAAGTGCAATGTTATGCTCACCGGCAAAACAATTATGCATATAGAAATCGAACGATCTCCACATCAACACCTCATTCTGTACTTGTATCCAACGGCAAAGAACAACGATTGAGTAGTAATGATGAAGAACGCTCTGATGAAGATGACGATGAGGATGATGAAATCGATAAAGATGAGATTGTTGATGAAGACGATGAAAGATCATCAGTTACCGAACCTTATCATGGAATTCCCGGTTATTATTCTGGTCAATATTCTCATATAGATGAACAATTTGATTTTGCATCCGTTGTCCTATGGTATAGAGGTGTCATGCAATCTGTTAAAAAATACCTGTGAGTCGAAGGAAAATCTAATCATTTAATTAGTAACTAAAGGCAAAGTAAGGAAGAGGAAATGACGAGACGTTTGCTCAGGTAAATCGAATATCCCCAATCGAAAATTTCCGCATAGGACAAACACCGAATGAAATAATCTTCTTCTTCTCTCGGTATGTTCTGCACTAATTTAGCTCAGTCTACTTTACGGTTGACAGAAAACAAATTGTTGCTAATAGCGCACGTTAAATATTTGTGTAGAAAAGAAAATGAATTATTTAGATCCAAAAAACCCGTCACATTGAATAAATTTCAGCATGTTAAATTACAAATTCCTCCAGTATACAGGAAAACAAACAAGTCGTTTTTTTTCCTTCTTTTAATATTTGTATGTGAAAAAAGATCGTGTTTAGAAGACTCAGGAGAGAAACTAGCGATTAAGATTTCTTTTGTCCTCACAGTTGTCAGTCATTACCACCTTGCTGAAATCTGACGACGAAGAAAATTAACCAAATGATGAAACACACATAGGTTTTCTTCTTCCCTTTGACGGAAAACACAAGCGAATGTTTTTGACACACATGCATAATAGTCCGAGAAAATCGCTCTCAAGCAGATTAATCTGTATTTCCGAACTAAAACTCTTCTCGGTCCACTGATTAAATTTTGGTTATTGTCGAGAAAACTTTTCTTTTTCTCTTCACGACGATCTAGTTTTCAATAATCAATAATCAATAAAGCAGAAGGAAAAAAAATCCTTCAGGGGAAATTCTTTATATCTCTAAGAAATATTGTCGTTCCGTTAACTCACCATGAACTTTGCGTTCTGCTCATCGACTTTTATAATTCTCTCCAATTATGCAAATTGTAACGATCGATCGCATCATGTGTCATATAAACATCTTTTGTCGAAGATTCTTTCAAATAATAAACGTTTTATTTTCTTGTTTTCTAGTCCAAATAATCAGAATTATATTCACGATGAAAACAATGAATACAATACTCATCATTATTCGTTAAGTAGTCAAACGCCGATCTCGTCGAGGAAAATCATTGAAAAGAATCTTCTGTTCAATCACGAAACTAATCATTCCAATGTATCTCAATCATCATCCAAAGTCAAATGGATCGGTGCTGTACGGACAGTCACTCAATTAAATCAAGTAAGACAATCTAAATATATGTCGAAAGGAAAAGGATATGTCGCTCTTGTTAAGTCATATCCGGATTCAAATTGAATGTCAAGAATTCGTCAGAAAACTGATAGGTTAATTATTTCATTTAGACATTCTTTCGAATAATTACTTACTTAACATGGAATAGTCTGATTTTTTTGTCACCTACTAAATCGTTGCAACTTATAAAGTAGTTAGATTTTGTTTTGAAATCTACATGAAGTAATGTGCACGTATCACAGATCATTTCATCTCGAGTTTTTTCGTCTTGTTCTTAAATATCAGTTCGATATGCAAGTTGCTCTTTATTCTTCCAAATAACATCTGTTACCACTCGAATTTTGTGTTAACACTACGACAGGAAAAATATTTATTCTCCTCAGTTGATTTCTCTGATCAAAATATGACACACTAGTGTCTCGAACATCCTTTTCCTTCTTTGCGCTGCATACATAAACATGGAGGTGATGAAGTCTAATGTGAACTCTTCAAATAAGTTTCAACGATATTACTCAACAACAACAATATCTGATGCTGAAGACATTTCTTCCGATAACGAACGTCTAGAATGGGATGAATCTGATTTCGATCGACACTTGCCAGAATCAGATGCAATGTCAGCCTATGATATCAATGAAATGGCTGAAATCTTGCGTCATCATTTTCTGGAATTCGATATGACATCGCAAGCAGGTACCGTATCACATCTTTCTCGTCAATCGACAATTACGGATGCGAACATCAATCCAACGAATCAAATACCAATTTTGAATAGAAGAACAAGACATATGTTCTGTCGAAGTCAATCCGAATGTCTTCCGATGAATTTATCACGAAAATCTTTCAATCCAAGATCAAAACATTTGTCTCTGTTAGATGTTCATTCACCTTCGAACTTGAAATTATTCAATGAACGTGTAATAACAAAAGCGAAGCATCGTCGTTCATTCTGTTCAATTCCACATTTGATGGAGATTGAATATGAACCTCAAGTATTTCACACATCGACAACATTGTACTTTATGCGTTTATCAAAATTGGCAAAAATTCGTTTATATTTCGAAACTTTCCAAGACAAAATCTGCTCATTCATTTGTCAACAATTCCATTCAATGCAAATATCTATTCCTACTAAAGATATCATCGATACGTATGACATTATCGACGAATAGATTGTTACATAATTTTCTTCGTTTTTCTATCATCAACGCATTAGTTGCTTCTGGTTTTTTTTCGCAATTAAGTAATAAGATTTATCAGCATTCGATTGTAGTATATTCGTTCCATTTCTATAATTTGAATCTATTTAATCGATTAGAATATCAAAATAAACAGAACATATCTGTTCATACTCAAAATGAATGGAAATACAATTTCTTCTTCTTCTTAGTGGAGGTACGAGTTTTTCTATGAAGGATGAAAACACAACTCCCTTCTAGTTCGTTGGATATTATCATCATAATCAATCGTTTAGAAAGAGACATTTTTGGATCTTTTCTCCTTTTGATGTTTGACGTCATCAATATTTCTCATTAGTCCAAGGAAGCTCAAGAAAAACTTCATTTCTATCTGTTCTGATTAATGTTCGAGACCATAAAATGATATTTTGTTGGCCAACAAGAGTAAAAGTCTTCAAACTTAAGTACAACTCTTTCGTTGTTTTGTTCTTAAATTAAATGACATGTGAACTGTATTGCTTCTTTTCTGTTTTACCGGAAGTTAACCTGGAGAGAATTCTGGTTGATCTCATTTCAAAGAGTCTATTAAATAGTTTCTTTAATTTTCTCTGAAATAAATCAAGTAAAAAGAATCAACAGATGTGTACTCGTGAAAACAAAAGTAAAATTTGTGTCTAGTCTAGTCTAGTTATCTGTTGTGTTTGACACCTCTCATTCTGTGACTGTCATTCGTTATCTCTCGACATTGACGTTTATTTCTACTGTTGCGTTGCTCATTTAATAGACTAAGTGTGTTTTTATCTGCCTTGTCGGTTTTCCTCTTTTTGTCAATGCAAATTTCTTGTACTAGTAGCCAGAGGAAGTTATTGCGTGACATTACCGATGTCCTCCTAACAAGATGAAAAAGAGAGAGAAAGAAAGAAAGAAAGGAGAAAGAAAAGAAAAGAAAAGAATAACACAAGTTCTATCCTGATATGTTTCTTTTTCTTCTTCTCGATGTTTTTTGTAAAGGAAACAAAAGATACGATGGTACTACTTTCAGCAACGAGTATCCATCATCGTCATCATCTTTCGATCAACTAAATGTGGCAATGCATTTTATCTCCGGTCTACCGGTTTGTCCACCAATATGTCCTCCGTTGAATTCCGATCCTTTCGTTTCTTCTTCGGAAGAAAATCTTCATGTACGATCAAATGTTTTATTTAATCGAAAATTAAATAAATATGCCAAACAATTTGGTCGTCGCTTTATTTTCGCTTCTACCAAGGAGAATTTTTCCGATGAGAAAGATATTGACGAAGAATTCGATAAAATATCTTTGTCTGCCACTACCTACGTGAGTTCCTATATCAACATCTTTCTCTTCTTTTCATTTCATTTCCTTTTCTTCGATACAAAATTCAATAATCTTCTTATTTCTACATTTCCAATCTCTTTTTCTACCTAGAATTCTCAAGAAATCTTAGATTCAATTCATGACACTCCAAATTCCAAGCAACATTCGCCATTAATTGATTCGGATGGATTACCGATCACAAAAAGAATTTTACCAGGCATAAATAATCAACATGATACAATACTCGATGATGGAATAGGAAAAACGACGAACGGAGGAATAAATAATGGAAAGTATGTTAAATAATTTTCACATTATTCTTCTCTTGACAGAAATTAAATAATTAGCAGATCAGTCGTAGCCAAAATCAATTATTTCTTCGAGAACTTTTTAGAAAATTAAAGATATCGACACAGAATGCATTGTGATCTTTGTTTTCTACTGCCGACTTTCCCCTTTCTAATTCATCAAACCGTTTTTCTCTTATTCGATTAGATGAAAAAAGAAATTAGTTTATATAAGAGCCGTTCTATTCGTCTAATCCAACGTTGATGCGTATACGTATGATACGATTGTCAACAGTTATTAGCATCTATGTAAGAAAAACATCGTCGATGATATTCTGTTGATTAATACGAACATACTTTTTTCTCATAATCAACTAGATCTTTTCGCAGCCACACTTCAGCTTCGTACTACTTCGAGATTTGTTTTATTCATCAACGGTTATCGAAAGAACGAGAACCTATGTTTGTTTCTTTGTCTCTTTATTCATCGTATGAGAAGATATCAATACACAGCCTAAGTACAGATTAAATCATCGAACAAAATCTCTTTTTTTCACAAAGACTACTGGCGTGCGCTAACAGCATGTTACTTGGATGATGAATAGATAGAATTGTTCTATGGAGCGTGTTCGATAGAATATCTAAGAAAGTTATTCATGTTTGAATTTCGTCTTTGAACAGTATCTCTTTTAATCATTCTCTCGAGTAATAGAGAATATGTTTACAACACCCGGATATTCATTGATGATCTGCAATCTATTGGTAAATGCAATTATCGACTTTGATCATCGGTTCTTTTTGTCATACGTTTACAAACATTACTTGTAGAAAATTGTTTTGTTGAAGCTAAATCTCTCGAGAGAGAATGCAATGCACGTGTCATATTCTATTATTTGAAGGGAATATATTCATTAAAGTGCGTCGACGGAAGGCACGTAATTTAATACGAATGAAACATTTGACACAATTTGGGTACGCGAAAATAAAAACAAACATAACATGAGAGTAAAGACAATTGTAAACCGACTACTTAGACAACGTGTCGAATATGCTAATCAGAATTGTCTCCTTTAACTTAATAACACGAAGACAATTTGTTCTCTGTTCATCTCGTGATCAATAATTGATATTTTTTCTTTCAGAAGAGAGAATGTATTTAGTAGCAAGTCAACGCAACCATTTTGAGAGTTTACGAGCAATCTAGAACAAAAATTTAATATAAATAGTTTCCTCCGCTTAATTTCACCTTCATTTAATCTTTATTGAATACATATGAACCTATAACTCGATGAGACTCTTCTCTTTTTTCATGTTAGTAACGCATCCAGTGAACAGCAGGACAACAATGCCTTTTACAAATGCATCGATAGTGCACCGGATATACCTGAACGAGGCAAAATGGTTCCGTTGGGTCTCGACATGGTAATATATATATAAATAGCGAATGAAATCTTTTTTATTCTAATTATATCCTTCACTTCAACTCTATTAAGGGTATATCAGTTGGTAAACGTTCAGCTGGCGTGCCGAGCGCTATTGGAAGACCAAATTTAAACGACGAAGAATTGGTAAATGAACATCTCTAAGAATTAAGGATTCACATATATATATCATATTCTTTTTAGCGTACACATGTATATAAAAAAACTTTACAAGCATTGATTTATCCGATTTCGTTGACGACGCCGCATGATTTTGAATTTTGTTCATTTACACATCCAACCTATTGCTATGAATGTGAAGGTTTACTATGGGGTATCGCTCGGCAAGGTCTAAAGTGCCGAGAATGTGGAGTTAAATGTCATGAAAAGTGTAAAGATCTCCTCAATGCTGATTGTCTTCAACGTATGTGTTTTTATGATTTTCCTAATGAGATCGTAGGCATAGAAAATAGAGAATATGATAATACTGTTATATCACGTGTTCATATTGAGATTTCTATAAATTGAAAGTTAATCTAGCGTGAACGACGCTATCAGTGAACTTTTAATTTCCTCTCCGGTGACGAGCATAATAATAAGAAATCGTGTGCATCAGAAGAAGTTCTTCTTTCTAGGACGCGCTCAGAAAAATGCCAAACATGGTGCCGATGATAAAGCAAAAAATTTAATGGAGGCCATGCATGAAAAAATGACACTCAGGGAAACAACACGACCCTATTTGTTTAAAACAATCAGGTAAAGAAGTTCTTATTACACTGGAAAGTAATAAAAGACAAAATATCTTCCAGGGATGTGTTCAATGTCGATGAAAAATCTCATGTTGGTCATATGAAAGCTGTTAAACAAAGCGTACTTGATGGAACATCGAAATGGTCAGCCAAATTGGCCATTACTGGTCAGTAGAAACTATCTTCGAAGAATCTTTTTCGAAGGACAAACTTGTATTTGTAGTGATAAGTGCTCAAGGTTTAATAGCGAAAGATAAATCTGGTACATCTGATCCATATGTGACCGTTCAAGTTGGAAAAGTAAAAAAACGTACGAAGACAGTTTATTCCGAGTTGAATCCAACATGGAATGAGAAATTTTTCTTGTAAGTCATGCAAAAAAAATACAAAGAAACAGTAATTATGTTGATTTTCAATCTTCTGACCATTTTAGTGAATGTCATAATTCATGTGATCGAATCAAAGTTCGAGTATGGTAAGTTATAGACACTTTTTCTATTGGAAAATCATTTGCGAATGATTTGCTTTGAATGCATAGGGACGAAGATGACGATATTCGAGCGAAATTAATGCAGAAATTAACACGTGAATCAGATGATTTTCTTGGACAAACAATCATTGAAGTTCGAACATTGTCAGGTGAAATGGACGTTTGGTATAATCTTGAAAAGCGAACAGATAAATCGGCCGTTTCTGGTGCTATTCGTCTACATATATCAGTGGAAATCAAAGGTGAAGAAAAAGTAGCGCCATACCACGCACAATACACCTGTTTACATGAGAATCTCTTCTATTCGCTTTGTGAAAATAATAATGGTCAACCAATTATCCCTGAAGCGAAAGGAGTAAGTTTACTGCAAAGAAAACATTTCAATCTATCGATGCATTTAGGATGATGCATGGAAAGTTTACTTTGATGAACCGTCACAAGAAATTGTCAATGAATTCGCTATTCGATACGGCATTGAATCCATTTATCAAGCAATGACGTAAGTTTCACTTCGATTTCACATATGATAATCGATTTTGAATTGTAGACATTTTGCTTGTCTATCAACGAAATACATGTGCCCCGGTGTTCCTGCTGTGATGAGTACACTCTTAGCAAATATCAATGCCTACTATGCACATACAACAGCAACGACAGCAGTATCAGCAGCTGATCAATTTGCTGCATCGAACTTTGGAGTATGCACATTAGTTTGTTTGTATTTCGTATGTTAAATATTACAAATACTAGAAAGAAAAGTTCATCAAATTACTTGATCAACTTCATAATTCAATTCGAATTGATTTGTCTTTATATCGAGTATGTTTTGATTCATTGTACATTTCTATTCTTTTAATTTTCTTGCTTTCGTGTAGAATAATTTTCCTTCTTCAAATGTAGAACGAATGCAAGATTTGAAATCAACAGTCGATCTTCTAACATCAATAACATTCTTTCGTATGAAGGTAAAATGACATCTCTGTCTTTCATTTCTTTTTTTCTCGATTCGAACTAAAATCTCTAAAACAAAAAAAAAACATAATTAACCCGTCACTCTAATCGCTAATTCATAGTATGGGAGAAGTGTACATTTTCGAATGACGGTCAAAGCTGAGGTAAGCTATGCACTTGGTTTGATTGCATGAATATGAAAGCATTTTTCACCTGAATTGCATTGATTTCTTGGATGATTTTTTCCTATAAACATTTATTTTTCTTTTTCTTTCCAACGACACTCCGATATGAAAAGAAAAAACGCGAAAGGAAATAGGTTTTTTTCTTCTTCCTTTTCTCTCACTGAGTGAATAGAATTGATCACAAACATAAATACTCATAGTTCTGTTCGTCTTATTCGTCGATGTTCGTTGTTCGACACAGTATCTAAATGATTGATCAGCCATTATATTATCATCATTTGCCTGCACCTTACTGTTTTTGTTCTTTTAATGATGATCTTCAGGTTCAAGAATTAAGTTCTCCACCACGAGCGTCAACCGTTGTCAAAGATTGTGTCAAAAATTGTATTCGTCATACGTACAACTTTTTATTTGCAAATTGTGATGAAGTTTACAAACGAGAATCAAAGCAACAAAACAATCTAACCGCAACGTCGATTGCAGACAACAATGAACAACTTGATGAAGGTTTACAAATGTTACCATCGACAACAACAACAACGACGGTTGTTGGACCAAGTTTGAAAAATCTACAATTTTGGCATCAATTAATGTACTTGTTAACATGTATCATATCAGAAGACAGAGAACGATATTGTTTGGTGCTGAGTCAGTGAGTCGAACCTATCATTAGAAAATGTTCATATTCAATCAATTAACGTCTATTTATTTATTAATAGATTCCCATCGGAACTTAACGTAGGTCATATAAGTGCAGATACCCTGTGGAAACTTTTGTCAACTGATCTAAAAGATCATCTTGAAGGTAAAATTGAGCAAAACACGGTTTGTTTTTGTATGTTTATAGATAAGAATGAATGATGCTAGTTTTGATCGAATCTCGAACGTTCTAGGACAATACATAACTAGTAATTAATAAATAGAAAAGGATGTCAAGTACGACATGCTACCGGAGATTGCGTTCGTTCTTTAGAGAATTAATATTTACTTCAGCAAAAAAATCTATTATCGAAGTTAGAAAATCTCGAGAGAAATGCATTTCGGTTTCAAAAATAGAATCACAAAGTTAAAAATTCTTCGTCTGATTACTCGGAATAAAATGAAATCAAGCGAAACAAATTGATTGTGTACTTTCGAACACAAACACGAAAATACTTTTCTTTAATGAAGAATCAATGGAGAAATCAAATTATTAGTTTAAAGTAGAAAAGACAAATGTGGCTTTTGGTTCGAGAAGAGATTAACTGACATGAATTCTTTCATGAACAATCATATGGGGAATGTAACGAAACAATTCGAAGATTTGATCTAATTATAGTTTAGAAGAAGAATAGAAAAGTTATTCTGACCTATTTGCTTTCTTTCTAATGAATAACCGATCGATATTTTAATCATCATTTGAAATCATCTTATAGAACCACAAATTCTCAAATATCGAAGAACGATTCAGAGAGTTCACCGTTGCGGAGATCTACAGATGACACTAATCAGATCTGTAATCGTTAAATCGATTAATTATCTCTTCATCTATTTTATAGAACATGCACGAGTTCCTGCTGAACGCCGTGAAGTGAAAAGTGCAGATTATATGAATCTTCATTTTATGGTTAAACGATTCTACGATACTTCTGTCAAGATAATACCTGAAGCAAAAAACATCGTTCCTGAATATCCTAAGTAAGTCTTTCTTTTCTGTAGAACATCTCTTGTCACCTATGCTACTCGTAAACAGTGCATATACACCGAAAGATTTTAAACGGTAAAGAACGATCGAAAGTATTCGAGCTATCTATCACCTAATCTTACGTTTTTCATTCGCCTGCATGATCAAAGGAAACGAAATTGCATGACGTGAATCTCTTTTGAAAAGAACACGATTTGTTTTCTGATAATGATAATATTGACGACATTCCTTTCGTTTTCTTCTGGAAAGATGGTTTGAACCTTTCGTAATGCAATGGTTGAACGAAAATGATGATATGTCTATGGAATATCTTCACAATGCCTTGGAAAAAGATCGACAAACAGGGGTGTGTAATTGAATTAATCGAATCTTTTTCTCCTAAAAATGACACATTCATTTTCTGTAGTTTCAACAAACGTCGGAACATTGTTTATTTTCTTCGTCTGTTGTTGATGTTTTCACTCAACTGAATCAATGTCATGGAATCATCAAAACTCTCGATCTGCACGATCCGCTCGTTATCTCGAAGTATATGCGACGCTTTTCAGTAACCATTTCACAAGTTTTACTCGGCTATGCAAATGCAATACGACGAACATTTGAACATGTCGGCGGACAAGATCGAATTTGTTCGATATTGATGAACAATATTCAGCAGTTGAGACTGAACTTAGAGCAATTGTACGAACTCATGGGTGGTGCGCAACTAGATGATGAAACGAAAATCATGCTTAATGATTTACAGAAGCAGTTAAGTGATGTTCTTGATGAATTGAGCGCCATGTTTGTCAAAAGTATTGAACCAACTATAAGACAATGCATCGAAGAAGTTTACAAACAGTTACAACAGATTAAAGGCAATCAAATGGGCTCTGGAAATGCAAGTGGACAACAAAAAGGTGCCGAGGCAATGGTAGTAACAAAATCACTATTAGATTATCTTGATCAAAGGTAAGAAAAAGGATACTCGATGAACTGTGAAAATTGTAAAAATCTGTTCTTTATTTGTTCTAGATTAACGTTTTTTGCTAATCAATGTGAAAAAACGGTATTAAAACGTCTCTTGAAAGAATTGTGGAAAGCTGTCATCAGTGATTTGGAAAAAGTTATCGTGTTACCGCCATTTAGTGATTCAAAAAATCTACTTACGATTCCAACGGCTAAAATCGAAGATGCTTATCGACTTCTGTCTGGGGTTTGTTTATTCTCTTTTGACGTATCACATAACGAATCTCTCTCTCTCTCTCGGAATGAATAGGAATTAGGCCGTGATAATGATCGAAGTTTGTCTCAAAAGCAATGTCAAATATTAGATCGTGGTTTAGAGGACTTAAAAGAATTCTTTCATGCGTCCGGTCAAGGTTTAAAACGCAATTATCTTGAGAAAACTTTGGAGTTGCAATCACTTAAATATGCACTTTCTTTATACACACAAACAACTGATTCATTAATAAAAACATTCGTTAAAACAGAAAAAGATCAAGGTAAGAACCTCGCTGAGATCAAAGCTAACTCGTTATTCGCGTTTTAGATCGACCTGCATTAGAAGAATCATTTGGTGAAGTTTCCATTCAAGTTGATTTATTTACACACCCAGGAACTGGCGAACATAAAGTTACTGTCAAAGGTATGAAGATGAAAGAAAATCTGTAGTGAATTGAGCAATTATTTCTTGTCTTAAGTTGTGGCTGCCAATGGTTTAAAATGGCGAACATCAGGAATGTTTCGTCCTTATGTCGAACTAGCGATGTGCGGTCCTCATTTAAGTGACAAAAAGCGTAAACAAACAACCAAGACAAAAAGTAACACATGGATACCGAAATATAACGAAACTTTTCATTTGTAAGTCGTCGACTTAGTCATTTGATAAAATTGATTATTTCGCATTTAGTTTATTGGGCAATGAGGAAGAGCCTGATTGTTATGAATTGAATATATCTGTGAAAGATTATTCATTCATGCGAGAAGATCGTCTAATCGGTTTGAATGTGATTAAATTATCTCAAGTATGTGAGCAAGGTTCCTGGTCATCATGGGTTCCACTCGGTTCACGTATCAATTTCGACGATACCGGCTTGACAATTTTAAGAATTCTTTCGCATCGAACAAATGATGAACTAGCACGAGAGTTTGTTGCATTGAAATCTGCTCGACGACATAAAGAAGAAGTGTGATGAACATTTTCTACTTTGTACTGTACAAACCATTCTCTTTTCTGATTTCGTGTGCGTGTGTGTTTTCTTTCGATGTTTGTGTTCTTCTTTTTTTTACATATTGCTATACTACCCTTTGACGAACTGATTTGACTTTCTGTTTGTTGTTTCATCGAATGTGTTTTTGTTTTTCTTTCGAGTTATGTTATAAACAAAGAAAACCAGCAATTTATATTCGATGAAACATTTACTTTTGAGAAAAACGATTGGGACTGTAGTGACCTCTTCGAGTTTGAAAGAACATGAGAAAGACAAAATATTTGATTGGAATAATGAAATTGAATGATATTCCTCGAAATCTCTTCGTTTATCTGTTTTCGTTTGTTGATATATGTCGTCTGTAATCTCCTCAAAGAATTCATTCAAGTCATTAGTTCGTTCACACTCATCAGTATCCAAATGTTCGACCTCGAAAGCAAAATTTATCTGGCGTTTTCCACCATCCAAATTCGATCGTTTGCCAAGTTGTACAGTAGAGAGATTAACAACATTTGCTATTCAGCCATTGAGTGATGATGATGAACTTATCCAACGACAAGAATTAGCTTTGCTTATCTATGAACTGGCTGCACATATCAATGTGTAGGTAATCCAAGGAATGTACGGATTTAATTCTAAAGTTTCGTTCGTGTATAGATCATTCACGTGTGTTTATACTGGTGTGGTTTATATGCACCGATTCTTTATGTTACATCCTTTTCAACAATGTATGAAGAAAGTAAGAAGCAGCAGCTAATGCCGAATGAATCTAAACTTTTGGAAATTGTTTGTTTTAGATAGTAGCAGTAGCATGTCTTTTCCTAGCTTGTAAAGTAAATGAAATCCCACGACCGTTAAATGAATTTACTCGATACTTATGTCAACTTCTGAATCAAAACAATCATCTAGTCGTTCAAAATTCTTTGTCACCATCATCGTTACCCATTGTACAAGATAATGTTACGCCTGAAGTTAGTGAACAAGGAGTCGTTTTCCGGTGTGAATCTGATTGATGTTGTTGTTATTTTTGTCATAGATTCTGTTAACTTATAGTCAACAGATCATTGATTATGAAAATATGCTCTTGTCCACTCTCGGCTTTTGCCTCAATGTTGATCAACCTTATGTGATCATCAATCGAATAGCTCAAACATTGTCATGTGAGTTTAAAAACGATTCTTTCTTTTTTGTTTCTATTATTTCATTTTTAGTGCCAATTGAAATTTCACAAAAAGCATATGAAATCGCTACGAAATCGTATGATAATAATTCTCTTCTTCCAGTACTGCTTCAAATTTTTCTTTTAGTACTTTTTTCACTCGTTTCTCCATGAAATATACAACAAATTTAATTGCCTGTTTTGCCCTTCATTTCGCTCTCAACTTATCGCAATTCACTGTTAGTGATTCAATGTAAAGCAAGTTCACTATCTCTTTCATTCGCTTAGGTACCTGATAATACCGATGGAAGTCAATGGTTTCATTTACTAAACGAAGAATTCACCGAGAAATTATTAGAAGGTAGAGAAAAAACCTTACTGAGATGCCAATCGATAAATACATTTCGGTAGAATTGACGGATGAATATCAAATGATCTGTGAGGAAAAGTGTCCACGATTATTTCACGAACGCTTCGAACAACTTCGACAACAAAAAGTAAACTCAGTATTTTTGGTCCATTATTCGTAAACATAGACTTTCACGTATAGAAAGTCAATGGTCTTCAATCTAAATCAACATCCAGTCAGATCGATCTTCGATTCATTATTAATCTTATTTATTTTTACATTTATAGATGGCGAACAATCCAATTCTATCGTTTCTCTTGCCAATAGTGAACATCAACATCATCCAATTGCGTCAACAAGTGGTTCAGTGCGAAGTACAACTTCCTCGATTCCGCAACAACCGTCGAATTTTTATGAACATGGTATCATTCTTGTGTATTTTAACTTTCTCATTGTTATTTGAATTCTACGACAAAGGTTCCATGGAAGTTCTTCATCACACACCAAATCAATCATCGTTAGTAAATATGCCGCCAACTACGTATTCGCCGACAACACTATTTCAATCACCACAGCCAAATTCGACTAACTTTCTTGGGCCCTATCGTATTGAAATTCTTAATCATAAAAATCTTCTTCATTTTGTTTTCTCTTTCTGTTAGATTCCAATAACACTGCAATACTTCAATCATCAGCGAAACCAATTCCAACATTGATGTCTTCAAATTCTTATTACAATTCTGTTGGATCGCGTCAACATTCACGGTTCTCTGGACCAATCCTTACTTATCCTTCTCCATCGTCTACGCAACGCGTCTTTCATCCAGCACATCTTCAACAGTATCATCAATCATATCCATCATATTATCCTCAACAACAAACGCCTCTTTTCTATCATCCGCCAGTAGATGCCATGAATCCTCACAATAAAAGATACGGTGAACCACCGGCTCCACCAATGAAACGTTTCCGGTACAGCTTGAATCCTGCACAACAACCCTATTAAGAAGATCACTTCAGTAAAACCAATGTTGTCAGATAGAGATTTTTTGTATAGACCGGTGCTGTTTTCTTTGTTCTTTCTTATTGCATGTTGTATGTATTTTGTTCTCGTTGATTGTTATTTTTCACATTTTCTTTTCGTGATGGATTGTATTTGATTCTGGGTGTATGAAATAGATATACGAAAATATATTTAAGAAAAATACATGTCACTAGACCATATGCGATGTTAACCTGATCTTTATCATAAGCAGAATACATAACCTCACCCTTTGATCTAATTACATTTGTTCTGATATTTATTCTGTCGATTCAAAATTGATATTTGGACGATTATCGGTTTAATCTCTTGTTTTTCTTCTTCTTCTTCTGTACTTCATTTGCATTCAGTTGTTGTTCAGAATCAAGTGACATGTTTCACTATTGGATTGCTATTCTTCTTGTCTTATTCGTTCACTTTTCCTATCCCAATGAAATTAATTATGATATCGATGGAAGTGTTGGCAATGGCTGGGAATTTGTTCGTGATTTATTCAAAGAGAATTTTATTAAAGAGCGCGATTTGGGTGCTCAATTAGCTATATATCACCAAGGTGAACTAGTTGTTGATTTGTGGGGCGGGTGGTTTGACCGTTCATATACAAAAAGATATGATAATGATACATTACAGTTAGTGTTTTCAAGTTCAAAAGGCGTTGTTGCGATCGCTGTTGCTTTGTGCGTTCAACGAGGTTTACTAAGTTATTCTGATCTAGTAACTAAATATTGGCCTGAATATGGAAAATATGGCAAAGACAAAACAACCGTTGCTGACATACTATCACATCGGGCGGGTCTACCGACGGATCCAACTCCAACAGAGATCATGTTTAACTGGACAGCAGTCATTCATCAATTGGAAAACTCAGCACCTCTATGGCCTCCTGGATCGTCTTCTAGTTACCATGCGCTTACTTATGGATGGTTAGCTGGTGAACTTATACGACGTGTCGATCCAAAGAAACGATCAGTTGGGCAATTTATTCAAGATGAACTTGCTCGTCCATTGAATTTGGAATTCTATATTGGTTTACCATCAGAACAAGAATATCGGGTGTCTCCACTTACCTTCAGTGAAGAAAGTCTCCAAACACTCAATGAAACAGTACAAGCAGCGTTTGCTTTGTTTAATTCTCCCCAAGTACATGCTACTGAAATACCAGCAGCGAATGGCATCACAAATGCTCGATCATTAGCTCGACTCTATGCATCACTCATGACTGATTTAGATAACGGTCAGCAAAAACGATTGTTAAATGCAGACATATTAAAACAAGCTCTCAAGTTACCTATGCAAGAAGAGGAATTGAACCTTTTATCGAATATCAGTGCACCATTTGCTATGGGTTTTTTGTTATACGGTTCCCTAAATACGATGTTGGGATCCGACACATTTGGTCATTCAGGTAAGAAATCTTGAACAGATGGTTTTCATTTGAAACTTTCTTTTGCATATGAATAATCGCAAACAGGAGCTGGTGGTAGCATTGGTCTTGCTTCTCCATCTAAGAATCTTTCATTTGCATTTGTTATGAATCAACTCGATCCTTATGTCACAACTTTTCCACGAATACAGACAATACTAGAGAAGATTGTTGAAAAGTTTACTCCTAGAAACGTTCATTTCAAATAACAAACTCGAAACCGATGAGTATATATTCTTATACGAATAAAATTTCTCGAGATTTCATTAGCTGTATCATTTATTGAATCACTAGCGTTTATTAAAGTACAATTGCAAAGCAATTTTGAAAGTGTATTGTTTACAATACAAAAAAAGGTACTTCTAATGTTTGTATCGATTGATCATTCTCGAAAAAGTCGCGTTTCAAATGCCGTTAGAGCAATACTGAACGCTTGTATGAATGAAAGTGGATATCGGAAATCGCACGAAAAGATTGTGTCTGTCATTCGACCGAATTCCATTACAGTTTGTTCTTGATCTAAATGATAGAAAAAGGAACGAGACCATTCATTATCAAACACATTCACATGTTCTTACTATTCTTATCTAAAGCGAACATTTGAAAGTTTTTTACCGATGGAATTGTTATACGATCTATTCCTTCGAAATGAATTGTATAGGCACCAGATACTAAAAGAAAAGAATGATTACAAATCAATAGTTTATAGCTGAAACATACATGGATTCCAACTTGGTGCTGTGTTATATAAATGAAGAAAGTCATCATCTAAATCTTCAGCACAAAATTCGTCAATTTCATTCTTATTCTAAAAATAAATCTCAATGTATTTCAAACGATCGATCAATTCATACAAATAATGGTTGCATTTGATTATCGAACTTCGGAAGAATTACATTTGCCTTTCTTGGTCCCTTTAAACCAAGAAAATTACTTTCCTAGACATGCAAAAAATAACAATTAACTTCTGCGACAGAGAATAAAAATAAGAACAGAATTAGATTTCATACATAAAGAATAACTGCTTGTTCTTGACGTTGATCTTCGCTGTATGTATAGAGTATATACTCTGTTCCAGTCACATTGTTTGCTACTAATTCGGCAGGGCAGAGATCACAAGCGAAACTTGAATCTAACGAGATGGTATACTGAGATTGGCCAAGTGATTTTCGACCCTTTTCTGCTGTTAGCAAAGTGATCTAAAAACTACCGATGTAAATAGAAAGATTAGCAAAAGGTCAATTACTGGTTCGTCATCATTGCCAAATTCTACTTGAAGATAATAGATTTCGGACAGCAGTGATTTCTCGCGTGACAATCGGCAATGTAAATATTTCGTCATGTCTTTGGAAACAGGTTTGCATATGAATTTATACGGATCTTGATAGATCAAATTCAATAATTCATCATAAGATTTGACATACGATGATTTGAATGAATCGGCTGACTAAATAATCAAACAAAAATCTTTACACGTCTGGATACAGTTACAACACATACACTCGTTTCTGACTGACTCTGTTCTGAAAATGATGAACAAGAAATCTTTTTCGGTTGATCGTCTTCAATCACAACTGGTGAACTTGATCGAGATAATTCTATGATTAGAAGATTGATCATCACTTTGACATGATCTATTCCTACCTGAATCAGAATCAACTGGTTCTTCGCATACTCGAAGATCCGTAAAACCTTCTTCGTCTTCTTCGACTTCATAATCATCATCGATTGTATTTTGATAAAACACTTCAGAATTCATCAAATGAACTTTAAAATCATCTTCCAAAGATGTATTTCGATGTTTTGAACGCAGAACATCAATTGATCCGTTTTGATAATCGTTTTTGTACATGGAAATATTCTTTGAATCAATTTGTTCTTCTACAACTAACGGGCGTAAGCAATTGAATGGATTTTTTTCTCTTTTTTTTTAATATATGTACTTCTTACTTTTGTGAAGATTCTGCTTGGCAGAACAGACGAGGTACACATTGGCTGTTTCACGTCTTTGTTTGTTTATGATCGGTTGCCTGGTTCATAAAATCGATCTTTTTACCTGTCGGCTGGAAAAAAGGAGAAAAAAGTCTCACTCGATTTATCGATCGACGGGAGAAAAAAATGGTTTCAATTGAATAAATAAACCAAGGTGTAAATTAAGAAAAACATTTATTTAAAAAATTCAGGTTAGGAAACAAGACGATTGTTATTCTTATACATATGTCAACACAATGAATAGAAAAATGAACTTTTCTGTATTTTCACAAAAAAGTACATCGTTCGTTTGGAATTCTTCATTGAACATTGATCACATTGTTTAATTTTGCTTCTAAAGAGTTCATTACATTCAATAAATGTCTAAATAAATGAATGAATTCTAGATTGTGAATTCTATTCTTTCGAAGAGAAAACATACTGTTTCTGTTGTTCGAATATATTTAAAATATCTTGTTCACTTATTGGTTTTGTTATTCTCTCTTCTCGATTTTTCGACGGTGGTGTTCGATAAAACGATCGTCCATAGATCGGTTTTCTCTTTGGATAAACTCGACGACAAATACCATTGATAACAATATTACCGTCTCGAAGAATCTTTCGAGCATCAACAGCCGAGGTAAAATCGACTTCAATCGACCGCTTTGGCGACTGATGATTCTCCTCGAAAAACAATCGTCGCACATTGTCAACACCGGTATATGTGTTCATTAAATCAGTTTTGATCACGTTTTCATCCATTGATATCGCAACACCATGAACAACTAAGCAATAAACAATGTTTTGACTCATGGCTGTGTATAATTACTGATGAATATGTTGGAGTGAAAACACAAGAGATATGCATTTTTCGTACAGTATTTATTACAGCTCAATGAATTGTGCAAGATGATAATTTCCCATTGGTCAAGTAATTTGGAATATTCTTCCCAAATGTTAAAAGGTTGTTATTCAGTATAGAAATATCGTATGACTTTTGTTTGAAAGAGATGTCACTATTTAATATTCATTTAATAGAGTAAATAAACGCAGATTGTCTCAGTAGTTTTATTTCTTATCTATTCACTCTCTAAATCATGATAAAAGTCGCACTGTTAGCTCTCTTCTTCTGCCTTGTTACTTTTATTGACACAAGACCAATTATTGAAGGTAAAGACTATGAAGTGAAAAGAAAAGTCATCAATACCCCAGTAAGACCTTCCATATATCTATCGCACGACCAATTTTCTTCTTTTAGGATGCACCAGCTCCTGTAGCTCCATTCAATCAAGCCATACAAATCAATTACATGTTATATCTAACTGGTCAAATAGCCATCGATCCCAAAACCGGTCAGATGGTTCCAGGCGATGTTCGTAACCAAACGTATCAAGTCTTGCGAAATCTGGAGGCAGTATTAATCGCTGCTGGCTCATCGGTTAAACAATTAGCACACTGTCTGATTATACTAACGAATATTGATCGAGATTATCAAATTGTCAATGATATCTATTCGAAATGGTTTCCTTCATCGGACTTTTATCCTGCTCGATCATCAATCGGTGTAGCTAAATTACCATTCAATGCGACTGTTGCTATTGAATGTCAAGCGTATACAACAAAAGAAATTTGAGAAAACAAAAATTTTTTATTTTCTTTCATATATAATACATATGTAATGAAATTCTTCATGCATTATCATTTCTGCCAATTTCGGATCCTGTTGACACGGCAATTCTCGATGGCCAAAGTTTATTTAGCCAAACATTGCTTCGTTCTGATTGATTTTCAGTCGTTGATGTCGTCGGCGGAAATGGTTGTTGTTGAATATCGCTTTCGGTTTCACAGAGTGGTCGATGTGGATCACCAACACCATGTTCATCGTGCATTTGGCTGATGTACGTTCCTAAGCCTGAAGATAACGGTTGGTAATGTTCGAAGAAGTAAGCATTGACTTGAGCACCTAAGATGAGAATTGTTGCGAAGTAATAGAAGAAAAGAAGAAGAATCACTGCAAAACCAATTTGTCCTTGAAAACGAAAGAAAAGAGAATTTTAGATTGAAAAAAAAATACTTCGAAAGAGAGTGTTTTTTACCAGCATAGTTATCCATGAATTGTGTTACATATAATGGAAATAGTATAATGAATATTTCCAGTGCACAAGCAGCAACTAATGCTCCACACCAAGTAATTTTAAATGACATCTTCTTGTTTGGTACAAGCCAATAAATAGCTTCGAAAAAAATGAATGCAGCTAGTGATGAAAATATCATTCCACCTAGAAATGTTCCAAATCGACCACCTCCACCTGGAATAATTTTTAGCAAAGCCGACGGAGCTGAACTAATGATCAACATAATAGGAATAATCGTAATAAAAAGAAATAGCATTCCAAACGCTAGAAGATTCTGTCGGAGTAACGCGCGTTCAGGTAAACGATAGATAATCGTCATACATTGATCAATAGTGACAAATAATCGGGAAGATCCAAATAATGCAAAAATAATACCAATAGCTAAGATCAAACCAGCATCATTAGATAATTGATTAAAAGCAAGATCGACAACCTTGAAAAGAAAATATCAATGTTGACTTTCTTTGAAAGTCATTCATCTCCTTACTTGTTCAATTCCAGCTCGTGTTGTATTATCTGTGGTAAAAGAATTGATAATTTTATTTTTAACATCCTGTTGAGCATCAGGATAATTTTTCAAAACCAAGCCTAAGATACCAAATAGAGCAACAGCGATGGGAAGAAGTGCAATCATGAGGTTGTAAGCTAACATTCCAGCAAAGTCCAGCGACCAATCGTTCATAAATTTGCGGAAGAAGTGACGAACGGGTCTCGAGTGACGTTGACCGTCACGAAAAAATGCTGTCGATCTTATTCGATTGAACATCTTCTGTTTCGTATCTATATTAAGTTCGATATATTTTTACGTCTTTAACAAAGGACAAGAAGTGCACACCATATGTAAGTAATGTGACGTGAATTGACTTAACGATGAGATAGGACGAAAGAAGAAGGAATGAATAAAAAGAATGAATAAAAAGGCGCTAGCGGTCGCCTACATTGACGCATCTGCGAAATATATACAATCAATAGAAGAAAAGACAAATGGTATTTATGTGGAAAAACGTCATTTGTATCATTGTTCGTCGTAACTTGATCGGCCCACGTGTGAAAATAGAGCGATAGATCGAAAAAGTGATGTCGTTTATAGCTTTATCCGATCGATTTCAATGAAAGAAAAAGGTATTAATCAAGTCAAAGCTAAAAGTGCACTTTTCGTAACATTTGGACTCCAGTGTGAAACTTATAGTCGTGCTTTACGAGCGTTATTTATTAGTGAAGTTTATGAAAAAAGTAGAAAGAAAAACTTAACGTCCAGGGACAGAGGCTGTTGGACGCGGTGGTCGTGGACCACCTGGTCCACCCGGGCCGCCTGGTCTTCCTGATTCAGTTGATACAGCACTAGGATTGATACCAAGTGTAATAGCACCTTTGACTCCACCACCGAAATTATTCGAACTTACAAATTGAACAGGTACAATCGTTGTTGATCCCTTTGCACCACGGAAAATTCCGTCTTCATCATTTCGCGTTCGACGTATTGTATGGGATGTATAAGGTGAAAGTTTAGCAACCTGATCCGTCAGAGTATCATCAAAATATATTTGACCGGTGAACGAAACATGTCCACCTTTAGCATAGACTGCTCCACCAACGGTTGTCAAAGCACTACCAACGTGTACTTTGACGTGCATATGAGTAGCACGACCGCGATACCAACCGGGATAAATAGTATCAAAATAGGCAACACCTTGATTGTCAGTGACTTGTTGTCCTGAAGTTAGAAGAGATAAGTTTAAGAATACAAGATGAGAAAGATGATATCTACCTCGGAAGAACGTGGAATTGTCGGATGCACCACCGAACTGACCCAGACTGGCAGCAATGAAATGTGAATACATACCTTCTGCATCACAATGCCAAAGGTCAACAAGCGCTTTACTCAATGGTTTACAAGTCGTTGTATCCAAAACCGTAATGGCCAGACGAAATCGAATACCACCTTTGCCTTCACTAGAATCATTCAATAATAAAATGAAAGTATTAATCAATGACGAGATGCTTACGTTATATCACGTCGAATGGTTGAATTCCAATAGTACGGTCCTTCAGTAGATTCAGGAGCAAGAATGCAAGAACTAGCTGCACGAGCACATCGTCGGACTATGTAAAGCATAGTGTATAAAATATAAAATTCGATGTATTTAATTCACTACCTGGTTCCTGTTCACAGAGAATTGTCGACACAGCACAAAGTACAATAAGAAAAACTTTATTCAACATGTCTCTATAAGAAGATGCGTGTTAGTATGAGAAGTCTATTTTCTGCTCATAGCAAAATTATATGACTACAGTTTCCCTATATATACTGTTTCTGAACCCCGGCTAAACCTATTAGTGTACTTTTTCTCGGATGTACGTGCGTATTATCTTCACATTAAACTATGTCTAATCTTTACTAAATATCGATCATAGTTTTGTCAAAAGGACATTATTGATAGAAAAGTAAATATTTATTATACTTTTTTGTTGTATTAGTAACAACGAAGCTCAAAACAACGCCCTAGTTCGATGAATTCGAATATCGCCTTCAATTTTTCAGTTATGCTTTTGTATCGGTTTGATCTGATTTGAGTGCTTATATGAGTAGCTGTTATGCAAACTTGTACACATTTATGAAGAAAAAAAGTGCGAAAACTGTATCATTATTGATTGAAATCATACATGGTTACGAACTTTGAACACGAAACGTTAATAAAATAGCGTGTTGTTCATTGACAAAAGAAATTTACAATCGGATATTAATCTATCATGTGCATTGTGTACAGTTTTGATCAGTAGATGTCGCTTAAGTCTAACGTTAGAATAAGATAGAGGTATATCTCTGTACTACTATTGATTTCAAGTAACTAACCTATGACAAACTAATAATCGTATTCCGTAGAAGTCAATTAATCGGAACTTGAATTGAAAATCTCCCTTGACATCCGTTGTTGAATATTTCAGATGTTCACTCGAACTTTCTTCAATCAACTATTTCTGTTGAAACCATCACAGATTCCGTTGACTATATTATCTCATCGTTCAATTACTACCGCTGCCCGTGTAAATCTGATTTAACAAATCATTTCAAACAATCATTATCTGTTTTAAATATTTAGTTGAAGAAACAATTAAACATTGCTGCTACACCCCGACCGAAGATTGAACAACCGGCTGGTAGTGATGAACTTTACAAACGTTTATATGTCGAAGTTCGTGGACATGATCCAGCTGTATTAGACAGTTATGAGAAATTCGTTCGTCTTGTATCAACAGAACTTGATATTCAACTGACTAACATGTAAAAATTTGTTGTTGTTTTTGCTTTAGCTATTGAATCGTTTTCTTGTAGAGAAAATCCTCCATTCTTTACAGAACGATGGACATTACTTCGGTCAAAATTTGCTAAGAAAAAATACTGGCGTGAATACGAAATTCGAACGTATTACAAAAAATTTCATGTAAATTCTATTTTGTTTCACAGAAGGAACTTCAATCTTTGTTCCTCTTTCATTCTTATCTTAGTTCAAACATTTAACAGGCTCAACAGCCAGCACATTTCTTGAATATGTTCAACGAAATCTACCCGAAGGAGTGATGATGATTGTCGAACGAGTAAGATATGACACATGAAAGCTCTAATTTCAATATTGATTTTGCGATAAACAGAACGATTTTTCTCTTTGCAGGTTCGTTTGGAATCCTTTTCTGAAAAACTGGTGCCTCCATCAGCATCGCCATCAGAGATCAATACCGATCAACAACGAACGTCTTGATACTGAACATTTTCGAAATGATTACATTGTTAGTTTAAATAAAAGTCCATTTCTATGCAAAACCTCTCTTTGATAAATGTTTGAAATTGACAGGAAAATTCTGTCGAACAAAGCAAAGAATACTATTTACATTAATCAACATCCATCTCTTGATATATAAATTCGACATTTTATGAGTATATCCGTTTCATTGATACACATTTTTTTTCTTCTTTATCATACTTGTCATTTTATACAGAACATATTAATGTTGATCGATGTACTTATATGCAAAAAGCATCAATATATAAATGCATGCAATTCTCATAATCGTTAACAGTCTACAATGGCTTTAACGATTCTTTTATTCAGAGTTTCTAATCTCGAAGTGTCAAAGGCAAAACTCCCCGATGACCTTAGCGCATTGTCACTGTGTGCGAAAATCACATTTCGAGGTATTCATTTGCTGATGTTTAGCTGATTCGTTAGCCAAGACTCTTCTTTAGGTGCCAGTCTTTGGTCAAGTGCTGTACCAATTGAGGACGATGTGGCGAATTTTCTTGTACGTGAAGAAAAACCGAGCAAATTCGATTTTCACTTGGCCAGTCCGCTTTTATCTGATGACAAGTTCCAAATGGAGTTCTATATGACTACAATGAAAAGGAAGAAAAAAAAGCTATTGGCGGTTTTTGAAGTACTTTTGGAATCGTTGATCGATCGCAAATCGATCGATCTATCGGATGAGAATTTATCTGATCCGAACAATTATTTATTAGAAGCAACTTTAGAAGCGAAACTTCATTACATGCCACCCAATCTCAGCAATGAACACGCTGTCATGTTCGATGAAGGACATATGATGGATTGGATGACTTCTTTCGATGATAATGAGCAAGAAAACATCCGTTCAAAACGTAACTTGTGAGTAGTGTTGTGTACTTAAAGAGATGGATAATAATTAAATTGATTTTGTTTTCATCTTAGAAAACGACGTCGTGTAAAATTTTCTAGTCATACGGATGATACAGACACTGATTCAGACACGGAGAATGATATTCGTGAAAGTCGAAGTGTTCATCAAAAGTTTATAACCATTACAGAAGAGGAGAAATTAAAGAATCAGTATAATAATCTTGAATTACTTGAAAAAAGGTAAGAATTAATCACGTTTAAGAAAAAATTCTTTTCATGTGATCATTTTAGTTTAGGTCGATACGATGGTGATGTATATCAAATGACCGATTGGCAAATTATGGTACATGTTATTCAAGGACGAGATTTTTCTGGATTGGATATCAATCCATATGTATGTGTACAGATTGATGATCAGAAACGATATACAGGAGTACATCGATGTTCGAATTCACCTTTTTTCGGCGACGTAAGTCAAGAGTATTTGATTGTATTAAAACTTTGTTAGTGTTTCAGTTTTTTACATTCGATTTTTCTTTACCGGCCACACAGATGATGGAGAAAGTGATCTACTTCAAGGTGATTTGATTGTTCAATCGTAGAGAAAGAACATAAAATTCATCGATTTCACTTTAGGTTCATCATGCCAAAGCTTTTGTTAGTACATTTGCAGACACAAAAGCGAAAAGTATATTTAAAGTTGATGTGGCAACGGTGTACAATGAAAAAGATCGTGCATTTGAACGAAAATGGGCTCAATTAATCGATCCTGACTCTATTCAGACGATCTGTGGTCATTTACTACTGTCTGTTGCCATTTCTGAACGTGGTGTTTCGTCGAAAGTAAACGAATTTCGATCTAAACTCCACTTAAACTTATTCTGTTTTCTTCAGAATATTCTCGGTGAAATAACTCAAGGTGATGACGAATTAAAACCATCGTAAATATCCTTCGCTTAATATCTTATTCAATTTCAAATCTAATTCCTATTTAGAAAAACTTTCATTCCCTCTGCAATGCCACGAAATCAATTTCCTGTGCAACTAAAACTGACATTCTTCACAGCCGGCGAACTACCTGAAATGATGACTGACTTTCTCACAGCTGTTTCGAAAAAGTTTCTTCGATCAGACTATTGGGAACCTGTTGATCCGTACATTGAGGTCACTTATAATGCTATACAAGCTACGACTAATCATCGAAATGGCACATCACCTGTTTGGAGCGAAGCGCTTTATTTAATTGGACAATTTCCACCATTAGTTCGAACGATAAAAGTTGCTTTGAAAGATCATGCAGCTATTCAACAAGATCGAGTGATTTCAACCTTTCTTATTGATCTGTTCGCAATCAGTGAAAGCAATCCATCCACGGGATTTTTACCAACATTCGGGCCAACATGGGTATTTCTGTATGGAAGTCCAAGAGAATATAGTATAAGTAAAGAACATGATGGTCTTGGTGAAGGTATGGGTGAAGGAGTCTGTTATAAAGGACGGTTATTGATGTCAATCGAATGTCATCCGGTTAGTGGTGATAATGTAGCAAATGTAAATGTTCAAAAAGAAACCGGTGTGCATTTTCCTGATACAGTAAGTTCATTGTCATTTCAATCGGGGTAAGAAAGCTTTTGTTGTTCTTCGTTTAGCACTTATTTCCTGTAAAACGAACTTTTCTTCTGTTTGGATGCATTTACAACGTGTCGATGATTGATAAACAGTTTGGAAATACTACAATTTCTTTCGAATTAAGTATCGGATCAAGTGGATATTTAAACATAAATCAATTAGATGGTTCAACATCAGCAACCTCATTGACACTACCATATCCACGTTTTCCCATTCAAAACAATACTCGACATTTTTGTTTACCAATTGATTATGAAAAACCGATTCTGTTCACTAAATACACATTCCATGATTATAGTTATCGAATGATTCTATCGAATCGATTAAAACGTGCAGCTGTTCATATAGTATCTACTTAACACTTTCTTGTCTTCTCATAAATCTCTCTTTCTTTTCAGTCTCACTTGATTCGTGAATTTGAACTAAATATCAATTCGAAAGTTTCATCGGACGTTCTGTTAGAAAACTATCAACAAATGGAACAATACATCTATACACTACCGTGTGGATGCAATGCTCATGATACAGTTCATTCAACTCTTTACGAACTGTTAACCTATCCGAAATTAAATCTTCGCATGAATAATCTGGATGAAAAACGACGAAAGAAAATTCTCCATGGTTTAGAATCATTGAAAACGTGGATTACGAAAGAAGTCGACTTTAAAGAACAGAAAATTTATGAAACGATCAAACAATTACGGAAAATCAGTCGAGCACTTCGTCAATTGGCGATCGATGTAGATAAGACAGTTTGATATTGATTGATTTCATATCTATTCATACAAATTTAGGTTCAACCATCATTACCCGATGTATTCCTATGGATGATGTGTGATTCGAAACGAGTAGCTTATGTGCGTATTCCACCTGAAGATATTCTTTTTAGTTTATGTCAAGGAGAAAAAGGTTTATACAATGGACACGTGCAAACATTCTTCCTACGGGTAAAATATCTATTTATGTCATCGAGAGATGCGATGATGTTTAGTTGATAGATACCACGTACATCAAATCAACCGATTAAATCTTCAACTAATGCAAAAGTACAAATCTATCTTTCGCTTGGAATTGAAGATTATGAAGCAAATATTTTCAAACAATTGCCATCGGGTTATGAAAAACCTGTGTTACCGTTGACAAATGACACAAAATCAATCCGATATGATGGTTTAACATTGAATCTCATTGTTCGAATAATTAAGAATCGATTTTGTATTTTAGAAAGATCATTTTATGAATTGAGATGCCATTGCTATAAAGCAAGATCTCTAATTGCTTCGGATGAAACTGGTTTGTCCGATCCTTATTTGAGTATAACTGCTGGAAATGAAACACAGATAACACCGGTAAAGTGTATATTAGAGTACGAATTTAAATACGATCTAGTTTGTTCATTTAGGTTTTGAAAGAATCTTTATGTCCGCAATGGAATGTCACATTAGTCTTTCGAAATTTAATACATTATGGAAGTCGAGAAACAGCAGAAGAAATCGTCGGAAATGTTGTAGTAGAATGCTACGATTATGACGAAGTAAATCAATATTCAATTAAACAATAATTGAATACGAAATATGTTGTGTTTAGGCTAATGATGGACCTGATTTGATTGGACGATTTTCTACAACAGCAAAGTTTGATTCAGCGAACGATGATAAGTCATCATCGAATTGTCCATTTCAATGGTATGAATTTAAATATGACGAAAAACGAGCCGGTGAACTTCTAGCTCTCTTCGAACTGATTGAAATCAATCCAGTAAGAACATTCATCTAATAGTTTTTCTCCAGGCCAAATATTCTATTTTTGATCATTGAATAGGATCATGAGCAGAAACAGTCACTTGATGAAATTGCTGTTACTCCCGAGCATTTTCCACCTAACATTTACATAACAAAAGTACTGAAGAATAAGATCTATCATATACCACATATACTTATGCCGGACGTGAAACCTTATGAAATTGAAGTGAGTTTTTTTAATCGAAATGTTTGATCGAGAAAAACAATCTGATTTCTAGGTGATGTTTTGGGGTCTACGTGAATGTCGTTCGATTAATTTCCTACCAATTCAGCAAGCAGAAGTCTCGATCGAATGTGCCGGCGCCCGGATAACAAAAACCATTAAAGATGTGCAAAAAAATCCAAATTTCCAGTTAACAGGTTCTGATACTGATAAATATAGACTAATCGTGGTATGATATCGAATACTTTGGTTTGAAATAGTAGAAATTCTTCTGTTTCCATAGGATCTACCAAAAGACAATAATTTCTGGCCACATTTAAGTATTCATTGTGTACAACACCGATTGTTCGGAATGAAAGAAATCGTTGGAAATCTCGTCGTCACTGATTTACAGAAATATTTAGAAACACCGAAGAATTATCTTCGATTCAAAAGCGAAGAGTTCGGTGAGCCGTCTTCGAATAGAATCTGGTATGATTTCAATCGCGTTCGTAAATCAGTAATCGATGCATATGAAGGTATTATTTAAACAATCATCTTCTCGATCGGATTTCGTAAATACCGAGCTTCTTCTATTATCTAGCTGCTATCGCTGGTAATGATCGAGGCGTTGCGAACAGACAACTCTCAGTTTTCGAAAAAGAAGCTGGCCTGGAGAAAGTTATAAGCGATAATCAAGAAGGGTTCAAACATACTGAGGTAAGAAATTTTCAAGTACTGTTTCTAATTGAAAGATTACCTTTTGCAGGGCGATAATGATGATACTTCTAGCGAGGAGAGAAAGTTTTCAGCAGCTAACACGATCGATGATACTCATCGCGAACTAACAAGTTCTGATAGATTTAAACGAAATGAATTAGAAAAGACAGCGACATGGTGGAGTAAATATTATGCATCAAAAGCCAAACTCGTAAGTCACTATTTTCTTTAAAGTTCTGTTAGCAATACTTCGATTCATCTTGTAGAGATTACAACAAAAGCCAAAAATAGATCCTGAAGAAGAACTTCAGAATAGTAATGGTATCTATGCCGACTTCTTTGACGAAGAATCCAGTGAGTTCTTAACAGAAAGGATCTGTATGTTTTCGAATAGTTCATTTCATTTGAAGAGACTGTAGTCAAACATCATTGGTCACTGTGGACTAAAGCTAAACAAGCATTCATCCGTGCTAGAAAAGCTCGAAAATGTTTACAGACGCGAGCAGTGCATGGTCTTACCTATCTCAGTGACAAATCCAAAGTAAATAGTCCATTTTCATTATGATCAATATGACAAATTTCTACACATTTCAGGCGAAGTCGGTTTTTGACGAAAGTTTAGACATTATCGAAACAGATCGATTGAAAGAATTAACCTTATTGCAAACATTTGAAGTAACAGACACTAAGCGCTATTTATCTTTTTTACTTTGTTTCCATTTGAAGATTCTGGAAACTGAACTGGAAAATATTGATCTTTACGAAGGCTTTAGTGATTGTCTTGATAAGTTTCCATTGTAAGATTCGGTTGAAATTCGAACACAATTCTCTAGTCATTTCGTTCGTTTTAGATACAAAGGAAAAGGTACAAGTCGTTCCGATGAGATTGGTGATGAAAAACGTGTTTACGCGAAGTTTAAAGTTCGTTCAGTCATGATCATTTTCAGTTTTTCTGATCTTCTCGTTGTTCAGGGTAAATTTCGTATACGTGAGCTAACAGGCGAAAACTCACGTCGTGGTGCAGTATTGAATCTCGATCGAAATCATCGATCATCTGTTAATCCAGCTTTATTCAATGCTCAAATTGAATCCATGGTTGATCGAAGTTCGACTTCTGATATTCGAACGAATCAACAAATGCTTCGTTTCGACCTAAACCGAAATCCTATTACATTAAAATGTCGATTATACATTATCAAAGCATTGTTATTTCGTGCTTGGGATCGATCGGGTAAGGCAGATCCATACATAAAAGTTTTGTTGAATGAAGAAACCATTATTGACGACGTCAAATCGAGACTTTCGAATACTCTTGAACCGGTTTTTGGAAAGTAAGTGTTGTGTAAATGAGATTTAATCGAATAAGGTTTGTTCAAAACATAGATCGTATGAATTTGATGTAACCATTCCTCATCAGTCTCTATTGCGTATTCAAGTCTGGGATTGGGATTTAGCAAATGTGAATGATAAAATTGCTGAAACAAGAATTGATATTGAAAATCGTTGGTTTTCATGTCATCGAGCAACATGTGGATTAGCAAAAAGATACGACAGGTCAACTAGACGAGCTAATCATTGATCGTTTGTTGAATATGTGATTTCTAGTGCTGGCTACAATGCTTGGCGTGATACGAAAAAACCGACAATTATTTTGGAAGATCTATGTCGAACGGCAAATTTGAATCTTCCTGTTTATGCCGAAAACTTCTATGCAGTAACGATCGATAACATACGTTTCGATTGTGATTCGGAATGCATCGAATTTGTGACAAATAGATCGTTAGTCGACATGGCGCATCGTAAAGTTCATCATGAATCACCAGAAGAATATATTCGGCAGAATACAGCATTAGGAGCGCTTCATAGTTGGGCAGGAAAAATCAATTCTGTAAGATACAGACGAATTGATTGAATTCTTTCTTAACTATCTCTACATCCTTTGTAGAAATGTGCTCTAGTTTCTGAGCACATTGAATGCCGATCATTGTTCGATCCAAGTTGTCCTGACGTTGAACAAGGCAAAGTAGAAATGTGGTTAGATTTCTTTCCGATGTCTCGTCAACCATCAGGTACACCAGTGGATATTACACCACCGAAACCAACATCATATCAATTACGTTTAACAATCTGGAACACGACCGACGTCGAATTAAATGATGAAAATTTTGTCACTGGAGAGAAAACGTCTGATATCTATGTGAAAGCATGGATCCTAGGAGAGAAAGAAGATGGTCAACAGACTGATGTTCACTATCGGTAAGTTAGATGTTGCGATAAGAGGGGTGATGTTTTGTTTTCCATAGATCATTAACTGGTGAAGGCAATTTTAATTGGCGATTGCTTTTTAATTTTGATTATATTGACATCGAAGAGAAGATCGTTTACGAGAAGAAAGATTCTGTTTTTCAAATTGGATCAACAGTGAAGAAGATTCCACCAAGGATTGTTCTTCGAGTTTATGATGCTGATCTGCTCTCCGCCGATGATTTCTTGGGTGAATGCATTCTTAATTTAACACATTTACCAGTCGGTGCAAAGTCGTCGAGTAAATGTCGAGCAGATATGTTGTTGAACTCGAAACATCGAGCGTTGAATTTATTTGTCAACAAACGTACTACGGGTAACTTGTGAAGAACTTCTTCGAACAGATCGTTTGATCATCATTATCACTTTATAGGCTGGTGGCCAATGATTGCACCTATAAAAACGGGAGAAATTCGCGATGTAACCCTACTAGGAGTGAGTGGAAGTATATCGAAGTTTATAAGTACAAGTTTTCGTTATTAGGGTAAAGTTGAGGCTGAACTGTATCTTGTTACTGCTGAAGAAGCTGAACAAAATCCTGTAGGTAAAGGACGTGAAGGACCACAGCCACTGGATGAACCAAAGTTAGTGTGCTTATTCGATATTAATCATATGTTCTAATTTGAATTTCTTCTCCAGTCGTCCAAAGAATTCCTTTCTATGGTTTACATCTCCTTGGAAAACATTTCGATATGTTATATGGCGTAATTTTAAATGGTCAATTATTCTCGGGATCATCATATTCTTAATCGTACTATTTCTTTTACTTGCCCTATGGACTTTACCTGGTGAACTTGTCCGACAAATAACTAATAATATATTTAAAACTACTCGATCAACAGTCTAACGAAACATAACATATCGAGACTAATAAATCAACACACAGTTTTATCACATATTTATTAAAACTATTTCTAATATTGAAAAATCTCGTCAGAAAGTCTGAAATAGTAATGTTTAACCAAATAATCAGAATAAGATCGTCAATAGCTCGAGAAACATTAGATACCTCTGAACAAACGCTACTTTTAGTGCTCGAAGTCGAGACTAACTAGTAGTGTTTTATTTTGTTTTTCATTAGATGTCACTCGACGACTATCATATCGGATATTTAGAGGAATATAGCAGAATTGCTATTGACTACACATGATCAGCCTATAATAAATTGGAGAAGAAATTTCATTAAAGAAAATCAATTTCATCCGTTTCAGATAACTAATTTTCAATATTTCGAATGTTAATTCAAATATTTTAATCGAACATGATCTCAAAATAGTTTCTTCATACTTCAAAATAATCTACGTCAGTACTATCTCATTCCGAATACGCAAGATTTCTATAAAGTGTAATTACTACAGAGATAAGAATTTCGCAATATATAAAAACAAAAGTTTCTAACTTTGTAAAGTAATCAATTATAGTTTCTATTCAAGATGTATTCTTATGATGATATTCTTTCATCCCTGGATGATCTACCCCGTCTCGCCTGCGTTCTAAAAGAGAAATCTCAAGTGGTACTGCCTGATTCGGTATTTACTCAAATCGCGAAGTATTTTCTCAATCAACCAATAACCGTTGAAGGACTCGCTGTACAACGAAATTTATATGGTCGAATACGATCATCATCATTAGATCAAGATGAGTTCAATCTTTTGATACGAAACATCCAGTATTGTCTTAATTCAAACTTACAAGACTTAATCAAACCATTTCTTCAATATTTACATAATATGAATCGTCTATTACCAAGCAATTTTCGTGATATGGCTTATTTATGTGCTGTAATCCTTCTTCCACATGGTAATAAAAATATCATTGCGTGTATTTTATGTGCATATTTAGAAACGAATGCACGAAGTGATACGCGATATGATTTGATTATTAATAATCTTTACGACAATGACGATGAAGACGAAGATAACATCTGGTTGGACCAATTAACAAAAATTCTTATTGAAAACGATAAACAATGGCTAAGAAAACATTATCTGGAAAAAATCTACTCGAAAAAGCTTTTAGAAACCATCGATACACATGATACTGAAAATCTATTAACTATCGATGTTAGAGCACAAGAAGAACAAACACAAACGTTGATAGTTGATAAAATCAAGTAAGTACAAATTGAAATCAAGAAACAACTTTTAATCGATGTTTCTCAATTTGAGCTTAAGTTCACTATCATCATTTGATGATCTTCATTCAAAATTATCATCGTACGTTATTGACACTCTTCCTAATCAATCCATTACAGAATCATCGCTTTATCGTTTATTATCATCAACAACAAATTATCCATATGATCTTCATGTTTTATTTTCTTGTTCATTAATATCTATTCTCGATCCAACGAATTATTCATCATCGACTCTTCGTTTGTTTCGACAATTGATTCTCTTATTGAACAATTATTACATTCATCAGCACGATCTCTTCGATGATAATCGTTTTCGTATAACAATCGTCTTTCTTGTTTCCAAACTGCTTTGTGAAGTTCATCGGCGTCGTTCACAATCCGAACACGAATGGTATCGCCTATATAAAGATGTACCGGACGACCATCCATTACCAACATTTGATTTCTTTGCTGATCTTCTTGGTCTGTTGGCAACACTATGCTACAATCATCTTGATTGTCAACAACAAGTTCAACGAGTATCAGGAACAATCGAAGCCATTCTATCAATGACACGAATTGATCTGAATCAACCGAAATCACAAACATGTGTTATATGGTTGTTGAAATGTTTGACAGAAATCAATGAGGAACTTCGAAATTATATCAAACAAATTCAATAGAACGAGAAATTTATTGTGATTTGTTTCAGATGAATAAAAAGATTCAGAAACTTGATGAAACTGTTGTTAATCGCATTGCTGCCGGAGAAATTGTTGTTCGGCCATGTGCAGCAATAAAAGAATTAGTCGAAAATAGTCTAGATGCTGGCTCACATACAATACAAATTCATGTCAAACAAGGCGGACTGAAATCGATCGAAATTCGTGATGATGGATGTGGAATAAGTAAAGTTGATCTCCCGTTAGTTTGCGAACGTTTTGCAACATCGAAGTTGAAGACTTTCGATGATTTATATCATCTAAATACATATGGATTTCGAGGAGAAGCTCTTGCTTCATTGAGTTATGCTGGACATGTTAAAATAATTAGTAAAATAGCTGACAGTCAATGTGCATACGTTTGCGAATACGAAGATGGAAAAATTCGACCGTCTACATCAATTAAACCATGTGCAGGTAAGAAAATCGAATCGTAGATTTCGACAGAGTAGAAAACTATTTCGATGTATCACATAGGAACAAATGGAACATTGATTGTCATTGAAGATCTCTTTTATAACAATCCAATACGTTTGAAAATGATGAAATCTTCATCGGAAGAATATACACGAATGGTCGATTGTGTAATGAAGATGGCCTTACGAAATACTCACGTTTCATTCACACTCAAACGTGATACACAAATCGAACCTGATGTTTATACCAACGGAAAAGATACGACTATTCTACAGAATATGAAAATGTTGTATGGTGCTGATATGGTCAAAGATATGTACGAAACGACCATCAATGAAAATGATACACCGTACAAATTTCAATGCAAAGCTTGTTTTACCGGAACGCAATACTCTGTTCGTATTTGATTCGATATGTCGAAGAGAAGGAACTACAAGTGAATTTTCGATGTTTTAGAATTCATCGAAAGTATCGTCAAGTTCGATGACATTTATTTTGTTCATCAATGGTCGATTAGTTGATTGTCAGCCATTGAAAAAAGCGATTCAACAAATGTACGCTGTGTTGATTAATAAGCAAACATGTCCATTTGTCTACCTGGATTTAATTATGGATCCAACAACACTAGATGTAAATATTCATCCAAGTAAAAATGAAGTGCGATTTCTACATGCTGATCCAATTATTGTGGCAATTGTACAAGCAATCGAACATATTATTGTCGCTAAATCAGCGAAACAAACCACAACGACAACTCAATTAACTTTTCATATGGTTAGTTCACGTTTTCATACATAAATCAATCGAAAGCTATTGTTTATCAAAACTGGACATTCTCATAATTGACTTCTATTCGTGTTTTAGACGCCAACTTCAATGACGTTAATCCCGCCAACACCAAAAGAACCGACTGAAACTGATCCTAAACCAAAGAAAACATCATTGGATTCAACGAATTCGAATGCGAAAAAACCGTTTGCTACCAATTTAGATCCATCGCGAACTGTTCGAACATCGAGCCGTGATCAAAAACTTGACAAACATCGATATCACAATAGTTCCGTTTCTATTCCGAAGAAAATTGCTCAGTCGACTTCATTCGTATCTCCATTGGCATCCATTACATTTCCTCGCCAAATAAAATTAACGTCTATTGAGTTGTTACGACGATCCATTGATGAAGAATGTGATGCAGATTTACTAAATATCATACGAAATTTTGTTTATGTTGGAACTATCGACGGGCAATCATCATTAATTCAACATGATACACAATTATACCTTGTTCATACACGACATTTATCTCAAGAGCTATTTTATCAGTTATGTTTGTATCATTTCGGAAACATGGGAACGATTTCACTCGAACCAGAACCACCGAGTATCGAAGTAAATATTTTCTCTTTGCTGTTCTACTTTCTTCTTGCTGTTTATTCATAGGATTTGATTCGACTTGAAACAAATAATGAGGAAGTCATTGAATATGTCGTTGATCTTTTGAAAGAACGTCGTGAAATGCTTGAAGATTATTTCTCATTTCGTTTGTCATCAACAGATCCACTACGTTTAGAAACATTGCCGATTTTACTTGATACATATGTACCGAACTTGGATTATTTACCGCAATATCTTCTTCGTTTAAGTACAGAAATCAATTGGAATGACGAACATGAATGTTTTCGAACATTTGCTGATGAAATATCGAAGTTTTATTCGTATCGAATGCAGATCTATTCTGAAGTAGATGGTGATAGTGAAGAAAAACAACACTGGGCAATTGAACATTTACTTTATCATGCATTTAAAACCATGCTTGTACCATCGAAACATTTACGACAAGCGTTTGTTAAACTAACTGAAGTACAACAATTATACAAAGTCTTTGAACGATGTTAAGGCCTTTTTTTTCTCTTATTAACTGTGATATTTCAACAAGAAAATGCAATGAGATTATTTTGATTTTACTATTTTACAACTTTATTGTCGAACAATTTCTCTTTGAATAAAATCCAGAGTTGAAAACAATATTTTTGCGATGTTTCATAAACTCTAATCTTTCTATATTCCCAAGAATAATCTAAACAATAACGACAAGATTACTGATCATCCATATATAGAATATAAAATAAATTTTGTGCAGAAGTGTTTTTTCCAGTAAGATGAAGGTTTTTAATAGGGAATAAATCACGTTCGATAACTTTTCTCTCCTGTCATATATTTTTTATGGGTCTCGTACACTTTACCGACAATCATTTGCCTGACAGGTTACTTTGCCGATCGTAACGTTTCTTAAAAACACTTTTATCATCAAGGTGGCGATATATTGAAGACGTGTTCATTCTTACTATCGTCGAACTCCATTCCGTTGAGTTTAAGAACAATTCTTTATGTCACATCTTTGTCGGTAAAGTGATTACAATCCTTTTTTTGTTTAAATTTCTGTTACACCGAGAAATATCTTTATGAATTGAACATTTCATAATCTAAATGTTCATGACATTCAATCACTGGATGACGTGAAGCAAAGATGATTATACTAATGTTCGCAATAGCCAATCTTAAACAATAAGTGGAGGTTAAACAGCACGATCAATTGTTTTTTGATTTTCGCGTGATTAACTTAAAGTCATTGGCTGCGTTTTCATCCCGTTTTGGTAAATATACATATTTGTAATAACATATTTTCTTTATGACATGCTTCCAGTTTCTCGATGACGTTTAGTACAAACTCGAACTCTCAAACAAACATTTTCTATGCATTAGCGCAGACTTAATAGCAAACTATCTCGATATGATTTCATACAAACAGTTTTGACAGAAGTATTGTTCTTGAGTGATTTTTCAGTGTTCAGAAAATACTCAACCTGTATCTATTTCATTATCTTATCGATTTGTATTTTAAAAAAGTTCATAGTTCACTTATACGATTAACAACAAATGCTTTTATCAGTGTCGAACTTTGCAACTAAACCTCTCCGTATAAAGATTTTAGTCTGTTCAATTGAAGATATATAACCAGTTCTTTTTTTTTCATACAAGTTGTCGTTGTGATTATTCTATTTTTTATTTGTGTTATTTCCTCGTACTTTAACGAAATGATTTCGTTTCTTCCTTGTTGATACGAGTTTTCCGACTCGATTTACGTGACTTTGTGCTGACTCGTCAAGACACGTAGTGTATCATACTTTACCTTAGTAGAAATCGCAACTATAGATATCAAGAGAGAGAACAAATTTTTTATGAATAAGTATTAGGAAGAGCTATTTTTAGGAGAATACATCCAATATAATAACAAATAAAAATTAGAAAAGGACAAACAAGACGCATAAACTATCTAGAAAACACTTTGTCTTGTCTTTTCATCGATATTGACGCAAAGACCATGAACATAGTTGCATTGTATTATATCATAAAATTAGTAATTCTTTCATTACAATAGACAAGTACCAAAGTTTTGAAGGTGTTTGATATTCATTTGCATTACTTAACCCAGGTCGAGCATTCCAGCCGCCGAAACCGGCACGGAACCGAGACGGAACACATCGGAAATCGATACAATTCTGCAGGTTCCGTCTCGGAAAACAGCTGGATAGCACCGGTTCTTTGCCGCCGGATTCCGGCCGGACTACACGAGGAAATTTCCTACGTGCTCCAGTCATTCCCTTGCACCGGAAACGCCATCGCTCTCCTCCATTCCTGTCAGCGGATCCGAAGAGGAACACGCATGAAACTTTCCGACGTATTCCAACTTTTTCCGCTCATCAAAAAAGGAAAAAACCTCCAGATATCCAGTGCACGGACCTTGACCGGATCACACACTGTACTTTCCGATCTAATCCTCCCAAATTCTTCACAAGGAACCATCAAACTTGCCTTCACTTCCGATTGATCAATATTGCAGGATACTGCCTATAAGGTTTCCTACAAAAGCCGCCGACTTCCACACACCGGAAGTTCGCAAACCATGTTATTCTCGATAACCGGCTCCTCCGAGACACGGGACGATCCTTTTTTGGTTAAGTAAAATGAAGGTTCCGAAAAGAACCTTACAGGAAAAACTGAGAACCAAGGTTCCGTACGGAACCATGTGTAACTATATTAAAAAACGTTTCGTGACAATCCATAGCTGCGAAACCTTCGTTGCATTAGTTGTTCTCTCGGGTTGGTCACAGATTGATTTCTAGTTATCCTCCCACAGACTCCGTATTCAGTCACTACAGAATATATGGTGTGGGTGGGTGGCTGAGGGCGTTCGGAATGAGTGGTACGAAACCTAGTTCGCCCCTTTCGAACGTCCAAACACCTTCACCCACCCTTTCATCGTGACACGAACGTGAGAGTAGGTTCTAGCCAGTCCAGTAGATTCATTCCGATGAACTCTAAACAAGCAACACGATAGAATGTGGTTTATTAAATAGCATCATTTACCTAGTTGAATGCCAGGCTATTGAGAATTTTCCGTCGATAGATCTGCATCGATATACTAACAACTAGTAAGAAAAACTAGAAATAAGTAGAAAATGAAAAAATGCATGAATATTTATAGGGTCTCCTCGGACGGTCTGTTGAAAAGTGGACGTCCGCCGATATGAACAGACATGAGTGACGACTAGTGAAGAAAACTAGAAATAAGTAGAAAATGAAAAATGCATGAAAATTTATAGGGTCTCCTCGGACGGTCTATTGAAAAATGGACGTCGGCGGTACTTCGAAGTGCTTCCATCACTTTCTATACGTACAAGTGTTATTTAGCTGCGAAGTACTTCCATCACTTTCTATACGTACAAGTTCTATTTAGGTGGGAAGTACTTCGAAGTGCTTCCATCACTTTCTATACGTACAAGTGTTATTTAGCTAGGAAGTACTTCCATCACTTTCTATACGTACAAGTTCTATTTAGGTGGGAAGTACTTCGAAGTGCTTCCATCACTTTCTATACGTACAAGTGTTATTTAGCTGCGAAGTACTTCCATCACTTTCTATACGTACAAGTTCTATTTAGGTGGGAAGTACTTCGAAGTGCTTCCATCACTTTCTATACNAAGGAACCATCAAACTTTCCTTCACTTCCGATCGATCAATATTGCAGGATACTGCCTATAAGATTTCCTACAAAAACCGCCGACTTCCACACCCCGGAAGTTCGCAAACCATGTTATTCTCGATAACCGGCTCCTCCGAGACACGGGACGATCCTTTTTTGGTTAAGTAAAATGAACGTTCCGAAGAGAACCGTACAGGAAAAACTGAGAACGAAGGTTCCGCAGCAAAGGTTTACTACGAAAATTTTTTCTTCAAAAGGCAGAAGGTTCCGTATCATAGGTACCGTACGGAACCATGTGTAACCATATTAAAATACGTTTCGTGAAAATCCATAGCTGCGAAACCTTCGTTGCATTAGTTGTTCTCTTGGGTTGGTCACAGAGTCCTTTATAGTTATCCTCCCCCGGGCTCCGTATTCAGTCACTACAGAATATAGGATGTGGGTGGGTGGGTGCGGGCGTTCGGAATGAGTGGTACGAAACCTAGTTAACCCCTTTCGAACGTCCACACACCTTCGCCCACCCTTTCATCGTGACACGAACGTGAGAGTAGGTTCTAGCCAGTCCAGTAGATTCATTCCGATCGACTCTAAACAAGCAAGACGATAGAATGTGGTTTATTAAATATCATCATTTACCTAGTTGAATGCCAGGCTATTGAGAATTTTCCATCGATAGATTTGCATCGATATAGTGACAACTAGTAAGAAAAACCAGAAATAAATAGAAAATGAAAATTGCATCGATATTTATAGGGTCTTCTCGGACGGTCTATTGAAAAGTGGACGTCCGCCGAGATGAATAGACATGAGTGACGACTAGTGAAAAAAACTAGAAATAAATAGAAAATGAAAATTGCATCGATATTTATAGGCTCCTCTCGGACGGTCTATTGAAAACTGGACGTCGGCTAGTGTAAGGGGATATTTTTTTCAATGAGTCTTCTCCTTTTCCTAACTGAACCGATGACAGATATCAATGGTTTGATAGAGGGCTCCCGTAACCGCAACAATAATTATGAGATGATTAATTGCTTTGTCGAACTCCTAGGTAACTACTGACCACTGCAAAATATATTTCTATCTACGAGTAAATTCCGGGAAACCTTCAGCCGCCATAAGAAAGTAGGGGTAGTTTGGTACAAATACTGCCGAGCCCTCACCTACCTGGGAAGTACTTCGAAGTACTTCCAACACTTTCTATGTGCACAAGTCTCATTTAGCTGGGAAGTACTTTTTTGATCGGACGAAATGGTGCAGCGTGTTTTGGTCGTTCGATTGGGATAGCACGTAAGGACATTACTGATGCATTTGGGACAAGATTCGCTTTGGTCGTGTTCTGGATCGAGTTCCTCTACGATCACAGTAAACGCTGTTTTTTGAACCTACAGCTTAAGACAAGGTACTGTTTAAGGTAGATATTATGCAACGCATAACGTGCTCTTGTGAGTGGTGTATTATAAAGAATTTCATATGTTAAAAGGAGTACGCAATAACTCATAAACATAAGTTGGATAATTCTATGAAATGGATGCAAATGGCATATTCGAATGTAAATTTCAATACATATAGGCGCGACCGTTTTTTGTTCATATAACCGTGCTGTCCGTTTGAAATGATAACAATAGATTAGAAAGGAAAAAATAGAGCGATGTGAGAAAAAAAGGCAGTCAGATGCGTCGCGCGTAGAAATATTCATGAACAAAGAAATAAAACCACATCATGTTTGCGATTCACCTTATGGTTTGCAGAAAGTAGTGCTACGCACAAAATTGTTTACGCCTTCACGTTTTCGGACGAAAATCGATTGTTACTGTGAATTTAATAAGTTGGTGAGTACGCTTGATTCGTTTGAGAGCGATGCTTGTAACGTCTAGTAGATCTAGGCTGAAAACAGGCGAAAAGAGATGTTGAAGCTGTCGGAGGAGCTAGATAGAATCAATGTTATCACAGAAATAAATGGTCGCAGTAGTGTTGTCCCAACCGAATCCAGGTAATTTCCGATTATCACCGGATTCAGCTGGTTTCCGATGGTTACCGGATCCAGCTGATTCCCGATTATCACCGGATTCAGCTGGTTCCTGATGGTGACCGGGTCCAGCTCGTTCTCAATTGTCGTCGTTTCTGTCTGGATCCAGTAGGAATTTGCCGGTAAAATCCTGTTGAAATCCGGCCGGAATCCGGCGGCAAAGAAATATGAGGAACCGGCCGGTTCCGACCGAGCGGAAATGGTCTGGGTTGTTTATTTATAATTGAATAATATGCGTAATTACATTTCAGTTCATTGGTAATTTTATATAAGTTAGAATTAACATCATTTGAATGCTGTAATTCAATTAAGAATATCAACTTCGCACTCTTGATTCTTTCTCCTATTTGAAAATAAGTTCTTTGTATAAAAATTTTCTTGTGATGAAACGAGAAAAACATTAGATGGGAGAGAACGATATCATGTTTTCTCTCTAGACTTCAGTTACGCCGGACTGCTTTTCTTGTGTGCACAGCAGCATACTAAGTATAAATAGCATGTAGATGCAGTGGTACTTGCATAGTATACAGGGATGTTTGCATCTTGAGGGTCTTAATGTTTTGTTCAAGAAACAAATTTCAGACTGAAGTCGATAATGTATCGCTAGGTGAGTGGATACATCTTTTTCGTCAACTAAGCGTCGGGGCGCCAGAGGGGGGGGGAAATGTCCACCGCCCCCCCCCCCCCCCCACCCTGAAAAATTTTTGAAAGGGCAGTAAATTTTTTCGCCTCAGAAGAAAACGAATATCTGTGGTAATAATCGTTGAAAAAATTTTTATTATCCCCCTGAAATGTTTTTGCCGGTCCGCCGATGGAACTAAGATACATTTTTTCACAATTGAGGGCCAAATTATATATGAATTCAATTCGCATTGCTTTCAAGGTAATAAGAATGTTAACAGATATTTACACAAAGCGACCGTAAAAAGTAAGAAAGCCATTCCGTACAAGAACCCATCAGAACCTGAAACCAGACACTAAGAATTGAAATATTTCTCAGTGAAGTTCATCACTCATGCGTGAGTAATATTACTAACAAATCTAAATATTTTCTGATTCGGAGTATTGAAAAGTGAGAATATTTACATTTTCTTAGCTTCTGACCCAATATTTCTGCCGATCTTTACTCGGATTGATCGTGTTTTTCGTCAGTGCGGCTGAATAATTACAAGGGAAGAAATGTATGATGAGATGATGAATATAGACTACTTATCCTTACTGCTAATGCATTCATTTGTTTTCTATTTTATTCGTGACTTGAGAGTCTGAGATACTTTTTACACTATTTCGTTTTCTAATTGCCATTCATATGATACCGAAGAACGTTTTCTACAAGAAATGAAATAGAAGAAACAAATGGACAATGTCGGATCAATTCGAAAGATCTCATAGAAACATCACCATGTTACGAATATTGCGTAAGAAATAATACCTCGTACGAATCATAGTTTCGAACGACACAAGATAACGCAAACAATAATTTGTTGACATTCTAAAGTATTATTAGTATCCGAATCTTTACTATGATATTGCATCCAATAGATATACATTCAAATCTTTATCCTCACCGCATATTTTTCATAGTTCATGTAAATACCAAAGATGCTATGAGTAGATTGAATGCCGATCATCTACACTTGTTCCATCAATAAATATTCACAAATCGTACTATCGAATAATTAAAAAGACACATATTCGAATTAGTTAATTATTTTATTCATTTTAGATTTGTGTTACTAACATGACTAACAAAATATTGCAAAACTTCTCTAAAAACGCATCTTTCCGTTTAATCGTGTTCGTTTGTTTCATTACCATCTTCGTTCTTATGTTCCAGAATGATATGCTCCGCGTTCATCTAAAACTTGAATATTCCTTACCCAACCGAACTCATTGTGCATTAGAAAAGCCATTCACTGGCATATTTACAAATTCAGCAAGCCAATCATTACTCTACAACAATAAGACACTAGAGACAACAGTTCAATGTGTTGGACCTGTCTACAATCAATCATGTCTATATCAGAATCTATATTATGTTAACGGTGTATTTACTATGCTGCTAGTAAAAGGAAGATCTTTGCCAATATATTCTGTACGAACAGATGCCTTTTTCTTGTGGCCTCTAGTGCCAAATAAACGCGAATTTAATACATACGCTGATCTCGAATCATTCGTTCTTCGTATTATTAGTCCAAAACGATTTCCTCACGTTACACTTTACTTTAGTCAACCTTGGCATTACAATATTGGACACGCTCTTTTCGATGGACTCTATCCAGCATATGTTGCAATGGTTCGTTTTCCACCTCGACATCTTCATCCATTTCGTGTCCTAGCCGGTATTGGTGATTGCAACGATTGTTGGAGTGAAGATGTTTACAGTCGTTTTGCTGGTCTCGGAATTCTTAAACAAAGTGTTCTCAATAAACTATCCCAAGATCGATGGTTTGTATTCGATGAAATTGTTATGGGCAGTGGAGCTATGTGTCAACGTTGTACGCGACCTAATCTACAATTATCTGGTGGTGTTGAACTAGATGCATCAAGATTATTTCGTGATCGTATGTATAGACAACATGGTTTCGTTCCTTTGATTCGTCGACATAAATCTTCGTCAGAACACCGAACACCAAATGATATCCTACAAGCATACGTGATCGATAATAAACGTTTCACACCGAGTGATCGGAAGGAAATGACCGATGCTATGAATGAAATCAATAACTACACTTATTCAAACATGAATCAAACAAGACACAATTCGAGAGCGTTAAAATGGCCGCTGATCAATGTTACATATATTTATTATCATATGATCAAAGCACAAAACATGAGTGCACTAGTAGTCAACACTAATGTAGCTGATTCACGATCACCGACCTACGAAATATTGGATAATAACTTCATAGCACAATTAAAACTTCTTCGTCAAATGGATATTCATATCACTGGTCCAGGAACAGGTCAAATGTATCAGACCTTCTTATCTGATGGAAGTGTTACGATTAATATTGGAGGGATAAGACCATGGGCTTCTGAAGGTACACCGAGAGCATACACATCGTTTCTTGAGCAACATATGACAAGTGGCACACCGTATATCAAAGGCCTTTATTATCCTATTAATAAACGACAGAGTGGCATGAAAAAAGAAGACTTAGTACAATTAATTCGTCAAGCAGGTGAACAGATTATTCGAGGTTTTCAATTACCCGTGAATCCTCGAGAGAATTTAGCTCCTGACGGACAGTTATTCGTTGAAATGTGTGAGAAAGATCAAGCATTTTGTGATTCAGTAACGACAAGATCACCAGATCGGAAATTTATGTGTTTAGAGTTTTGGGTTGAAGATTTTGTTCATGAGTATAATCAATGGAAAGAAGGAGGTTTCGTGGATAATGGTCATAATATCAGTTGTTCATTTAATCGTACATTATTACGCGAATTAAGAAAAAAGTATGGTATTATACATAGTTTATACGATTCGCCGAAAGTTTGAAGATGAAGTGACAGTTCCTCCTTCACCATGGCCAAAGCCTGAATATATTTTTATTTACATATGTTCCCTCAATTCCCAAATAAAATAAATAGTCGTTCACTAGATGATTTTTTTTGTCAAATCATCATATTCAACAAGTTGTCTTATCATAAATAGTTTGAGTGTGAAGATCTTCTCCGAAAGATCGAATCCTTCTGTTAATAATCATTGAGTATTAGAGAAATGACTGAATCTTTCCTTAATGATGACCTTATCGCTTTGTTTGTTCTGTCATTAACTCATGATTTGCACCATATCAAATAGTATCCAAACTATTAAAGTTAATTCATATCGTATAACTTAACACAATACGTAGCTAATAGTGTGCATTGATGACATCTGAATTAGTGGTAGGACTCAAAAAGACATTTTTTAGATGACATCTTCACGCGAAGAATCCAGCAGTTCTCCGAACAAATCCATCACAACTATTGTAAGACAAACACCGTTGGCAACAAAGTGTGTAGTTCGCAAAGGCATGGTTAGTTATATTCTGACTAATCGTGTCATACCCCAACAAGTATTGTCATATTACCACACACATATGGATTTACTTTGACTAAAATAAATCACCATAATGGAATTTCATATTGCAAAACACGCATAGTCAGTAGTGAGACTTACGAACTGATAGTCGTCTGCTATCAGGAAACAGTTGACATTGATTAATGAAATACTATTGTATGACAATCACCCATAGATGAACATGCCATTTGACAATGTGTTATAT